AATACACAAATCTCATTTCTTTCACTGCTCACTCAGACTAATCCGCTCTCTCCTTCGTCCCCCCTCCAGCTCGATCCTCACCCGCTCCAACCGGTACAATTTCTTTTTCCGAGATTCATCGAAAGAATTAATGAATCGTTTCATCACAGGTTATTTTAATAAACATGATCGATACAAATATTTTTCATTCTACTGACGCTTTAAAAGCATTTCAATGTTAAATCATTCAACATTTTTTACAATTTAAGCAATGAAATGGAATTCTGTTGTGATAAAAGCTTTTGTAGAAAATATTAGCCGAAGCTAGTTATTAATGATATTTGCTTGACATTAACAATAAACAGATTGAATTAATCGCATGTTTTGATTTTTACTGGTTTTATGTTTGCTTTCAACTCGTGCATAAAAGCCTTGCAGATATTTAAAACTTTTAAATAATTAAAATGATTCTAGAACTGAAATCAAGATGATAGTTAACTAACTAAACGAATATAGACACGAAACACTTTTAACTTTTCACTTTTTCATTTAATTTACCTTTAAATAGCTATTTTCGACAGCGATGCTGTCATCTTCAGAACGATTCGATCTACACTCGATAGTCTCGACCATCATTCTTCTTTACAAAGCAGTACGACTGTCTGATAAGAATCAACACTATTCAGTGCTATTCAAACTCTCGAATAAATTTTCCTTCTCACAAAAGATAAACATAAATTTTAATCAGAATTATTTGAAATTCAAATTTGAATAGATATTTCAATGCGACGAATGAATGTTTATCTTTCCTGAGAGAAAATTCAAAAAGCATTAAAATCATATCAAATAATAAGAAGTAGAAAATTGAAGGTTGTCTGGGTTGGTTTACAGACTGAGTTTCTTAACTGGCAACATCTTTGTGCAAAACAAAATTGTCCGTACAGCAGTTGTACATAATATAATTAAGAAGCTGTGTTGTGCCAAATGTCTTGAAGTATTTTATAATTAAAATATCTTAATTGGAATAAAATACGCTTCTTGTTGATACACCTTTTAAAATATTTTATGTTCAACTAAATCAAGAACATTGAAATAATGCTGAAAGCGAATTTGTATTCGTTTCCAATGATTTAAAATATGAAATCGAATTTCAGACAGACGAAAGATTTTCATAAGAAGAAGTAAATCCAGAAGGAATTTAAATTCCTTTTTTATGTTTTCCATGTGATAGATGGTGTGGAAAAATTATCGATCGACATTTCGAAGATAAAAAATATTCAATTTTTATGTATGGAAGGAAAACAAGTCATAAGCAATGAAGTATTTTGAAAATCTCATATCAATATGTGATGGAAATGACAAAATAATTTCAGAGTTCACCATAAGTTCAGTGATTTATATGATTCCATGAACATTTAATGATGATTGAACATTTCAGTCTCATATGTTGTGCAAGTAGATATTTACGATTAAATTTCCTTGAAGGAAACGGAAAAGCAATCAAATTGTCAGACGACACTTTAAATATTTTGTTCTATCAATTTCATCACAACATGAATTTTACATGCAAATTATTTAATTCTAATTATCTATCAGTAAAGCTTTTTGATTTGAAAACTTTAATAATCTGTAATTTAATTCTGAATATGAATTTAAACGACACCTGATGCTTGCATTGAAGAAGATAAAGCAGGCAGAAAAAGAGATAAATGAAACATTTTTCCCGCGTGACAGAAACGCTTTTCCTCCTTTTTTCTTGCTACAATTTTATGTAGGTCGTACAATAAATACTTTTATTGACTGCCTAAGGTTGTAAACGAATAATCTTTACCATACCACATGGGACGTGTTCGTATGTGTTTAAGACTTGGTTTAAGAGATGTTTCTAAACGCGTCAAAATGGAAATTTTTGTCTTAAAAAAATTCTCTATAAAGATTATCATCATCTACCTCGTGGACACAGAAGCAAGTGAGCAATTCATAATTCATCAAACAAGATAAGACGAGAAAAGGATAGAGAAAAGATTTTTGAAATTGATAAACAAACTTTCTACGCATAATAAGTTTAAGGAAACTGTTTCTGCATAGTTAAAGAGTTACACTAAATAGAAGCCTTGATTTAGGCAGCCTAAACACTAACCTTATGAATTTTTGATGAAAGTCTTAGAAGCCTTTCTAATTATAACTTAAAGGAGTTCAAATGATCAAAGACAATATTCACGCTAAATTATTCTTCAAACAAAAGCTCCAAGATATGATGAAAAGAAGTCAATTAATGTCACATTATAACTCATCATATAGATGTTCGTTTTAATTAATATTTTAATTAACAATATGAAGCATATCATTCATGAATGTTATGATATGATAAAAAGGCACTCTTCACATTACAAATTCATTCATTTGATGTTCATTCACAAGATTCACAAAGAATTTTCTTTCGTTTTATTTTTACTCCTTTAATGTAAGAAAGCCTTCGCTTTCTTGTCATTTAAATGTGAAATCTTCAAATTCAGTTCAAGTGTATTTCGGTGTGGCATTTGAGAAAAATAATTCCAAATGTAAATTTTATTTCATCAACTTGAAAGAAAAAGAGTGAGAGAGAGAATTTAACGAACGAAGTGGAAAGATTATTTTAGAATGCGGTGTGTAACTTGAAATCATGGGAAGTGTAGTCAAATACAAGATTATCTCTTGAAGCTTGAAATGTACGCTTCATAAATATAATCACCAAAGTCATAATTTTGTCAAAGTAGCAGTAGAATGATGCATGGCAAGCTGGAAAAGCAGTGCAGCCATCGAATGAGCGATATGTGTATGCATATTCACATTTATTTTAATTAAGTAGATTTTATATTACAAAAACTTCACTATTCACGTCAAAAATTTATCACGGTTGAAATTTATGAAATAAAATTAAATAATTTCATCAGCTATTATGTAAAATGACTAAATTTTTGTAAATATTAAATTAAAATGAGAGAAATTTGGTATAAGTACATCAATTAAAAGTGTTGAGAAGCAAAGCTACCGTGAAATGTACGATCAAACATAATTAACGTGTATAATTAAAGTAGATATTTCAAAGCTTTCTTCCTTCTTTCATTCTGAATTTGTGTACGTGTCTCTTTTATCTATTTCAGCAACCCCCAGCGACAAGTAGAACCATATTAAAACATAAAAACAAATAAGCATACAGCAGTGAGGGTTACAAGGTATGTACATATACACACATGACGTTAGATAACAGAAAACTCTCAAAATTGATGTTCGAAAATGTTCTTCTCTAACATAACTTTACTTTCATATCGGAAAGAATTTTCGAGGACTTATCATAGCGTAAATTATAATTTTACTCTGAAAACAAGCAGATTTTTTTCTGTTTGTAGGCAGTTGTCGTTTGAACAGCTACACCAAATTGGATTAGAATAAATTAAAACTTTTCAGCGTGATTTTCCGTGTATAAAAGTATTGCAATTATCTGTCACATTTCAGTATTTGCAGATGAAGAGCAAACATCACAACAGCATTGCTGAATAATCCCCTTATCTTGAGAAAAGTAGCGCAATAAAAATCAAGCCAATGAAACTTTCTCTTGAATTGCTCTTGTCGCGAACCTTCAACGGCAAAAAGAAAAACTTTCGCTTTGCTGTAAATTGAGCTAATTTGAATAATATGGAAATGAGTGGCGCGAAGGGAAGAATTCTTTCAAATTGCGACACGGAAAACGGAAAAGAAAACATCAGAAAAAAGAGTGGAAGAATTGAAAACTTTCTTGTTTTCACTTACGAAAGTAGCAAAACTTTTCAATGACATCAGAAAAAATTGTCATGTTGCTAAGAGCAATGCCATGCCGTTGATACAAATCAATGAAAAATTCAACGACCTCTAAAATTTTTGGTTTTTAATTTAATGAACAAAGTTTTTTATTCTTTTTGTGTTTTATCAATAATTGCAATCAAATTTGGAGGTTGTGAAAGTTTCAAGCTTGCAGGAATATATCTTTTGAAGAATGAGGGAGAATATCTTGTAGAAATGTTACAAATTTAAATGGAATTCAATGGTTTTCGAAGCATAGGAGCGAAACAGAACGTCAAATGGGACAAAGGTCCGCGTTAAATCCGCCCTTACTGATGATGATTTGTTTTGGAAAGAAACGTGAATACTTAGCTGTTGCTTAATTTAAGTGCTCTAGTGATGTTCATTAATTTTCTGTGGAGCTTCATTCCATCAAAAACTCCCTCAGCGTATTTTTGTTCTTTTTGTTTCAAAATTTATTTCGACAGAGTGACGTGGAGGCGTAAATTTTTGTGAGTCTTTTGAAAAGATTTAAGCAATGCAATGTAACGTTGGAGAATGATTGTGAAAAATGACAGAAAATAAATTCAAATATTTACTAAGTAAGTGTCTGTTGTAAAAAGTTATTTCTGTTAGAAACCTTCTGAAGAGTATCTGTCGGAGATTTTTCTTCATTTCCGGTAGTTTTCCCTTCCCATCTCATTGTCTCATAAATATATTCTTGTGTAAGTCTTCCCTTCATTCCTGCTTCACCCCATGTCGAGTGAAATGGTTTTTATTTCCCTTTCATTTTACCTTGAGAGAAGCTAGAACGTTGTTTCAAGTGATGATGTCGTATGATATGCAGAACATTCTTTTTTAATAAAATCTTTTGAAACACTTTGAATCGAGAAGAATCCCAAAGATAAACAAAACCCGGAGCGATCATTTTAAGTCATAAAATGGCTTGCGGTTTTTCACCGAACAAACATTTTTATGTGTTTACATTTAGTGCTCTCCGATTTACATATTTTCGACTTTGCTTTTATGTTGCGAACTGTCAGAAAGCAATGATGTGATGTTAGGGGATTTGATTTGGAGAAAGAGATTTGTGACAATAATGTGTTATTGTTTTCGAGTGCTTTTCCATAAATATCAAAATATGTTTTGCATAGATTTTCTAACTTTCCAGAAAATACTTGGAAGCTTCGCATGAAACCTTTTCAAGTTCATTGCCATAATATTTTGGGGATTGGAACATAAAAGCACATGGCTATGATACTAAACAAACTTCCATTCTTCAAGTGGAAAGTAATCAACAACTGTTCTTGGAAGCTTTCCAATGAGCTTGAATTTCCATCGGGAAAATTTTCACAGAAGATTGTTGAATCTAAAAACTTATTTTCACTTTGAAATTGTTCAGTTCGCGTGTAACATTCAGTGACTTAAGTCGCAAAAGTTCGCTTCGGAAAGTAAAATATAAAAGTTTTGATAAATTTTCAAAGGTGCTACAAATATAAATAGCTTTCAGCATATTACAAGCAAAACTTATGGATTAAAAGAAATCATCACAAGTCACACGATCGAGCAATAATAGAAGTGTGGAATTTCTCCTTTCTTGGATACCCAACCTAGTGAACATATTTTTGTTAAGTTATTTGCCGACAAACGTGAAACTTGTGAGAACAAAAGCAGGAAAATATTATTGTATAAAACGACAATCGCCTGCAAAATCGGCAAAGGCTTAATCATTGTGAAACTTACATAATGAAAACGTGAATATTTTTGTGTCACAACATAAAAATTAATGTAAATTTTCGGCTATTTTTGTGTTCAATTCTTTATTGAAACTCAAACAAAAAAAAAATTGAAATTCTCTGTTGAAAAAAATTTAAATTTACAGGTTTCGAAGCTACTGCAACAAACGGATTTATTTTCACTTTGAATTAATAAAACATACGTAACATAAAAACATAAATATGAACGAAAATTACATTTCCCATAAATGTAAATTAAAATGCAAAAACGTTTATGAAAGCTCGTTTCATATTCTGTGCCGGTTTTTGTGCTTTCTCTGAATGAGGAGAAACAAAAAACACAAAAATATTCTGTTGTGTTTCTTTTCTTAGTACGAGAAGTGAGAATTTTATTATTTACATGAAACAGAAAGGTTTTCAAACATGACATGACGTAATTATGAGCTGCTCTTTTTTTTCCTTCGGCAATATTTCATGATTAATGAAAATTAGAAATGTTGATCCAAGAAAAAAAAAATGAAACGAAGAGGCTTCAAATAAATTTGAAATTAACACAACACAGTAACAAATATGGAAAGAATGAAGGAAAAAAATGTTGCCTATGAATCAATATTCGAGTATTTATTTTGCACCATTTTATTTCCATGAGTATGACAAAAATTAATAAAGCAAAGTGAATTAAAGGTTGACCTCGTCTGGCAGGTGCACAAGTTATGTTTTATGAATTATTCATAATAATTGTAGGACGAATCAACACAAACCATAGATGGATGAGAATTTATTCTCAAAATGCTTACTTCTAAAAGCTTAATAATTGAGAAAGCGTTGTCGTTTAATTTTCTTATATAAATTTCAAGTTCGTTGCTAAAAATAATTTTCATATCTCAAGCTTTTCGACAACATGAATAATTTCCCAGATTAAATCTGATTTAATTTGGTCACCCTTAATACAGATTTTGATTCGCCCACGAAAAACAGAAACACTAAGTATATTGTGTGTTTGATAATCATAAAGCTTCCCTTTTCCCATCGATTTCGCAGTTGTTGTGTTAGAAAGTGAGCTAAACTAAAAAGATATTTTTCCCTTCAACAATTCAGAGGGTAAAGAATAAAAAAAACAAGGAAATGAAAGTAAACTTAACAAGAACAAATATTTTGAGGAAAAAAAATGCCGCGCGAAGTCTATTGAAGTTTTCTCTTTCTTTTTTGTGTGGAAAACTTGGAAAAATGCGAGTGAGTGGATGGAGAAGAAAATTTATGTTGGCTTCTCCGATAGACCTGAAAAAATTGTCCTTATTTCTCCACACCGCTTACTCTCTCTAATCTTCATTTTTTACCGTTATCCAATTTCTATCTCAAGGACGTTCTGCTTTCCGCATTTTTGCGTTGAAGCCAAAATTGTTTTGTTATTCAACCAAATGATTTTCATATCACCGCCATGGAGTGGAATTAATTTTGTAATGTAATCTCGATTGAAGCATCTTGTGCGAAGTTTTTTTATTGGGAATTTACGGTGGAAAAACATGATATTAAGCAATTTAGAATTTGTCAATTTTCGTCATGTCTCTGAGACTAATCTAAGAGGGAGAAAATTTAATTAATTTTTTTTCTTGTCTCTCACTTAGAGAAGATTTTTCAATTTCTTCTGATATTTAAGTAAATCAAGAATTGAAAATAACAATGAGTGGAAACGTTTAAATTTCTCACCCTTTTAATTAATTTAAATCTTAACACAGCAGAGGTAAAACTTTATTTTTTCTTTCTCTGGCTTCGATTGACGTTAAGAAACGAAGAGAAAAAGAAACCTTTTGATGCTTGTTTGAGGCATTGAAACATGAAAGAAACCTCTGAAAGAAAGAAAAATCTTTTAGCTTTTTTAAATTGAACGAGATGAATGCGAAAAATGTAACTCGCTCAGTAATTTTTGCAATTCCTCGGGAAAAAACATTACGTGATTGGAGTGTTAATCAGTTACTAGGTGAATTCTGAAAGTCGTAAGCAATTCTACTCTTATTCTTACCACCACCGGTATCAAGAAGAATTGTAGGAAAATCGAAAGGAAAATAATTTCTAGAAAATCACGTTTTCAGTTAAAAAATGTTGTGAATTGAAAATTAACAACCAATTAATGTCTGAAAGAAAAGTTTTTTGTTCTGTTCTTTGTACATAATAAGTGCTTTTTGAAATAAGTGCTTTAAAGACAAAGAAAAGCTGAAAATGTCAGAAAAGCGAGTTGGCTGAAATGAACATCACTTGGGGCTTTTCTTAAAACGAATTTTCAAGGTTGAAGATTTTTGGGCTTTTATTAAGATAAGTATGAAAAAAAAATTCAAATTCACAAATATCAAGTTGAATGAAAAATTGAAACAGAAACAAGGCTAAAGATGGACATGTAGCGGAAATATGCCACGAAAATAATTTGTATTCATATCCAGTTTTCAAGGATATCATTCGTTATGCTTCCTCCTCGTTGTAACTTCTTTGAAAATGAAATGAAGTTGTCTCTTCCTTACATTCCCATTCTTAAGCTTCACCACAAACCTCAATAAATTTTCTCAAGAATATCCTCAATTTTCGGGTTCATTTGAAAACGAAGCAATAATAAAATGCTTTCTTTCTCCTGAAGGGAAAAAGTTACGACTTGATAAGAAAAATACAAAAATAAAAAATTTGACGAGAGGCAACGTAAGTCTCGAGTCCCCAGGATAAGACGTCATAAAAAGAATAAAGTTTAAGGAAAAGCAAACAGCAATCATTTGTTATCCTTCATTCGAAATGAAACGTGTTCGTTGTGTTTCAATTATTCTATCTATTTGACAAATTTTTTATATTTCTTTTTAATCGCTATTTATATTTCACTTCGTTTTTATGAGGAAAGATGAAACACAAAGAATGAATGGGCAAGCTTTCCTTTTTTGCTGCTTATCGGAAGCAATAAAATATAATAAAAAGAGACAAAGACTCCGGAGGAGCATCCGGTAAAGAAAATAAATCATGTGCCACAAAATAGAAATCGAGATAATTTTCGATTTATCTTTACATTGTTGGTTTGTGTTTGGGAGGCAGAAGCTTCTCATTTTTTTTTTGTTATGATTATTCGCTTTTGATATTTATTTGACAACAAAAGAAAACGGAAATCATCAGAGTTAAGTAGAACTCTTAAATATTCGGATTATGGTCAAGCTTTTACAGCCTCAATATGCTTTGAGGAATGTTTATAGTGTTACAATGAACTTATTTTTATTTTATGTGACGGTAAATATTCCAATAATTATTTTTATTTACAACTTACACGATGAACTTACACGATTGTCTATTCTAGTTGGTATAAATAGTCAACCTCTTTTGAACGAAAGCAAATTTAAGAACGAAAGTTTAAAAATGAAAATTTTGAATAATTGTTTTTGCTTATCTTTATAAACTTGAACTCTGTAAAAGCTGGGGGTGATCCTAGTAAAAATCCAAGTAAGTCTTATAAACTATTTGTAGATATTCAAAAATCTAAGACAATTTTGTTCTGGATAGTTTGTTTCTTGCCGGCGAATCCAGGACCATGTGATGGATTTTTCTTGAGACTTTATTAAAATTCGGAAGCTGGAGTGTGCACGTTTTTCAATTATGGAGGATGCCTTGGAAATGAAAACAACTTCAATTCAGTTGAAGAATGTGAAGAAACTTGTCTCTAGAAAGGCTTTGACAATTTTTTATTAATTTTTCATATTCATGTAAAGATTCTTAAATAAAGTACATCTTGAGCTACATACATATATTTAAGTAGCAACATGAAAAGTAATTAAAATATTTTGAATCTAAAACTAATTTTTGTAAAATTCTAATTGGATTAGTAAACTAACAATAAGTTTCACAACGACAGACAAAAAGATTAAAATTCTTGATAAATCCTTTCTTTGCTTTTTATAAGGATTTTGAAGGAATTGTAAGTAATTTTAAAAAATGGGGACATGTTCAATAAGTTTTCCATTATTCGGCTTAGAAACTAAATTGACTTGACTATAAGACTTGTTTATAACTTCAATTTGCATTGAAATATTCCAAACATTTTGAAAGCTTTTAAAATGTTTTTTATATTTGCTTAATTTTTATTCCCCAACAGACATGATTAACCTAAATAAGTTTTAAAAAGCCTTAAAATTTGTGCTATATTCATGAATAGAATAAAAGGAATCGTTTTCTTCAGCAGTTCTTTAGTTGAACTAAAATTTTTAATCACTTATAAAAAGAATTTAAGTAAAAATTCTTCGAAGATCAAAAATATTTACATCAAAATGATTTGTTTTTAAACACATGTCGACCATCTTGTTGACAGTTTCGAACACTTCAGAGTATTAAGAACAAAACTTAGTTATTCGATTAATTCTCTTAGCTCACCTACCACCACAAATTTCATAGCAAAAATGAATGAAGATAAATTACGCAGAAAATTCCAATTTGTCAAAAAAAAACATTTTCAAAGACATCATTAAGTTGAAAAATGATTTGAAAATGTTTATTCCGCGTCAATACTGAACTGCTTGACGGACCCGTTTGATAATTAAGGAGTGAAAGCGCAAGATACAACAAAGTGAAATCCATAAACTCAGCACTTTATCAAAGTTTTGTGAATTACTTTTCCCGGTCCAACTTTTGCCTTCAACCTTTTTCTTCCTCTCGGATGAAAATTTTTTTCTGTTCCTTTTTAAACATAATTGCTACCTTTTCCCTTAGCCGCTCATTTCACGATGTCGTCGTTTTTGTCGGGCCTTTTTATCGCCATAAATTTACTTACATAAACAGCCTGGGGAAAGGGGAGAAAATGAATTCAAATTGTTATTTACGACATTGAGAACGTCCGTCTTAAAATAACAACAAACGCTCAAGAGAAGTAAAGATGATGATGATGATGATGATGACGACGACATTTAATATGCTGTAACAAATTTTAACAAATTGTTTCATGATGTACGGCTCGAAGTTGTCAAATTAAAAGAGATATTATCATGATAGTAAACTTTACTTAAAAGATGTGAAGATGAGAAATTTATTTCATCTCCCTGAACTTTTTTTTTCGAATTCTCAAGTTGCAAGTAATGGATATAAGAATTAAATAAATATCATGCGAACTATTAGAATGGATTTTTAAAGGAAAGGTTATCTAGAACATAAGTTTGCGAATTTTTGTTCTTCTTTGTCGAAAAAAAGCGCTGGGCTAGCATAAAGTGCTAAGCAGAAGTCATTAAAATAATCCTAACATTAGCGTTCTCACTCTTCTTTCTGCCATCGGATTTTTCTGGCCTTCTAATGGTCTCAGCCATTATTTCATAATTAATTCCTCTTTCTTTCGGCTCTTGTGTTAAGTGGCTAAAATTTTGTTGTTGCCATTCTCATTGTAAGATCGATATTTGTAGTCGTTCATTTCACATCACAATGTAATGTTTTTGATAAGGAAACAATATCTAATTAATGAGAACTAGCGTCCTTTAAATCATATTTACGAATCGTGCTCGGTCATAAAATAATTAAGTGGCAAAATCAGAAAAGAAATAAATTGAAGCTCATAATGTGATTAGCGCAATTTGTAAGAATCGCTTCAAAATTGTTTGAACCTAATGTTCATATCATTATCGTTTGCGTGGGTGAAAGAAAAGCGCCTGACACTGAAATTGCCAATAAACGTTTTTCCCTAAAATTTTCGTTTTCTACGAACTTTGTTGCGGTAAATTGTTAAACGAATTGTGGTTGTCGTTGAAACTCACTTTACAACTCAATACATTAAAAAGCGAAAATATAATTTGAAAAATTTTTCGGTTTTCCAATTACATTCCCCAAAATATAATTGTCAATTTCTACGGCTTTTTATGGGTTTGAGAATTATCATTATTTGATCATAAAACCAATTTTTAAACTCTTTATCGATGTTTTCTTTTCATAAGCAGAAAAGCAGACATCGAAGGATGTGCGTCAGCTTTTCTTTAAGCGACAAACTTTAACAGTTGAAATCAAAATAAATTTTCATTTTCATTTTGATCAGCGTTATGTAAGAACTCAAAAACTTTCTACATCTTTGACTCTCCTTCCTTTCATACTTTCCAATTCATAAATGAACCTAAAAGCATTTTGTCACAGAGAAAGCTGACAGTAAGAGGTCGATTGACGAAGAATTACGATTCGGAAATTTATCGAAGGTTCCTCTCGTTTCCCTCCAATCTTTTTAAGCAGGCATTGAAAAAAGGCATAGGGTTAAAATGTGACACAATTGGAACATTTCTGATAAGATTTATTGATTTCCGTTCGTGTGTAACAGGAAATTGGAAATGTTTGACAGCTTTAAAAGCTTTCGTAGCAAACTTGATTAAACTTCATTCAAGTTATTTCTTTATTATTATTGAGATTAGGGCTATAGGTAAGCAATTTCATGAAACTCGGTACTTAATTAAGAAGAAAATGAGAAATTTGTGAGAAAAGTTAACGAAAGTCTTGCGGTTATCTCATCTAAACTAAATCCTAAAATTTTAAGGCTAACCGGAGCCAAAATTTTATCCTTTGATGAAGTTTGTTGGGTTGATTTAAAATCGGATTTTCATGATTGTTCTAATCTTTAATTTAAGACTTCTCAAAACTTAAATTTAAAGAGAACTCATCCGTTTGATGCAGTAAGAAAGCTTTAAGAAAATGTGGATATAAAATTTATAAATAACTAATGGAATGTTGCTCAATAATCTTATCCAACATTCCTATTTAATTTATGTTGTGTGCTTAGGTAAAAATCAGTTTAAAAAAAGAGCAAAATAAATTGAAATCCTTTTTTATGCGTACTAAAACATGAATTCACAATGAACATTAAGTGATCCTTAAAACAAGAGGATAAAGCATAATTCAAGTAAAGGATTTTCTCTCCGAGTTTGTGGGATGATGGAACAGAAATGCTTTGGTTGAGGCAACAGTGAAAGTGAAGCAAGCCAAGCAAAGTGAAGAAGAATATGAAAAAAATAAAAACTTTCAGCAAAAACATTATTTAAAATGATGTAGGCTAAACGGAAAAATTACCCTTTTATTATTGTTTCTCGCATTTGCCTTAGTCGGAGTTTCTTTTGGCGAGGTTGAAAAATGGATTCGAGAATATATAGGATCGCGGAACTCTCAACATCTACGCTTTTGAAGCTCGTGTTGTTTTTGTCCTTGGCCCAGGGATATACAAAAAGCGAGAAAGAAAAGCTCGGTGAGTATGAATGAATTCCCTAAACTCTTAACATTATTCATTAGGTAGAATGATTTTGACACTGCAATGTTTTATGATAAATTTCTTGTCTTTCTGAAAAGCACTAATTGATATTTCAAGACGAGTTGTTGTCAAACATTTCCTACTTTAACTCCTTCATGCAAATCATCATCATTTGTGAAGTTTTTCATCAGCTTATGAGCTGTTAAAATATAGAAAGTTTGCAAATTGAGTTTTTATGGAGCTATTTTCACCAACTTAACTTCTCTCAACTGCATTGCAAAACATAATAAAAGAGCTGACGAAAATTTTACTTTATTATGCAATTTATTATTCATGCTTTAATATGCTACAAATTGATTAACAATTTAAATGTTTTCATTTGACAATTTAATAATCGGACATTCCAACTCGTTACTCTCCCTTCACATAAAACATTTTCTTGATTTCTATCGATTCACTCAATTAAAATGCAAATGGTATGTGATTCAATTTAATTTATTGTTTCCTCATGGCACTCTCTAAAATAACATCAACCGATGGATTCATTTCAATTTCTCAACGTTTGAATGTGCTTGTTTCATTTTCTTTTTCTCCTGATGACGATGATGTTGCGTTGCTTTGAATTTTCCATTCTCCATACAAAGCCAATTTGATTTTATGAGTAATTTAAAACAATTTGTTTAGTGTGCCTTGCTTGTGATTGGGGGCTGGGGAGTTATTGAATGAATAATTTGGTTGTACATTTTCCATTCGTTTCATTGAATTGTGTGATGGAGAATGTGGAAATGCTTTACATCGACATTTTCAATGATGCTACGAATTTAAGAATCCTTGAATGATGATGATGATACAAAATGCCAATCGACAATGTCCCATTGAGGGCATTTGATTGTTTTTCGTTGTTGTATTTGTCCTCAGGTATGAAAACTCTTCTTTATTTTTATATTCTCAAACACTCAAACAGCTCCCGTGACAAATGTCGAAGCGATTGAAGGCCAACAAGCGCATTTATTTTGTCCTATGGCAACACCGAAAGGAGACAAAATCAATATGGTATTATGGTTCAAAGACGATGTCGGTGTTCCCATTTATCGGTAACTAATGAATGACTCTTCCCTTTAAAGATGAAAATGAATTAAAATTAATATTATTTCAGTTTTGATGTTCGAGGAAAGTCAATAAGTGAAGCAACGACATGGTCCGATCTAGGAGTTTTCGGTACTCGTGCCAAATTTATAACTCAGTCTGAACCGGCATTTCTTGAAATAGATGTAAGTTAATTAGTTTCTGCTGATTCGACATTTTTCTCTAATCTTAATTTTACTTCAATTTCACTTAACGAAAAAAAGGACATTAAACGACATGATCAAGGCAAGTAAAAACCATTATTTCTCGGCCATTACTTCTCTTCACAATAAACTTCTGGCTTTTCTTTTTCCTCACAACAGGCACATATCGGTGTAGAGTCGACTTCCAAACGAGTCAGACGATTAGCTTGCGATTTAATTTGACAGTCATAAGTGAGTAGATATGCATTTGTGTGTGTGTGAGTGCACATGTGTTTACTAACGGGAGAAATACGAGACCTTCGTCAACAACAAACTCTTCACCAGTGCCAGAAACAAGTAAAGCAATTTTCATTCGTTTAATGAAAATAATTTTTCATGATTTTGTGCCCTGGTGAACTGTGCGATGACAAAATCAACAAAAGAAGCTCTTACATTAAAATTAATGGAGTGAATATGTTTTCAACTCGTTTGAGCTTTTTCCATGATTCGACGACCGACGGGACGAAAAACCCTTTTTTTTCTTATTTCTTTTCTCTCCAACTCCCTTGAGCTGACTACAATCGACCACCCACATCATACTAACAATTTCAACTGTTAACAAAAATTCAATTGCCCATAATGGTGAAGAGAACAACGAAGCGTATCATTATTAAAGCATCTGAACTAATATTTCCGGTTCTTACGATTCTTTCATCTCTTTCCATACATAGTTTTACCCGAGAATCCGATTATTCTGGATCGTTGGGGTCGCAACATTAATAGAACAACGATTGGTCCAATGGAGGAAGGAGATGACGTTATCCTATCATGTCGAGTTGTTGGAGGCAAGTGAAATGAAAAATTGCTTTAAACTAATTTTTTCTTCCATATCGAGATGAAAGGGATTCAAACACAAATGATGTTACAAACTCTCTATTAAGATTGTATGTTAAAGATAAAAGCTCTTAACATGATTCATGTCCGAGTTTCGGGAACTTTTATTTGAGAAAAGGAAAAATATGTCCCACATAAACGCTCAATAAAATTCCTTTGCTACATTTTTGAATGATACACTTCACCTTCATTAAATTGTGTTATGAAGCAAAATAAACACATGACATCCATTTTTAATATCCTTGGGGAGATAACAAATAAAAAAAAAGAAGGAAACGAGATGAGGGAGTGAAATTTTTTCCATTCTTTTGAACTTTCTACACAAGCACATCAGTAATAAACACAAGGAACACCTACAAAGTGTCTTCATCATATCAAATTTATTCATTTATAAATAACAAGGAAGTAAAATGTTGATTTGAAATCTTATTTCACTTTTCTTCTTCATCTTCAGCTATCGTCATTTCAAGTGGAAGAGAATAAAGTGAAAATCTATCATGCGAATATTCGCTTTAATACTTTCATTTCCTTTCTTCATCATCAGGGAGGGTTAAGTGGCTAAATGATGAGATATCTTTAGATTTTGACTAAACAAAAGCTTTCCTCCTTCTATTATGTAAATGGCAATTTCAGCTAAATTAAGAAGCGCTAACTCAATTAGGATTTTCTTTTGATGACGACTTTCGTAATCATTATATTCGCCGATTAACAATTCAGATTTTCTAAATTGGATTTGACAAAAGAACATCTCCAAAGCTTTGATGTGCATTAATTGCTTCAGGCATTTCCTCATATGAAATTCAAATTATATAATAAAATGAAACATGACCATTGATCTTTCAAAACTTCACGTGACGTTTTTAAGGTGAAGGTTTAAGTTTGGTTTGTAATCATTGAAAATTCGTTCTCGATTTTCATTTTTTCATCCCCCGCATAAACGTTTTATCATTCTCGACATTAATGCCACTCGCATGTCAACCTTTGTAAATATTTTTTGTTGATTTCTCAGGTCGTCCTCAACCAGAAGTGTCTTGGTTTATGAACGGAAATTTGGTGGATGACGAATATGAACACAACTCCGGTAACATAATCGAGAATCGTCTTCTATGGCCGTCACTTCAGAGAACTGATTTGTATTCAGTATTCACGTGTCGTGCCGCAAACACGAAAACTGTAGCACCTCGAGAGAAGCGTTTAGTATTAGATATGTACCGTGAGTGATTTATTTTCATTTTTTTTCTGTGCAACAGACTAAAAACAAAAACTCTTCAATGTTTTCTACCTTAGTTTATTTCTGCCCTGTTCTGTTTGTTTCAATCCACTTAATTTCACAATGGCATTAATAACATCATAATCATTTCATTCTTCCTTTCTTCCCTCTTTTGTCGCCTCATTAACCCGCCTTGAACCGCCTTTGATCGTTCGAAAAATGGCAGTAAAACCAATTCAAGTGAACATACTTAACAGTTCGTTAACACTTGTTGCTGATCGAAAGTATGAGATTCATTGTAGCACAACGGGCTCGCGACCTGACGCCATCATAACGTGGCTGAAAGGTAAAAAGTCTCTGAAGCGTACACGTGAATATAATAAAAACAATCAAACCACATCGATATTAAACTTCGTACCATCGATTGAGGATAATGGGAAAACTTTAACATGCCATTCAGAGAATCCAAACGTAGCTGGAATGTTTATTGAGGATAATTGGAATATGAGCGTCTTTTGTGAGTGATATTTAATTTGAAACTTAATGGATGGATGTTTTAATTAAGTTATATTGACAGACCCGCCTGTTATTAGTCTTCAATTGGGATCAAAACTTCAAGCAGGCGACATTAAAGAAGGCGACGATGTTTATTTCGAATGTAAAATTGACGCCAATCCAAAGTTTCGACGACTGACGTGGTTGCACAATGTAAGAATTTAGTTTTAGTTCAGAGATGAGAATTGCAAATTTTCCAGATTGTCAATAAAAATTTTCCTTCTTCTCATTTCTGAAATTGAATTTCAAAATTGAAAACATTTCCATGCCCTGTTTTAATTTAATTTCAAAGTCATGAAATTCATTTTGGTTTTATTTGTCACTAGGGACGTGCATTGAAAACAAACAGCAGTACAAAAATCATCAAATCAAATCAGAGCCTAGTGCTTCAGAGAGTGACTCGTTTTTCAGCTGGGAAGTATTCGTGCAGCGCACTTAATTCAGAAGGCGAAACTGTTAGTAATGAATTTTTATTGAAAGTAAAGTTCGTGCCACTTTGCGCAACTGATAAAATGATGGTGGTGGGTGCCACTAAAGGTGAAGATATCAAACTGACTTGCGAGATTAAATCGTATCCATTACCAAGACGTTTTTATTGGAAATTTGAAAATTCTGAAGAGTCAATTGAAACTGATCAGCAAAAATTTAGTAATAATGGAACAAGAAGTATTTTGAACTTCTCCACAGCAACAGATCATGTAATATAAATTAAGTTATTCAAAGGTTAAGTTTATTTACTCGTGAAATTTGACATTTAGGACTATGGAAGTCTTTCTTGTTGGGCGAAGAATGAGATAGGCATTCAATCACAGCCTTGCATCTTTCAATTAATTCTGGCTGGTCCTCCAACGCCAGTCACAAATTGTTCATGGAATAATGAATCAGAATCTTCATTAATTGTAAATTGCAGTCCAAGCTACGACGGAGGTTTGCCACAAACTTTTGTGTTAGAAATATTATCACTGAAACATAAAATTCAATTGTGAGTTCACCTTAAATTCTTGAGATTTATTTTTAACTTTCTTAAATGTTTAATGTCATCAACAGATTCAATCAGTCAAACACTGTTGAACCAACGTTTCGTCTCGATCCAAATCGTAAAATTATAGGAAGAATTCGAAACTCAACGGAGAGTGACGTACTTAAAGTGTTCGTGTTTTCGCGAAATCAAAAAGGTAGAAGTCAGGGCACATTCATCACTGAGTATCATCTTGGAAATTATAAGAAGCAATCGAGCGATCTCGTTAAACGAGTGTCACAACCGTCACCGATACTTTTAGGATTATTTTTTACAATTTTATTGCTTGGATTGACAATCATCGCACGGTTGTATTGGAAGTCAAGAAAAATCAAGAAGGAAATTGTAAAGGAAGACAAATACAACATGGAATCGAGGTGCTCTCTGCTGAAACAAGATACATTTGCTGTAAGTTAATTAAATAATGGAAAGGGAAGTTTCAATTATCTAGATACTTTTAAAACTTTTCTTCTTCTCTTCTTTCTTATTCATCTCTTTTGTTTCTTATTCTCAATAAAAAAACATCAATAAAAAAACAACATAGGCGGATGCCTTTTCAAGTCCAAAGTATAAGCCTGCGGGTACAAGTATCAAGACGAGAGGGAAAATTGAGACTATCGACGATGAACAAGACCCTGATCTTATTCCCCATTATCCTCGTCTTACAAACAACATCCATCAAGAAGAACTGATCCCCATGAATTCCGACCCCTCATTCTTGAATCGGGACCGTCACAAAAATGAAGCCAACGATTTTCTCACTGATGTTGAAATCAACTTTCAACTTTCTATTATGAACGGAAAAGTACCAGAAAGTTGCGTGTGAAAATTGTTTTTTCTTCATTTGTTTAGATCAATTTAAACTCGAAGTAAATAAATAAAACATGAAGACAGAATAAGAAAAAAATGAGGAAAACATTTTTCCATCTTTTAGATTAATTTTTTTTATATTTCAATGTTGTTTAAACGATAAAAGGCAAGATAGGAAGCTTAAACGAGCAAGTAAACATGAGAAATGACCATAAGAACGACTGTGAGAATTTGTAAAATGAATTGTTGGATATTAAAAGCTTGAAGATCTTAATAATGGATATCTTGAATATGTTTTTCCAGTTATGCAGTTATCTGCTTATGAATAATATTTGAAAGCAAAGAGAGCTGATGATGAATTTACCACTCAAAAATTACCTGCAAATTTTATAATCTCACAAATTGTTTATAAAGAAATTTTTAATGCTTTCAGAACTGTCCCAGCATAAATCATCAGCATATCTGTTCAGTCTAAGTAATATCTTTCAACTTGCTGCTTCTTACTTATTACAAGAAAATAAAAGGAAATGAAAATTTAATTAATGTTTCACAGTTTTTTGGAGTCGGGTTTAAGCTAAATACGAAAAGATATTTTGTGAAAAAGATGAACTTCAAAAAAGGTCAATAAAAGTTAATTAATTTGTAAAATTGTAAATTTTTAATTGCTTTAATTAATTTTTTGTTTATCGTTTGTTGTTCATTGATGTATATTCTCCATTCTCCTTTGTAGAGAAAGTTCTCGAGGTAAATGTTCCCACGCGCAATTGATTTTTCAACCGGATCCCTGATAATTTCTATTGTTAACGTCGTCAACAATTCATTTGAGCTTTCGTAGTTAATGAGCTCATCTACTTTTAATTATAATCACGTCAGTTCACTGGAAATCTCATTTCAAAAATAGATTTGTATTCATTCCCACTTGAACTGCTTTTTTTATTACAGATTGCATTATTTTTGTCACCGGAATCAAAAAAGCAGGAAGACGACGAGATAAGTTGAACATGCAATATAAAGTTATATCATGCAATGTCGCTGCTGCCATTCCCGGTGAAATTTTTTTAATGAACTCTGCTACTTTATTTTAAACTCAACATGAATAATAATCGTGTGATTTTGCTTGAAAAGTTTCCTTTGATAAAATTACTTTTCTTATGAATAAACAAATAAAATTCATATTCCCAGGGAATCCGCTCTAACACGGTCATTTCTTTGCTCAAACTTTTCACAAACTCCCACAATATATGAGAAAATAAGCGTCGTCGTCATAACATGTCGCTTTTGAGAACAAGAAAACTTTTTTTTTACTTTTCACCTCCGTTCTACAACAGAGATTTAATTAATATGGAAATTTACCCTTTGCAGTGAATAAAGCGCAAATGTATCGTGAGCATGGAAAATTATCCCAAAAAAGCTTGCGAATGTTGTTTTTCTTTTTGTCGTCTGATGTACAACACACGAAAACACAAAATTGTGTTGTAATTATGTTTTAATTTATTCAAAAAATTATGGAATTGAATTCTCGTTGTTCTTGTTATGAAGTGCTGCTTATTGATTGCAATGCTTTTATAAATCTGCAACTGAAAAAAAAATATAAAAGAATGAATGAATAAAAGTTAATAACAGTTGAAGCGACTCCCTGCAGAGCGTATCAAACTTCTTTTTTTTATTTCCATTATGCCTGCTAAAGCCTAATAAAACAATGAGAAAAGTCAGTAAGTGAAACTTCTGTTTATTTAACTAAAGTCCACTCAACATTTGACCTTCAAATAAGCAATTTTTAATGAAATATCAACTAGAATTACGCCCCATGAGTTCAAAGATGAACACGAGAGTACTATTTTGTTGAGAACAAACCAACGGCAAACTTTTATTAATATTTTTCCTTACATTTTCTGTATCTGCCTCCACTTTTGTTTGCTGTTTGACAAACCGGGGAGAAAATTTGATGACAGCGTAATAAAGATTCACATCTTGAGTAATATTTTTACGAGCATCAATGAGATTACTGCCTGCGTAACTTTTTCCTTGGGTCTGCGGAAAAATCACCGAAATGAGAAGAAAATATTTATGCCTTAAATATAATAAAGCAGTTGGGTGTAAACGAGGATCTTTCGGATGTTATTCAGCATTTGAATGAACAAAGGAATTTAGTAGCGATTGCGATTCTTGATGATTCTTATGATGTCATCAAATCGATGATGTTTATTCAGCAGATTTTTATCTCTCCTAAACTTGTTGCCAATAATTTTCTATGAAACTACTTAAGGATAATGTAATTGGAATGAACGAGACTTGTTATGAATGATAAACATTTTAAATTGAATTATAAACTTCATATCAGATTCTCTTTCAACTTTCCATCTCCTTAATAAATGTTTCCAAGAAGTTCTTTTGATTTTCGAATAATAAATCATACAACGACAGCGCCCATAAATTTATTCAAATCATTGCGAATGAACAAAGAGAGATGTTATCTTTGTCATCTTAATTCTTTCTACTCTGACCCTGATTTGGATGGTTCAGCCACAAGAGAATTCAAAGAAGATTGGAGTACCTACTCCAAGCCTCCAATTAATCCTTTAATTTCAAGAAGAACTTTGGAAGGTTCAGAAAATTTTCCTATTAAGTAATCAAAGTTTTAGATCATGCTGAGAATGAAAAGCTCGAGGTTATTAAAAATGTCATTCCTCGAAGGTATCCCTTCAAATTTTGTGTTAACACCAATTTATCAAAAGAGTTTCTTTGATATCTCCAGAGTGGAACAAGAAAGCTCTCGCTAATAATTTTTTTTGTCTTTTCTGAATTCTTGAGATATTTGAGAGCGATTAAAAATTTTCTTTGTTCTTTGAATGCGAGAAAATTGAAAAGCACTCAAAGATTAACAATTTAGCTGAGAAATTTTCTACTTTGTTGTCAAACGATGAGTTTACTGTCTAGAAAGCTGCACCATGACGACGATGACTTCATTATTAAAACATTAGACAATAAAAAAGTGTCTGACTATCGATGCAAGTTTGTAGGTGGTTTGTACTGAGGTTCGAACAAGTCATCTCGTTATCGGATTGAGCGCAGACGGTAATCCAGTGGATGCCAGTATGTTGGCTTATACATACATAATTTCAGTAATCTGAGTGAAGAAGAAGCGAAAATATATAAATTTCCCAAGCGGATTACCGCAGAGCTTCAGCCAACCTCTTTTGTTTTTCAAAGCTCCCTCCTATGCTTTGTATCCGCTAAGCTTGACTGCCACAACACTTTCACACGAAAAACAATTTTTCCTTTACTTTCTTGTCTCATAAAAATTATTTTCACATTCGAAAAGTCTGTCCTAAGCTTCTGATACAATTTTTTCTCCACAGCAGTGCGGCGTCTACTCGACATGATTAAATTTATTGATATTTTTTCTTTTATTTTATGTTTAATCAAAACTTAACATGATTTCATGTACGATGTAAAGATAACAAAGTTTATTTAAAGTTTAAATTTTCCAAAACTTGTTATTGTTAATCGCGTGATTTATTTATGTAAAAAAATTGAGGGAATAAAAGTTTTTCAAAGAAACTTATAAATCAGCAAATGTCGTCGGTGACACTGCCTTGGTGAAAGTGACATGACTTTTATAATTTTCGATTTATGTCTTTTCACAGACTTCCTTGTTTTCCTTTTTGGAAAAAGAGGCAAAGTCAACGTTCGGATAATTTCTACCGAAATTCTCTTAAGAACAACATTGTGACAACAGATGCGGTCGGAATTGTTGGTTGAATATTTCTTCGCTCCATTTTCATCAAATATTTAACACAGCCTGGTGGGAAATATTTTTCTTCTTTGTTTTTTTGGTTTGTTGAGAGACTTCATTATGGTGCTGGTTTCATCGTTTCATGAGATGTTTTGTGTTGATGTGAACCCTCACGATCATACTTTCAAAACGAGTTTCGATGATGCTTAAAGACTGGGAGAATCATACGAAAGATGGAAATGAAATGAGGGAAATGCAGTAGAGTTATCTCACGATTCAAAACACTTTCGGAATCTAAAATATTCATGACATGATTATCGTCAGTTGAGAATGTTCTTCACATCCTCAAATGCAGTTTGTTGCAAATTGCTTTGGATAAATGTAATTGCATATAATGGATTAAGCTTTCATGATGTCAGGAAATTTTCTGTTATGTTATCTAATGTGCAATCAGGGTCGTTACAATTTGATTGATGCTAAATATTATCATTTTTTAAGATCATTTGAATATTTAAAATACATTTCGAGACGAAGCTAAATCGCAAAGCATTCAAGTGACATTTATTGAGAAGTTTTATGCAACATCGCAATTTATGATGTCTCGTCTCGCAACTCACAATTCAATCCGTTGGGAAAGTTTAGTAAACTGAAGAAATAAATCAGTGCCGTCATATTTTGTAAACGATAAAATTCTTTTACATGACGTTTCATAAAAACGTGCAAAAACTTGAATAATTCATTTTCCATTTTCCAATGGAAAATTTCCGCTCTTTTCAGGGTTTCAGTAAGAAATGTTTGACGGTTCCATTGGAAATGAGAAATTCCCTTCATATAATCGCTTTTGATTTTGTTTATTCAAAAAACAACGAAGCAGGATATTGACATACCGAAACATCAATTCATATCAATCACATTTATATTTCCTGATATGTTTTAAATATGATTTCATGTGAAAATCATTTTCCTTATATATATTTATTAATGGCTTTGTGAAACTTCTGGTGTTTTGTAATTTATTTAATAGCACCAACAATACTGACACCTTGACTGGCATCACATTTGGTGTTGCACGCATTAGATCAATGTTATGTCAATTTGATTGATTATGTAAACAACTTTGAAGATGATAACACAAGAACAATAATGTGTGGCACTCTTCAATTAATATAAATAATTTCATGATCAGATCAGACATTAATTTCAAACAGTTCAGAAAGATTCTTACAACTCATAAATTTTCATTTGCTTTTTTATCGATATCTTATCATTTACCTTTCCGTGTGTTCACATAAATGTGTGTAAGCTGATGATAAAGGTAAAGATTACAGAGAAATTCATGTCTTGACTGATGATAAGGCGAACGCGTTTAGTTTGCGTTTAAATGTTTTCGAATGTAGAGGCCAAAAGTTCATATAAACATTTTGAGTGTTCATTTAATACATAAATACATTTAGTGACATTAGTTTTTTAATTAAAAGCAGAAATTAAATTAAATTAAGTGTAAAATGACAAGGAAATTGTTTATTATCGTAATTTTAGTCAACTTAGTATTATTAATAAACGCAAATAGTCAATGTAAGTCATTCACTCATCCCATGTTAATTTTGTTCGCTAATTTATATTCAAATTAGATTGTGTCGGTCATGACACTTGTGAAAAATGCATGGACGAGGACAGCACTTGTGCGTGGTGTTCTGATCGGGTAAGAAGATAACATCGTAAAAGAAATATCCGCATGCAGTAGGGAATAAGAAAGTGAAAAAAGATTTTTCGTTCAACACAATCATGTGTCATCGGTAAAAGAAGAAAATAAATATAAAACGATAAGAACACATAAGCACGTTGAAATGCTGATAAGAGTAAAATGTTTACAAAATAATAAAAAAGAAGGAAGATTTTATGAAACGCAAGATTCTTTTGAACATCATCGGAAGTAATGTTAAGTGGATTGTGCTTTCAACAGTTGCTGAAATATGAAAATATGCTTCATAATACAATCTTTCAATCAATGATGGAAGTTGATATGCTAGCAGAATATTTTTTAAGGCAGCACAGATTCAATAAGAGAAGATTATGAACTTCAATAAAGCAATGTCAACACCTCTTCACTAATATCATAAATAAGCTCTTTGAATACTGAAGTCTCTAATTTCTCTTTCACTCAGAATATTAATAAATTTTTCCTGAATCTCATGCATGAACAGCGTAATGTAATATCTCTAACTGATCAATATTTACTTTCACGTTTCTTTTATGACGTTTCGACCTGATTCAGCAATATGACATGAGAAGAAGCCGTTGTATGAGCCATAGTGATTTAAGAGAAGCAAACTGCCGCGAGGAGTTCATTCAAACGAATAAATACCATCCCATCGAGATAACAAAAGATGATGATTTGCGTGATTTCAACAAGGAATTCGATTCAGTGCAAATTCGACCGCAAAGTGTTAAAATGAAATTGCGGAAGAGTCGACAACAAATCATCAGAATGAATTACAAACCAGCTCGCAATTATCCACTTGACCTTTATTATTTAATGGATCTCACATGGTCGATGAGAGATGACAAGCAGACACTCGTTCGAATGGGTGGCAGTCTTACTCATTCCCTCAAAAATCTGACAGAGAACTTCCGTCTCGGCTTTGGCTCGTTTGCTGATAAACCAATTTATCCATACATAAACCCAGGCTCAGAAGAAAATCCGTGCAATCTCGTGCACGATAAGTGTCTACCTACATACGGTTTTAAGCATAAATTAGGTTTGACGGATGATATTCAACAGTTTGTGGCAAAGGTGAATGGAAGTGAGATAACTGGCAATTTAGATAACTTGGAGGGTGAGTGATGAGATTGATTTCTAAATAGATTTCATTGAATATCTATCTATCTATCGCTTAAGGTGGACTTGATGCTTTAATGCAGATTCTTGTTTGTCGTCAGGAAATCGGATGGAATGATAAGACACGAAAAATCGTTGTCTTTGCTTCAGATGGTCCCATGCATTATGCTGGAGATGGATTAATAGCTGGTCTTGTAAAGAAAAATGATAAGACGTGTCATTTGAATGAGAATGGAGATTACATGGCATCGTTAGATTACGACTATCCATCATTGGAAGAAATTTATCGAGAATTGTTGCGAGCAAAGATTAGCGTCATTTTTGCTGTTACATCGGATGTCATCTTTCAATATGATCAGATCCATGAATTGATGGAAGAAATCACAAGTGTTGGCCAACTTGCTGTCGATTCGTCGAATATTCTTCAACTTGTTGAACAAGGCTATGCGGAAGCTGTCAAGAAAACTCAGTTCCAAGATAATTCCCCAGATTACATTAAACTTGAATATAAAACAACATGTGGCGGAAAGTATGAACCAGCACAATATACAAGCAAATGTGATAACGTTGAAATTGGAAATGAATATGACTTTGATGTCGGTGTGACGTTGTTAAACTATCCGGAAGATGGTACAAGAAACTTGAAGATCAAAGTCGAAGAAGCAAATATTGATTCGGAAGCAATGGAAATAGAAATAGAAATCGATTATCCTTGTGAAAGTTGCACAGTTTTACCAGGTGAACCAGCATCAGCATTATGTGATCGACAAGGTGAATGGAAGTGTGGAGCTTGTATTTGTAATAAAGGATTTGTTGGGCGACAGTAAGAAGAATTTTATTTTTTACAAATGAAATTTTCATTTGACTTTATTTTGCATCAACAGATGTGAATGCAATTTGCAGGAATATTCGAGCACGAAAGAATTGGATAATCAATGTCGAGAGCTTATCAAACAAGACAATAACACGATATATGGTCCAATGTGCACAGATCGTGGAGAATGTTTGTGTGGTCAATGCATTTGCGATTTGAAATATGAAGGGAAATATTGTGAATGTGATTCATGTCCTTAGTAAGTATCGTCGGTTTGTAACTTAGTTTCAGCTTGTAAATAATTGAAAATCTCTTAGCTACAATGGTCTGGAATGTGGTGGAAATGGCATCTGCAAGTGTGGTAAATGTGAATGCTTGTCAGAATTCAGTGGCGATACTTGCGAATGTTCAACCTTACAAACCAATTGCATCGCTCCAGACAACACAAAGAAAGAAAATGACAAAGTTGTTGTTTGTTCAGGACACGGAGAATGCAATTGCAATAATTGTGAGTGCAACGAAATGCATTTTGGAAAGTTCTGTGAAAGCAATTTAGAAAATCAAACCATGAATTCACTTTGCATCTTTTATGAGCCATGTGTTCAGTGTGTTATCAACAGAAAATTGGAGCGTGAATGTTCCGACTACAACGAGAAATGTTCATCGCAAACTGAAGGTTTATATAAATCAGAGTTTTACGATGATATCTCGGGTAAGAAGAAGATTTTTATGTTCTTAAGTTGAGATAGTGAAGTGCAATCATTAAATCGTTGACCCTTACAGATGCGCCCATTCAGTGCATAGCACGAGTGAGATATGATGAAGATACAGTTTGCGAATATAAATTCACTTACGAATTGGATGAGAAATCTGAAACTAACATTCGTATTGCTGATACGCCTTGCCCTGCCTTCAACGTTGCTGCTTATTCAATTATTGGAATTATTATTGCCACATTTCTGATCGGATTAATTATCTTGTTAGCTGTTAAATGTAACATGATGCTTGCTGACAGACGGGAATTTGCCAAATTCGAAGAAGAAAGGAAAAATTGGAGAATTTCTCATGCAAGTCCGATTTATAAGTCGCCAATAACAGAGTTTCGTAATCCTCAAAAAGGAAGAGAATCCCAGAATGCTTTTGAAATGCAACCATCTCCATCTCCCTGATAATAATAAAAAAATAAGAATCTAATGAAACATGTTTCATCTGAGCTTTAACAAGATTGTGAGTTATTGTATCCTCGTATTTTTATTTTTAATTTTAATGGGATGTTGTGTAAGATGAATGATGAAGACATCATTTCCCTCTAAGAAACATCGCTTGAACAAATAAAATTCTAAAGAAATTTCAAAATGTGATACCTCTCACGATGAATTACAAAATCGCTTTGAGGGGATAGAAAGACTTTCTTTTACAGAGCAGCCAACAATGATGTTTTTTGAAAAATAATTTGAATTCTCTTGAAGCACCTTAGAGCCAACAAATATTTTCAACAGACTTGATTTAAATAAATGGAAAAATCTTGTCTCTAAAAATGATTCTTTATTTATGTTATGAGATTTTCATTAAAACATGATGTTTGTTCAACTTTTCTATCTACGGAAAATTCAATATTAAACAAGCATCAACTCAATATGAAAGTTATTAAAGTTTAATTCTGATCGGATCATAAATTTGCTTTACTTTTCAATGAAAACTTATATAATTTAAATATTGAGCAAGCAAATCGAGAAATGAGAACCGAGAACCATTAAAGGAAAGGCGAAAAGTGACATAGAAAATTTTCCCGGAGGAGTGGAAGTACCTAAGTATTTTGATTCATGCTCCGAGAAACAATTTCATCACCATAAAAATTGTAGCGAAGAATTCTCTCATGGATACGGTGGTGCTTTTGAATAAAATCACATCTAATTGGATTACCCTCAAAAAGTTGTTCAGCTGTAAATGATTTTGACCTTTTTTCTGCTGTTTTTCTCCCTCATCGAATCGTCTTTCTCGGTTCACGAGCACATCTCAAGCATGGATGAATCTGAGTTGGGGATCAGTTTGTAAATCTTTCGAGAACAAATGTTTCTTTTTTCCTTCTCTGTTTGCCTCTACCGCAGTTCTACTTAGTAACTTCATCGATAAGCTGAGGTTTATCAAACTTGAAGCTCACTCTCAGATTGGGTTCAATTGAAACTTCACAGAGTTTGACAAATCGAGTGTTAACATTTTGTCGAGTGAGTTACAAATTTCTTTTTTTATTTCTATTCAAATCCATATGCGTTATCCGTCAATCCGCTTCATTGCAATGTTCACAACATTTCCAGAAGAAACAATTTCAAGAAATACTTCAAAATAAGAATGAAGAAGCTTAGAAATGAATGCTTGGATTATCATGGGATTATGTTATCACACCATGTCGCAATAGACGTAAAAATTGCGTGAAATGAGAAGCATAACGGAGAAAAAATAAGCAGATGAAGGAAATCAATTAGAAAATTGAAACAATAATCCGCTTCAAATCGATATTTTGCGTGTACAGTGAAGCGCTGAAGTAAAGCATTAAATCTTCTATTTATTCAATCCACGCGTAAGATTTTCTAAGCTTCTGTAATATCTCACCAAACGTGTTTGTAAAAATGGTGAGTGAGATTTTTATTTACCTCCGAAAAAAAAGAAGAAACATTCGTTACATATTTCAGCAGTGGCAATGGTAGGAAAACTGTGGGTAGGAACGACATCAAAATATCACGTTTTGTTACTTCCTTTTTCGCCAATCTGATGACAAATGGAAAGACTTTCCCTTTGTGGCATGAAAAGGCAAAGAGAAGAATTATCGGCACATAATCGCAAATGTTACGTGAAATTAGGTCATAAACATTGTAAAGAGCTTTGTCGCTTTTATGATCTTTCTCCCAAAACAGCCTTCCTTTCGAGCCATGTGTATGTGTCGTAACTTTTTAAGAGTTGAAATCTTTTTATGCTCTCACCTAAATTGTGATAAATGCAAATCGCTTTGGGAGTGAAATAAACTTCTGAAGCTTTTATTAACATTCAAAAACCGACCAAAAGTTATTTATTTGGTTCACTTCTCTCCGATGAAAAATTAAAATTCATTCGAAGATTTATTTTCTCGTGCCACAATATTTTTTAATAAAACTTTAAATTTCATTGTGTACTTAAAGTTGCATCTAGATTGCGATGTAAACGAACAGGTTTAATAAAATTTAAAAAATAAAAGTGTGCAGACTTTTTAAAACAGAACATGTTCATTAAAATGTCAAAAGAATCCGGTAGAAATTTAATTATTTCTCATTTTTTGTCCTCAGAATAATTCCATTTAAAATTTTACTTAAGTTTTAATTTAGACATAAAGTGTTGAGTAATTAAAGCACACCACAGTAGCATACTTTGTAATAAGAGTGATTATTAATAATTTAACAATGAGCTACACAAATTGTTCTCTGTTTCCCCACAATTTATGAACAATTAAACAAACAATAATTACTGACATTCAGAAATGTCTTCTAAGTATGTGAACTTCCATTGTGAATATGAAAAAGAAATTAAACAATTTTCAATTAAGCTCCAGTAACTTAATTTTTAAAGTTCTTCATGAAAGCAAAAATTGCGTAAGTTGAATTTATCAAAATGAAAAACGAGTCGAGATTAATGATGAAAATTCCAGCAACTTTTAATTGAATCGGACGTTCTTGAAGTATAGATTGCATAACAATCATATTTTTCCTTTGTTTCGGTTGTAATTCATACCAATTTGTTTCAAAAAACTTATCAATGATTTTTCCTGTGTTCAGTTGAACTTCATTTCCGATATAACAAGGCACGATGGAAACCAAGATGATTATAATTGTCATGAGAAATATTGGAATGGATTCCACAGAGAAAATATTTTTCTAAGATTAAAAGTTTCAATTTAATTAAATAGAAACATAATTTGATAAAATCTCACCAAATCAGCAATAGCAAATGCATGAGACGCCAAAGTCAGCATGGCTAAGCAAACTTGATACAAAATAACTGTAGAGAAGATTTCTGAATATTTTTTAGCAGTTCTAATATTTGATGAAAAGAGAATTTTACATTTCTAATTCACAATTTAACTTGTTAAACCAAAATTACCTTTTGAGTTTATAGAAGTTTTGAATAGTCTTCTTCGATGGTTGGTCCTCTCCACACAAGAACTCAGAATATGCCTGAAAGCAGGTCAGAAAGTATGACAAAATGAAGCTCAGCAACAATGAGAGTAGAGTTGAGTAATTTGCACCAAAATTGTAAAGGATCCAATAGATGGCAAATACACAAATCTGAAAGGATTCATAACCAGTAGGTAGGCTTGGCAATTGTATGACTTGCTCTTGTGTAATTAATGAAAATATTTGTGTCGCTATCAGTGGAGAAAATCCAGTAACCAAATACATGATTAAAATTCTCATCGATTGGACGTTTGCTCGTTTAACAATTTCCTGATCGTCAATTTCTTTCATCATTTCCTTCATAGATGCAATCAAATCCAGAATATCTTTTAAGTTAGCCACAAGATTAACACCTTTAACTAGAGCGGCAACATACAAAGGCACCAGTCGAAAATTTCGAACTTTTTCATCAATTGTCGTCGCTTGAGCTGTGGCAAGAAGCAAAATAATTGTATTGCCAGGAACTGCAAACACAAACAATAAGAAGAACAAAAATGACTTCTTTTCACGCTTTTTAAATGCACTTAAACCGTAATAGTTGAAAACTTTAAAGAAAATTTCTAAAGCGTCTCTTTGGGTCGACATTTTACTTGGAAATATTTGGAGATTCCTTCAGCTTAGACTTGGACTTGGAGTTTATCTTAATTAACAATTAAGTTGAAATAATTGTTTTCCTTTTGTCATTATTGAAATAATAACTGTCTTGGATGTATAATCACAATGTAAGCAACATACGAATGAAATTACCCAAGAAATTACCGAAATAATGTTTTAAACTCAGAGTAAAGCGTAGCCTAATAAAATAATTAAAAAGTCCACTGAGAATGAGTTTAATTATTCTTAAAGACTTTTGAATTTTTACATGCTATTCATTGAGTTCCTTTTTAGAAGGTTTTGGGCCTAGCAATGAGCTCTTGAAAAGAAAGCATGGAAAAGGAAAAGTTTTTAAATTGTTATGTGATGAGAGAGTTTGCCTAGAAATATTGTTTATGTTATGACGATAAGCATCATGAAACGCCAACCTCTCGCCCTCTTAAATGGCCTGGAGGGAGGTGAACGAGATGGGAAGCATTTTAGCAACAGATTTTTTGTTGAAAAGGAAGTAAAATAAGGAAGAAAAAAATTCAATGAGTTTTATGGCAAACAATATCAACGTCTTTGCTGCTGTTTTCTTTATTTCTTTTTGGATGTTCTGGCAATTTTTTTTTTCTTGCCTTTTTTCAGGAACGGTGGTAAAAAGTTTCATAATTTCTCATGCTGATGTTTGGATTCTTATTCAGCTTTTCCCTTTTCTTGAATCTCAACATCTTTTAACCAAACACATGAACAGCTTTAGGCAAAATTTCCCACTGTATGATGAAACTTTCGTGTTTAATGTTTGAGCAGTTTATATAAATTTTAGAAACCATCAAAGGAGTCAAAAGAAAAGAAAGAAAACAGCTTGTATAGAATCATCTCATTTCAAATGAAATTTATGTTAAATTCGTTGTGATTTGATTTAATTTTACTTAATGACGTCATCTGTTTGAACAAAATCTTCTCTTTGTATAAAAGTTTAAAAGATAACTTTTAAGTCTTATGTCGACGTTGTTGTTTCACTTAGCAACAAATCGTTTCTTGACAAAATATTAAGAAAAGAAAAAGCTCAACTCTAAGAAGCTTTTAAAAGCAAAACATTTCTAAGTAAAGAAATATTGTTGAAAGGACACATCATCATGAAGTGAAAAGCGGTGGATTTGTTTATATATTAAGCTTTCTTTGAAGCTATTACAAAGAAGAGAAGAACTTTCATGTACTGAATATCCTTAATCCTCTCATACAAGACTTTGCTCTTTTATGGCGACAAAATAAGAAAATTTTTCTGCAGTGTGAAGATAAATGGAAGTGAAAACGTTTGTATAAAATACTTACAAGTGATAGCAACATGTATAAAAATTTTTAAGCGGAACCTCCTGCTGTATAAAATGCTTTTCAACCTATGACTCTTCTTAATCTTATTCTTACTTTCAAATACTTTAGTCAAAATTACTTGAGGCATTCTTACATAATATATGAGAGTAAAAGAGAAAAAAATTCTGTTAAAAAAAGCGACCCCCGTGAAGGGAAAAGGTAAAATTTTTGATAAATTCAACCATCACAGGAGCGTATGCAAAACTCATGCATAATTTATCTAAAACAATGAATATCTTTACCTTTGAATGACGGCATTATCATGATGAGATTGAATATCTTCATCCTTATATCTACCAATGTTTCATACAAAATATTTGCAAAGACATAAATTTCTTCTTTGAATTTATTGGAAAGAATCAACAAGGCAATGATTGAAAGAAAGTTGGAAAAGCATTTTGTGGGAAGTTAAATAAAACATATTTTCAAATAAATTGGAGAAACTGTTGAACCATAAGTTTTCTTTATCATTTTTTGGATATCGTTCTCAATATTATTGAATGGTTTATTACAAACCAAACTGTAACAAAACGAAAGTTTTTCTCTCTGTTGAACTTGCTAAAACTAAGTTTCATTCGTATTATGAAGCGTTCAATTTATGTTGGAAACTCAAATTAGTGAACTTTTTGATTATACGCCTCTGCAAAATAATTTCAACTCAGTTTATGAATTGTGCAATCCACTGCAGCTTCAGCATATTATGTTGTTAAATATTTAAGAAGAGAAAAGTTATGTAACAAAGTTTAGAAAATTAATTCGAACAGCAAATTTATTCTGTAAAGGAAACAAGTAAAAGATAAATTTATTAGTCGTTAAGTCGTTCAGTCATTCAAACATTGTTGTTGAAAATTGAATATAAAATAACTTTGCATTTTTCTCTGATTGTTTCATATCTCTGAAAGTTGAAGTTTTATTTATTATTTATTTTATATTTTAACACGAGCTAGTTCATGTTTTAAGTTTTAGTCGGAAAGAATTTTATTTCAGTTTGTCGAGGTTTATATGTGAATTGTCAAGGTTACATGAATGATAAGAGTTAAACTCTTTTACTCTCTTCTAACACTATCTAACTTCTTAACAGATTGTTTAGTTGACTTTATTATTTTACAATGCAAATTGTTTTCCTTCTTATTTTGCTTGTGGCTTATTTTACCCTTTCAGCTTTCCTTCAAAAATCAATAAAACTCGAGCTAATAAAACGTTGACTCTCAATTCTCAAGGATAACTTTGTAAGCAGTCCGGAAGTAAATTACAGTGGGAAGGAATTTTCGATGAACAAAAAAGGCTTTAATTTCATTTTATTTTGAAAATGTTAGGAAAATCAATGAAAAGTTTTTGCACAGGAAAATTACGATCTTTTCGATTTATATTGATTTTGCTGACAATGCGATTGCAGTGAACGACAAAATTTATTATATTCTCAATAAAAAAGTAGTAAATATTTAAGAATATGACATGACAACAGGAGATAGAACGAGCTTCGAGATAGAATTTATTGACTTAACCATTCAAAAAAAAAATAGAAATTCAATCTGAGATTGACATTGTTAGCTATCGAATAAAAAGTAGAGGAATTGAAGTTAAATAGAAAGCAAAGCCAAAAGCGATTGATTCTTTAACATCCTCCAACATAACTTTTCGGAGTTTTTCTTTAAAATCGAAGAACAACAATGCAAAGAAAAGTTTTACAATCTCAAGATTGTTTGCCAATCTTCCTTGCCTTTCTCTTTCTCTCCTTCTAACGCCGTGTGTATTGTTGTAAGTATTCCTTCCTTCCTCTTTTTCTTTTGAGAAAAAGAAGAAATTTTTCGAATATTGTCAAATGCCAATTCCGTGAGATGAAGGAAGGGTTGATATCTCGCTTCTTTAAAAATGTTATGCATATTTACTACAACATATGTCAATAACTTAACAAGTTGTCAAACAATCAACAATTGAAAGATTTTAAACCGTGAAAACCTTTACGAGGCGATGAGGTTATCATTTAAGAAATAATCTTTAAGTTTTAAGTAAATTTTTGGTTATTTTCTTGCCATAAAGAAATAAATTCATTGGAAGAAAGTTTGCTCATGTTATAAGAAAAGCAAAAGTCGCAAGGCAGCTTCAATGATCCCTTTTATCCTACTAGCAGTTAATTCTATGTTAACCTATTTTAGATCCGAATTTCATCTTCAATCTGATTTCTCAATCACTTGAATCAGATTTTCATTTCATCGTTCATTGAACTTCAAGGTGCTCTTCATCATGGCAAAAGATGGAATTAAGAAGCAAAATATTTTTCACAAATCCCACCAACGATTCACGAGGATTTTCACTCAACAANCATTGTCAATATGGTTATGAAACTTGAAAAGCCCATTCAACAGTAAAAAAAGGATAGAAATTCAGTATAACAAGTAAGGTTTAAGATTATTTGGACATCATATTAAATTTAAGAAGCCTGATAACAAAGTTTTTTCACGATGAAAGTTTCATAATCAGAACTTTAAAATGTATTCCTTAATTAGTTTCTTTCATATCTCTGAAAGTTGAAGAGCTTATTTAATATTTTTACACGAGCTAGTTCATGTTTTAAGTTTTAGTCGGAAAGGAATTTTATTTCAGTTTGTCGAGGTTTTTATGTGAATTGTCAAGGTTACATGAATGATAAGAGTTAAACTCTTTTACTCTCTTCTAACACTATCTAACTTCTTAACACTTTCCCCCTTAATCTGAACTTCATAAAATTTTAATTTTTTCAATTCCATTTCTAATAGATAATTATGACGATCTCTTAGTGTACGACTTCTGGTCTGATCTGACTTCTAAACTTCTTCTGATGATCTTTCTTTGGCGCGGTGCTTTCTCGACTCTTCCTAGCTCTTCCCCTCTTCAACTTTCAACCGCCCTTTGTTGTTGTTTGCTCTCGATGTTCTTGATTTCTTTTGTTTTAACTTTTTTCACTTTGTCTCATTTGGCTTGCCTGATTGCCCGCTTTTCTCATCTAGTTGCAGATTAACCAATCTAGGTTTGCCACAGCCCAAATGCTGTTCTTCTCACCCTTACTGGTGACTTCAAAACTTTTAATTACGTTTTCGGATTGCCTGATTGCCCGCTTTTCTCATCTAGTTGCAGATTAACCAATCTAGGTTTGCCACAGCTCAAATTGCTGTTCTTCTCACACTGATTTGCCCGCTTTTCTCTTCTAGTTGCGGATTAACCAAATCTTTTCACTTTTCTACTTTAACTAATTCAACTTTTGACTTTTTTACTTAATTTTCTTTACTTTACTTTTAATTCATTTTATCTTAATAATTTGCTTTGCACTTTCAATTCACTTGCATGGATTCGTCCTCGATCCTCGTCGCCACTTTCATATCTCTGAAAGTTGAAGTTTTATTTATTATTTATTTTATATTTTAACACGAGCTAGTTCATGTTTTAAGTTTTAGTCGGAAAGAATTTTATTTCAGTTTGTCGAGGTTTATATGTGAATTGTCAAGGTTACATGAATGATAAGAGTTAAACTCTTTTACTCTCTTCTAACACTATCTAACTTCTTAACAGATTGTTTAGTTGACTTTATTATTTTACAATGCAAATTGTTTTCCTTCTTATTTTGCTTGTGGCTTATTTTACCCTTTCAGCTTTCCTTCAAAAATCAATAAAACTCGAGCTAATAAAACGTTGACTCTCAATTCTCAAGGATAACTTTGTAAGCAGTCCGGAAGTAAATTACAGTGGGAAGGAATTTTCGATGAACAAAAAAGGCTTTAATTTCATTTTATTTTGAAAATGTTAGGAAAATCAATGAAAAGTTTTTGCACAGGAAAATTACGATCTTTTCGATTTATATTGATTTTGCTGACAATGCGATTGCAGTGAACGACAAAATTTATTATATTCTCAATAAAAAAGTAGTAAATATTTAAGAATATGACATGACAACAGGAGATAGAACGAGCTTCGAGATAGAATTTATTGACTTAACCATTCAAAAAAAAAATAGAAATTCAATCTGAGATTGACATTGTTAGCTATCGAATAAAAAGTAGAGGAATTGAAGTTAAATAGAAAGCAAAGCCAAAAGCGATTGATTCTTTAACATCCTCCAACATAACTTTTCGGAGTTTTTCTTTAAAATCGAAGAACAACAATGCAAAGAAAAGTTTTACAATCTCAAGATTGTTTGCCAATCTTCCTTGCCTTTCTCTTTCTCTCCTTCTAACGCCGTGTGTATTGTTGTAAGTATTCCTTCCTTCCTCTTTTTCTTTTGAGAAAAAGAAGAAATTTTTCGAATATTGTCAAATGCCAATTCCGTGAGATGAAGGAAGGGTTGATATCTCGCTTCTTTAAAAATGTTATGCATATTTACTACAACATATGTCAATAACTTAACAAGTTGTCAAACAATCAACAATTGAAAGATTTTAAACCGTGAAAACCTTTACGAGGCGATGAGGTTATCATTTAAGAAATAATCTTTAAGTTTTAAGTAAATTTTTGGTTATTTTCTTGCCATAAAGAAATAAATTCATTGGAAGAAAGTTTGCTCATGTTATAAGAAAAGCAAAAGTCGCAAGGCAGCTTCAATGATCCCTTTTATCCTACTAGCAGTTAATTCTATGTTAACCTATTTTAGATCCGAATTTCATCTTCAATCTGATTTCTCAATCACTTGAATCAGATTTTCATTTCATCGTTCATTGAACTTCAAGGTGCTCTTCATCATGGCAAAAGATGGAATTAAGAAGCAAAATATTTTTCACAAATCCCACCAACGATTCACGAGGATTTTCACTCAACAAATTCAATCTCTACGCGTGACTGAGTTTGCTAAATAAATCTTGTTTTCGAGTCGCCCTTTATCAATAGATGAGAGGAAAAATAAATTCAACAATCATGACCAGGAGCGAAATTTCTTTTTTATAAAATACAAAAGTCTTCAGTGAAATAAATTAAACAAATAAAAGATTCAACATTGAAAATGTTCTTCGATTTGGCACTTAAGCGGGAAATTTTCCCTCTTTATTGTAACGATGCTAACAAAGAAAAGAAGGAAAATTTACGATTTTTCTACTTTGTGGCTTTTTTGTGGTATTTATTTCGAGACCTGGTGAACCAGTTTGAAATTTTTATGGGATTGTTTTGAAGTTCTTTCCTTTACTTTGTACCGAAATATTTTTTTTCCTTCTCAATTTGAAGCGCACGAGTGGATTTGTTTGGGCTGAAAAAGATGTGTGGTTTAGAAAGACGATGTCGAAAAATCTTTTGAATTTTCCTTTTAAGCATTCGAGGAATTTGGTCAAGTCACTTAATAAATAAGAGGCTTCGAAGAATGTAATGAACTGGAAACGATTTGGAGTGCTTTATTGAGTTAAATGTATGTAACACAGGAAATTATTTATTTTCATTCTGCTAGGTTTTCTTTACTGATTGCATTAGCAACAGAACATTCTGAGTTTTCTAAGAGACTTCCACAACAGCTCCAATGTCTTCGTCCTAGAAAGAAAATCATGAAAAATTTAAAAGGAGTTTGAGATCAATTGATGAACTTACCAGGCCAACCATGATGTCCATGGCCACAGCCTTTATATCCTTCAATTTCCATCTCAGCTCCACATGCACAAATCTTTTTACCGTTACTCGAGCAGAACGAACAACAATGGAAGATTCCAATATGAGGTCGAAGATTCCTGGCACGAACTGTAAACGGACTGTCTAGAATAGACTTTCCATTCACCATAATAGAAATTTTTATGAAACCTGGAATGTCTGGGATGAAGCAAATTGTGTAAGTTCCATCACGTTTGTCAGTTACTTGAACTGGAACGTCTTTTGAAGGGATGTCTCGGTAAGTTGCTTTAACTTCAACGTTTGCTGATCCATGACACATAGCGCGTTCTTCAACATCTCGAGTGAGTAGAATAAGTTCAGCTTTCTTATGAACTCTAAGATTCATTAAACCAGATATGACATCGAGAGTGCAATTGCGTGCAACAGCAACTTGTGTTGTGATTATTCCATACAGTGGAATATTTTTCTGCGCTTGATTCGATGGTGCTTTAACTTCAGGAAGGAATTGGAGTGAGTCAGTGATTTTAATGTCCAATGTTTTGTCTGATGACCGACAACTGTCGAACTTCCTCAACAATAAATTTAAAAACATTAAGTTCTCTTCATCAGTTCCTTCATTCAATAAAGTTTCAGTAAAATCGATGGCAGTTTTTGCTTCATTCGATCTCCTTTCTAAATCTATTTGCTGACACTTGATTATATCCATCTTTGTTTCACGACATCGTGCAATCTGATGCAATAATGTTTGTTTGTGAACTTCTAGCGCTTCAAAATATTCTGAAATAAACATCATAACTTCATCCTCAACAACGTCACATTTCAGATTTATTTTCTTTGAAATTTCATTAAGCTTAGAAATTGAATGAATTGCATAAATCGACAGCGGTTTCGTATTGTCTTTCGCCTCTTTCAAAGTTTCAATGTAGATTTTTGCTGCTTTTGACACTGAAGTCATTTTATGTCCTCGATGAATTAGAATTGTACATTCGGAACAAATGAGTGCACAGCATGTCGTGCAAAATAGCTTCAAAACATTGTTGGAGTGAATCAGACACTTGATGGATGATGACGACGAACATTTTGGAGATGATTTTTCAAAGAATTTCTTCGATTTCTTTTCTAAACTTTTGAATTCATGATTTGAAGTGTGACGCTTATGAACAGCTTTACAATTATTACACAAATTGAGTGCGCAAGTGGTGCATGACGTGGTGGACTTTGATATGTTATGAAAAAATCAATAAATTAGACAGACATTTACTTCAAAAATATTTAATTAAATACTCACATCAACACTAAACGGACATAGTTGACATGAATTACTCAACCGATCAAAACTATTTCCCGTTGCTTCACGAATTTTCCTTGCTATTAAAATATTTTGTGGCAAACGATAAACGCCTTCACAAACAAACATAAAAAGCGTTTATAGAAGTTTTAAATATCTGAAATCAATAGTGAATCATCAGTTGCATTAATTTACCGTGTATTGTCATTTCAGTCGCAAGCCCGCACGTTGGACAAATGATTGATTTTGGCTTTTCCGAAAATGAAATGATTGATGAATGTCTTCCTTTGATGCATCGTGTCGGTGACTAGAATAGAAACAATATTAAATCGATAATATCAATCACGCGTGAATATAAGAATAGAAAGCTTGCCTTATCTTTTGAAAAGAACTTTCGGTTTTTGACGTTTCCGGGCAATGAAAGCTTTCCTGATTTTTTAACTGTATCTGATTCCATACTAGATAGCAATGACGGCTCTTGAACTTGATAGAAAATATTCATTAATATCAAAAATAGCAATCATTGTTCGTTATAAATCACTTCTTACAAGACAAGTCACTATGATCGCTGATTTTCCGCCAAAATTGATTATTTTCCAAATCATTGGAAGCATCAAGACGTGCTAAACATTCAACACAAAAGCTATGCAAACAGTCGAGTGTTCGAGGATCGTTGAAAATATTATTGCAAAGACTACAATAGAATGAAAATGAATACTTGACATCTTGATTGAATTCAGTTGTTGAAGCAATTGATGTTGGTGCAATTTTGCTACTTTTCAATGGCGTTAAAGAAGCACTTGAAGTTTTAATTTCATTCTTTTCATTTATTAAATTGTATGGCGTTTCTTTTGATAAATCGTGAATGCCTTTTGTAGGAATTGCATAAATGACTTCATTGTCATTGGCTGAATCTTGTGGAGGAGTCACAGTAATGAAATTATCTTCAGCAATTAACTTTGATGTCTCTTTTGTCACAATTGGTTGTTGAAATTCAAGTTTCACTAATTTCGTAGATTCACTTCTGCTATTTCCGAGAGATTCCGTAGAGCGAATTTTTCTTGAAGCACTACTAGGAACTGTCAAGCAACTTCTTCCATCGTTATTCAACTGTAATTGCTCTTGCGACAAGCTTATCTTCATTTTTTCCTTATGACTGTTTAAGTTTAAAGTTGAAGTTCCAATTTCTTGGTATTCACTGCACTGTATGCTCACAGAAACGTTCTCCATCACTTCATCATGAAAGCGTTCATATCCATCATAGCTCAATGAATTGTAAATGAAATTCTGATGCAAGTCTCCATTTTCTTGTATTTTACTTTCCATATATCGTGTTTATTCACGTCCTTAGGAAGTGAAAGTTTGGAACAAAATGGAAAAACTTGGACGAAAATCATTTACATAAACACTCACTAATTGAATTAGATGTATCAAGGTTCTCTACACAATTTAAAGTCATTGCACGTGATTTCCTCAAAGCCAGTGTTGTTCAAGTAGATAATCATTAAAAGTTATGCAATTATTATTCTGTCAGCTTTTATTTTTTTGTTTCTGTCATGAACATTTGTCGGAACCGAATTGTATGAAATTCTGCTTTCTGAAATTCAATCAATATTTCAGATGGATGTTCTCGATGAAAACTGAAAGCTGAAGTATTTCTGACAAGAATCATAATAATTTGATAATAGAAATAGAAAGCTTAAAAGCTAAATTCCCAATTCTATGGTTATGACAAGAATTCCTTTTAAGTCAAGCAAGCGTGGTGAAAGATGACAAATTGAATTTTCTCGTGAATGTTTTAAATCGTAGCTGCCAGTAGGTGGGTTGAGAAATAATTACTCTTGTTTGTATGTTGAAATATATCATTAAAACTATCAAAGAGGTCGTCTATGCAATACCAATTAGATTATTTTTCCAAACCAAATATGTCGGAAAAGAACCTTCCATTTACAATTTTAATAGATTTATAATAAACTTTTCATTTAAAGGAAACTGTGCTCACGTTAAAAAGAGCAAAAAGCTTTATTTCCATCTACCTGCTCCTTCATTTATTTCCAATTTATTCAAATTAATTCAAATTATGGAGTTATTTAAGTTCATAACAAAATAAAGTTTACCTAATTGGCTTCTCTTTAATATCGTTCGTCTGTGTTTGACATAATGAAAATGTCTTTGTTTATAATCACGAAGCTTTGAGAAATATTTTATATTTATACTTGTAAACTGTTTTCAGTGGTTTGTTAAATTAAGAATATTGTTGCGGTGAATTTTGGAAATGAGTTAGGCATTCACTATAATTTAAAATTATCTACCTGAACATTATTCAGAATTTAATTCAAATGACCTCAACTGATTTTGAGCTAATTTAATGTAATTATAATTTATGTTTAATTTCTACTGTTTTGTGCTTCAAAGGGCAGACATGAATCTGTCTGAAGCATTCTTTTCTAAAGCAAATAGAGTGAAAAGTTTATGAATGGACAATTTTTGCATATTTTGACTTTGAGAGTCAATAACTTTTTTCTCTTTGGGTTTTTCCCTATTTTTAGGGTTTTAAAATATCAATCAACTTAGCAAGAGTTGATTGATATTTAGAGAAAAAATATGCGACGTAAACTTTCGGCACACGAAAGTGAAACTTAAAAATCTAATTTGGACATCTAGAATCAAATTTGGACAGTTGTTCGATCGTTTGTGGACAGTGTTTAAACTCGGCAACAACGTTTGAAAAAAAAGTCATTTGTATTGAAAAAATTAAAAATACTAGGAAATTAATAAAAATATTGTTGATGGTACATTTAGTTGATAGTAATTCATGTTTAAGATGTAATTCCGATTTTTTAAATCGATAATTATAATCATTTTAGGAATGCTCACTTTTTGAAAATTATTTCACCGTTAAATTTTCAAATGTGGATCCATATAAAAATTGTGTGTCCACCTTTGATCTGAAAAATGTATGAGCAATTTATTTAATAGTTAATTAAATGCAAAGTATTGTGAAATTTTCTTTCATCAATTCACTTCTGCACATAATCTGCTATCTTTTTGTGTATTTTAAATCGTAAAATGATTAAAAAGAATGTTATTTTTTGCTTCTTAAACATTTGAAGCGAGAAGAAAAAATGGCGGTTTTCGGAACAGATTTTTTTTCATGAAATTAACGAAATTATTTTGAGAAATTAAACTTATTTCAAGGCCCATTGAGTAGCCTATAATGAAATTTGTTGATAAAACTTCCAGCAAATATTTTTTTTTATGCTGAAAAATAATTTTTAACGCCTAAAAATGAATATCTTAGGTGTCCAAATTAGATTTGTCCACAAACGATCAGTGTCCAAATTACATCAAAAACTCTACCTGAAGCATTTACGAATGGTTTTATATCAAAGAAAAACTTTCTGATGTTAGTTTGTAACATTTTTCCACAAAATTCAATCTTTTTAAGTCATGAAAAATTCCATTTATATTATGTTTGAATTTTGATAGAAAAGTACCAAATGTTTTCAAATAGCTTCAATCTCGAGGAGTATAATAGGAATCAGTTGGATAATCTGTCACAGTTGCAAACATCTGCATTGGATAATCTGAAAATTCCGATTAGACTACAATTGCAAATATGAATAATTTGCTTTGTCAGATATTATAAAAGACTTTTAGTGTTTGTTATTTTAATGAACAATTATTTTTCCACACGCGCCGTTATTTTCCACACAAATACTAGAATTTAAGCGCCACCTCATGCTTTAATACGCTCTGTGTTATTAAACTCTTTTCAAGTTTTGTTTTTAACATGAAAGGGGTTGCTTTGAAATATTGTTTAATTCCCTCCGTTTTCTTGTTCTGTAATATTATTTGCGATAAAGTCTAACTACAATAAATAATCAAAGGAAGACTACCCAAGAATGGAATTTTCTCTCTAGCACATTTTTTTCCATTTATATAAACAATAAAGTTTAAAAAATTCACTCGCTTCTTTCCTATCATTTATTCAATTCTTTTTCGTTCTTTGATTTCGAATGTATTTTTAACTCGAATCGATTGCAACGTGGAGCCAGTTAAAAATCAATACTCACAGTCGCCTGAGTCAAACAAAATGTTTTAGAAGAGAGAAACAGATTACTTAGTAAAATAATTAATTAAAACAGTTGAAAGGTTTTCGTGATCAGCTTTGATCATAAAAAGAAGCTTTCAGCTTAAGCTTTTAAAGCTCGTTTACTATAAAAAAAAGCTTTCAAATTTTACGATCTTTACTTAGTTTATAATTATATTAGTTACGTTAAAAACCTTTTTTTTAAGCACTCTAGACTCGTAAATTACAAAGACTTGAGTTGATTTTTAAAACAGTTTAACGTCAATCATTAGGAAATTTTAAAAAGAAATATGAGCAGACATTGTGACGCTTGTTGTTTCCACGGCAAGTAACAAAGTTTCGAAGCATTTTACTCATAAATATTGTTTTTCATTTGAAAAACGTTTAAATGAATTCTTTAGAATATTTTGGTGATTGATGTTTTGAAGAAAACATTATTGAGACCACCCAAGAATATTAAATGATCTCAACCAATGTTTTGCATTTAAATCACATAATCAGTTGCTTGAAACGATCTCATGGAATGCAAATTAACTTAAACTTGAACTCTCTACCGCCATCGATTTTGCACTTCACATATTCGCTTCAAAAGTAGAAACAGCAAGACATATTGAACAAAAGTCTCTTTCATTGAGCAAGGTTAACATCCACATAACAACGACAATAATTGTTCATCGGATATTGGAGTAACAAAATAAACATTCTCGATAATAATGAAAGCGAAGAAACATGACTAAAGAAATGAAAACGATTTGAATTCTGAATAATTGAAAACATTTCTTTTCATTTGCCTCTTTTACCATCTTTGCCGAATTCTATTGCGCATAAATTTAGTTTTTAAGTGCTTTTTATTTGCTCTGCTCCAAGAACTTCATTTGAATAAGAAAGATTAAATTGTTGAAAGTAACGAACCAACTCCAACTATATTTAATGTCATTGTCCTTTTAAAATGTATGTAAAGAAAGAATTAATACGATTTACTAATTTTCTTTCTTATTTTTTCTACATTTACATCTTCAAGAGATTTTATTTTGTTAGGAACACGACACACGTTACTGAGAAATGATTCATAAAGCGTGTGAAACAGCTCATAATAAAATATTCTTCAAAACAAATCTTTCCGCGTATTTTTTAAGCATATGACGTTGGAAGGACTTAAAGTATTTGTAGCTAAACAACTTAAGTGAAATAATCAAATAAAAGTTAGTTCCGGACAAAGAAACATAAAAATGAAACGTTGTTTCTGAACTAATATTAGGCAATTTACTTCAATAACTTAGATATTCAATTTAAATCCAAAATTGTATTATAATCAAACTTGAACGTTGATAAATTATGTTAGCAACATAAACGAGATGCAGCAACATCGAATAAGTACAAAATCACTTTTCCTGCTCGTTACAAAATAACTTCGTGAACGTATAAAACTCATAAAAGATATTAAATGCATGTTAATGCACATTACTTTAAAAGTCCTCAAGCGGAAGACAAGAATAAGTTAGTTTCACTTTTACTTCCAATATCACATTTCATCTTTCGTCTAGTATTATGTATCAACGTGGAACAGCGCCCTAAGGAATTTATTTGCAACAAATGACTTAACACTTTTGTTTCTTTTTATTTAATTTTAAATGTTTTCTCCTCATCATGTAATAAAGAAATAAAAACAATTCACAATTGCTTTCAATGTAACATCATAAATGGTTTAACAAAAGTATTTGCAAACATGTGAAAAGATATTCGTATATGCTTCTCTATTTTTACGTAATCAATTAATTGACGATCCTACATCAAATATCAAATCTTAAAAATTCAACAATTTTTAGTCATTTTGTGGAAGTCTTCACCATTCAAAATTCTGCAAATATTTTTCTTCGATTGAATAAATATTATGTGCACAACATTAATCAATATTTTTCATCAACACTGCCACCGCAAGAGTGTGCTGGGAATTGGATAGTCTCACCAACAAATTTGTTAGTTGGCCGTTTGACATCGTCTATAATTCATTTTTCGCTTTTCGCGAATATCTGGTGCTGATCAACATTGGTAAGGTGAACAAGAAACTTCTTTCGAGATCGAAGCTTTACTAATTAACCAACAAGAAGTAACACTTTTTTATAACATGTAAATCGTTAGCATATTTCAGCTGCTATTTAAAATTAATAATTAAAAGGCCAATCATCGCAAGCGTTGAGTGTCGACAACGAGAAGGAAAGAAAAATGTTTAATTTATCGACAAGAGGAAAACTCAGTCGCATCATTGAAGAATCTTCCTTCAGCATTTTTCATTGCTTTTAATTGATTTCATTTTGCGCTAAATGATTGCATTATACAGAATTATACGAAGACTGAAGGAGATTAAATCTTTATAATTGAATGAATTTCGTTCGATTGCAATGGAAAGAAAGGAAAAAATTCTTATTAAATATTGCAATATCAGAATTTGTTCAATTGAGTAGTTTCCATGGAAAAGATGATGCCGCATAACTTTAAATTTAAACGAAATAAATTTCACTGAAAGGATAAAAAATATTTGCTCAAAAGTTCATTGCGTCAAAATTCTTCTACCGCATTCGAATCAATGAGAAACGTAAATATTATATTAATCATTGGCTCGTTTAAATACTTAACGAATAAATAACACACATTCATTCGCTTCAAGTGCTTTTAAATCAGGGACTCACTCATTCAGTTGTCGTTAAGTCGCATAATGGGAATTGTAGAGAAGGAAGCTCAATCATTCACTGAGATACGAACAAAAAGTTCTAGGACTCGACGTATTTACTGTGACTTGTCACAAAGTCACATCAATCATCATTTATTGGATGATATTTTCTGTGGATTATCTAGCGCTTTTGCGCTTAGAAAAAGATATGCGTCGCTTATTCTACCAGGAAAATGTCATCATCCTTAACGTGATTCATAAATCTTGTCAAATGAAAAGATTCTCAAATCATCCTCATGGTCAAACTGACCTAGGAAAGCAACAAGTTCATGCAAATTCTCATATGCTACTTCCGATATTGATGCTTGTTTATTTATATAATTAATTAAAATTTTGTAAATGGTAAGATTGAGTTTATGAGGGGAAAAACGTGACATTAAATGACGATTTCATTATCTTGTTGTTCTTCCCAATGTAATGAGACTAATTAGCATTAATCATTGAAGATTCATCACATACTCATCAGTTGCTAAGTTTATTAACTTAAACTCATTCAATGCTTTTCCTGATCATTCATTGAACTCTCTTTTTCAATGCGGAATTTTTACATAAGTATCCATCTAATTGACATGGAAAGACTCACTTTTCCATTCATTCATTGAAAAGTGCAAGTGCAGCGTATTAAATGGCATTGATGTCTTTCCAAAACAACTTCAACAAATCTCGTATCGCTCACTACAACATAACATACACGACCAAAGCATATCGCTCAAGAAATCGTTACAAGAAATGCGAGAGGAAAGCTTGAGCAGTGAGTTTCGTTCTCTTGAGTAACACTAACACATTAAAGGGACACAACTCGTAATCACTTGAGAAAATTCCCCACTTTATGATTATATAATTCGGTATTTTTCTCTTCTCGCGATGACTTTAAGTCTTTTCAGAGTTGTTAAGTCGCTTCTCCCACCACGTCGAATCTTGTTTACTCTCTTACATACACACACACGTCAGTTAAAAGCTGTTGAGCATTAAAAAAAGCAGCAACTTCAAGCATTGCAAAAGCGCAGTGGGGTGGCAGAAAAATTCATTAAAGATTTGTCTTGTCTGTTGATAATTACGCTGCCACTGTTCACTCAAACCTAAAGAAAAATGTGGACGTTTGCGATTCTTTAAGTATTGAAAAATAAAAAATCTGCTCGCTTAACAATATTTTTACAAATTTTTAATTCACTTTAAGCAGTTGATGCCGAGCGTTGTTTATAGACGGCACCGTCTCGCGTCTCAAATTTTTTAACACAAAAAAAGTTTATTATTTCCAAGAGAAAAAAGTCAATCAAGAAAAAATTCTTATTTAGTTCTGAACAATCGTTTGAAGCGCGTTTGAGAAGTTTTACTCGCGCTTTTTTTTGGGTTTTTTCTTCGGTGTTATTTTCGGGACTTTTTTCTCGATTTTCGCTTTCTTGTGATTTTTGTGGCTTTTAGATAATTGCCAATCGTCACAAAGTTTTTACGCATTTAGTGTTCTGGAGTCAACGACTAAAGGTGGATAATTCAAACTCATCGAATATTATTTCTAAATAAATCTAATAAAATAAGAAAAAGTTCAAAGTGAAATAGTAAATTTAATCAGACGATCAATTAATTCATTTATAGTTTTCTTTTTTATAATGCATAAATAAAATTTATTTATTGTTAAGTAAATTGGCGAATACCAGTGCACAATCCACTCATGTTTGATACAATGAATATATCTGCGCTAAAGCTTCAATCGCTCAACATTTTCAAGAGAAAGTGAATTTTCGTCTGCATGTGTTCAACGTCTTAGTTTTCTTGGCCGTTTTTTTTTATGTATTCAACAGCTCTTTTTCGGATTATTATTTAAAGACACTGAAACTTCTTTCTTGTTTTTCGAGTTTACCGTCAAGCAGATGAACAAAAAGTGAATTTTATTACGTTACGTTTAATTTAGGCGATAAACTGTTGTTTCGTAGCAGCTTTGCTTTGATAAATATTCATTAGATGAGCTCTTGTGTTGGACGTTGCTGTTATGTGATTCAGTTCCGAAGAGAAGAGAAGATAAAAAAATATAAACAAGAAAACCTCTTTGCTTACTTCGGAAATAGCTGAAATAATTAAACTTCAGAACAGAGTTCAAAGCATAGCTTGAAAGTTGCTCATGTTAATTTTTCTTTCAATTTTCAAAGCTAATTCATTTTCAACCTCAAATCTAAAATCGAAAGTAAAGCAACAAACTTGAAGTGAAACTGAAAGTAAAACGATAGCAAAAGCAGCAAGCAAACGTGTATCAATATAGTTCGCGATTACATCACATAAAGCTCTGTTGATTCAATTCGCAAAAAAAATAAAATAAAAAGTTTTTAAGAGAGTGAGAGGTTGGCCAAGCACTGCAATTATTGAATAATCTCAAATAGCTTTTCAAAAAACTATTTTCTAAAATCGTTTACTTTACGGCACCGCACGATATTTCACTGGTGATCAATGAATTGTGAAAAATGAAAACATAAAATGATGAACTTGATCGTTTGACTGCGATCGTGGACAGTCAAGTTGAACCCGATCGAAAGTCTTTTGAGTTTGAAAACCTCTCAATATTTTTTTGTCGTTATGAATTCATAAAAACAGCAAATTATATAAAAAAAATCTTAAGCATAATTTAATAAAATTAACAACTTTGATAGTGCTGACAAAGGAAGGAAAGAAATAGAAAGAAAGAGAAAAATTTAAAAAGAAGAAGTGATCAACATTTAGTGAAAAAAATTAATTTTTGTGATTCTTTTGTGTTTTATTGACATCAAGTGTCTTCTACTCTTCTACCTATAAATGTATTGGATTTTTACTAAACGTTAAGGTGAATATTCTCATCAGTCAAATGGCCATAACTCGATTCTTTCTCTTTGGAAAATTCAAAATTTGTAGATTTTATTTCGTTGTTTGGTCTGATCAACTCATTTTAATGGCGTCTTTTATAGTCGGTGATTTCACAAAGAACGAGTTTCAAATTAAGAAACTTTTTTCTTTATATTTTCGCGACTGATCGAGCAGCAATGATTTCCCAACAATCACGCTCATTGACATTTTCATATTCCGAAAATACTGAATTAAATTTCTTAATTTCCTTATTTGCATAAAATTAAATTAAATTACCACGATTGGGGCTGCTCAGACAAAATTTCCTTTCAAAACAGCACTTGCTGTCTTTAAAAAATGAATATCAAGAACGATTTTCGCTCGAATGATTTTTGGTCGAACGATTTAGAAATTCAACCACGTCGCGCTGGTTTCTTGTTCATTTTCCATTGACTATTGTCCAAAGTTTGTCCAGCAAATATACAAGAAAAAAACGAACTTCTCGAGTCATCTGAAAGCAAAAAATATTCATGAATGGCTGAGGCAAGAAGACAAGTTATCAAAAGTTAATCCCTCGTTCCAAGATTTGTTTAAATCATTTCAGCTGATGACACTGGTTATGGTTCTCAGAGATATAAAGAACTTGCGCAAATACGTATAAAATCTGAGGAAAAAAAATATTGTTTTGCTGTTAAATATATACGTGGCGTTTGTGAAGAATGAATGAGATAAACTCGATTGAGAAAACTAAATATGAGTTTATCTGCGGTCAGTGTAGATTGTTTTAAACGTTCAAGCTTGAATGTCGCAACGCATGCGCCTTAAACTTGGACTTTTGAACCCTGAAGAGGCTTAACAGTTGATTTCAGAGAATATCTAAGTTTTTATATTGAATTTTAGCTGCAATAAATTTATGTCTCGGACTTTATAGATGTCAAATATTTTTAAATATAATTCACTGCTTTTAAAAGCTATCAAATAAAATTTTTGCACATTAAATTAGCATCCTTTAAGCTTCGAAAATGACAACTAACTCTTGTTGCTGTCATGAATTATTTAGCAAATCAATGACCGTCAACGAACAAATTTCCAAGATAATTACTTAAGAGTTGGTCTCATTAGCTTCATTAACTCAAATAAAATCATTTCACAATGTGAAAATTGCTTTTTTTGCGGTTGCCGTAAAGTTCAGTTTATCATTGTCTTGAGTACAGTTAAAGAAAACAATTTTGTGACAAATAAGACCACGGAATATTTTTTTTATTTCTCGATAAAATAGCAAACAATAAAAAGAATCTTTCAAGCACACGAGACGTAGACGATTGTTGTGATGTTTGGTGACCTTAAACCATTTTTTTTTTGCTGACATGAACTCGAGGGACAATTATGAGTTTTATAGCTTGAAGCTGAGTAAAAATGAACAGTCACAGAGAGACCCTTCTTTCTTGTTCATTTTAATAACAAAATCATGTAGCATAGTAGTAAATACCATCGAGCGTTGAATTGGCACACAGGAAAGACTTTATAATTAATGTCTATGACATTTCAAACTTACTCATTGCTCAACTCTCTACACAAGGTTTATTTCAAACAGTTTCTTCAATTGCTCAGCGCTAGATTTAGCAGAATTTAAGCAGCGTGGCACTGTTCAATACATTGTAAAAGCTCAGCAGTGTATCACGTTACAACCATTTCGATGAAAATGCAATGAGAAACATCGCGATAAAAGCTACCTTTGCCACCTTTGATTCTTGCAAAATTATACAAAATTGACGGTTATTTGTGTGACTTTCTGTCGCTAACTTACTACTATAATTTCATTTCATTTTTTTGTCGATAATGTAAAAAAAAATTGACACATTTTGCTTGTAAAAACTAATTTTCTTTTCACATGAAAACATTCGTTTAAACTGGAATTAAAAAGTTTAATGTTCCATGTTTAAAGCTTATGAAATTTTTCGCCTTTTATACGTGAAAAAAGTTGTTCAATTGTAATTCGACACCGCAACTGATTGTAAAGCATAATAATAAATAAAACCTTCATCACCTTCAATTATCCGATGATATCTCAAAAAATAAATATTTAAATAAATTTCATTATCGCTAAATTTTAAGGTTTCTTTATTTTTTACATAATATTTTACTTAATAGATTACGCGATATCAAAATATCTAGATTTTGTTGTTGTCTATCGAAATGCTTGTTTAGGCTTGTCTCCATCTGTAGATGTAGTCGTGCAATGCAGTTTTTTTACTTTCCCTTTTCAAATAACAAGATTTTTGCTTTATTCCGTCTTCGTGTATGCTACACATTCGCGCATGCTGCTATTTGCTAAGCTAACACTATGCGTCTTAGCAGCTCAAGAGACAAACAATTGCAAAATATTTAAAAGGTTTTGAGTGGCTTCAATATCAACTCGGACGACTTTTTGTTCTGTTATGCAGAAAAAAACGTTATTGTGAAGAGAAGATTTAAACATAAAGTAATATTTAGCAAGTGTACAACTGAAATTACATAAAAATCTCAAACTCATATGTTGTTGCCTTAAAGCTAATGCAAGGAAATTATGTCACACATTTTTCCATCGTTTTTGTTTTATTGTTTTTTATATTTTTTTTCGGTAAATGTTTTGCGTGCTTGAAGGAAATTTTCTTCTGTAGCGTAGTCATGTTTTGTTTACGAGCAAGATTTAAGTTTGAGGCGAAGCTCATAAACAAGTTGTAAAAATCTCGTTTCGTAATTATTTTTAAAGAGTTACTTTTAATAACAATTGATGTTCCGTAAAAACATAATTGTGGCTTAGTTACACGCTTTTCATATGCTTCAAAGCTTTGAAAATTTAAATATATCATCAACATTCATTTTTCATAAGTAGAGAATTTGTGAGAACTATTTAAAGGAAAAATTAATAATGGCGAGATTAACAGACCACCACCAGCTTCTTTCAAGTTTCTTTACTTCTCACGTTGTTTGAATAGCAAAAATGACGAGACAATTGGTCAGTTTAGAGAGCTGAATGAAATGACGCGTACATTAAATGTAATTTGAAGCTAAGAATTTCAATTAGATATGATGTGCCAATATGTATGTGTTTACACTTTAGCTTCATACTTCATTCACTTTAGACATATCATCGCTTGCGAGCGTGATGGGAACTAAATTGTTAAGATTTGCACAACACTTGACCGTCATCTGATATATGCTCTTCGGAATGAGAAGCACATGTCACACATTCAGGTGAACAATCGGTTATCTTTGATCTTCCATTGTGGGTGATTATGAAAAACATACCTTCGGTCATGACCTATTCACGTCGTTAGGAAATAAAATTTATTTGCATTGAGATGAATCATTCAACGAAACAAACAAACAAACATGTATAAAGCTACAAACACTTAAAATGATTGAGAAAGATTTTTTTCTTATTCACAAGAACATTGGCTTTGTCAGCGAAAAAGTTTTGCTAATTCTTAGAGCCTTAAGCTGAGATTTTATTTTATTTTTAAACTTTTTTGGCAAAAAAGAAGTTTTTGACTTTTTCTTTCTCTGTTTGCATCTTAAGCAAATATTTACATATAGAAGGTAGAAAGAATAATTTGAACACGAAACCAATTAGCGTCATCAATTTTCATTAAAATATCCAGATGTTAATTTCTAAGGAATCTTGATGATTCAGTTGTCTTCAACTTGATACTGATAACTAGCAGACATCGAAGATTCTTTATTGGTGATTAACGGCTATTACCAAAATAAAAAGAATTTGAATAAATCGAAGATGATGATGATGATGATGATGCGAATCCAATCAACTTTAACTCAAATGCTAGCACACCGATAAATCTGCTGTTTTCACAAATTTAATATTGTGTCTTATGGAAGCTTCGTTCTTAATCAACCACATGATGTTGGCAGGGGAACAAAAGACTTCAGAATTTATGACAGAGTCAAGAGACTTTATGGCACTAAATAATTCATCGTTGTTTACTTCCATCATTTGCCGGGTGTCATCTCAAATGCTTTGTGACTCAGACTTTTGAATGAGATGATTAAATTATGAGAATATTGGCGATTGAAGTCAAGCTAATCACTAACTGCTCAAACACAAGATAGCTTCTTAAAAAAGTTACAAAACAAGTTTTTGTAAGTTTTCGCTAGACTTTTTGGTTGTCTTTTCGTCTTACCTGCCTTTGACTTCATACAGGTGTTGTTGATATTAGAAGCTTCTTCACAAAGATGACGTGATTTCTTTTCTATGGCTTTTCAGAACACAGCAGGGTGGATAAAGTCATTGAAGTTTTCCGTTCAGTTTCATCATGATATTCGCTTTTTGCTAGGAACAAGAATTTATTCATATTTCGAGTCAATTAGATTATGAAGGAACAAGAAAAACTGCTTATTTATGTCGATTAAACTGATAAAAATCATCATGCATAAAAAATAAAAATAATTAATGTGATTGAATCATTTCGGCAATATTTTCCCACCGTTTGCTAGATTAAAATTTTAAATAGATTAGATTATAGATTCAGTAGATTTAGAGCTTCCGATATCTTTCATATACATAATAATGTTTATTTGTTAAATATCAAACCAAGAAGACTTTAAATGAACTCTAGATAAATGTGAATTATTAATATTGAGTTCAAAAGCGAGAGTAGCTTTCGGTAAACTTTCATCATTCAAAGCTCATTTCAAAACAGCCTATCTAGATACAATCTAAGTTTATTACGTTACAAGTTGGTGTTTAATAGTTTTAAAGCAAAGTGCACGGCGACACCAACCATTAACCCAGATCCACAGCAGTAATGTATCTTTCTCCATTCAATTCGTCACTTACGTCGACATCTTTTATGGCCAAATGATTTTTGTCAAATTTTTGATCTCATCTAAATAGTCTACATAGAGAAACAAAAATAAGATGTGAAGTCAAACCATAAATCTTTGAGCTCAAATGAGATGAGCGATAGTCATGCTTCATCGAGACCTTTAACGATAATTTATTACACTTTATTTCATTTGACATTTTTCTTTTTCTTTTTTCCACTTTGCAGATATTTAGCTTCTTCCCTCCCTCTTGCCGCCACCTTTGAGCGTGAACTGCCCCCCTTCGTTATAGGCCTTGACCAACGTTCAACATACAAACACACACACAACGAAGCCTCAGCACCAGGAAAAAGATGACGAAACTTGCCATATATTTTATAACATGGATTTGCTCTTGTGTAACAATTGCAACAACTTTACCCGACGTAAGTTCTCTCCATCTGACTCAGATAATTTGATAATTTTTCCGCTTTATCTTGCGCTCCACTGATCTTGAAAGCAAGTGAAAAGCTGCCGGCATTTTTATTTTTAAAGAAATGAAAACATTAATTTCAATTGTGAAAAAAAATACTGAAGCAACATCATTGGAAATCTCGAATTGAGAGTGTTTAAAGTATTAATCAAGAATTATCACTTCGACACATTTTTTTTTGGTTTTGTGCTGTAATATTTATGCGCAGTGGAATGGAAGAAAAATTGAAAGTATTGAGAGATTTTTGTCATTCAACTGGCGCTTGAGCTTGGTAAGCCTTTAATCATTGTTAATTTTAAATTCACAATCAACTTATTGAATGTGTCAAGAATATAAATTGAGGGAAAATGGAAATATTCAAGAAATGAGAATACTTTTGATTTCTATAACGAAAAGAAATAGAAATCGATTTTATGAATTCATTCTCGATATTTTCTCCTTTTTCGTGTGATGACTTGTAAATTTATTCGCGGCAGCTTTAAAAAAACTCATCACATTGCTCAAGTGGCTCTACCATATCAGTAACAATAAAAAAAAGTTCTTAGTGCCATGAAAAATCTTCTGAAATTTGCGACAGTAATGAATTCTCCATTAATGATACTTCTACTGATTGAAGTGTTTGGCATTTGCAGAAATTAACTTTGAAGATTACTCTAATGAGTTCATTTATTTGTTACTTTACTTAGTTACAATTACAAATTAAGTTATAAATAAGCATGAAGCACAAATGAAATGATCTCACGCTCATCAATTCTTTCAACAATTTCCTTAATGTCGCTTTAATCAATGTCATAAGAAGTTTGAAGGTAAAAAACATTTTCTGCCAGTTGATTTTTTGTCAACTTTCATATTAGCATGAGGTGGTACAAGTCACCACAAAGCGTTTTAAACAAACAAAAGATGATAAATGTCGGTGATAAAGAAACTTTAGTCGATTGCTTACCACCCGTGAATGCCAGAAGTGTTCAAATTGAGTCAGAAGAAAATATTTGGTTCCTTACATTGCTGCCTGAAGGAAAAAGAGTTATTGTCTTTGAGTTGTTTGCTCAGCATCATATCAAGGTTGCAGTTAGCTAAAAAGTTTTGTGGCTTTCTGGTTAAATGACTTTGAATTTACATGGCTGGGTGTTCCCTGTGAAATGTCATCCTAAATTTTATGCAATTTTAAAACAACTGATGAATGTAAGTCATCGATTAATTGTTTGAACATAAGACATGATTTAAGTTCTTCGCGTTCATATGACATTTAAGCTTGCTTCAATGATTAGGACATAAATGATCACTTCTATTTTTGGGGTATAGCCAATCATAAGATTTTGAAACTCATCGTTTGGTGATGATATTTGAAATGTGAAATTAATAAGAGAAAATAAATTAAGCAACAGTCGATCTTATCATCAGACAGTTCATTGATTGATTTTTTGTCGTGTTCATCACAATAAATATTTTCAACTTAACGTAAATGTGTAAAGTAAATTCAATTAGTTCGCCATCAAATTATATCAACATCAATCTTTTCAATCGCACACATGCCACCAGCAACAAACAAACGATTAATAACTCTCTTGAGATGATTACATGAATTTACTCCAGTCGAGCGAAAATGAACTTAAAGCGAGACAAATGGACGAGCTTCTTTTGGTTAGAAATAATTCATCATGATTTTAAAAGTAAATTAAATTAACAGCAAAAAGCTTGCGGCGATTTCAACACCGTGCCTGGTGGCGATTTTAATCTCAATTTTTTCATCATTCAATGTTGACTCAAAATTTCGCCATCAACAAAAGTTTTTTACCCTCAAAATATTTTATTTGCCTTTCAAGTTGATTTTTTTTTGTGCAAGACGACAACAGCCAAAACATCAGAAACAATAAACTGGATTCTCCTTAGCAAAATCAGGTCCATCAGAAGAGTCAAGGTTGTTAACGAAATCTTCTCTCTTTTTGTATGTTGTTCACCTGAGTATCGATGCTTTCCCAACATCTCACTATCGATTACACTACATGGCCTATCAACCTCAAGTTGCACTTATGATGTGTGGAAAAAACCGATTAACATTTATTGAACAGCGTCCAAAAATAATTATCTTAACACTTGCATGTCATGTCTTATAATGAAAAGATTGCGCAAATCCAAAAATATTTGGTGATTTTTTTAAATTTGTCTGATTTATCGGCATCTTTGTCTTCAAACTTCAGACAGTAAATTTCGTCGCGGTCTAAATTAACAATCTTTTTGATGTTGTTATTAGTTAAGCCTCAAATCCATTTTAAATGTTGATGGCTATGTAAATGAAGTAATTTATCGATTTCAGTAAAGCTGTCAATCAGGTCAGTTAAAGTGTGAAGAAGCTGCGTTGATCACGACTCTTTTATGTAAAGATAACGTTGTGCAAATTCTCGTAATTATTTCAAGATATTTAATTTAATTATTTATTATTATTGCAAAACATCTTTTCCTGATCACTTAACTTAGTATCTTAAACCAGGAATATTTGATTGAAAGTTATCTCGATCTTGTGGACTTTAATGAGAGACTTTTATCAATAATAAGCTTCGTCACTTACACGACTAAGTATTGCTGTTTATTAGGAAATGAATTGGCTTGCAAAATGAGGAATTAAAAACATGTTTAAGAGAAACATCTTAGAAAAAAAAGTGGGAAATGGATGAAAAAAAAAATTGCAAGTAATTCGTTGGTTTGTTAATTGTTCCATCATTCCGCTCCATGCACACAAGTAGTAATTGAACGTCTTGAAGAGGAAAAAAATGATTGTTATTTGTATGAATTATGGAAACATTAAATTAACAATTTCCATGATATTATTTCAAAATGTGTGCGCGTGGTTTAGTATGTCGGTGTACTGAGCATTAATAGCAAAATTGTGTTGAAGATTTAAAAAACAAATTCGATTATGTTCTATGATCAAGCCACATGTTGATTTAGAATGGAAAATTATGCATACAACAGTCAAAGTTTCACAAGCTGGAAGTTTTACTGTTGTCCAAATGATTTATTGAACGATGAGATCAAGAAGCCATGTCACTTTGGAATCTCAAATAGCTACGATCAGTAAATCCATTATTTAAATCGATTTGTATAAAAGTGCTGGGACTAGAGTAGTTCTGCGAAGCATAAATTTACGAATTGCACAGTAGAAATTCCTTTTTGGAAACAAACAATTCGCTTCTATTGTTTTATTTTAAAAAAAAACTTTAAAAATTTCTATCAATTGATTGATTGAATTTCAAATTGGTAATGGATACGACAATGATATTAATTCCAGTGTGAAATAAGTAAACTTTACTTACTGGTTCGCCCACAATTACATTTCATCAGGAACAATCACCTTTTGCCTGCTCACAGTTCAACGTAAATAATGGAAAAAAAATTGTAGAAAAAAAACCTTCAACTAACTGTCGATGACGTTTGCAAATCTCGTAGTAAAACTCATTTGCTATTGCGGGATTTGTTCTATTCTTTATCCCGGCAATCATTAACAAAAGTAATGAAGATGTTTAAAACTCATGTAGACAACAAAAGAAAAAAAAGAGAAAAAAAAAACAGCAATTTTTTATTTTTTCCGACGACTCACCAGCAAAACAATTCGAGGTGATGATTCGAAACAAACATACAATCTGCTCGATAGACACTCTGGGCTTCTCTATTACAAGATTAAGATCGAGACTGTAATTATCTTAGGCACCTTGTAAACTGAAACATATCGAAGATGTCAAATTAACGTAATTTGAAACATCATCGCTTACAGTCATTAGAAAAAAAATAAATATTTGCACATAAATCAACGATTATCGCGATCTAGATATGTTAAGCTGAGGTTCATCGGTCGAAACTGATGAACAACTTCCAGGTAGACAAGCAAGAGCTTAAAAATGAAAACAAAATCCCCTAAACAGTCAATGACTACAAAATGATTGATTTCGATAATATCTTTCAAATCTATTCTCGTATCTCGAGTAGGAAACGTTTTTGAATGGTCGATAGCTGTGTCAAATTAAAGTCCAGTCAAGTGCGACCAATCAAAAGCAGCTGCTTTTCGCTATAAAGTTTTCTTATGACAAAGAATACGAATTTTTTGATTTTAAAAGAATTGCAAATTCATTCTCAACTATCTCGTCATATCTGAGTATTCACAGCCCGCACACAAAACACTTATCTTTAGCACAAGTTCATGATAAATCTTCTAACTCACTGTAAACAGAATGTGTTGGTTGTTGGACTATTCAATTGTTAAAATCAGTTGGAGTCACTGATAGTTGTAAATTCTAATTGCGCAAGTATATTCATCATTTTGCTAGCAACAAGGAAGTCGATATTGCGAGATTTTTTTCTTGACTTCTCTAGCTGCTTTATTTACCGAACGAGAATGATTAACAAGTATAATATATTTTTTTATTTTAATTCTTTATTTGCTTGTCGTTCGTGTTTGGATGGGGTGAAATATCAATAGCATTTTGATGTCATGTTTAATTTACATTTGGTTTCTTCATTTTATTTATTAGCAAACCATGTCACAGACTCACAGCTTTGTTATTGATGAAGTTATAGGTCAGGTTGAGAATGTCATGCGGCAATAAACTATCGTTAAAGTTTGGTTTCATCAATTCAAATATCCTTCAACCAACTGATAGATTCAATTGTGTGCAATATTTTTTTTCTTTTTTGATTATAAGAAGTTTTGATTATTGAATAGATGGCATTTGTCATGAATGGTTTATGTGTGCCAGCGTGTCTGGGGAACTGATGAAAAAACATAAAACTCACAATGAAATGGCGAAAAAAGAAACAGCAAAAAAATACTTACTTTCCCTTTCAGTACCGCTAACTTCACCACAAGAGACGATTGAAAGTGAATCGTCGACAGCCACAGCTCAAATCAACAAAGAAATCAATCGCGTTCTTTAATGTTAGACTTTTGTCTGAAATTTCAATTTCTTGATTAACGAATGATTTTCAAGCACTTCAATTTGAGACGATTATTTGAAATCAAAACTGACAGGCAAATGGCTATTAAACAGAGCAATGCATAATATTGCTTTTTAAATTTGATCTAGCAATTGCTATCTTTCGCCACAACAACACCCAATTTTTGCCTGACGTTCGATTGCTACTTCATTACATAAAAGAAATGTTATTGTGCCATGACAAATACGAAAAATGTTTCAAATGCCACTTTTTTTCTTTCTTTTCTTTAACTTTTTATCGAAAGATATTTTAAATTTAATTAAGCTACAAGTGATCTTAAATTTCAGCATTTTTGTAGCAAACGTTGGTGTAGAATTCATTACATATTTGTCTTGTTATGTGATGACGTTGGCCTTTTTATTTATTTAAAGAAAGAAAGAAAGAAATAAACAAACTCTTCAAGATTATCGAACGTTTTAGTGAAAAGTTTGTTAATTGGATTTGCAATGAGAGTCTTTTTTTATCCGAAAATCTCTTTCATTGCAATGATTGACTCTTTAACTAATTGAGCTGTTTCATAATCGTCATCTAACGTTCTCCTTTTCTTTTCACTGTCTAGTCATTGTTTGGACACTTTGCTTGCTTAATGTCATTATTATGAAGCATATCAAATTTTTTTAAACAAAATGTAGGACAAGCAAACTGAAAATGACAAGAATGAAAGTTGTCACGAGATCTTTTTCTTCCATTATTTAGTTGCGTGACAGTGTTTGGTTACGAAGCTAGAAAAAAGGTTTTTTTTTGGGACTCAACAACTTTTGACATTTGTTACTTACGGTTGTTTGGATCAGCTTCGCTGGTGAAATTCCATTTAATTTAATAGATCCCAATGATGTTTTCTGAGTTAAATGCTTTGATTTTAGCAAAACATCTGCGACCAAATGTTACTCAACATTCAATGATGTTTACCATCACCAATCAGAGATCGTCTCTAAAATTTATTAATATTAAATATAAAGAAACATTTTTGTAAGAAAATTTTGTGAAAAATGTTAGCCAACTTTTCGCAGCACCATGAGACACGATTTCGAATACAAAACTGGAAATAAAATTTCGTGGAGCTTTAAAGCAAAGATTTCCAAATATATTTTTGTCTATTTATTAACATTTAGATAAATTAAGAAGTCTATCGAATAAACAAGATTTAATGGCTAATCTTTCATGTTTTCTTTTCAGATTCACAATCGAATGACACCGACACAACTTCGAGAAGTTTTTCATGTGGAGCATAAAGATTTAGTGCCAAATTATGAAGTAGTAGAATTAACACATCAGTTGACAAATCAACACAATATCCATAAGCGTAGCATAAATAGTGATAATTTATTGAGTAATAAAGTTTCTAGTGTAAGTGATAACATCAACAACAACAACAGTGATAGCAAATCGAAAGTGCTAAGCAAAAATAATCATCATGTAAAGAAGGATTTAAGCAAGATTCGATTCACCATCGAAAACATATCAATCGATGGTTCTGTGAAGCCCACAAAATTTCAAAATTACGATTTGAAAAGTGTTAAGCAGCACAATGTATCGTTCAATGCATTTGGTGAAAAAGTGAATCTTCAACTTAAGCCAACTCAAGGCCTGTTTAGAAATGGACCAAATATGTTGAAAATGTGGCACGTTCGTCCTGATGCTAACGCAAGTCAAGGATTATTTTATGAACGAGTTGAAGAGGTGAGTGTCAAGTCAAGTCATGTCATGTCATGTCAAATAAATAAAATATTACCCGGTTAATGATTTTCTAACTTATTAATTTCAACATTTCTCATTTAACAATTATCAATCACTTGATTTATGAAAGAAGAAAAAATCATAAGATAATTGTTGTCTTCACTTTTACTCTCGTTAAGCGCAACATTATGTCGTGTGAGAGTTTCTTCGTTCCACAAGTTTAAAGTTTCATTACGTGTTAAGGCCATTGAAAATTGGATAAAGACGATCTTTTTCACTTTCACTCAAGTCACTTTAACTGAAAGGCACTGATGGATGATAGAGAGTCGTCCATACAATGGCAATGAATTAGAGTCACGAGACGATAAAAACAACAACAACAACAACGATGGTAGTTTTACTTACGTGAAAAATGAAGAAGACGTTGGTTGAGCATGAGATTGTTATTGACGTTCGTTGAATGAAGCTAAACTCTTATTGACTGTTGAGAGATGAAGGAATAACAAGCAAACCATATTTCTCATGATTATGATATTAAGATATTTTTTTGTCGTTTACTCTTTTGTCTTTTTCAATAAGTCACTTAAGTATCTGAGATTAAAGCTTTTGTTACGTGAAATATCCAAATTATTTATTCATGTATAATGTACGACATGAAAACTTTGAGTGTTCTTTAAACTTCATCAGACTTTAATAAGCTATTTTCATCATGTTGCATTCAACTATTTTTACGACATTAAAATGTATAAAATGCAGACCATGACAAAAGTAAAATTCCCATGGAAAGCAACAGCATCTAGAGAGAACAGTCAGCGATTAGCCGCCTATTTGCATACACATGTCGAGAAGTGAAGCTGTTTGTAGTTAAGTTTGAAATAGGGGCAAATTTACAGTGAGGGTGGGTTGTGTCTACTTGATATGCATGTCGTGAAATTTCTTGCTTTCGTTTCTATTTTGACAGAAAAAAACTGAAGCTGCTTAGTATTCATTTCCCATTTCGCAATGATGCGCGATTCCGGTGAATATCTGATACACCTTGCTTGCGCCGTCGTTGCTAGAAGTGAGAGTTGCAATGTTTAAAACGTGTTGATTGTCACATCACGTCAACTATTCCAAACATAAATCACGAGTAAAAAGCTTCTTCATTTTCGCACTGTGCAATTGTGGTGGAATTGATTTATTAAAAAAAGGCAAGAACCTCAAAAAAAAATTCTTCTTCAATTTTCATGTTCGAATAAATGAAAAGGAAAACGACAGAGACAAGAGTCACGGTTTATTGATAAAAATTAGATGGATCAGCGGAACGTGATAGAAATAAATTAAATTGACGTTTTCACTTTGTGCCGGTGGGGTTGGAAGCTTTTCATGTCAAGTTTGGAATCATTTCTCACCCGCATAAAGTTTTGCGGAACTAAAATCGTCTTCTTCTTATTTATTTATCGTGGCTCCGCTGACTTGGGTCGTCCGCTCCATTGCTTGACTAAATTTACATACATTTTGCTATCACATCGATAAATATCTTTCGTGATTCAGAAGCAAAATAATTTTTTATGAATAAATATGAAGTCTGATCGGCGCTTGGTATAGAATTTCAAAATCAAAGAAAACCAGCCAAGGATCATAAATAAAGCTCAACAGAAATTCAAGTGATGAAATTAGTTTGAGACTTAAACATTTGACCTTGATGGTGGCACATTGAATTTCACTCTGGCATTACCATAACTTCCACACACATACACAAAGTCAAACGTCAGTAAAAACTTAAAATTTCATCTCGAAACTGTTCTGAACTTTACCAAACTTCATTAAAGTGTTAAAATCTAATTTTACGGGAGTTTAATGTCGATTAATCAAGTTCTATTCAATGGATCGAAATTGTTTAGATACAAATTGAAAATTCAAATAAAATCCCAAGTGCTCTGTTGCTATTGTTGCATTTTCTATGCTTCATTTAGTGATCTATTTGACTTACGATTATTGGTTTGCACGCCGACACTGTTTCTTTGTTCATAATTCCCTTTATTTCTTGCAAAAGATTAAAATTGGATCATTTGAATAGATTTCAAGCAAAGCAACAACAACAGTTTGAAATTCAGAATTCAATGACAGAAATGTCATTAGGAAATTTTCGTTGCCTTATACTTATACCGAAGCTCTAATTTTCAAAGGAAATTCTTTGATGGAGTCGATTTTTCTTTTATTTTTATGCGAACTCATCGCGTGAGTTAACAATGTAAGCTTTTATCGTAAATGGTTAGCAAGCTACAACATGAAATTCTGTTGATATTTATATTTTTACATTCACAATCTATTTAACCGAACAAGCTTCATTTTAACACGACAATTAAGATTCTAATTGAAAGCATTACTCAATTTATACCCTGACATCATATTTCATTAACTTATAAAATTTTATTTTCAATCTGTCATCGACTTAGATGCAAATGTGAATAAATAAATTCTGATTAAAGTGTTTGTTTCAGAGGAGAAAAATAAAACACGAATTGAAGTCAATTTTTCGATGTTTCTAAATACAAAATGAAATGTAAATTGCAATACAAAATTTGACCTTAAGATTGTTATTTCAATCTAGCATTTTGCAAAGCGCAGCCACTGCCACAAATCAAAATACAACAAAAGAGATTTTTTGCATTTCACAAAAACTGGTTTTGTTCCGAGAGACAATTCCTTGGTTGGTCGTGTCTGGTTAAGTATCTACCTAGTTACGCTGTCATGTTGAGTGAAAGAGTAAAAACTCTTACGACAGAAACACTGAAAATTATCATTCAGGATTATCAGAAAGAAATGTAAATTGTAAATTATTGATGGATCAATGTCTTACTGATTTCACTGACCAACTCTGATTTACAAGACTACAACAATACCAACGTGGTTAGCGTGAGAAGAAAAGACAAATGAAAATCTGGGGCTGGGCCAAAACCGTGATTAACAATGAAATCTTTAGCAGTTTCCAATAAAATTTGCATAATTATGATTTTGTAAATGACTATTAATGTGCTGCTTGTGCCGTTAAATCATTTCAGTTGCTATGCCGTCATAGTCTCTCATGTTGAGAATTGCCAAATCAGCAGCTTAACACAAAAGTGGTGGCGTCAACGGTTACAACGATGAAATTGATCAAAATCAACTCTTTTCTCTTTTTTAATGTCTTTCTTTTGAACCTGCAACTTGTGAATGCCAACAAACAAAATAAAGAAGGAATGTAAGACAATACATTTAATCGAAAATATCGATTGCGCCTTTAAACTGCCAGAAACTTGAGAAATTTTTTCGTGAAACAAAAAAAAAGTCTGCAAACGAAATTGAAATTTTTAACAATCTTACGCGGACAATTTCGCGTTACTCCAATTAAGTAGACATTGAAAGGTTTTATTGGAGCATTAAAAATTGTCTGGGTTAGGCGGGCGAAGGTGCTCTTACATCACGAACTTAAGGCTCATGCATGATCAGAAAAAAGCGCTCAGTTTCATAACGGATTTCTTGGTGAATTATCTTGATTGTGCATTCCAGTCTCGGCTGTTTCCGAGGCGTGTGAATTGTAAATTTTCGGCGTTTGTTCAGGAAAGCCAAGCCTTCTGGCAAGAACGTTTCATTCCATTCTCCAACAATTGTCATGTAAATGGTTACGACGTTAGATTGAAAACCCATCATGTTGTTCATGAGAAACGTGTTCCATTTCTATCGCAAGGAAGCAGTAATCAGAAGTTCTCGGCAACTGAACGAGTTCGAACTTTATATTTTTTGTCGATCTCTTGTGGGTTGATAATGTTGATATTGAAACAAATTCATCGTGTGAAATTCAAATAAATATTTGTGGGCAATCGTGCGACTGCAGAAGGTTACGCTTACAAAAACCAACAAAGTACTTAAGTTGTTGTTAAAGTGATAACAAACATGCAAGAGCATGCAGTTATCAAAACCTCACAATGTTCAAATAAAGGTCAATGTCGCAACTCTCGTGCAAAAGTTTAATACAATTGAAAAATTACGTGAAAAATTACAGTCAGCAGCAAACATTTTTATGAGACATTTTCACGTCCAGAAAATTATTTTATAATCACGTTTCAAGTCTTAAAATTAATTTTGATGATAATTCTTTTTGATGAGGTTACATTCCTCTTGGAAATATGTCAAGTCGACAGCTGCTTAAGTCATTAATTTAAAATGTGTTTTAATGTGAATTAAAAGGAATTAATTTTTCCATCTTCACTTTTAATTTAATTTCCTTTATGTGAAAATACTCGTCAATCAAACTTTCTGTCAATCCTTCAAAACATTTTTGATAATCAAAACTAAATTATCATCAAAATAGAATTAAATTGGTTAAGAAGCGAAGAGACCATCATCAACTTTTCTGATGCAATCATCCATCTGGCGATATGATTTCAATACTTACAAAGCTTGATGAATTTATTTTTAATCTGATGCAATTTATCTACCATCAGCTGCTGAAGTAATTGCGCATATTGCGTCAAATCAGAAGTTCATTGAAATCCAATGCAGTCGAAAACTCAAAGTCACATTTATCTTTGTTGTTTGTTGTCAATTCACATATGACGCTTCTCATTCATTAGACATTTCTCAACTTTAAAGCATTCATAATTTTTTAAAATATCAAACATATGCTTATCGCTAAATTGGAAACAATAAAGATTTCAACGACGAGAAAGAAGAAGCGAAAAAGAAGTGGAAAATCACAAAGCAGCGATGTGTAATCGTCACATGATGAACTTCACCTATTTACCCCCAAAATATTTATGTTTCGTGCACACTTCAATAACGCGTTGCTGTTTATATGCCAACGCAATGTTACAACACACATGACTAAAAACCGGCACAAATTTCCAAAACTGATAATCAACCGCGAAAAATCAATAATTCAATGACCAAACGAGAAGCTTTTTTTTTGACTTCTTTGACAATGAAAACATCTTTTGTCGTTGTTCGCGTTTCCACAGATATTTTAAATGACTCTCAATGGTCGTTGCTCAATGGTCGATTTTGCACCTAGTTTCTGCTTTACATCTCTATGAATATTGGTTTAAAGAAAATGGACAATGGCAAGCTAAAAGTATTTAAAATTTATAGCGCAAAAACTGTCACGACTGTACATGGATTATCTTACATTGTTAGATTCACCAAAGCACGTATTACAAAGAAATGGCATTGCCAAACTAAAAACAGTCTGCGACAGTCTAACAAGCTGTTGTGCTTTTGGTGAAGCAATAAAAAAAGAAGAATCAAATAAACTTTTTATCAAACTCTTCTGTCGTGCTTTTACTCGGTTCGTTAAACCAATAACTCAATCATGGTTAATGTGTGTTGTTCGATAATCTCCACAAAGAACCTTCATCATGATTATAGAATTATTTATTTACTATATTGCAATAAAAGTGAACGTGTGAAGACAAGAAATATCTGCTCAAGTTCATTGCATTTAAAATATTTATCAATGAAAATTTAGAAAGGAAATAAAAGTCAAGAAGTTGAAAAAGTTTGCAACAAGAACGAACAAGCAATCAACTTGCCTTTCGAAAGTACTTTTAATGAGTAAAGCATTTAAAATGCAGAACATCCGTGCCACATTCCAATTTCATCAGACTTAAGAAGAATCAAATGATAATTAAAATTCAAGGAAATTAATTGCGGAAAATTGAGAAATGTTCTGTTTGCCATTAAGAATTCAACTTAAAAGCTTAGTAAATAAAAACAACACCAATGAAAGCATCAAAGACATGCCTTGGATTGCATAAACTTCTCTTGTAGCAATTAAATAAATCAAACATTACTCATAGCACGCTTAAAGTAGATGAAAGCAAAAGAAATTATGTAACGACGATGAAATTTAAAACAGCATAAAATTTCACTTTTTTCTTTTTTTTATTCAACTCAAAGTTTAGCAAACATGAAGGAAAAATAAATTTTCGCCCAGTTCATTTGAAAATGAAATGAAAATTTTTCAATTAATTTTTCTATTTATAATTTGAAGTCTTTTGTTTTAAGCTTGCTTTGCTCCAATTATGCTCAAACTTTTTGTTTCGTTTTCCTTCAGTTCAAGCTTACTCTCGTCTAATTATTTTAGTTATTGTATGTGTACAAACCAATTTAATGACTTGGTATTGTTGTGATTTACTCGTAGGCGCATTAGTGATTTAAGGTGGCTTAATTTTCAATTTCCGCTTTGCCTTCGCCACCTACCGCGATAGACTAAAGCAGCGAGCAGTTTAAGGTATTGAAAAGATGTGAGCATGTATGTATGATCGAGAGGAAGGAAAAAATCTTGAGCAATTCCAACATAAATGTTTTTACTGCGTATCTACTGCAATCGAAAGTCATTGAAAATTATTACACATTACAGACGATTGTTATGAATTATGTATGAATTGTGGCATAATTGAATTTATGTTGTTTCTTTTGCATTGTCATTTGTTTCCTTGTGTCATACTGACTTGAAAATTAAACATTTCAACGTTGCAATTCTCTTGATATATCCGATAGTTATAGTTGTCAACTTTAATTGCATTGCTTTAACTTCCATAAGTTATTTTTTTCTTCCTTTCACAAGAAATACATCGCAATTACATACATACAAATGGTGAATATTGAAACATACATAATAAGTCGAGTTCTCAATGGTCGAAGCTTATTTGCTGCTTCCATGTTTTATGCTTTATTTCCATGACAAGTCTTTCATGTTTTACTTTTTCTGACGTGTTTGCTGCTATTTTATTATTTATTTCTCATTGTTTAACATCGTCTCTTCGACTTGCCTTGTGCGTCAGTCAAGTTAACAGCGCAGCGCATTCAGTACTCTAGAAGTGGTTTATACTACTACTCTACTTAATCATCTGATCGCTGTTGCATAATTCGGCCGTCGGAAATTGCCTTTCAATCTGAGTCGTCTTCAAAAAATTTCATTTCTTGTCAATCAACTTGGACTGGAATGAAGCGAAAAGGAATTTAAAATGACGTGATGAGCGCTTTTTCCGACATTTTCTCTTTCTTACTACATTCCGGCAGTCTTTTATAGAATTTTCACGAAACATTTCATCACAACTCATCAACCTTTAAAGTAAATAAACAGCAAATGATTTTATACTGCCTCAACTAATTAACTGTTCGTCTCTAGAGTCATGTCAAAAGTAGCACAACCTACAAACTATCAAAAGAACACAACAATTGATTGAAATTCATCTCACGAAAAGTTCACTTCAACTTTTAATGGTGGTGCGCATCTTGAAAAGGTCACCAATTGCGTAAATTTGTATCATCATTGCCTGGTTGACGTGCTTCATTAAAGTCGTCTAACAACATAAGCGAGAAGCATCAACATTTATTCCAAAACAAAAGTCAAAAAAAAGATTCATTAAAAGCTAAAGTGAATGGAATTTGCCATTCAAACTGAAACAACATAAATGAATAAAAGAAGGAAAAAAAACTGGAGTGCCGAAAACAATTGGAATAATCTCAATATTGTAGTCATGACTTTATGTGTTTCTTGTTTTCCTTCAATTCTTCTTCTTTTTCTTTTGATGTGAAGAGAGAGAGACAGAGAGAGAAGGAAAATCCGACATTAATTACATCATTTACGTAATCCGGTGTGTGAATTCTTCCGCTCCCTTGAAGCTGATCCATAAATGTTACCGCTGTTACTGCTGCTGCTGCTGTTGCTGCTTTTGTTATGAGATGTAATTAATGTGTAAATGATGCCAGACCTCATCATATTGATTTTAATTTCTCTTCTCTTAACTGTTTTCTGATATTACTCTTGCTATCTAAACATGTACGTGATGAAAATTTTTCAGTAGAAAATTTTATTAACTGTCTGAATAGATTAACGTCGCACATCTCTTAATTATGATTTCATCTCATCTTTCATAATTAGTCATTAATGTTTCTTCATTTGTTTGTCTTTCTTACAGCCTGAAGAAGATGTCGGAGATATCTTTCAAGATCAGGAGAATATGGCAGCAATACTTATGAGAAAGCATCTTCAGAGCGGAGATCTTTTAATGGTGAGTAGATAAATATCTTGAGAGCCTGCTTTAAGGCTAACAACTTAATGTTGAAAGTATCGTATTCATGTAAAACTACTTTCAATTAATCGGATGAAACACTTGTACACTTGGGTTCTTCAGTTATGACTCGTATACTTACTTGCTTATTGAATAAACTTTAAGATTTTATTTTTGAAGAACCATTTTGAAATAAGCAATGCAATATAACAATTGAAAGCCACGCTATAAGCTCTAATTATTACAACCTTCGATTTGCCACAAAAAGTTAGACCTCAAAATTTAAAATTTTTCAGATAATTATTTATTTCCTTTGATATTTCATAAATTATTCGTTTTTTAAAGAGAGTTCTGCAGTGTTTAAGTGAATAACATTGAGCGTACTGCAGCCAACATTAATTATAATCACATTAATCATCAAGTCATGGAAGCCAAAATCAAAACATTTTAGATATTTATCTTGTTTTAAAGATCTCTCAATGCAATATTCCGATATGGTCAAGAACGTTAAACAAACACATTAGTAATGCAATGTTGGATATGTATTTATTTGCACTGCAATTATTATTTCCATCGCTACTGACATGTTATTATGCATTCGAAAGAAAAACGATTTCTAACTGAATAATTAATCTAAATTGTTCGCTATGCTAAAAGCTAGAATTGATTTCGTTTATTTATCTATCTGCAAAAAGGCTAAATTGTGAATTTATTTATAAATGAAAATAGTAAACAGTGGGAGACGCAGACACATTGTGATTCACGATCGTGATTGACTGTGAATTTTAAATGGTCCGTTGTTCTAGCTTAACCTAAAGCTGATTATTTTTAACTTTGTTATCTTAACAGTTTAAATCACTCGTTCACTAAAACCTGAAATTTCAATCTCGTTCTAGATTCGAATTCATTGTACTCTTATGTTTCGCAACTGAACCACATTCAAGCAGAAAACGCTTGAGAAACTGCTTCAGTGTTGACGTATCTCTTGAACCATCTCGTGGTGTTTGTTTTTGTTTTTTGTTATGAATTCTTCGTTAACAGCTGAAAACTGAATTCCTTAAAATTTTTATGCTTTTGATTTTGTTATGATTTTGAATGAGTTTTTTTTCTTTCGGTTTCGTTTGTTTGAATCAATCTCACCTTGACCAAATTTTAATATCAAACAAAGGCAGAAAATGATTCAAGCACCAAAAGTGATAAATCCATTGAAAAGAAACATAAATTTTAATCTTTCAAGTCGCTGCTACTCGTTGTTGTTTGCTTTGCGCACATGATAGAGAATTCGTATGTTCATCTAACAAGTGAATTAAAATACTGCGAGTCATTAACAAAATACGAGTAAACGACACTTAAATAGCTTTATTATTTCTAATTCCAACCGCGTTCTGCAATTAATTTCTATCCAAGCCTTTTGCTGTCTTTATATGCGCGATTTCGTTGTCAATGTCTTTAGGCTATGCCTTTGAAATTTTAAATCATTTTCTAAAACTTCAAATACGTCTGCAGTAGTTTTTATGATTGGATATTTGAAAAAATTAACACAACCTCAACCTAGAGCACGATCAAAGGCTTTTATCGTCTTTATTAATAAAATATTTAATAAAAAAAAAAAGTAAAAAGTTGCAGGCTTTCGCATCTTCTCATAACTTTTATATTGATTATCGTCTCTTGAATTTCAACCATTAATTGGCTATGCAATGTTGCGGCATAGAAAAAGAAATCAAAATCGTCGGCCGTTTTTTATTCATTATTTCTCAATGAATAAATCACGTGATGGGATGAATGAGATGAGGTTGATAGATAAACGAGACAATCAAAGGGCCTTGTGGTTGTCGTCTCTTATAGATTTTCTTGTGTTTATTGAAAAACTTATTGAGCAAATTCATCAAGCAGTCATTCACACAGCTAATTTGTGGTAAAAGCTTCAGCAATGCATTAACTTTTATCCAAAGTTAGTATCATACTCTTTCGGTGTTTCCATGAATGTCAAATGATAGATAGAAGTTTCATTATTCGCGTTAAAGTTAATTGGATGACCAATTTGTCTATTGATGCTGGTCAATGGCATATCTCACTGATGACTGAATGTTGACCCATGGACGAGGTCTCGTTTATGTTATTCACGCAACAGGTTAAAAACATTTAAAACGCAGACATGAGAGTGCAAATTACTATTTGCACCTCGATTCTCTTGACATTCATCATCATAGTTCTCATTTTTTTTCACACCCAAAGCGATGACCGAATCAAATCTCTTAATTAGTGAACTTTGATTGAGATTTGTTTGACCTCTAAATTATTTCTTTCCTTTTCTGGGTCGTTCAACTTGTTTGAATTTCATTTTTGACAATGATCGATTTGGTTTTATTGTTGTAAAGCATTTTTTATCATTGGCAAGTTCTCATGAATCAGGAAATCACGCGAATTTCACCTTGCAGCACAAACCCATTAATTATGCAAAACAAATGTTTCTTCAAAGCTACAGCTAAGTAGTTGTAAATTTAGAGCGCAATAATGTTTGAGTTGTGCAATCTCATTGATCAAATAAAGTTGTGAAAGAGAGAGAGAAAGAAAATAAATTGATGCGCTAATTCTTCGAGAAAGAAAAAGCTCAAGTTGGTTAATTCACATAAATGAAAGTCACTTACTTAAGTCGAAATGAAACGAATCTTTAATTGTGTGAAAATTAATGTTGAAAGATTTGCGTTTGAAGTATAAATTCGATTACCAGGAGCACAAATTTCTTGCCATTAATGCGAATTAAACGCTTACGCTTGTGATGCAACTATTGCGGGAACAAATAAAATGCAAGCAAAGACCATATAACAGCATTTCTGCTTCAAGAAGTTGGGAATTTCTATTCTTTACTTTAAGCTATTGCTGTAAGCATATATTTCGAAACTGTTTTTCTGCCATTCATGTCAGTGCACTAAAATGTCACCATGACTACTCACGTCGCAATTTCAAAGTTGGATGGCAACGTCAGGTAAATTTCCATCGTTGTAAAGCTTTGTTGTCGTCATAAATTCAATTGCTGAGCTTCTCAATATCAAAGTAAAACGAATTTTTGTTGGATCTTTTTTTTGTTTTGCTTGATTATGACTATAAATGGCATGAAATAATTTTTCTGGGTTTTTTTCTATTACGTCAATTGAAGAATAAAACAAAGTCAAAACAATAATAGATTAAATATTTAATGAAAATTAATCTCATTAGAGTTTCTTTTTGTGTGTTGTTTTTCATGTTCAATGTTAAGCACTCCAACTTTCATTTCGTATCCAATAAAAGTCAATTAGTTTGCAACTTTATACGAATCACTTGCGCGTTTCCTTTGCGTTGAACTTATTCACTCGATTAAGTCGAAACCAGAATTTAAATTGCCACCCTAGCTTCAATGTCATGGCGGCTACAGTTGAACTTTAAGCAGTAGCAACAGCAACCTTTTTCAACTTCTTTGATCACAGATGTATGACAAAGAAATATTAATAAAAAAATGTTCAATGTCGCCGACATAAGATTGAAATAAATAATTTTTGTTATGAATAATTTTCAATATCAAAAATCAAGTTGAATCAAACATAATTGACTTCATATCTTTGAAAAGTTGCTAGAAGCAGTGTTGACTAAGTGTTCACGTGTGTGTATGTACATAGAACAATGCTAACAAGAGTTCAGATTGATATTTAATCTGTTGTTTTCCTCAATTCTTACTGAATTTACATTGTTTAGTTTTCCTTGTTAAGAATTCAACATGACGATGATTTCGGTCGATTGTAGTGATATTTATAACAGAGTGTCGGATCAGCAGAAGTCTGAAATAAAAGCGCAGCAACTTCAGGTCCGAGAGTAGGTCAAGGACGATTATGTGATGAGAATGCTATGCTATTTATGTGGTGTTGGATCGAGCAGAGTAATCCAAGTTGAACTAATGAGATTTGAATTACATACAACGAATGAATTGTCAATTTAATTGAGTTATATTGCCGCTCACTGCTTGTTTATTGATCGCAGCTTGTTGCACTCAACAGCATTTCCTAGATAGAACTACACTTAAGATAGTTAAAGTTACTATGAGTAAATAATAACAATACAATGACATTTTACTTACGAACTTTTATTGCGTGTTCTTCAATTTAACGACCCCGATGTCTTCTCAAGCTGATTTCTTTGTTCTTCAGTGTTTAATCGGAAAACAATTGAGTGGATAATTTAGGCATCTAAAAGGTGATCATCCAAATGTCATGAAACTTCGTGCCATGATTTTATGGTCGAACATCTAAAAGAACACGCGACGGGAGTGCTTCAAATAAAGTCGCACATTTAACTTCTTTGTAATTATCATCATCAGCATCACTTCATTCAAATTAATTTGATTTCATTTTCATTCTTTGTGTCTTTTTTTATCTTCTTTTCCATTTAAAAGGCAATAAAATGTATTTTCTGAATCAAGGTTGAGTCTTTGGCAGTTTAAGAATGAAACACATTTGATTGACTTCGACAGAGCTTTTGTGATAGAAAACAAAATCTTTGATAAAATATCACACGCTCTTGAAATCTTTTAAGAATTTCGCGCGTGGAAGGAAAGTGTGACTGTAAGTGACATCACATCTGAGAATGGTTAAGTGGACTTTAAACGAGTTCTTTATGATCATTTTTCAAAATCAATTACTTGAAGCTTTTAACATCTTTATTCTTTCTCAATCTAAATGTCCGATCAACACTCAACAAAGAATGTTTTATTAGTTTGTTTATTAGAATCATTCACCGCAAATTTGTGGTGGCGATAATAACTTGATGATTTTTTAAGTTTTCATTGTAACATTCAATTTTTATAAAATGTTCTTTAAGTGAAAAATTGTTCGTACAAAAAACTGACAAAACAAATCTTTGACCTCCATATACGAACAAAAAAAAAACAGCAGAACTTGTCGACTTAATTTCTCGATTAAGAATCAAACAGTTTTATGGCTGCGATGCAAGGTAAACGTTTAAGAGTGTCCAGATGTCAATTGAAACAAGTAGAAATCATTGGCTCTAAATCGGGTTGTTGCACAAAAGTGCAAGAAAACTCTTATGCAGATCAAGTTTAACATGAAACGAATGTGGCATTCTTACAGATTTCTTAATCGATTCACGAGAGCTCAGAATGTTTTAATTCCTTTCTGATTATCGTCATAAACATTTTTCACTTGTCCGACGGCTACAACTTGTGCATGCTTTGCGAGGGAGACAGAGACAGACACAAACATATGCGACCTTGATTACTGAACAAAACTTTATATTTCTACTTTTTTGACATCAATTTTATTTCGCTTGTTTTATATGAATTTATTTTTTCGCTTTGAAGGTCACCAAATGCTCTCGGGTGCTTAAACAGTAAATAAATCTCGCACGAAAGCATATCTACATAAAGTACAGAAACAATAGTGAATTTATGAAATGTTTCATAGTAAATAAGAAGAAGACCTGTTGCATGGTGCGATGAACATTGACAAGTTAAACGACCTGAAAACTCTTAACTTTATTATAACGAAAATTGTTTTCTTGAAACTCGAGCACGAACTTTTGATTGCCAGCAGTCCCGCTGGATGTTATGAAGCTGGTTCTCGATTTTCCAAGATCATTCATTAAAGTCAGCTCCATGAGGCGTGCAACTAATCGAACTTTCACTGCAATTCCTCGAACTTCCAAGTCGATAAATTCATGTGGCGTCGCGTCAACCTAAAGGCAAAACACGAGCCAAAAGTAACGCGAACATGAATGATGTCGAAATTGTTATTGACTTCATTAATATTTTATTGTTTCCCATGAGAAATAATTCATAATATACATAAGCACCATAAATTCATAGCAAAAATTTCGTGCTGCATGTTTTGTGTCGATGGCAAAGTTTTTTTTCTATTACAAAGTTTTGGGTCAGTTTTTCATTCTTATTTCATTCACGTAAGACTTGTTGGATATTCCACAAGAGAAACATTCACAAGATTTTTCAGATTTCAAGTTGTGCTTACATGAAATGATATGACAAACTTGGTACTTAGTGACAGTTTATGTTAACAATTCCCAGAAGAATAAACAAAAAATATTTTTTATTAGCTCACTTTTTCTTCTTCTGTGTTCCATCGGCTCACTGCATCATGCAACTTTAAACTGCAACAAGACAACTTTGAAAAATTTTTATTACCAGTTTAGAAGTTGCTTATTTATTTTTGCTTTTTATGTTCAATTTCTTGTTATTCATAGTAAATAAATAAGAGAGATATGAACATCACTAAAAATATTTGTTTACCATAATTTTACGTAATAATTGAACAAAATATTTTTACGGTTTATGGGAAGTTTTTTATGCCCCTCGACGTTTTGAAGTGGCATTTTAAATGACAATATTTCGTGTTAGGGGAAAGTGGCAGGAAATAAATGAATAAAATATTTCGCCTCCATCAACAGCGTGAGAGGAAAGTCATCGAGATTTCATTCATCGGCCTCCAGGTGTCGAAGAATGAGGAAATGTCAAACTTTTGTGATGCAATTCATATTTGTTGATAAGCATTCCGGAATGGCCTCAAAATTTGCCTTACTGTCTCTTTAGTTATGCAAAAATTTCCTTCTTTCGATTGGAAATTTAAAAGGCAATCGAAGAAATACTTATAGCTGCAATAAACGTCAATGATGAATGCATTAAAGCAGTGGAATGAAAATAAAAGTAAATTAAAAATCATGTAAAATGATGTGAGAGTATAAATCAATATGAAGTCATGGCAAATGGTGTGGTGTAGACATCAGATGAGAGAAGTTTTTGTATTTATGGATTCATGTTTCCTGTATCTCTCGCTTTTCTTTTCATTTCAATTTTTGCTCGTATTAACCCGATTACCGCATTGAAGTAACTTGTTTGCCTCCAATCTTATTCCGATTTAAATCATAACAACTTTTCTTCTCTTCTTTTTATGATTTTAATTTGCTTGAAACTGTTTTTGTTTGTGTTCGTACTATCCGAGTGACTTGGTTTTTATTTCTCGCGCTCGCCCCGGCCTTCAACGAATAATTGGACTTTCTCCTTATGAAATACCGAAATAAAACAAAAACGACAAGAGAAAAAAAAATATGCATGAATATAGCCGTCCAGCACCCAGATTAATGTTGTGTAAATATTAAAGAAAGAGAAAATATCGGCAGACATCCCATTAAATCGGCAACAGATAAATTATTATGGTAGGCCATGTTGTACGTTGACCAATTGACCAATTTTTATATTAAAAATATTTTTCTTCTAATTTCTTTGTTGACGGAAGTAAGCTAAACCTGTTTTCGTAATTCTCATCGCATAAAACGTTTCTTTTTCAAACAATCAATTCTCTCTCGACAGCTTATCGCTTATGTCTAATCTCATCATCATATGCTCCCCATGACGAAGACATTATCAAATTAAGAGAAATTAAGATCACAGCGCATTGCGGCGTTGTCTTGTTGTCGCCATGCTTTTTGACGGCGTTGAAAATTACATAAAAAAAAATTTTAATTCATGACTAAAAGAAATTTAAGCGAAAATTATTTATTCGTTGAAAATTTGCGTGTTTTGCCCATTTAAGTACTTACACGACACTGTTGTAAGAAGAAACATTTCTGAAATTGACCCATTCAGATGTTGTTTTTACATGCTTGTTATGTAATTCATTTATTAATTGAATTTTTACTTTGTCGTCTTTTAGGAAGGAAGCATTGGGCATCAGCTGGTAATTCGACCGGTTCCATTGGACGTTTCAAAAGCTGCAGATGGAAGTGCACATCATGTTGTATTCAAACGAAGTAACGACCAAGAACTCGATGAAAAACTCAGTGACTTTGCTTATATGGAGCCAGATCGTTTGCCTAAACGTAGTCGACGCTCTACAAATGAAGAAGACAATGAAGAAAGAACAAGAAGTAAACGAGCAATTCCCCACATTATCTACCCAGAAATTCTCGTTATCGTGGATTACGATGGATACAGACTACATGGTGGTGATAATGTACAGGTAAAGGAGGCTTAATTGATATCACACGACACAAACACATCAACAAATATGTTTTCCTTCCAGATTAAGCGATATTTTGTGTCCTTTTGGAATGGTGTTGATTTGCGCTACCGACTTTTGAAAGGACCGAAAATTCGTATCAGCATCGCTGGCATCATTATTTCGAGGGTGAGTACATTAATTTACAATTTGAAGTCCACACGTACGTTGTTCTTTTGCCAAAATGGAGATGAAAAGTTTCGTCAAATGACTGGGACATTATGTGCTGATAATTCTCAAGCACACATTCGGATATTTGTCAGGCAAAACAGAGAAAAATTGTAGGCGGAAAACGTGCTTTATTTCACCATCCATTTAGATGTAAATAAACGAATGAAACATGCCGCATAATACAAAAGAAAACACTCAAAATATATCGTGAGATATGAGAACGGAAGAATGAAGTTTATTATCACGGTTGAGTTGAGACTTAAAAAGCTTTGGCAGGAATTTACTTTTTTTTATCAAGTGAAGGAGGTGGAGAATTATTTTTTACTTTTTTTTTCAAAAGTGTTTTAAGTGAACAATTCCTTTACCTTCAACCTATTACCGGAAACTTTTCTTCCATTCCCTCTCATACTTTCTTCAGGTTGATTGAATTTAACAGATTTTCCCGGGATTATTTTACTTTTCAAGTGAAGCTTCATTTGCTCTTGAGATTCAAGCAGCAATTTCTATTTTTCTTCGATTTTGAACACTTCAAGAGTTCTTCTGTATCGAAGTGCTGATTAAAAATGAATTTGATTGAAGTGCTATTTGTTTCTCATTTTCCAAATGAACTTCCTGTTTTTTTTTCTATTCTCCAGACATTCATTCAGTTATCAACCACTACAACCTGCATTAAGTAATCAATAACATATGAATCACATTCGTGCTAAACATGATGTTAGGGCTTTTTTCTAACACAGTTTTGTGTTACATTTGCTTTATTAATTACATTCAATTCCCATTTAATTGATACGTATTTGTTTCAATTTTCTCCGAAATCAAATCGAAGTAATTTGATGGAAAAACGAGAAGCATTTATTACATGGAAAAATAATAAAACTTTCATTAATTGATTGATAATTAAAACGATAAAGTGCTTAGTTTCAAAAACCCTTGTGAGCTTCGCACAGTTGTTACGTAAGTTCTTTACAACAAAATAAGAAAACCCAAATCATAGTCAGATTATGTGCTGGCTGTTACGGCTGCAGCATAACATATCGAATCACGAATATATATCGAGAGCAAAAACAAAGTCTATTATCTAATTTGGAAGGAGAAATATTTTTCAATTGTGTAACCGAGAAAGAAATATCTCGTGAAATAATCTCCTGGCATAAGCATAATGCAGTCAAATCAAAAATAAAAAACTTACGAAAAAGTCAACGATAAATTTGTTAGATAAAACTGCAGCAGCTCATAAAAAAATGTTAATTGAATATCTCGGTAAAAGCATTTTCAAATTGAAAGCGACAGCGTTGAATGGAAATTCTTATTTGTGTTAATAATCTAATTTGCTCAATAAATCGTTCGACATTTCACGACTTTAGCACGCTTAAGGTTTCATTACACAGATTACATGGATTATTGAGATATTTGGGTTAGAAACATTAATTTAAGGTCTTCGATACTTAATGTTGTTAGATTTTCTACAGAACTTCAAGACTAGCATAAATCTTGAAGCCTTCAATTTAAAAATATTAATTTTAGGCGTGACAAAAAGATTAAATTGTTCTCTTTGAAATTAGTAACAAAAAAATTTTAATTAGCAAAATTTCTGAGATCAATTAGTCCGAAAATATCAAGTTTTATTCTTTTTAATGCGATTAATAGTTGAATTAATATTTTCATTCATTAAACATTGTATAAATACTCAACCGAATGCCAATGACAAGATCACGAAAGTTATAAGAAGAAAGCATTCAAAATCAGGTATTAATTCATTTGTGGTCTATCAAGTTACATCAAACATTGTCTATCCGATTAACTTCCTGCTCTTAACAGTAGTCAATAATAAAATAATAATAAAAAAGAAACTGGTATTGAAACGGAATTCCAAAAACAAAAAGCTTTTTGTGTTTTATGTGCAACGTCTCGACTGTGCCGAGAGGTGATAAAAAAGGAGAGAAAAATATAAACACAAATTGAAAAACTCTAACGTGCAGCTTCTAATTACAATTTATACGTTTGTGCACTAGGAAAGAGTATAAGCATAGGTTTTCAAACAATAGAGACTAGCGAACAATGAAAATGAAATGAAGGAGGAAAGCATTTTAATCCGTGTTCATGATGCCAAAATATTACCAAGCTCATAACTTAATCCATTGGCATTAGATATGGGAAACACTTGCTAATGTTCGAGAAAGGACTTTAATTCACATTGAGATATGACTTTCAATTAAATTTTCTATGTCTCTAAAGAAAACGTGAATCAGCTTTCGCTCTCATAACTCTTAAGATTTTTGTTGTGAAAGAGTTCAGTTGTCTGTGCTCATAAAACTTAGTTGAAAACAATCTCAGTGAAATCTTATCCTTAATTATCTGTAGTAGCAAAATTACTTCTCATTTTCAGTATCATATTAAAATGTAACTGGAATTAATAGAAAGATAGATAATTCAAGGAACGTGATTAAAAATGATGAAGAAAGTAGATTAAACATTATGTAATCTTATCTCTTGACAGCTTCGACTGCCTTCAATATTTTCATTTTATTTTCCATCCATTCGATCTCAAATATCATCATGAAGCCTCAAATAAACTCTCTCACTACAGAATGCTTCTAGGTGGTTAATTATCATGAATATGAAAAGCATCATCAGAAGCGAGAAACAATCAAATGAACTTCCGCTTGTTAAAACTTGTACAATCATGAATTATGTGTATGTAGGTATCTCGAATGCAATTAAAAAACTTTAATTCTATTGATGTGAAGCTGAACAACAAATTTATTTATATCAAACCTACAACTTTTGTCAACATCCTTAATTAAAAAAATATGCCTTTCATTGCATCCCCTTTCATGTTGAACTCGTAGTTTATGTGTTGACGTTCAACCCGTTGAAACTGTGAGTGGTAAAGTGTCGCTGGAAGCGATTTATTTTTTTAAAAATTTCCGAATGTTTCGAGAACGAAATGCTTCAATTGTGAACTCGTGATTTAATCACATTTATACGCGATGTTACTTTGTCACATGAAATTGATTTTATTAACAAGACACTTCAATGTTATTCAAGTATCTGCATAGATATTTGAAATAAATGAACAATAAATTTGTTTTCGATTTCCATTGTTGTTATTTTTATGCTAGTTTGAATTATGTTGATGCCAAACTCGCATATAACTTTCAAAGCATGATAAAATGTAATGATCTATGTAATATAAATTATTTTAATGCATTAAACGCGATATCTTGTTAAAAAGAAATTAAATAAATATTCGATATTCATCCAAACACTTCTCTGCAATTGCTGACAATACAAAAAAGTAATAAACATAAACTGGTAGAATTATTTGAGAGATTTTTAATGCGAGAAGGTGTAATCGATTACATATATTTAATCGTTACTAAGCAATAATAGATAGTTGAATAACGCAAAGAGTTTCTTAATCGATGGTTAGAAATTCATTCATCAAACTCATCCAACGAGCTTTTTGTAATGAAACGAATGGAAGAAAATTCAAAGAAAAAAGTATCCAGACGATGAGTGGGTCCTATTTCCTGCAGTGGAATTTCCTGCAATTATCCTAGGATTCCTAGGATTCCTATGCATAGGATTCCTAGGATTCCTAGGATTCCTAGGATTCCTAGGAATCTTAGGAATCCTAGGAAAATTGCAGGAAATTCCACTGCAGGAAATAGGACAAGCCCCCAGACGATTAACGTCAAAAGCATTTTTACTCTCCTACTGAGTGATTCTCATTGTTTAATACAAATCAACGTTAGTGAGAAGAGATTCGCAGCACATTTCATCGCCATTAACAGCTAAATTTGTGGTTGAGGGAAAAAAGTGAACAGAATCAATGACGCGAAAGACCTTCACAGTGATGCATTTAAATGATAATTTTGTCTACTTGTTAATGAACATCGTATAATAGATATTTGTTTATAATATCTAAATATTTATCATTTTTTGCTGCTTTCTTTAGAACTCTTTTTTGCTGTCGAAACATTAAGTGATGATTTGTCGTTTTCAAGAATGAAATTAAATATCTACGAGTAAACAAATCATTGTCGTGAACATCTATGAAGTAGGAATTTCCTAATTCACCATTCAAGGTCGTTCGTGCACATATCACTCATTCATCCATCCATTCATTTGTTTACTTGAAACGATGATTAATGTTTGCTATTGAAGGCAACTTAGTAGTTTTTAAGTCTTTGTAATTATGACTTAATCCGTTATATCATAATTGCTTTCATTCAAATTATTTTGATAGAAAATTCTACGCCTTTCAATTGTAATCGAAATTTTACTTTTCATTTCATTACATCGACGTCTTGAGTTATGCGTTTGAAGCTTCTTCGTTCATTTACACTTTCGTTTATAATACTTACATACAACATCAGCAAGACTTTGAATCACGATAATTGGAATTATATATACAAACATATGAGCATCTCAGCTTACGAAACAAAGCCGATGATGGCAACCAGATGGGACGTTGCTAGTCACTCACAAAGAAGATACTAACAGTTCACAAAGTAATTAAAACTTTTATTAATGGAATAATCGTGATTTCATTTCTTTATTCCTTCCCCTTTTCAACTTCATTTAAACGACTCAAGTCAAAAAACTATGTACACAAGCTGAATATCTTTTTGTTGTTATCATCGCGTTTTAGGAATTTATTAGCTAAACTTTAAACTTTGAATATTTCCACGATTTTCATTCGAACTCATCTTGTGCTTTAGGCTGTGAAAATTTCATAAATTTGCTTTTACTCGCAACCGTGGTGAACCGTAAAAAGAAAGAAACAAAAAATGTTACGAAGTTGATAAGAACAAATTTCAAAGTCTTTTTATTGTTATGATTCTTTTTGTAATAAATTATGTTAAGGTCTCCCCTGAGCCTTTTCTTTGTTTTTTTCCTCTCATCCCATTATGACTTCATAACAGAATTGTCGAACGTCAGTCAATTTAATATTCTTGATAACGTTAGTAACAAGCATCAGCAAAAATCATTTCGATGCCCTGACGGACATGAAATCATTCATCTCCATTACATTGTTAATCGTCATGTGTGTTCAGTATGCCATCAACATAATTCAATTTAAATTTTATTTATTTCCCCATTTTTTTATGATCACCACAGGGTCGCGATGCTACGCCTTACTTGGAACGCAATCGTGTAGGAAGAGATGCAATTGATTCGGCAGCTGCGCTTACTGATATGGGCAAATATTTGTTCCGTGAACGACGCTTGCCAGTTTATGATATCGCTGTCGCTATTACAAAGTAAGTAAAAATTTATTATACTTTTCTCCTTGTTTTCGTTGTGCTGAGGGCTGTCATTTAAAAGCCCATCAACATTAATCATTTAGCAAGCCTAATAGTCAGAGTTACACCGACACAGGAAGAAAATCTCGATGGTGATGATTGAAATGATGTCCTTCTATTGTTTTAATGACCGTCGTTTATTCATTTAATTCTCCTGAATTCGTTTTAATTTAATTTTCTGTTTCGGACGCTGCCCAAGGATCATCAAGTGAAAAAGAAAGCTCAATGTTTGTAACATGGCAGCTGTAAATGTCGAAACGAAATGAAATCAGATATTTTCTTGTTTTCTTAGTAAGTTGGAGCCGCAAATTGAATTGGACAGAAACCTAAGACGATAACTGGAGAGGCAAGCAGCAGCTGCTCAACAAAATTTTCTCTCTTTTGTAATTTTTTAATTCACCCAAGAATTTCAATTTCACAAATGACTTAACTACAGAATAATGAACTTAATTCTTAAGTTTAAACAACATTTTTCTGTCTAAAGGGGCACAAAAGATATTGTTGATGGTACACTGACTTGAAGCTTTGTAAAATATTTCTGCTGAAAGTTCAACAACATCTTCATCCGCTCCAAAACATTCTGATTTCATCAAACTTAATGTACATTTTTCTTTTTCTTTTTTCTTCTCTTTTTCCATACACACAAAACAAACATCTTGAAAAAAAAAACCTTTTAAAATAATTTCATCTGCAACTGTGCATTCATCTCGTCACACTTTTTTATTTTCATTCCTTCAAATGATTTTTATGTGAAATTGTGTATAATGATTTGCAATCACTTTGATGCTCTTTTTTGATGGTCAATTTGAATTGTCTGATGTTTGCATAATGACCGAAAATAAAAAATAAATAAAATTATCGAACCTAGGTACGATATGTGCCGCCGAAGGAAAGGAGGTCGTTGCACTAAGGGCACTGCTGGTAAACAAATACATTAATATTTCATTTTTATATAGCATTACATTGTTGGTTACTTAATTAAACTTTTTTTTACATTTTAAAAAAAGCTTACTTTAAGTTGATTTTGATTGCTTGTTGTTGTTGTTTTTTTATAATTTTTTTTGGGGCAGTGGAGTAAGATTTACTCACAATCACAATCAGGTTTTTGGTTAGCGATTTATCAGGATGATTATTATTATTTAAAAACATTTATTGATAATATGAATGTCATGTCATGTATGAGTTTTTTATTTTGTTTATGGAATATGAAATTGCGTATGGAGATGAGAAGCAAATTTATTAACAAGAAATATTTTGTTACTTTTTTTAAAACGTTTTTTTTTACTAATCAAAAGATTGCATTAACCTTTTAATTCATTAAAATTATAGCTCATATGATTTTTTGTTAAATTAGGTAACAACTTTTACGAAGTATTTTTAGTTGGAAATATTTCAATTGACAGCAGCAAATAAAAGAAACTTTTATTTCGACAAAACCGACTCACGAACTGATAAAATTCGTTTTTTTAAACGGAGAATAAAAAGCTTTTTTTTGTAATAAATACAGAAGAAACAATTCTTACATATATTTGTTATTCGATGTTAATTGCAGACTAGATATGTGCCGAAGACAATACGCAAGCGATGCGTGCAATCGTGGGACAGCAGGTAACAAAACAAAACTTTTGGCTGAAATGCTGTTGAGTTTCTGATAAACCCTTTTCCCTTACACTGTCTTTTATTATTCATCTGTTTTAATGTTTTTCAATGTTTTTTTTTTCTGTAAACAAAAATAAATTTTCTTTCCGTCCTACACGAAAAATAAATATTTTCACTCTCACATTTTCCATCGTGTTAAAAAAATAATTTCAAACTATTCTCTCGCCATTTTTCACGTCGCTATCAGTTTATGGAAAGCATAAAAACAACCAAAAACTGCTCACGATGATTTATTACTTTTTTTACTTAATCCGCTTTTATCCTCATGTATTTACTCTTTAGTCTGTTTTTTTCACAATCGTATGCAAATACTTTTCTTTACAACTCAACAATGCCAATAGAGAGAAATTCTGTAAATATCTGTGTGGCTAAATAAAATGAAAATTCTCGTTCAATCTATGTTACTCACATTCTTATTCAACTGTGAATATTGACTGCACGCATTTTTTATTATAATCAATGTTTGTATCATACAACAGCCACTAAAGCTTCCTTTTACTCGTAATCTGTTTCCAACGAAAAAGGAAAAGTTTTTGACAAAAACTCAAGATATTCAAATCAAAACCTTACAAACTTTCATCTCTCTTGAAATCATTTCTATTTAATACAATAAAAAGCGCCAATCTTTGACCCTATTTGTCAATTCATTTCTTCTTCTTTTAATGACTTTCATTATGTCATCCTTCTGAAAGAATGAAAAATCACCATGGAGGATGAAAAAGAGAGACACAAGACAAAATAAACATAAACGATCACCAAAGAATGCCACAAGAAAGACGACAAAACAAAAACAATTCCAGACCGAACATGACCAAACCCTTGACAGTGAAACCTTAAACTATTCTGTTTATTATCAGGACGGGATTACTTTAGCTGTCTTTCTAGCTTCTATGTGGGCAATGGAAAAAAAAGAAAATGGGGAAAGAGACAATTTAGGACTGTAATGGGTTGGGCAGACAAGATAATTTAGAGTGGACTTTTAGCTTTAAATGAGAATTCAGTGGCGAATGGTTGAATTGTTATTCTCTAAAGGCTTCAATCGTGTGAAAAAAACATTTATCGAAGCTTTTGGAATTTCCTAAAAGAAAAATCAATTCACCATGAAAGCCTGGAAAAGCATAACAAAAGAATGATTCTGTTAAATTTTAAAGTATTTAATTTATTTCTAAACATCATGACCAAACTGACTTTTTCTTCTGAACTGTGACTGACCTAAATAAATATTAAATTGCAATAGAAATCCACGAATTAGATAGTGTGGTTAGTAAGTAAAAGCTCTTTGATCCTGGTGTTCAGCGTGACAATTATTCGAAATGTTTATTAACATCCTCTCATGAGACAAATGATTTCTAATTAAAACTAATCGCAATGTAAGTGGAATAATTAACATTCATTTCGGGAATTGGTTGGATATGAAAGCGAATGCTACAACAAACATTTTCATTTGGTGACGGTTGCTTGTAGTTTTATTATTTTTGATTAGATATGTGAACTAATTTTCTCTTTTATTTTTGTGTGTGCTCTAATCTAATGAACATATTCCACACATATTCAGTAGCGAACGACATGCATTCGATTGTTAAATTGGATAACGAACGCTATGTAGAATGGTGTTGTGAAATGTTGTTTAACTTTTCTAATTAATTTTTGCATTTTTCTCTATCTCTAATCAAAAACTATTCCGGAATTTAAGGATTCGCTTATGTTGGTGGAGCTTGTGTCGTTAATAAGCGATTGGAAAAAGTTAATAGTGTTGCTATCATCGAGGATACTGGCGGGTTCAGTGGAATTATTGTTGCAGCTCATGAAGTTGGTCATTTGTAAGTTTTTTCTTCACCTCCATTGTTAATTGAAACTTCTGACCTCATCGAATTAATTAATACAAACAGATTGGGTGCTGTTCACGATGGTTCTCCACCACCAAGTTATTTGGGCGGGCCTGGAGCTGAAAAGTGTCGTTGGGAAGACGGTTATATCATGTCAGATTTAAGACACACAGAGAGAGGCTTCCGTTGGTCACCATGCAGTGTTCAAAGCTTCCATCATTTCTTAAAGTAATAAACATACAAAAATTTAAGAAAAATGACAAAAACATTAAATTCTTATTCAAATTTAAAGTGGAGACACTGCCAGTTGCTTACATAATGCGCCCCATGAAGATGAAGCTTTAGGACGTCAATTACCTGGAACACTTTTATCCCTTGACGCTCAATGTCGTAGAGATCGTGGAACGTCTGCTTGTTTCAAAGATGAAAGAGTATGCGCACAACTCTTCTGTTTTGATGCTGCGAGTGGTTATTGTGTTGCTTATAGACCTGCAGCTGAAGGATCATCGTGTGGTGATGGACAAGTAAAATTATTAAACTAATTTAAATTAAATGAGTTATCAAAATATTCTTTGTTCCTTCACTAGCATTGCCTTGATGGAAAATGTGTTCAAGAGAACGAAAATATTATTCCTGATTATTCACAACATACGCCATCATACATCAGCCCAAATTCCTTCAATTCACAGTTCCAGTGAGTGAAATCTTTTTATTTAATATTTTGTAAATAATTTCGAAATCTTTTTAAATCAAAAACAGCTTTTGAATCGCTTTCAAATGACGTTATTGATATAAACTTTGTAAAATATGAGATTGAAACTTTGATGACGTCATTTCTAGGCAATCACTTTAGCAGATAATAATTTAATCAAAAAAATATCCAACATTTTTAATAATGAGCTTCCTTGTCCTTGATCTCATCAATTGGCATAAAATCAAAACGTGTTAGTTTATTTATTATAAAAAAAGTCTGCTACCTGAGAACAGTCGAGCATGAGGTGGCATGTGACGAAGATTTTGTGTTTGAAGTTAAACTAACCGCAAGACTTTTTTAACTGATAAAAATTTCCTTTTTACTCCCACGCCAATACACACACAAAAAATCTAAATCATCCCGAATGGTTAAATGTTTCATGTGATTTTTCTTCGCTGATATTTCGTGTTCATGCAGAAATGATTTAAGAAAGGTGCTGAATGAAGCGGAAGTAACATTAGGCGAGTTGGAGACGACGAAAAAAAGCACAACGACGACAACAACGACAACAACCCAAGCACCTTCCACTACAAAAAGCACAACAACTGTGTCAACTACGAAAAGCACATCCCTCCAAACCCAACGCAGCACAAAACGTTATTATGCACCATCAAAAAAACCCGACGACGTCCCGAAAACACCGAAAACATATTTCAGTAATTCATTTTATCATAATAATAATCAAAATAATATCAACAACGGACAAACCGACCGCTCGAAAAATCTTTTAAAGAAAGCACTTGACATAGAAACACCCACGCCAGCACCAACCAAATCCACAATCAGTCCTTATTATTATGGTTTTAATCGCTTGCCACAATACACAACATCAACACAAAAATCTTCTCGAAAATCGTGGTTAACCACGACCACCCAAAAGCCTTACATTTTCCAATACTACACGACTACAAAGAAAGTAGATTTGCTGGCGTCGACTAAACATTCGACGAACTTTGAAGTTGATAATAATAATTTTGAGAATCAAGGTCCATCAAACGATGATCTTGAAGTTGCAAAGTCAAAAACATCGACTTATAATCCCGTTTTCGATATTTATTTCAAGCAAATCGGTCGTCAGAGGACGACGACCAGAAAGCCTTATGTTTCATCGTAATTCCTAATTTAACTCTCTCCCACACCCACGCCCATCTCATCTTTTTCGATTCTCATTTGAACGAATTTGTGACCAAAAATATTATGATAGAATTTTTTTATGTTCGACTCACGACTTTATGTGTTAAGATTTTCATTGAAACAATCCTAGTGATTCCATCCATAGGGCGATCTCCAAGTGAATCGTTTTTGGTAAGAAAAAAATTCTCTCATCGCCGTCTTCTCCATAACCAGTCATTTTCTTATACTTTTCTTTTAAGTTCTTTTTCCAGATTCAAACAATGCTCCTACTTACTTATGAAGAAATGTATTAAAAAGTCATTTCTTTTGATGTGAATCGAAAATTCTTCCTCACTTTTTTTTTATTCTCTTTAAAATGTAATCGAATTTAAACTGAAACAACTCCGAAAACTAAATTCTTTTATCGCACAATTTTCTTCTACTTTTTTTTAAATTGTTTTCTCTTTTCAACATCAACTTCTCGTGACTTTTACAGAACTTTTCTTAGTTTTTGTAGAACTTTTGGCTAAAGATTTAATTTAAATGCATTTAATTGTATGTTAAAATTTCATTGTTAACGTCACGTTAAACGGAAAATTCTCTTGACTGACGCAGATAATCCATTTCAATTAAAATCTTTAGAAAAACAACTTACAATACGTTTAATATTGAAAATTCTTTACTAACAGAATTTGTTATCTAACTGGAAGGAATAACTTTTTCAGCATCTGAAATACTTATAAATTGCATTATCATTATTATTAATCGTTTACTTTGGTTTTCTTATTTCTTGCCTTTTAATGCTTTTTACTTACGAAAGTTTCGAGGTATTGAAATAAAATTTATGAGAAAATTGTTAACAATTTTTTTGTTATTTATACTTTAGAAATTTTATTTCTCCTTCATTTCAATATCTCGTAATTTTTTCTTTTTGTTTATTTTTGTCTTTTTCGCTACATCATCTGCTTTAAAGATCCATCGAAAATTAATTTTTAATCCATTTTCTTGTTCTCTTTTCAGTGGAAAGAAAAAATAGTAAAAAACTAAAAAGCTTGCCATCAGTTACAACCGAGTGATTTAATTAAATTTACAAAAAAAAAATCTTCATTTGTACAACAAACAATGCTACTTTAATTCTTTTGAAGAACTATACATATCTATGCTAAATAACTTGAACATTTCTTTTTTGGCAACTCTGATAAATACTTTTGGTGAATTTTTCATATATTTAATATATTTCTCACTGATAGATAAACTTTTAAGATGTTTATGCTGACAAATTATTTTTTGGGGATAGATAATTACTAAATGGTTCAAAAATTCACAAAAATCTTTCTTTTCACAATACTTCCTATATCCATAAGATTGGACAATTTTTGTGACGATTGAAAGACGAGAGCTTAATTTCGTGTCTTTTTAGCAATAAGAATTATTTGTTAATTGTAGGCTAATTAGAATTTAGGTTGTGAAATATTTCATACTTTTCTTGCTATAAAAATTTTGTCTTACATATTTTTTTGTTTATAAATACCTTCAATCTACCAATAATTTAAATGTCACAATACAAACTAAACATAAAAAATCATAAAATGACGACAGCACTTTGATAAAAATAATATAAATATAAAATCTAGGAATTGTAATGGTTGGAAAATCCTTCAATAAAACACAAATTTTTATATCAATTCACTGTTATGAATTCTTAATTTGAACAAATTAAACAGAATAAATTCTCAAGTTTTCAGTTAATTTTCTCTACGTAGATTCATCGAACGATAAGAAGTCAAGTCCCTACATGAAAGTCAAGTGATATCCTAGACACAGTTTCAAATATTTTAAAATCGTTAAAAATATTTATTTTGTTTTTAGGTAAAAATCATGTCTATTGTGATTAACTTGTTTTTAAAATATCACAATTACTAGGAAAATTTGATTCATTTTTGTTACAAATTTTGTAGATATTCGTTTATAAATAGCAGAATTTAAACTTCATTGTAAGAATTTTCTGTCATCACATGAAGACATAACAGTTGAATGTTTTTTTATTCTGTATTTTGTTTCCATATTGCGATTCATACAACATTTAAGTTCTTAATTCTTACAAAGCAGCATTCTTAGACGTTTCTATATGAAAGAGGCCTTCTTAGAACATAACGAATATTTTTCATTGAATACTATCAACAAATGTGATAAAAAATTATTCCACGAAAACATTCTATTTTGTAAGTAGATATGAATGAAATCCTGAACAAAGTAGTCATCAATTCTGAGAAATAAATTTATATGAAATTTATCATCATTAGATTAGATTAGAGGAAAGATACGCAGCCAATCATGAGTAACTAAACATATATTGAAGAATTTTTTAGGTGGCTTTATCAGACTACTAAATGAAAAACAAAGCTATTTTTTGCTGTTTTCTTCCGACCGGTTTCGAATTTGTTTTAATTCATCCTCAGGGTTTCTAAAATGTAATACAACTTAATCAGCAAAATACTTATAAACTAACATATTGAAATCAGCAAACCAATGTGCATTAAAACTTACAAGAAATAAAAATATTGTCAAATTCATAAAATTTAGTCAATTAAAAATATTCAAACACATGACTTATCACATCTAAAAACATTTGACTAATGACGTTTGTTTTCTATCGCACAAATACATTGTCGCGCGCATGCTCAATTCTTTCTTCTTCTCCAATCTTCTCTCAGGTGCAAAATTCCGTTGTATATGTGACTCAGGTTTATTGTATCAGTCCTTCTGTTAACGGTTTGATAAAGCCACTTAAAAAATTCTCCAATATATTACCTACAAAACAGACGTTAAAAATTAAATCATTATAACTAAACATAAGTGATTTTATTCTTTTTGTGAAATTAAAAAAGAGTCAAATGAAGGTTTAAAGTTAGGTTGACAAGTTGCAACAGAATCATTAGTTAAATGAAGTGTTAAATGGAATACGACAACAAAAGTATTAGATCACCAGAACAATTTAATTCAAACATTTTCATAAACACTTTCCTGAAATAAAGTTGTTTTAAAATTAAACTTCTCACATTTGATTTCAATAGATTTCTATTTATTCCAATAACTTTTTTTATGTATAAAGGAAATCTATAGCTATTTAGAAAGCAGCTACTTTATAGAAACTTTTAGAATTCACTTCTTGCCGGCATTGCTTGGGTGCGTTGGCTGACCCATGTTGGCTTTGTTGTCCATGACATGCTTATCTCGTGGTCCATCATACCCTGCATTATGCCCTGGACCAGATGGCTTGTGTGTAGGGTTACACTGCTTTGTACGATTTTTGTCATTTGCATCCATTCTAAACACAAATAAATATTTCAATTAAAAATGTGAGTTAGCCTTATGAATTTATTGAAATTAATTTACTCACTTTTTAGTTTTGATTTTTCAGGCAAGTTTTGGCTTGTGCTGATTAAATTTAACTGATGAATTCATAAGGATGACCGGCCCTTATATAGCAATATATCTCAAAGTCATCTTCTTGTTCACACTTCGAATATTTCGACATTTTATTGCGCTTGAAATGAGGGGAAGTCGATAAGCTTTCGAAAATTTCAAATTTTGCGAATAAATGAAATTGAAATTATTGAAAAACTAGCAAAAACCAGCATGCTGGTTCTAGCATCAAGAAACCTTTCTCAAAATGTTAAAAGGAAAAAATCTTGATCGTCTTCTCGTCATTTTATTTAAAAGCTTTATTAGAATTTTCTATTTTTAATGAAATTACATGGGAAGTTCTAATTGCAACGCATGATAAAATAACATTTTCTAGCAAAGATCTTGAGATTCAACTGAATTTAAATTTTATCGCATCCTTTAACGACTCAAAATTCTTCAATTTAAATATTCATCAAAATAGAATTTAATAAAAGTTGCTTGAACACATTAAGCAGTTGTTTTTAATGTCTTCTATTTTAACTTTCTTATCGTCTACATTCGATGTTCAACTATTTAAAATGTGTTTAAAATTTCTTTCTTTTCTTTTGTGCAAAACAACTTGGCGATCTTAAATTTCTAAAGATTCTTTTTTAATTATTTAAACATTAATTATTTGTTTGAAAGCTTTCAATAGATCCAATTAACTGGAACCCACTGATGTTCATGACTCAAGACATCCAAAGCATCGAGGACTTGTCGGAAAGTTTGATCAAAATCTTCGTTCACGATGACCATGTCCAAGTATTTTTCATATTTCCTTTGGAGCATCGCAGATTCCTCTACTTGATTGACAAGTTCATCATCCTAAAAAGACAAAAATTTATTGTTCAACAATTTCAATCTAATTTTTTTAAAAACATCAAAAACCACATTGCAAGTTGCAACAATCAAACTTACCTCGTAAAGAGAAGCAAGAGATTCAAGAGTTCGAGCACGACGTGAACTGTACCTGATCGAGCTTTGACGGTCAAACTGAAAAGTATTTTTTGTTTCAAAGTTATTTTAAAGCATCACAATAAAACAATCAATCAAGCTGTTAATTGTAAACAATTTAACAATCAAGCAGTAGAAGATATTTCATTACAACTTACAGCAAGATTTCTTTGCGATCCACCAGCAGCACGTCGTTCAGCGTAGAGAAGTTTCAATTGTTCCATTCCTGGTGCTGCAATAAAGATAACAAATGGCATAAACTCAGGGCTGTTATGGAGGAGTTTCAATGCCGAAGGTGCGCAATCTAAGACGCACATTTTTCCTGAAATTAAGAAAGAAAACTTCAGTTAGTATTTTGACAACAAAACACAAATAACAAGCAATGAACCTTCTTTGATGACATTTCTGATTGAATCTAAATGCGTTCCATAAAGATTTCCATTATGTTCGCCATACTCGAGAAAGTTGTTTAAATGAATTTCTTCTTCCATATCTTCACGATCAGCAAACCAATATCCTTTACCATTCTCTTCAAGCGCACGAGGTGGTCGACTTGTATCTTTTAAATAAAACGAATTGGTATTTAATGAAGCTAATTAATTAAATATGTGAATAACTCACGTGGCATGACACATCCAAACTTCTTGGAATCACTGTTGACCAAACGATTCTTCAGTGTTCGACGACCAACACCTTGAGCACCGATTAAAACAAGAGTTTTTCTTTTGAATGGTGGCATTCTTGTCACTTCCTCATAGAGAGTCGTGTCAGCTTTGTCAAAATCGCAATTGGCTTTTGACTGGTAGAATGTTTTGATTTTTCTTTTTGATATTCTCGTCCCGCAAATTCCAATTTTGTGAACAAAATCAGCTTCAGGTGGAACATAAGCTTTGCGACGTTCTTCAAGTTCTTGTGATGGAATCAAGCCGATGGGACCCTCAGTACCGGCATGTTTTGCTTGCCACCAATTAGGATCTTTAATGCTGATTATTTGTAGAATGTCGCCATTCAAGAATGACAACCCAATTTGCTTGCACGGTAAAAGTTCATCATTTGTTGGGTCGTAATCAAATAAGGCTCGCATGTATCTCTAAAATCAAAGAATTAAAGAATAAAACCAATTATAAAATGTCGATTGAAGGTTGATGATCATTTTGTGCTTTGTGTCAGCTGTTGCGTTAACATACCATCGCCAATTTTGACACTTTTTACGATCGAGTGCGAGATAAATCGAATTTGATCCACGAAAGTCTTTGATTTCTTTTTCAACAACTAAATACTCAACTATTCAACTAATTTTCTAATATAAGTAAATATCAAAAATCTATAAAGAAACGTCATCTAAATCTCTTCAACATATCTAATTAACTTGTAAGCAAAATTAAAGCTTTATCGGTCAATTGAAACATTTTATCGACAATGAAATGGTTAACTAAGTCGGATAGAAAACCAAACGTTCGATAAATGAACTTAAAATGAAAGCAAATGAAAAGATAAATTGATTGGTGAAAATAGAAAATCAAAAAACAAAAATGACGCAAATTAAGAGTGAAAGCTTTAAAAAACAAAAAGCTACTTACCGCCAGTTTCTTGCCAGCTTCTTGTGTCTTGCTTTTTACCTGTGCTCCATTGCTTGAAGTCAAGCGAGCTGATTTCATTTCTTCGTCGACATTTGGTCCGATCTTTAAGGTTACTGACTCCTTTGCCCGTGAGATCTCACTTTGTAGTTCTTCTGGTGAATGGACAGCGACTCCGTTCACCTCTAAGATGACATCGCCTGGATTCAACAGACCTTGTCTGTCGATCATTCCACCAGCGAGAATTCTCGCTACAACTACTTGTTTGTAATCATCAACCTCGACAGTTAAGCCGAGAGGTTCATTGGGATTTTTTCGGATTCCCACCATCTTTATCGCTTCTCCGACTGGCATCGTGTTTCCGTCTGTTTCGTCTTTTATATTTTTATCGTATTTCCCAGGATTCTTAAGCTTCCTGTAAACGATATCACCTGCTTGGTCGTGTGAATGAATTAACGACTAAAATAATAAGTAGAAAAAACTTTTTACTAATCAATCTTAAAACTTTTTCTTTTGGTTTCTCACTTTGAAATGTGGATTTCTAATAATTCTAAAAAGTTCTCTCGCTTGAGGATTTCTTGCGATACTTAAACGATCTTCCAACTCCTTCACGACTCTCAGATTCCCTAAACGAACTGGCTTCAACGGTTCTGGTGACTCTTCGAATTTGTCTTGAATCTGAAATGATAAAATATCGTTAATCATAAGTACAGAATAAAAATGAACATCAAAAGCAAACGGAAGTTTATCGTCTAACGATCTTTACGCATCATCAGTCAGTCATTCAAATGTTATAAGTTAAAGCATTGAAGCGCAAAAATTTCCTACACACTAAGACTTTTGATTCAATTAACTAAACGACAATTCATAGTGAACAATTAATTAATTGTTTATGTATGTGATGACCGCTTAGGTCAAGGTGTTGACATGAAATCTCTCTCTCTGTCTTAATTGAATTGATCTAATTTTCACACTTCACTTGTTACATTTTCCTCAACTGATGTTTCATTACATTTGACTGAAGTTGTCAATGAAAGAAACTCAAAAAATTGGGTCACAAACTACGAAGAAATAAAGCAAACATTATGGAATTCTCATAAGCCACAATAACAATTCAGTTTCCATAGAATCATTTTGTAAAGTCTGTTTCTTCATTGTGCAATAGCATGCAAGCGTTGACGTCATAAATGTTTCATTTTGACTAGCTTTTCAATGATTTATGCGATTTTTTCAGTAATCACAGCGATGATTGTTACAAATTCATTGTGGGAAAACTTTAAACGTTGACATTTGCTGAGAAAACAAAAATTTCCATAGAAATTAATTCTACTTAATGATCTTGTAGTGATATAAATTAAGTTTGCTTCAGTGGTTTTTATATTAAAGATAATTAATTAAATAAACAAGAATCTTATGTTGAAGGGATTTAAACGAAAGAAAGAGAAAATCTAAAAAGTTCTCGAGAGTTATTATGACCTAATTAATCGACCACCAACCGCACCTTAAACAACCTTTCGACGTCAGGTGTAGTGAAGATTTATTTTCACTTTCAATTATCGATCAACGGAAGATCATTTCATCTCTTCGTATCCTTTTCACACGATTGAAATCTTAATGATTCTTAATTTTTCAATCTTACACTTCTCTTTACAACAATGTAAATAAATATTTATGATCTCATCAAGCTGATAATTTTCATTCAACCTTCCCTTTTACCTGATGTTTCTGAAGGGTTTCCTTCTTTCACTTCTTTCTTTTTCAAACCAATTTATTTTACAACCATCCTCGTGCACGAGCCAAGAACACTGAACAATCGTTTCAACTCATTGAACAACATTAAGTGGTAAACAAATTGCTTAGAGAAATGAAAAAATAAAAAGATTGTTATGGGAACAAAGAAACCACCGACGAAACAACTCGTCCTGCGCGGTATCGCGTTACGATCCTTTACACCTTACGCTTACTTTGCCTTACTTTTGTAACACCGCAATGAAAAAAATCAATGAAGAATGAATCAACAAAAAAAATTCTTTTCGGCAGCAACATATGAACGAACGATGACGAAAAACATAAATCGCTTTCATATTTAAATGACCGGGAGAAAGAAGGGAGAACAGTCCAACAATGCACAGTTATTGCATCGTCGTTCAGGTGTGACTGACCCCGAAAAAAGAAAAGAATTAATAAGCGCGATGTTAAAGAGAAGGGAATAAATTCGTTCTTATAAGAAACTAAAAGGCAGCGAAAGACAAAACCAATTTCCGACAATTCTCGTTTGTAGAAAAATTTCTTTTTTTACTTTCTTGCTTCATAGTTTATTTGTGATGCATTTCGATATTCTCGCGGTAAGAAGTTCGTTCACCTTCGGTTTCTGCCTTTTCTATGTTTACCACAAATTACCAATGGGATTTAAACAACATTAATGTTGTGGGTTGTTTATCAGTCACTTCTTTTTGAAATATTTCTAAGAAGATCAAGAAAGTAATAAATTTATTTAATGTCTTCTTAAAAATGACAAAATTCATGTACAATCCCAAATGCTATTCTCACTTTTCATTCATTCTAATTCTCCCACAAAAAAGTGATATTCCTCTACTAACTAACAGTTTCTTTCTTTCTGTATCATAAGTAAATATAAAAAAACATAAATGATCTCTCGAATATATTTAAGCATCATGTTGACGATTCCATGACAAAGTTATTTCATTTCGTAAACAAATAAAAATTCCTGACGTCCAATTTCCTTTGTATTGGAGTGAAAGTTTTCAGTGTCAAATTAAAAAGTAATTTTAACTCGATTTTACTATTCATTTGCAGTGTTGAATACAAATTTGTTATTATTGCAAGAAAATAGTTTTACGATTGTTTGGGCGTTGGCATTTTTTAAAAACTTGCTTGCTAAATTGATGACGCGATGGACGGTGTGTTGTTGAGAGATGTTTATAAACGACATCATCGAACATGTGAGAACTCAACAGTTGGTTGAAGCTTTCATGTGTTTGTGTTCGCGGTGTACGAGTGAGTCTGACTCATTTTTTTATTTCAATAAAATTTAAATTCCTTCACGAAATCAAACACAAGTTGAAGTTGCTGCACTTTATAGACTTGAAAACTAATTCAGAAAATCATGAAGTATTCTGTTGACTTTTAAACAGTTGAACGATAATTCAGTGAACAAACAATCAAATGATGCTCATGAATCATGACCGTTAAACAGCCTTCAGCGTTGTCGAGAGAAGCCGCAAATAAACCACAAAGACTTTCAACTTAAATAACATTTTTTTTGCACAACTTTTCTTGTTCCTTCATTCCACTACTAACCGATTATGGTTCAGAGACTGATGCGAAGGTATCACAATGATGACGTCACCTGACTTTACTACACCTTGAGACTCTCTACAAATGTATTGCTTCTTCTCAACTTTTTATATTCCAATCTATTTTAAAAATGGCAGACAATCAAATTTGCGGTTGATTTAAACTTTGATCAGTCAAACTTTTAATAATTATTAACAAGTTTTTTATTTCTGTTATCGTATTATCTGTAAAGCTTTTTCTTTGAAGCTTTTGATCTTTGTGAGCTTTTAATTTCGCAAATATGTTGCGAGACTTGTACACACCTAGTTTTATATTTTCTTCACTTCAAACTGTTAATTTTTTCCAGTAAACTTAGAATCTTACATCAACAATGTTTTTGTTTGCAAACAATTTTGCGATATTATAAACTAATTTACATTTCATACAATAAGCACATTTTCAATGTTGTAATCACAACGACAAGTCACATGAAAAAGTTGTCACTTGGAGCGGAAAAATTGAATGAGTGCTGAAACCAACACACAACTTTTTCCATGTACGCCTAAACTCAAACTGAAGCAGTGATCGAGAAAGAGCGCAACGTTCAAAGTTATTTGCTGTGTGTTGTGTAACGAAGTTTGTTCATAATAACTTCAGTAAGAAAACAACTCCGAGGAGAGTTGAAAGCATAGCACAGGGAGAACAAATTGAGAAGATTCAAGCTTTTCGTAAACGAATGAGGCAGGTTGGCTGCTTGTAGATGACAGCGTGGTCGTGGTTTTCAATATTTCTCTTTTATGTTTAGATTGCGAGTGTATTGCAATCGCTATTTATGTTTTGCATACTTTTCCATGGTCATGAAACCAGTTTTCATGATGATTAAAGTTTTTTTTATTAACACTCACACAAATCCGTGAAAAGTTTTTTAAAGTCGCTAAAATGATTTTGAAAACTTTCTTCCAACAAATTTTACTTTAAATAAAATCGATTTGTAATAAGAAAATGTAATCGAAGAGAAATTTTTTGTACTTTGAGTTTCTTTGCACTTAAAGTAAGAGAAAAAGAAAGTTTAAGAATGAGAGATTGAAAAATATCGTCACACGCCCTAAATGTGATGCTGATGAGAAAATTCAATAAACGCTTTGAATTGGCGGCAAACACAAATTTTCAAGCATTCGATGTGCTAATGAAAAAAGTAGGAAACAAGCTGAAGTTTGGAGTTTCATTTGAAACTTAAAGTTTCTTTGTGTATTTATTTATTTATATAAAAATGCAGTTTTAAGTTGGAATTTGCAACAACATGGCAGTAGATATCAATGTCACGTATAAGCTTCTCGCTTGTGTTGTTTAAAAACAAGAAATGAATGAAATCGAAGAAGAGAATTGCGGAAAATTCATTCAATTGGAAAGAGCAATAAAATGTCAACTAAGAGATCAAATATCTACGTCATAATTTAATTAAATTGTTTTCCCTACAAGTTGAACTTTTCAACCGACTCATTGCCATTTGCATATTTGACCACAGAATGAAGCTAATTTTACATAACAAAATGTTTATTGCTTCTACATATGTTAACTCACTCAATGTTAATTATTTAATTTAATTCAAATGAAGTTGAAATCATCAGCAAATCTAACAATAAGGCATGGAAAATATTCCGCAATTTTCATTCATAAACTTACAAAAAATATTGAGTCACTTAAAGGTCAATTAAGAGCATCAAGAAAGGTCAGAAATATTTAATCAAGATGATTCCAATAAAAATGACAACTCCGCATGCGTTTTTCTATCGCAGTGTTCAATTAAATTTGATTCGCAGTGAAGAGTGATAGAATTTTATGAACATCGTTGGTTGATGCCTTTTTTATGACTGACGTGAATTGATCATTATTTTTAGAGGGTCTAACAAAATGTTCGTCTCCTTACCTTAATCAATTGTTTAACTGCTGGGTTGTCTAATAATCCTTGAAGGAAAACCAAATCTGTTTCATTCGCCGTTCCTTCCAGATCCGAAATGTTTTCTCTGACATGTTGGAATGCAGCTGTAATGGGAAAAGTGAAATAAATTGTGAAACTATTTCCGTTTCTTCGATGTATGTCAGTTTAGATGAAGATATTTAGCAGCTGGGTGAAATGATTTTCAGGTTGAAACACCTAACTAAATGATTTCGTTTCTGATTAATATCGTCGTTGTTATAACATGACATAGAAACAAGAGAACAAAAGTATAAACAAATTTCGCGTTAGATTCATTGATTGTTTTCATTAATAATATTGAACAAACTTAGCGCCATGAGAAAAAAACTTTGTTTTGTGTTATTTTCTTATTCATGCATTCAGAGAGCAAACAACAGAAAGAAAACTTCGATTGCGGATATTTGCACATTACAAGGACGGATACATAAGTGGGCGATGGGAAGTCACTTTGTGACACTTGTGGTCGTTCATAAATAAACATGAAGCAGAGCCTCTGGACAATTCAAGTAAATATAGGAAAGAAAGTTTCATTTCTAATGAACTGTCCGTCATAAATCATTTTCATGACACCAATAATGATAATGCGATCGTATTTCATTTCTCTGTTTTCGTGTTTCCCTCCACAAAAATGCGCACTTCTACTTGTTGAATATGAAGGAAAATTCACTGTAAGTTATGAAGAAAAGTTCATCCCAAGATGCTGTCAGTATTTCTATTTTATTTATGACATCCATCAATGTGTCCCAATTCTCGGGGAAAAACTTAGAAATTTATTTTCCATAATAAAGGAAAATTGTTTTCAGATAAGAATTTTTCTTTCTTTCTTCAAGCGTCGTTAAACTTTTCTGATTAATTTTGTCTCATCATTTTCAGGAAGTTGTTTTTGGATACTTTCATGTTGAGAATCGATTTCATAATCTTAAGCTATTTATAATCATTCGCATCCGATGATATTTTAAACTTTCAATCTTTAAATTACTACACGAACTAAAGACGATTAAGAAATTGCTCTTAATTTATTATCAAAACGTTTCGTCATTAACGGAAAGTGATTAACTCTTGCAAATCAAAAATTAGTTCAGCATGCATAGGAAAATATTTGAATAATTAATTAGATAAATGTCGCAAATAACTGCCTAGGCCAGTGTCTCAATATTTTAACATGAGCACCAAACGAGCGTGAATTTAAATAATTTTCCTCATCAAATATGAATAAAAAAAAGCAAGTTTTAATGTGTTTAAATCAATCAAATAGAACGACTAGCTGACAGTGAATTTGTTTAACGTGTTCGGCTCTTCATATTAAGAAGGAAAATACAAATTTAAGAGAAAATAAAAATTATGATAAGAAAAATGAAATTTCCAACAAAACGTGACATTTTCCACTCATCAAATGCTTCGACTGATAATGATGGTTTCAACGATGAAATTTTACATAAAAATTCAAGATAAAAGCAAATGTTCTTGTTTTCTTGACAAGAAATCAATAAAAGAAAGAAACGTTTTAGATAGCAAAATAGAAAGGAAACCGGAAGAAGACAATGTGAAAATGTCAAGATCGCATTTAGGTTTTATCAAGCGTAGCGAGATATTTAATCTCATCAACGTAATTGCTACCAATAGAAATAACAATAAAGTGTAAGGATTCGTAAGAAGAGTGTCGAATGAAGAAGTGACGGTAAGTGACAAGCTGACACATCCTTATTCTAATTGTTTTATGTGGTAAATTATTCACATCAACAATTTAACACATGTGAACTTTACAAGACAAAAATATTAAATATCTTAACAAAGTCAAATTCACCTTTAGTTACAATTTAATTTAATTTTCTGCATGATATGAAATGAAAATTGCTCGGGAACGAGAAAGAAAAAGTTTAATTCACCGTTTACAAATTTCGCAATTAAGATTCAAATCTTGAATGATTTAAAACAACGAAGCAGAATTGTGTCGCCTACGCAATCGTCAAGGTCCATATGAACCTCCACATTAGAGAAAACTTTGTAACAAAAAATGAGAACATTTTCCAAGTAATTTTCTTCTTTCCCCCACAACACTTAATGAGCTCTCAAGAATTTTGTGTTGCGTGGTATTCAATGCATTCAAGTTTACTCGTTAAGAGAAAACTCTGTGGTCGTGTAGATTTATTTTGATGTTTTATTCATTAAACAAACGATTAAAGTGGAAAACAAAAATCGAGGTGTTTTGGTGATAGAATTATATTCACAACCAACAGTAATCACCATTCATTATCAAGATTATTATTCGTTGATTCGCTCTTCGTTAATGTCGTCTTATGAATGAGTGCAGATTTACAATCTCTAACTTTATATTTATTTTTAAATCAAAGATTAAATACCAGCAATGGAATGCGACAATAAAAGCAACTTAACGATTATGAGATCACATTGCATGTTTTTGTGAACGACAACGACTCAACGTGACTAATAATAGAATCTTAAGAACAATTTCGAAGGTGATGAAATGGGGGAAATTATTTTTCTTAAATGACATTCATGATGATGTTGTTAGAATATTTTTAGATAACTTTAAAATGATTCACTTTTAAGTGTGTTTCGAAAGGGTTTTCCGTTGTTGATTATCTTCTGTTGTATTGCATGAAATTCTCAATTTGAAATTATTTTACAAACGGAAGATTAATCGATTGTAATAAACTAAAAGAAATTGATTTCCTTTTCGAATCGACAAGCGTTGAAATGTTATCTAAACACGAAGATTAATTTTCTCGTGAAATGTGAGTGGAAAACTAAAAAGAAGAAAATTTTATTTTTGTGAAGAGAAACTCCAGAGAGCAATTAATTAAGTTTAATTTGAATGTCGTTTTGCGTACGCTTGAACAGTTTAAGAACTTAATTTATTGCGACTTGTGCAGTGTCTGCGGCGACTAAGGAAACTTTTAATTTATTACGAAAATAACGCCCTGACAATGCGCTTACCATTCTCGTTCTCTTTGCCATCATTCATTTGATTCATGCTCGCCAGCAACTCCTTACGAGCTTCACTTTCCTTCTTGTTAAACCGCACCATTGTAAACCTGCGCCACCATCAACTGAAGAATCATAACTCGATTTACTTGAACGAATTTTTTATTATCTGCAGACACTCGGTGAGTATTTTTCCCGTTACTTTCTTTTGTATTTCAGCCAATTTGCCACCTTCACACTTCTAGCAATTTTGTTTTCTACTTCCACGATCTGTCACAGACTTTTCACTGATTCGCTTAATTATTTTCTTTCCTCGCAAAAGCAATTGTTTCAAATATTTAAGGGAAATTCAACGATCGTTCATCTCTGAGAAAGAAAAGATTTTCATCAAAGTGTTTTTCACGGAAATTCTCTCGTTTCACGACTTAAATTTTACACAAAAAAAGAAAATCCTGCTTCGTAGAGTTTTTACTCAATTTTCTAATTGTTCATAGTCTCAGACATTTATTTGAAGAAAACCACGTTGAAAAAGAAAAATGTAAAAAGAAACGGGTCGGAAAATGCTAATATTTAAAAAACGATTTTCTTTTCTTTTTCTTTTCAGTTCATTTCTTAAATATTCATTTTAACGCCCACCCACAAGATTATGATCATCTCGGTCGCAATTGTAGACTGAAATTTCATGTGTGACGTCATGAGTGTTAAACATATTTAGTCGTATGTTGAAATAGCCCCAATTTGTGTCAGATGTTGAACACACGATAGTGAACAAATAATGTTCATGTGTCTGCTGAAAATTGGTTTATTTTGTTTGGATATTTAAGGGAAGTGAAAGATGCCAGACACCTGACAAGTAAATGAAGCGATTGATGAGATGATTTGGTCTGTTTGAAAGCGATTCCTAATCATATCAATGATTCTTCTCAACATAAACTTGTTGAATTTACATCTCATACACACAATAAATGTCGTTCTTAATCAAATCATTTGAATGCAAGATGAAAGATCAAAACAGCGCAATGCGACTGTTTATTGTCATTTCGCAAGTGCCATTCACAATTAATAATTCTCCAGTCAACTTAAGGCAAGGAATAATCTAAACTCAGCACAACTCCGTATACAAAGAAGAAGTTAAAAATAAAAGTATCAAGATAAAAGCAACAAACGTCTTACGATGACGTCATTTTTCTCCTGTGTTTTAATACTTTTATTTTTTTGCATTTAAGCTTGAGAAAGAGAATCGATTGGTGTTGCTTGCTGTTCTTCTAACGATGGCAAAGTTTACTTTGTGTAAGCAAGTTGAATGCACACAACGGATTAATAATGATTCTTGTTTGCTATCAAATATTTGCATTTTCTTTCATTTGTTGTTGATTTTTAAGATTTAATTGAAGCCATGTGTTGAGCGAGTAAAACGAAAGCAGAACGTTGTTTAAGATATTTTTAAGAAACAATTCTTTTACTTTTCCCTACAATTACAAATTACTTAATGCAAGTGAAAAAGTCAACTTTGCGAGACAGCACAAAGATTTCACTTTCAAACACACGCGATTTAAATTTTCTTCTGTTGATATCCGAAAGAATTCCTTCTGTTAACGCTTTGAAAATATCAAAAAGAAAAATAAATGACAGAAGCACTCTGATCACTTTCACGATACAAGTGAAACTGAAGACAGAAGAAAAACGATGTTGAAGAATAGTTGTCGATGAGAGAAAAGTTTAAGAGCGAACAAAAATTGTTCAACTCTCATTCACACGCTCTCTTGTGCATATATCTTATGCTTGAAACTCTCACAACATGCTTTTGTTCTGTTAACTAACTCTTCAGTCTTAATGTGCAAAGTAAAACCGGTTGTTTAAATGAAAAAGCTTTCGTTTGAGTTCATAAACATGTCGCTTAAGAATATTCGCGATAATAAATAAATCCCTTCTTACTTGTTCCAATCCACACCCACTTTGTTTTCAATGTCACAAATAACCATAAGTTTAGTTATTTTATGAATGGATTATTGATTGAAGGAAACATGACAAACATTCAGTAACGAACAATGAAAATCGATAAATAAAAAACGAATAAAAGAAATTTTCTCGTATTCAGTTACTGAGTCAACAAAAAAAGTCAATTTCGCATTTCTATTCCTTCTGAACGGAAGGAGGGAAATAATTTTAATGTCTAATCGATAAATTTTATATTAGAAAATTCACAAGGAATTTTATATTGCGATAGTTTCGACAATAATCAAAACTTACCGTATCCAGATGTAAACTCAACAACTTCTTGAGCTTTTTTCTTTTTTCTTCTACGAAATAAATTTTTAAAGTTAAATTTCTTTTTATCGTTTAATTCCTCTCCACTGTCACTAATTGTTGGAGATTCTGCTTTCTTAAACGATGTTAATTTCTTAAATAAACTGAATGATTCTTTCCCAACATGTTCATCACTTTGAACTTGTATTATGACCATCTCAATTAATTAAAATTTTTGTGCTTGATTTCTATCGAAAGGTCTTCAAACTCAAACTGAATTTACATTTTTCTGCGAAGTGAAATAAAAACACTTTTAACACGCGACGAGCCTAAATTGAAACTAAACAACGAACAATCGCAACTGGAAAGCAGAAAATGTTCGGAAAGGCGCATTATTGGAAAACTGCTCGATTTTTCTTTCTCAAAAATTTACTTTTATTTACTTTCGTCATTAAATTTCTTTTCAGCTCAAAATGTTGTTAAGTTCTGCAGAAGATTTAAATTTTCTTGTTCAATAAATTGAATAACTAAGCTGACGACATCTTCACCACTCCTTAGAACTTGTTGCTTTATAATTTGTTTGAAGTCTTCTTTCACATTCTTATCAGCACCGCGAGTTCCGATCCTTCGTTGAGTTGATGGAGTTGAAGTTGAAGAGGATAATCGCAAGATGACTTCATGTCCACGCCATAAATTCATAAACTCTTCAATCATGTCAATGTTGATTATGAAAGAGTGGAATAAAGGAAAATCCAAGCCCTTTACTCGAATTATTTCAAAGATATGCTCAACCAAAGGAATATTTTCATAAAATTCCAACTGAAGTAAAACGAGCAGACTTCCAAGTTGATAATCATCGACTTTTGTTGGATCTTTGAACAATTTTCTTTTCAGTGCACTGATGATGATTCTCGTGCAATATTGAACAATTGCATTTCTCGTCAATGGCAGAAACAAAAAACTTCGATCACATGCAAGATTTTTGAGGAAAACTCCAGAAATTGTTGGCAAATCTGTCATTATGAGTCGAATGTGATCAAACACCTCTCGTGTTGTATTCGGAGCGTTTATGACAAGACTCAACATTCGAATGTTCTTCTCAAGATTACTTAATTTGCTGTTATTGATGAGATTGTAAGAATCTGTATTACTTCTTAAATAAATTGCAAAATCAACAACAATTCTGTTGATATGTCTTGTGATGTTAAGATCGAAGAGAAGTTGATTAAAGTCTTTGAAGAAAATTACATTGCGTTGAAGAAGATCTTGAGCTTTGAAAGCAGTGACAAATGAAACTGCTGCTTCGGATGGGAATGGCGATTCATGAAGAATATTCATTAAAGGTGGTGACTCCATTAAATCTGATAAACCATCGACAAGAATAAATTGAACGTCCTGGCTGTCAATCTTCAATTTTGTACTTGAAAGGTAGTCTTGAACCGACACAAAGAAAAGGAAACATGTGAGATAAAATATTTGTTTAACATCACACGCGACATTTTCAATTTGCTTCAATTTTTGCCAGAAGAAATCTTTCGTCCATGACGGATTGTATTGAAACGGTTCCCATTTCAATAATTTTCCCACCCATTCAAAAAGTTCAATGATACTTGCACGACTTTGTTCAATGACATGTGGTTTGATATCTGAGGAATCCCAAAACTTTGCGATGTAATATTTAAACACAATGTCGAGAACGTGATTGACGAGATCAACTGGAAGTTCAATATTTTGTTCATTCATCATAAGTGGAAGAACTTCTCTTACTAACAGTTCTGTAGACTCATTTGGTGACACGCTAATTCCAGTGAGAATCTTTTCAAGTAATCTTGGCTAAAATTTAAATTTTTCATCATGTCATTTGTCACATAAAAACATTTTTTAACTTACCGCATGAATGGAAAGATTAAAATTCTTTGAAAATTTCTTCATGATACGAATGTAGGTGAAATCAGAATCAGAATCTGAATTCAATAACATGATGATCTTCTGTCCTGCTGGTCCATTTGCAAAATATTGAAACATGTTAACATAAAATTCCGCTTCTTGTGATATTTTTTCATTTTTATCTGCCATCTTCAAAGCATTAACCAAAACTTTGATTTCCTCGAGAATTTCTGGATTATCGAAGAACAAGACAATATAACTGAAACTTTTTGCTGCTTCATGGCAATTTCCAGATGCTTTTTGTAATTGATAATCTGTAAAGAATCTTTAGAAGCAACAAATTGAATTAAAAACATTTTACAAACGTAAACAAATTCTTACATTTCGAAATTCTGTGGGAATAAAGTTTTCGCTGTAAGAATCAATGCCTTTGATGCATCGATATCTGTCTCCTTTAAAGCTAAAGCTTTATTTATTAATTCCTGAATATCTTTTGAGCTCATTACGGCTTAAAAATAATTCTTTTAAAAATTTCACCGGTTTGTTTACTAAAGTTTTGTACCCCCTTTAGGACTTCAAAATCTGCTAAACTGCTAAAATGTGTCTTCGCTTAGCATCATTGTTGACATCAAGAGAAGTTATCAGAAATTAATCATTTTTAAACAGAAAGAATTAAATAATTATGGGTAAACTAAATGTAACAATTTTGCGTTACCTCAACAAAGAGGATTTTCGTGTTTTAACAGCTGTAAGTTCAATAACGGCAAGATAAATTAATGTTCACCAAACTCACATGTTTTCTTCTTTGATAGATTGAAATGCTGATGAAAAATCATGAACTATGTCCAGGTTCACTTGTTGCTTCAGTAGCTAATCTGAAAGCTGGAGGAGTTCATAAACTTCTCAAAGAATTATGCAAACATAGATTGGTAGCTTATGAACGAGGAAAAAAATGTAATTGTTAATGTTATTGGACAAGAGATCAAATTTAATTTCTTTCAACATTTTTTAGTTGATGGCTACCGTTTAACCAACACTGGTTATGACTATTTAGCATTGAAAGCTCTAACAATGCGTGGATCAATTTATTCCTTTGGAAATCAAATTGGAATAGGAAAAGAATCAAACATTTACACTGTGTCAGATGAAGAAGGAACTCAATTATGTTTGAAACTTCATCGACTTGGTAGAACATGCTTCAGGAACATCAAGAATAAAAGAGATTATCATGGAAAACGAAAGAATGCTTCGTGGTTGTATTTGTCGAGAATATCAGCAACTCGTGAATTCGCTTACATGAAAGCACTTTATGAAAGAGAATTTCCAGTTCCAAAACCAATCGACTTTAGTCGTCATTGCATAATCATGGAGTTAGTGAAAGGATATCCAATGACACAAGTGGATTGTGTAGAAGATGTTGATCAATTGTATGACGATCTAATGAATCTGATTGTGAGATTAGGAAATGCTGGAGTGATTCATGGTGATTTCAATGAGTTCAATATCATGGTGACTGATGACGCGAAGCCCATTCTCATTGATTTCCCACAAATGTTATCAACGTCACATCCAAACGCTCAAATGTATTTTGATCGCGATGTTAATGGAGTGAGAGATCTTTTTAAAAAGAAATATGGCTTTGAAAGCGAAGATTATCCCAAGTTTGAAGATCTTGAACGTGATGACCATTTGGACGTTGAAGTCTTGTGTAGTGGATTTACCAAGGAAATGGAAAAAGATTTACTTGATGAGTATCATGGTGGATCAAGTGATGATGATGATGATGAAGAGTCGTCAAATGAATCTGATTTAGATACAGAAGTTAATAATGAAGAAACGATTGACAATTATAGAAAGCAAGTTGAATTAGAAGTGAAATTAAGCGAAGAAAAAGTTAAGAAAGAAGAGTCAAAGAATAAAAACAGCAACATCCTCAAGTACATGGAATCAATGGCTAATCAAAAGGAATTTGAAAAAGCATTTGATGAAGACGATGAGGAAGAATTCAAAGATGCACTCAGCAGTTTAACAGTAACTTTGAAAGCAGAAAAAGTAAATGAAAATGAAAAACAAATCGACAAAAGTGATCAACATTCAGAATCAGGAGAATCGATCAGCTCGAATGATCTTGAAACACCGGAAATGGATGATGAACTTAAAGATTTAGACAAAAATTCGAGAGAATATCGAATGAAAATGGTGAGGAAAATCTTGTCAGATGCTAGAAGTCAACGAAGTTATTCCACAACAGCCTCTACAATTGCGCCATCAGTCATAACTGATCGTGTAAAAAAAGGAATTTCTGAAAGAGAAAAGCGAGAAAACAAGAAGCGATGTGTACCAAAAGGTGAAGCCAGTGCGGTTCGACGAATGAGAATTGAAAACCGCGATGTCGTGAAAGATTTCTCTGGATGGGTTTAAATATTTTTAATTCTTTTAAATGAAATAAAATTTATAATAAAAAAAAATTCGTTTTTTAATTTCTTTTCAGTTAGTTTTTCATATGTTGTTAGTTAAAAGAAATGATAAATAAAAAAAATACTTTCAATGATAAAAATTATTCATCAGAATAAAATTCTTTGATGTGATTTTATCTGAAAATCGGTGAGAATGTAGATTTTCTTATCGTCTTTGCTTCGGTATTGCTTAATCATTCTCATGATAAAAGCCTTTTATTAACATTACACTTTCGATTACTGATCATTCAACTTAAAATTCCCTGAATTTCATTAAGTTTCTTTCTTAAACACACAAACGTTTTTAGTTTTTTGTGCGTGGGTCTTTTTCTCTCTTCATTTCAGTTCGGTTTCATCCCCTGTTATGAAAAGATGTGAAATAAGCAAAAGCAATTTTAATCTCAAATATTTTATTTGATTGACAATCAACTTAAACACTTGCTTGAATTTATTTTAAAGTCATTTAATTTTTAAACAGCTTGAGTTCTACATTTGTTTGTGAAAAAATGAAGGAAAGAAGAATAATGGAACTCGACGAGATTATCAAAGCCGACCCAAGCGAAAACGAGGAAATTTTGCCAACAAACTATGACGATGCTTTGAATGAAGTTGGTAAATAATTATCGAGATGAGATTCTAATTGAAGTTCATTGATGTTTCTGATAATAATAAACTTTGGTTGCTTCTTCACTGACTCATAAGTTTCTTTTTTCTGATCGACGAAGCGGCACAAAAAAAATGGACAAGAAGAAGAATAAATGACCGAAAATAAAAATAAAAAACTGACCTTCTCAACAAATTTCAAACGTAAATTGATTGCTTCACATTTGTCTTTAGGTGTCGGGAAGTTTCACGCACTTCTGTTGCTAACATGCGGGTTGTGTCTTATGACGACGATTATTGAAACATTAAACATCGGCTTTGTCATCCCGCTTATTGAAATGGAATGCGAACTTGATCTGACGTTGTCACAGAAAGGAATTCTTAATGGTGCAGCATTTGTAGGTCAGTAAAGACAAAATTCTTTGCCCTAATTTAAATTAAAGTCGATCTAAATTATTCTCAGGTGTCGTTATGAGTTCATTCTTTTGGGGATTTCTAGCAGATTGGAAACGTGGAGGTCGTCATAAAATCATGCACATTTGTGTGTCTGCTGCTTTCATCTTTTCAGTGATGTCATCTCTATCGATTAATATTTGGATTTTAATTGTGACGAGATTTTTTGTTGGATTCTTGTATGGTTGAAAGCAATTAAAAGTCAGAGAAAGTTTAATCAAATGATTTAATTTCAGTATTTCTGGAGTAGCTGCCAACACTTACGCATATCTTGCTGAATTCCATTGTGAGAAGAACCGTGCAAAGTACATGAGCTTCGCTGGTATTTTTATGGCTTTTGCACTCACATTTTGCCCAGCAGTTGGATGGTTAATTCTCACTTTTCAAAACATCGCAAAGATTTCTTTCAACATTCCCTTAGTTGGATTGACTTACACAATTTGGCGAATTTTTCTTTTAATTTGTGCTGTGCCAAGTGGACTTGTGACGTTTTTAATGTTCTTCCTTCCCGAGTCACCGAAATTTCTTCTTGCACAAGAGAAACACGAGGAAGCTTTGAAGATCCTGAGGGAAGTTTATCATCGAAATAAAAAGACTGATCGTGCATATCCCGTGACGACGATCGCACTCAATGAACTGATTACGAGAAGGGAATATGAAAACTTTTCGTTTTTTCAACAAATCTGGAAGCAAACAAATCCACTCTTCAAGTCACCACTTCTAATGAAGACGATCAAGACGAGCTTTGTTATGTTCAGCTTGTTTTCCGCATCTTCTGGATTCTTCTTATGGACGCCTGACATCCTAAACAAACTTCACGAATATAACAACGAAAATTTTACTGTCTGCAATGTTATTGATGAAGTCATGAAAATGAAGGAGTTGTAAGTGAACATTTTCAATCAGTTTTCATTCAATTTACTCTTATTTTGTTATTTAGAAATGTGACATTATCAAACGAACTTTGCCACGTGACGCCAGTTGATGCAACAATTTACAAAATAACTTTCATGATGGGAGCTTTCTTCTCAATCATTTATTTCGTAAATGGAGTTATAATTAACAGAGTTGGAAAGAGAAATCTTCTTGGAGCTTGGTTTGTTTTATGTGGCGTTGCTGGTGGTCTCATTCCATGGACCGCAGATTATTACAAAATCATCTTCCTCATGTTGATCTTCTTAACTTGTGGTGTTTGTGGATCGATATTGTCAGCAATTCTCGTCGATTTATTTCCTACAAACATTCGAGCGATTTCTTTATGCTTTGTGCTGATGATTGGACGAATTGGAGCAGTCATTGGAAGTATTTTTGTGTCATTCATGATTGTTGCACATTGTCAACTCATGTTTGGTTTGTTTGCTGCACTTCTGTTAGTTTCTGCTTTAATATCAGTTCTACTGCCAGGAAAATAGATTTTAATTTAGATTTTCTTTAATTAATTTTATTATCAAGTTTAAGTCTTATGACAATAAAAGGAAAAATTAATAAAATAGTTGAAAAAATTCTTATTTTTGTTGATGATTATCGACGAGAAGTTTAAGAATTTTCAAGCAGTGTTCGCTTTTATTCTGTCGCTTTTCTAAGATTTCAGCTGCTTTCTTGTAATTCTTCATGCAGGTGAGTCTGAAAGAAATTTAATTAACAATATGAGAATAGAAAATCAATTGAAGAAGCTTACAAAGCTGCAGCAGTCTCGAAATTTCCAGTCTGATCAAAATATCCAATCCACTTGTTGCTGATGACTTCAAAAATCGGATCTGATTCATCTTTTCTCATCTTTGCAACAAGCCAAGCCTCTCTGAAGAATTTTCCTTCGCATAATTGAGTGATGCAAGCGTTAATCTCATTGACAGCTAAGAAATATGAAATTGCTTGCAAAAATTCGCCATTCTCAACACATTGATGTGCAAAAGCGAGACAACATTTACGCCAAAGACTGAAAAGTGACTGAATTAGTAAAATCTTTTAAATAAATTAATAAACTTACTCATAAGAAACTGATGGAGCGATAGCTACGTCAACGTCTTTCAAATTTTTCGTTGCAATGCGTTCCAGGATGTCGTTTTTCAATGAGTCAGTCAACTGAGGTAAGACCACAGTAGTTTTAGCTTTCCCAATCAGTTGTTGCTTCTGGTGCTCCAATTCATTCTCAACAACTTCCTTGGCACTCTCTCGACTCATGAAAATCTTTTCATTTAAACTCATTTCACGATCAACGTTGTTTGTGGTCAAAAGTCTCTCGATAAACTCCAAAGGTTGTGATGACAATTCACGAGTTGATACTTGGAAAATTGGACTTTCTTTCGGAAGAATTTTCATCTTCACAAGGTCGCATGACAAGTCAGAAACTTTTTCTTCATCCATTTTCACAACTTTCTTCTCATACCGTCGTCGATCTCCACTTTTGTTGATTTCTGTAACTTCAGTCTGTGCTGCCCATTGAATCTTTTTTGCACTCTGCAACTGCTTCTTCTTAGACGTAACTTCTTCGAACTCTTGCACGAAAGGATATTTCTTCCATTCAAATGTGATGATTGTCGAGTCTTGTCCACCGCAAACAACGAAATTTTCATTACTTGGCAAGAATATTGCGCTGTAAGCTTGAGAATCAATTGAATAACTTGACACAACTGACATTGATTCAACATTCCAGACCTTGATGTAGCCACTGATGCAACATGAAACGAGATGTTCACCAGATTTATTAAATCTCACCGAGAAAACTCTTCCCTTATGACTTTGAAGCTTTAGGAAGTCGGAATCGTTTAATGTCGTCAATTTCTTAACTGAAAAGTTCTTCACCAAAGTAATTCCATATTCAGTTGCGATTGCCAACGTGTCTCGATACCAGGTCATCATTCCAATGTATTTGTTGCAGATTTTCTTCGATGTTATCACCTTAAAATCTTTTGCCATATCCACAAATTGTAATTCGCCATTGTCAGTGCCAACGAGAAGAATTTCATTTTTGTAAACTGAAACTGAAGCGCTTTGTTTAAACTTTTCCAACACGTGAAACTTCCAATGATCGTTTTGTGAGTAATAAACAAGCTTGTGTCTGTCGCATGCTAAAATGATGAACATTTCGTCTTCATTTCTCTTAATCTTTGCCCAAGTCATTGAATAAACTTCATGTGATGAGAATGATGAAAGAATTGTTGGAACGTTCGATGATTTGTTTACATCCAAAATGCCGATTCGGCCCTCTCGTGTACTAAACACGAGAATATTTTCCTTTTCCGGGTGCCAAATCAAATTCAAAACGCAGGAATGAATTTTATTCATAAATGGACGTAAGGCGATTTTATGATGAGTTGCTTCTGACGTATTCCATAAGCAGATTCGTTTGTCATTACCGCCAATTGCGATGACATTCGAATCGATTGGATTTTCAATAATCACATGAATTCTGATTTGAATTGTATCAAGACTGATGATTTTCTCGTAATCTTTCATAGCATCAAGACAACTGATGTGACGATGAATTGACGATGTCCAAATAACTGAACCAGTTTGACTTTTGCAGATGTTCAACACTCCATTTGCATCAAACTTTTTATCTTTCTGATGTTTTGCTGTGAGATTCATTTTCGTTGAATCAAATTCAATTTTGTATTCGTTAAGATTTCCATTTCCGTCAGTGACAATTAAAATGCTTTGATTCACCCACAAAACGTTTGTGAATGGAGACGGTAAAGTCGGTCGTGCCTTTGGATGCCAATGAATTTTCGTCAATGATGTACGTTCATTAACATCCCACAACCAAACTGTTTGTTCGCGTGATCCCGATGCAAGCACCGGAACATCACCAAATTGTTCAACGTCTTCCTTCGAAACAATCACAAAATCTTTCATTCTCTGGCATTCTTCAAGATAATTCAAAGATTCCTCTGTTAATACTGGAGTTCTTGATGAAGCATTCGAATATAAGGATTCGTTCTTCTCTTTAACAACAACTTCTTCATCACATTTCTCTTTTATTACTTCAAATTTTTGTAAAGGCGCACGACATTCTTCTTCATCTTCGTCTGTCAACACCGGCGTACGAGACGAAGCATTTGATTCCAACGATTCATGATGTGAATTATTATCCAAATCCTTTAATCCATACTTGTCTTTATTGTCTTCGTATGAACCTTCAGCTAAGTCACCTGTTGCTTCATTTTTATCGTCCAAAATGACTCCTTTTAAGTTCTTGCAAGCTTCTAGGAAATTGAAATTTGAATTGCTGACAATTTTCTCTTGAATGTCGCCTTGATTTGTTTCTTCGTCATCGCTATTATCATCAACATTCTCTCGGTATGTGCCGAATTCTTGTTCAACATTTTCCTCGTAAATATCGAAGCAATCGGAAGTATCTGTGGAAGCGATAAGTTTCTGAAGTGAAATTCTTTTTACATTATCTGTTGCTGGTTTTGCTTCTTTCAATGGCTTTAATGGTAAATAGATCCAATCAAGTGATGATATTTCAGAGTCATGTCCACGAAGTTTCGTTTTTACTTCCATTTTATCGACAGAAATTAGCAAAATTAAACCATTTTTCGTTCCAGCTGCAACAATGTTAGAATCTTTTGGAGATTGCTTAAAAATTATTATTGGATTGCGTCCAGAGAGTTTTAGAAATAATTTGAATGTGTTGGAGACAAAGCAATATTTAATAACGTTTGAATTGACTGATGACAAAACTAACTTCTGTTTAAGAAAAACAATCGCCGTGTCTTCATTATGGCTGTTAATCTTATGCTTCTGAAAAAAGATATTATAATTAAATATCTATTTCTTCAGAATCTATTTTATCTACTTCATTTTGATGTCCTTTATGACCCTTGACCGCTTCGCCGCTTGCAAAATCATAAATCAAGACATTAAAATCGGCATTCATGACTGCAATACATTTTGATTCAACCCAATCGGGATCAGGTGAAAATCCACAAAGCCTGTAAAAATTGATGTTAATTAACACTTCTCTGATATTCAACAACACTTACTTATTCTTTAAATCAATAATTTTAACATCTTTTGATGCGTCTTCTTCTTCTGGTGGAATATAAACAACCTTTGTCATTGCTCCATATAATAATCCATTGTCAGGAGTGCAATGACATATTGCCTGCATAAACCAGTTGGGATTCGGTGGTATCACTAACTTTTGCATGTTAATTTTTAATTATTTGAATTGTAATGTGCTTTTTTTTAAAAGTAAAATTAAAAAAATTATTCGACTTATGGTGTTTTTTCTCCCCTTGGTATCCCCCAAATGGTATTTTTGTGGAATGTTTGGTCGATGTTTTGATGAATGTTTCAATGTTTTACTTCCGGCTGAGCGGGAATTTGAAATCTCAGAAGCCGTTATATAAGATAAAATTGGAATTCATTTTGTTCTCATCAATCGACTTCTAAATTTAAAAATTATTCAAATAAAAGAAAACAATTTTTGAAAAATATTTTGAAAGTATTTTGTTAAAATCATGAAGGATTTATTATGATAACAAAGTATTCAATTATCTTGATTTGAGAGCAACAACGTGTGTTTGCATATTTTTTTTTATATTTCCAATTGCGCAAGCGCCATATCTTCTGTCTTCGTTCACCTTGTCTATAAGAATTTTCGCGCAAGATCCTTCATTCAGAATATCTATCATTCTCGCAGGAGTCTTATCATAAAGTGAAAACTTTTTGTAAATTCTTATAAATTAAAGTACATTAACTAATTTTAAAGCAACCAAATTTGTTCTTATAAATATAAAGATCGTGAAAAGTGTGAAGAAAAGTAATTTAAAGCGTGTGCGTGTGATAAAAACGAAAACAAAAAAAATCATTTCAAACATTTTTTAACTTGGCTCGTTTTCTTGATACTTAATGAAAATAAATTTGAGTTAAAAAACAACCTTATAAAATAATATTTTCATGTTTTAAAATTGTCAGGATGAATTGGCAATATCACTTAAATTTCCTTTGATAGCCTCTGTCACTAACAGTCGAAAGAATTTATTTGATGTGTTGGCGTTGATTTCCTTTATCTTTCTTTATCCTTGGAGACAAAATAAGAGTTTTTGCTAGCTTATGATTTCGAGGCAACACAGAGTTCAAGTGTCGTCGAAAGTCATTAACTTTTTCCACGTTCATCAAAAATCTATTTTCGTGGCAGTTCAAAAGTAGGTAGTATCATCATCACAATATTGATTTTGCCAAGCGAGAAGTGTTTTCTTTTTCAAACTCAAGTTTTTTTTTCTAGATATTTCATGAATGAAAATTTATTGCAAAATAAAACATGAAGATTAAAGTGATGATTTTAGTTTTATTAATCACACAAAACTAAATCGTTCGTGAAAGGAATTCTTTCAGAAAATGAGCCAATTTATAAAATTCAATTAGTAATGAAATGTTCTGCAGTGAAATAATTTATTTTGAAAATTAGGACAACAGAAGAAACATTTTTACTTAGCGAAAAGTTGCATAATAAATACATAAAGAAGAAAACTCAAATTATCGCATCACATTTCAAACAACTTGACTGAGATTGTTTAAGTAGGTTTTTAAAATTAGTGAAGTATGTCGACGCAGAACACAATTGTCGAGCGGGCATCAGCTGAGCTTACAAAACGCATCAATGGACTGAGAAAGCACGGAAACAGCAACTCAAGTTCTATCAATAGCAGCACTTCAATTGTCGGTAAAACGAGCGTGATGGAGCGCGTAACAAACGTGCTTTGTGGTGGTTCGTCAAGTAATGTTCACAATAATAACAACAATACCATAAACAACAATACTAACTCGTCGAACGCTCCCACGACTGTGTCAATTAATACTCCCGAGAAACCGTATCGATATCAAAATAAAAATCAACATAACAATATCTTCGCCCAACATGGAAAGATGAGCGTAACAACAACTACAAATGTTACGAATCAAAACTCAAATTCCAATCAATCAACTCCCCAATCGTTGAGAAAATATCATCAGACTAAGTCGCAATCAGGAACAAAACGTTTCGTGCCACCGGCGACACAAATATTTAACATCGAGCAATTGTTTCTCGACGAAAGATTTCTCCAGCAATTTTTTCTTTACTTTTCATCTTATGATCGTCGCGATTTAGCTCAAGTATGCACCAAATGGAGAGACATCCTATATCGAAATCCCATTTATTTCTCTGGCCTTGTGCCAGTTCTTCAATGCCGTGAATTAAGGGTAACCGGGAGTCAAGATAAAGTGAAACTTTACAACTCCATAATACGTCGGGGATTCCATTCAATTGCCTTAAGTGGCGCAACTGATGAAGATGCTCTCGATATCGTTCATTCATTTGCATTAGCATCAAAGCATATTCACTCATTGAGTTTACGATGTTCGTCGATCAGCGACCGGGGACTTGAAGCACTTTTAGATCACTTACAAGTAATTATCTGTCATGTCATCTTTGTTATTATTACATCAGTTGATTTATTAAATAATTCTTTCTTTCCTTTCAGTCCCTTTTTGAACTTGAACTTGCAGGTTGTAATGAAATTACTGAAGCCGGCTTATGGGCTTGTTTGACAAGTCGTATTGTAAGCTTATCCCTTGCCGATTGCATCAACGTAGCAGACGAAGCTGTCGGTGCTGTTGCTCAACTGCTTCCGTCACTTTATGAATTCTCCCTTCAGGTTGTATCATAAATTACTGATTTCCATATTCAAATTAACAATAAATAATCTCATCCTTTATTCGACAGGCTTACCACGTCACCGACAGCGCATTATCATATTTTTCTCCGAAGCAGAGTCACTCCTTAAGTATTTTACGTCTGAACTCGTGTTGGGAGTTGACAAACCATGGCGTCGTGAATATCGGTAATTAAATATATTCATAGATGTTGGTCTGAATAGGATTTTTTATTTAGACTTTTAATATTTATGCAAAATGTTTCAATTGAAACTTCCGAACAAAAAAAAAGTTGAAAAGTTTTTATTATAAAAGTTTAAACGATTTTCAATTCCGAACTCTCATCCACTCAAGAAAATTTGTCGCCGTCGTTAATATCCGCACGTAGCTCTTTTATTTTTTTGATATTTTAATTTGTGGATAATAAAATTCGCTGAAAAAAGTAATTTTGCACAAACATATAAAGCAGATGAAATGAAATCAATTTGCTGTCACGTTGACTACAGAAAAGCTACAACATGATTATTAAAAGCAGATGGGAAATTATTTCTTTACTAATTTTTTCTTCTTTTTTGCTTGTTATGATTCTGCAGTACATTCGTTGCCGCATTTGACTGTTCTATCGTTATCGGGTTGTAGTAAAATAACTGATGATGGTGTGGAACTTATAGCTGAAAATCTTCAAAAGCTTCGGGCACTCGATTTGTCGTGGTGTCCTCGAATTACCGATGCTGCATTGGAATACATTGCTTGTGATCTGAACATGCTTGAAGAGTTGACCTTGGATAGGTTTGTATAATTAAGAATGAGAAACAATGCTAAAGATTATTTCTCATGTTTCTTATCTTAGATGTATCCACATAACGGACATCGGTGTCGGTTACATCTCAACAATGATATCCCTCAATGCTCTCTTTTTGCGATGGTGCTCCCAAATTCGTGATTTTGGCCTTCAACATCTTTGCTCCATGCGCAATCTTCAGGTGTTGTCTTTGGCTGGTTGTCCATTGCTGACCTCGAGTGGTCTTTCAAGTATCATTCAGCTAAGACATTTACAAGAACTCGAGCTAACAAATTGTGCGGGTGCTTCACAAGAGTTATTTTCGTATTTGAGAGAGCATTTACCTCGATGCTTGATTATTGAGTAAGTGTAATGTGCGTGGGTGGATGTAATAGGCTGTAGGTGGATGTTTTATCAAGAAACTCGCTGATCAAAGATCAAAGGTGAATAAGCATGGAACAACAAAAACACGTCCTTTTTAAATACCAAAGACACAAAAACAATTTGATGATAGTAGAAATAGAAGAAAATTTAGACGACCACGCATATTTAGAACGGAAAATTAGATTTCTAAGTAAGTTTTAAGTTTTATTTGAGGAATGTTGAGTAGAATTTTCAATACATTTTAATGTAACGAAAGTTGATTTCTTTAGGAGAAAAGTGACAGCGGCGTATGTGTCAATTATGTTCGTTCTGAGAATGAAAATGAAATTGTGACGTAATTGACAAATAATTCCTCTGAACGTGGGGCATCAATAAAATGAAACCCAAATTTCCTTATGTTTTAAATGTTGACAAATGATGACATTAGAGTGAGGAAAAAGCTATCAACATGATGGCATTTTAAATGTACAATAATTGTGCAAGCTCTTAGGAGTAAATGAGATTTTAGCAAGCGGATACTGTCCGTAACGAAAAGAATAAAAGAAGACCGGAAAGAAGAAAAAAATTGTGAGATTAAAATGACGGCGAAAAATTAAGAATGAAAAACACAAAAAAAAAATGTTGTTGATGTTTCTGTTGATGAAAACAAAAATTTATTTAACATGATATAAATATAAAAGATTTAATGTAACAAGTGGATGATACTTAGATATATCTAAGATACGTGAAAAAAAGTTAAGCAACAGGAAATACAAACAAGCTGATATTTTTATGTTTCCGCATAAGTCAAAGATAGATGAATTGAGGATGAGTTAAAATTACTTAAATACTTTGCATTCCTCTTTCATCACACATTGAGCTTCTGCCAAATAAAATAAAAGAAAAAAAGAAGAAAAAGAAGTAATTTGAAGCAAATAAATGAAATGAAATATTAAATATTTTTAAATGATACTGACGAGATATAAAAATCAGATGGAGCGTTATTATTTTCTTAAGCAGAATATAAGAATTTTAAAGTGCGTAGGTGGATAACGCGAACAAAAAACATTCCTTTAACTCTTTAAGCTTCTCAAATTTTGTGAAATGATAGCGATTACGTGAATCTACAATGATGAAACTTTCTTTATTCAAGTATGCTTTACTCAACATTTTCATAGAAATTTATAAGCAAATCTTGTGGTTTCAAAGTCAATTTGATGAATACAAAAAACAAACAAAGTCAGCCAACATAATTTCGATACAAAGATAATTCATTCTATGTTTTCTTTAAAGAAATCGCTCATTATCTTTTATCTTAGAAGTTGAAATCTTTTTCTTTCAATCTTTAGAACAAAACTTAACAAATTTCTTCGACAACGTGACGATTTCAAAATGATTTAAATAAAATGAAAAGAAACAAAGTTTAAAAATGTTTTTTTGTGATTATTTTATATTACTAACAAAAAAAGATAACATTATGATTTGCAAGTTTACATTTATTTGTTGGTCGAATGAATGTGACATAAAAGTTCAATGGAAAACTATTAAAGTTGTCACGACACCGATTACATGTTATCGTTAGTGTCAGGTTCAGTTCTTCAGAAAGCCTTGCAGTGTTAAGATGAAAAAATTAAGAACAAAAAATGAATCAGAAAAGCAAAACGTGGCAGTCAAAGACACGGAAGGGAAAGATGGAACAAGAATAGAAAATTTCGATTACAAAAGAAGTTTATCAGTTTATGATGCAATTTTATTAATTTTAATTTTGCTTATTTCATTATATTGCGGGATTTTCATGGAATCTCAATGTCCAGAGAACGATAATCAACTAAATGAATTAACTTATTGGCTTTTCAAAAACAATTACCAACATTTCAATGAATCTTTCAAGACAGTGCAAACAATATTTGATCAGCTTGGATTTAAAATGGTGAACGGATCAAGAAACGAATCGTGGAACATCATGTGGAGTGAAGAATTTCCTTTTGAAAATAATCCAGATTTGCTTGCCGCAATCAAACCCAATCAACTTATTAATCACTTTCCAGGCATAACTTACCTGACGAATAAAAAATATTTGGCATTGTCATCGGATTCAAAATACATTCCAACAGCTTTCGATCTTCCCCGATTAAAAAATGAATTTATTTATTATCAGAGAGCGAATTTAAGCAAGCGATTTGTTGTGAAAAACTGGCATAGTCGTGGAATAAGAATCATAGATGTAAAAACAATGGATTTTCAACTTGGCCAAATGAGGTAAAAATGTCTGTAAAAATTGAAAATTTATTAAACAATCAACTTTAAATGTTTAGATACGTTCAGGAATTTGTCGACAATCCTTTGTTAATAGATGATCGAGCATTTGACGTGGGTGTTTATGTGCTAATAACATCCCTTGATCCTTTAAGATTTTACCGATATAAAGGTGACATTTTACTTCGCCTTTGTGCTGATCCTTATTATCCTTTTGATCCTGAGAATGTCAATTCATATGTGGTGAATGACAAGCACCTTCCTTACTGGGAAGCTCCATCGTTTGTTAACACGACCAAACAGTTTAAGTTCTCAGCACTTGATTCACTCAATTTACATCTTTCTCGAAATGGTCACAACGTAAAGAAGTTCTGGAAAGGTATCGATGATGCAATCATGTCTGTTATTCTTTCGAAAACGGAACGAATAACACTTTTCACCTTAAGATTTTTCAAAGCTCAGGCAGAATATTTTGAGTTATTAAGATTCGATTTTCTCATTGACGATTCTCTTTCACCTCATCTCATGGAGGTATTTATAAAAAGAAGTTAAAGTTTTGCTTAAAAAATTAAAAATTATTTACTTTTTGAGATCAATATCAGTCCAAATCTAACGCCAACCAGCGAAAGCGAAGAGCCGCTAAGAATAATGTATGAACAGATTCTTTACAACACGCTGACATTGGTGGCAAATCGAGGAGAACTCATTGAAAGGTTTTTAATTATTTTTGCATATTTTAGGAGATTCTATGATGAAAATTTCCTTTCAGATTGGATTTCAGTGATTCAAAGTTTACTGTCAAAACAGTTTCAAAAGATTCGATGTTGTCTTCCAAATCAAATCTCGTGATTCATCCAGAAATTTGTGAAAATTGTTTGAATTCGTGTAATCAGACCGAATGTGAGCTTTGCACGAATTGTCTTTCGCAAACTGAATTAAGAATACTTCAACAAGCATATCGAGAACATCAGAGAAGAGCTCAAATGATGCGAATGTTTCCATCAAAAGCCGTATTTGAACCCAACAGAATGAAAAAATTATCAAATTCAACTCAACTGACTGTTAAATGGTTTTTGGCGAAATGTGAGGTTGATGAAGATTGGTGTTAAGTTAACTCAAAATATTAAGAAATAATAAAAAAATATTCGAGAGTGGAAAAAGCTCAAAGATCAATAAATAAATAAAAATAAAACGAGATCCAAAAGAATTTTAATCCCATAAAGAAATAACAAAGCGATGACCAAACTTTCTCTATAACTTTAAGCATTCACGAACATCACATTTATCTAAAGTATTTCCATTTTCAAAGAGAACAAACAACTCCATGTGCTGATGAAACAAAATAATTGTGCAGTTATGAGAAAAGAAAAACAAGCACTAATTAAGTTTTATGGTTAATCAAAAGTATAACAAACCACTCATACATTCTCCCCAACCTGAATCATCATCATCATCATCATCATCATTAAATATCATCTTGCAATCGTGCACCTTCGCCAACTCGTTTTACAACAATGATCGTTATGTTTATGAAGTCGAAGACAACTTGTGTGCTTTTTCTTAGAAAAATCCACTAATGTCTTTTAGCCATTCTAGTTTCAACAAGCTCATCAAATCTCAATCAGTTATCAATCAATTTTCAGTTGCAATATTTTTCTGCTTCCATTAATTCTCTATAATGTGTTGCTTATATGTTCAATAAGATATTTTCATGTGCTAATTTTCGATCTTCACAAATCAACTCAGACAATAATCATTTGACTAACATTGTCACATTAAGCTTCTTTGAATTTTATTAGATCGCGCTTTCTTTCATTAATTCCAACACGAAGCAGAACTAAATAAAATAAAATAATCAATAAGATCTCAATAACATACAATAAGCTACTCCAATTAATCATTGATTTATCAATCACAAGAAGACTTCTCGTTTTTTTTACGTTTCTTCTTGTACCATTTCAATCATTCCAGCATTCTTCTTCAAACTTGATTGTCATTAATCATAACATTTACTTATTAAGTTATGAATGGTATTCATATTTAAGCTCGAACATGGAGATCAGCAAGCTTTAATGGTCACGAGATTTAAATATTTGCTTTTGATGCTTTCAACTAACTTGAATAGTTGACCAAATTAGAATTAATTTTATTCAATTCAGTTTTTATAACTAAATTAGTTTATCTAGTTAAGTATTTAGGTAAAATAAATCAAACAAGAGTTGGTTGTAATGACTCGAGTGTGTTAAACTAGAAAAATAAAGATTCAGATCGAATCTTGAGTATGAGAGTGAAAATCGCATGGGAAAAGTCGAAGCAATCGAAGAAAGCAAAACGGTAGATATTCAATATTAAATGAAAATAAATATGAAATATTGGGGAAAATATGTTAATTGTGTAACATTCAATTTAATCAATAATTATGATTGAAAATCATAGAGAAACGTAACTTCTGAATTTATCCTTTTACTGAAGATTTTTGCAAATAGCCATAAGTAATTTAGATGCAGCATGTGCGAAAAAAATCCTCACGCTCTCAATATTCCACAATTAGTAATCTAGTTTATTTCTTAATTCTTAATCAAATTGAATATCGATTAAGTGAAACGAATTCAAATTTTTGCACAAAAGAACAGCATAATCGAGGTTGATCTGCATATGATATTTCCATTTAAAAAAAAGAAAGTTGATGTTATGTTTCTAATTATCTACAAGTGAATTTTTATATTTTTATTTGCAATCTGTCTGCTTTCAAACTGAGTGATTCCCTCGATTCAGAAGTTTTATCGGTTTCAACAGTTTTTTGATAAGTTAAGTGCTTGTTGTTGTTATTGACCATCAAACGAAGTTGATCTGAAGCAACCAAACATAAAGTTACACAATCACTTTGAACAACACAGAAAATGATTATAATTTCATATATTAATTCTTGTACATACACGTGATTCAGAGAAACAGAAAAGAATCGAATTCAACATCTTTTCTTAAACGATCATGTGTTGTGTTGTGTACACATCAGTAACGAAACCCGTTAACTCTGGTGTTCTCTTACTCCCCCTTTCAACTTATTTCTGTGTTTGTTTAGAGATTTCTTTTCTCTGTGATCATGACATTCATTTGTTTTCATTGTCGTCGGCCCTGACATTGCAAAGCAACAACCATAAGTAGGGATGACTTTGAAATTGGCAAGAGATCGCTTGAAACATTCGCGAGCGTAGGAAATGAGTTTGATGGAATGTTGATGTGGAAAGAATTTCAGAGAAGAGAAAAGATTGAACATGTTACACACCTGAGAACATCAAACAGACAATATTTTGTCTCATGTTTACTCACTTTACTTCTTTTTTCTTGTAAAACTTTTCTCGGTATTTTTCTCCCATCATATTTATTCCCGTTTTCGGTTTTCTCATACCCAAGCATTTTTCTTGACTTGTTCTCTCTTTCGCGCGCGCTATTACCCGTTTTTTTGTCTTCACCGAGCAAGGCGAAGAAAGAAAAAAAAGAAATAAAAATTAAACGGTGAAAAGAGAATTCATCGAGACGAGTGGTTTCTTCAGCAACTTCGCTTTTGCACTGGAAATCTTGGATCTCGGTAACTATTTCACAATTACGACTGAACTGAAGGTAGAAACACGTGTTTAATCATTTCGTCCGCTCGGACTTTGCTTTGAATTCTTTTTGTTCTGTGTTTTGCATTTTTTTTTTCGTCAAGAAAAATATTTTGATCAAAAGTGCTTTTAATAAGAAAATAATAAAATAATAAAAAAAAATTGAAAGAAGAGAGATTGATAAATGTTGATAAAGTGACGGGGATTTGACATTGTGATCGGATGGATGGCATGATTTATTGATTTGAAGAAATCGCTTGCTGGAAATTTATTTATGTAGATAATTTAATTTTTCATACGTATTTTGGGATCGTGTAGTTCACTTGATCGATTAGATTTCAGTGTTGTTTGATTTGATGTGGGAATGGTTATTTAGACAGACGTAAATGCTATGATACAAGAAGCATTTCTTCTAATTAAAATTTCATGTTCATCAAAAACTAAACCCCAAGAAAAAATAATTTTATATTAAATCTAGTGAAAAATTCATGAGTTTTAAGTTGAAAATTTTTATTTTCCACAGCAATTTGGTGAAATCTAAAGATTCATAAAAGAAGTTGTTAAAAGAAACACTGAAGTTGAAATAAAAGAAAAGAAAGATCTTTGGAATATGCATTTGTGGAAATGATTCAGTCTGTCGGTAGAAACCAAAGAAATAAAGTAATAACATCGAAAAGCGAATAGGTTGAAAGATTAAAGGAAAGAAATATAAAACATAAAAGCAATTAGACGAAATTTGATTGGATTGATAGAAAGGATATCAACCGACAATAAAACAATTGGCACACGTACAAACTCGTGCTGCTTTGAGAAAAGAGTCTGACTCGTTGTTCTAGTTAAAGGTAATTCGATTTTATTCAATTTATGTTCTTCACTTTAATTAGTTCATAGAAACAAATCTCTCCATCTCATTCATCCATGATACAACATCAAGTAATGTAATCAGTCAAAACTTAATAATATTCCATTCTCAACCGGCGTTTTTCGTTCATACATCAGCTGCTTACTTTTTGCTTCAATGACTCCTTCAACATTTCGTGTTAATTCGTTCATCGTGGAATTTCTACCGCAAAATTTATTCTGTGATAAAAAAGAAGTTTAGAAGAGAAAAGTAGAGAAACATTGCATGAGCTGAAATGTTTCGATTTTCTTGGCCTTATTCTTCTTTTGATACTAGCAAATGGCAAGATGACAATCAGCACTGCAATCTCTCTTCATTTACGTCAATTGAACACAGAAAAAAAAATGTATAATGCGATCACAAAAATTGTCGGAAGCTTAAATTCATAAGCATTAACGGCATCTTATAATTTTTTTACCTTCTTTCATTTGTTACAATTCCACTTGCGCATTCATTAATTACCAAACGTGATTGTTATTTTATTACGACTTGAGTTTATATATGTCGATAGTTGCCGTCTTCTCAACCATTCCATGCCCATCAACCATACGGCATCGACAGTCTTTCGAACAAGAAGAGAAATGTTTAAAAACTATATCAATCTGTACCGCATTGAGATGTGCTAAAACGTATACATTGCGATCATATCGAAATGGAATGAGGGAGAGGAAAAAGATTGAAGCAAATTGAAGCAGAAATATAAGTAAAAAAAGTCTTATTCCGTTACTTCTGGAAAATGACTGTTGCTGTGTACATGCTGCTCATGCTCACCACTTAGATGATGAGAAATGTTGTGTGCGGAAAACGACTTTTGCGAGATTTTCTTTTTCTTTTGCTATTTTTCTATGAAATGAAGAAGGAAATTTATTCCAAATAAGTGTATTTAAATGCAATGTTGTTTCAGTACACACACAACGCTCATGCGCATCAAGAAGTAGTCGCTTGATCAAGTCAAAGAATGAACTAATGGATTATAAAATGTGGCACATCAGGGATTTAGAATTTCAAATTTGACCGTCATGAGTGGCGCCAATGCCGCTGATAAATTGATAGTGTGAATGACTAAGTGGGTGTTATGAATGCGGAGGCTACCACATAATTTCTGTCTTCACCATCTCTGCGTGACGTACTATTCAATTAACATTTTGTGCCTTGTTCAGCTGCCTTTACCAGTTCAATACCTTATGAAAGTTTCTTTCTTTTCTATCTTTTGATTTTTGATTGTAGCCTCAGCATGAACTTTGATATATTAGTTCAAGAAAAAGATGATTTAGGTTTGCAAATAGTAAGAGAAACATTTTTTTTTCTTATTCTGATATTCAGAGTTAGCTAATTTTAATCTGCGAATTTTTTTAAGTTATTCCAAGCCACGAACATAAAAATAAATCTCATTAAAAAGTAACAGCTTGATTGCGGAATTCACTGTTGCATCTGAAATTTCATTAAATTTAAACAACTTTTTAGCAACACAATGAGCTTCAAGCAAAACTTTTCTTTGTTGAGATTTACAAATGAACTGTCTCTCAATTTGATTAGATTAAATTGACCCAATGCAGATGACAGATCAGGCTTAAAGTCATGGAGTAACTGAATTCAATACACTCGTCATCAATCAAATCAGCATTAAATCGGATCACAATTTAATCTGTCAAACGACGCCTCTTATTTTCCATCGCAATAATTTGCTTCCATTGATTAAATTTCTTGCGGTTTCCCAAAAGCAAAGGTTCGTTCAATTCAACAACGGAGAAGATTTACGATCAATTTAATCGCAAAAGATTAAATGTAATCACTTTAACCACTTCTTCATCTTTCTTCCTCCTTCGAATACATATTCGCAGTCCAGAAAAACAATTCATATGGCAGCAGGTTTTCATTTTAGGTAGATTTTGGTCGTCGATAATTTGTTAATAAATTTGTTGTTGTAGCTTCTTGATCGCTTGTTTTGTTCTTCTCGTACATGTTCTTCGTACTCTTCCTTAAATTTGCAATTCATTGCGTTTGTGCGCTCTCCGAAATTAAATATTCGTAAAGCAGAGTACTATTTATTAATGGAATGATTCATTGTTACATATTCCAATGAATTTAGTCGCCTTTCATGTTGCAATGTGCTTTGAGGTGCCGATAGAAAAAATATTAAGCTTAAATATTGAAACTCACTCATCACATTACATTAAGCTCTCACTTTGTCACCAATTTCACTCACAAATATTTAATAAAACGAAACATTCTGAGCTGCTTTCCTTTCTAGGTCATTCGAGACTGTAAAAATCTTCAAATTGACTGCGTGAGTCATATGAAAACCTGAAAAAGGAATTCGGTAAATAAATTTTCAAGTTATTGTGTTTGATAGCTTGAAACATTCCGAACAGTCATAAAAATCTTTCTCTCCATCGGTCCGATTGTTCGCAACTGATCGCCTCATAATTCATAGTTTAGCTGCTGGTGTTAATTTTTTTATTTTCTTAGCCGCACACGCAACTCTTTGAGAGTCTTAAACTTCCTAAATCTTATTTTTCAGGCAATTTTTATGTTCTTTTTACTATCATAAATATAATTTTCTTTTTATAAAGCATGATTGACATTGATTTATCTTCGATCACGAAAGATTGTCAACAATTCACTTATTGAAAAAATATGCAATGAAAAATGTGATCACAGACAATCAATGCAACGATGTTAAGAAATAAATGAAATAACAATCAATTGGTCAATGAACAAAAGAAATTTTTCTTATTTTCCTTCATTCGTCAAACAAAAGCTTTTCATTGTGATCCATTAAAAAGTGTGCAAAAGATAAATAAATAAATTTCACGACAATGCGTCGTGTTGTCTTGTAAGCATAAATAAAAGAAGGAACTTATCAACTGGAACATGACGACGACTTCACCACAACCATGCAAAAGCAAAAAAAAAGTTTCATGAGAAGGAAAAGCAATAAAAATTATCACAATATGAATACACATGGTGAAGAATTTGTAAAATAATATAAAAAACATGCATTTTGTTGCATTTACTTTAAGATATTTCTCATGATGGGAGTTGAGTAAAAGTTTAATAACAAGTTCTTAAATACTTTCCTCTGTGAAATCTCAGTTGTAAGTCAATGCAACAAAATATACAAAACAATCCCATTCACCTACTTTTCAATTCTGAAAAGACTTGTCTTTTGTGGTTTTTCCACTTGTACTCTCCTCGACTTAAAATGTGTTTGTTTTGTCTTTTTCAAAGATTTGTTGTTTATGTCTTTTGTTATGGAGAGTTGGACTTAAAGTTAATTACAGCAATACATTGCGAAAATGAGAAAGAAAACTTTTTCTAGATAATTTAAAGTTGAAGATTAAATAAGAAATGTGAAATGCAGCGATTTATTTAAAAGTTATCAAGACGATGTGAGTCATGTGAAGAGAAATTAACAACATTTAATACGCTGTTTGAGTGATTTTAATGAATCATTTAAATTTAAAGAAAGTTGCGAGACTTCAAAAGCGATAACTGCTGAATCATTCTAAGCAGTTGATTGAATTTACAACAGTAAATATTTATGTTGTTAAATGTGAAGATGAACCAAGACATATCTCAATTAAAAAATCAATTACAATTTTTATTTGCGAAGTATTTAAGTCTTGCGTGATCAGAATTCGAATTATGATGTGAATTATTTAAAACATTTCTTCATGTTGGGTGGCATGATACGTTCGGGGTTCGTGTTGATCTTGATACGCTTATCCATGATAGCAAGTGCTTAAAATGTCGCCTTTGGGTCAATAACACCTTTGAACATATAAAATTGACATAGTTTCTCATGACAACGTGCCCAACAAACAACGAAAAGTGTGATTATTGACCGCGTGTAAATTTCCGCATGTCATATTCTTTTGTATTCCCATGTCGTTGTCTTTCTAACATTTGCAAAAAAGAAGACCTCACCAAAGAAAGGTCCAAGTTAATAACATAATTGTCATTTCCTGATTTACAATGAAAAAATAATCATCATCCATTTAAAACGAGTATCTTGTGTCATAATTACAAAAAAGATTTTGTATCTTGACACCAAAAAAAAGTCTGATTCATCACGCTCAGCTGCTAGACATTCATTGTATAATTTTCACATCATCGTCAACATCAACGAGACACTCTTGAGCTCTTGTAGATCATTTAAAATTTCAGAAGTTTGCTGTTGAACGTTGACTTCCTTCCAACAACATAAACTACCAATAACTCCATCCAGACAATAAATCATTTTTCATAAACTTTAATCTAGATGAAAGAAAATTACTGCTGGTTAGAAAATGCTTTCTTTTATTTAGCGATGCGATCTATTTCTCTCTTTTCTATTCGGTGAATGGCGAAACATAGAATTACATTTATGATTATTTGTTTAATGATTTGGTGAAAATAAAGCATTATTAGGGGGGAGAAGATAAATGTAAGTTAGAGCTAGTTACAATGACAAAGCAAACAGAGACAATGTTATGGGAGAAATAAGCCATTTCACTTAGTTAAATTGCTGTTTCCTAGGTTGGTTGATTGAAAATTTAAACGGTTTCGTTCTCTGGAAATGTTGAAATTTTAAATATTTAATTTTGTGAGTGAGAAAAATTTTCTTTGACACATTTTAATCTTCTTTTTTAATCCAATTTCTTAAACTACTTCAAATTTGGATTAAACTCATTGTCAATGAATAAGAAATTCATTTGTCTTCTTGAACAGCAATGGAATAAATTTCAAATGTGTGAAATCACAAGTTCTTTTAACAGCAGACGAATGCTACAGGAAACAGCTGAAGAATTAATTTGAAAGACTGGTTAATGAATGTTTTAGTGTTCAGTGAAGTTCATGCTTTTACGACTATCAAAATAATGTTCACTTTTTCTGATTTCAATGTCATAAACTTTCATTTCTAATTCAAAGAAGAAGACGAAGAGTTTGTAATTTGTTAATGCGTCATCAACTCACAAAAGTGACTTTAATTCCATATTCACCAAATATAAACTTAACACAGTTTCATTATTTTCCAAATTAGATCAAACGATAAACTTAAATTGTGCTGTGTGAAGTGAATGTAATTAATGTGCTTAGTTGAAGAGAACGAACCAAACAAAAGAAGGTAAAATGTTGAAGACAGAAACGTGGATCAAAGAATTCTTAATTTTAATCTCCAAGCACGAAATTTGAATTCACACAAAACGCTTTAAACACAACACGATCATGTATTCGATCTACGTTTTCTCAGTAATTGTTTTCTGTAGATAATATGTCAGAAAAGTGTTGAGAAATATAAACTCGTTAACTTTCCGAGAGTTTCTAGCCACAATGTCTTTGAATGCAGTTGCAGTTTAACAGCAGTAGATAAAAGGAAGTTGGAAAAAGAGAAAAAGATGAAGCTGATAGCTTCTCTGTAATTTATTAAATGTATGTCAGCCATTTGCAGCTAATTAAAAATAAGAAAGAAAGTGCAAAAATATTGCTTAACGTCAACTTGCGCGTTGCGATTGAATTCAAAGATGTTTTCATTCAATATTGACTTAAATGAAGTTTGTTCGGCTTTCGACTGCATAATTTCTTGTTCTAAATACCAATCGATGATTTTATTCAATAGATAAGACATGAGAATTCAATTCAACATTTATCAAATGACCTGTTGTTATTCAAGTGTCATGAAGCAACTTATTGTTGATTAAAAAGTTGTTAAATTAATCATTTTACTTGTTCCAATTTTATTTCTTACAATACAAATTATAAAGGCGCTATCTTAAAAGATTATTCTCCCGCCTTCTTCTATTTACAGCGATCTAAAAATATTTTCATTCCTAACTGGTGTACTGATTCATATAAAAAATATAATAAAGCAATGAAACAGCTAACGGCAGTTTAAATGTGCAATACAAGTTGTAATGAAGATCTAGAAAAGATTTTTCAGCAATTCGAACATTTTACTTTACAATGAACGATACTTTAGAAAATATCTAATTAATTAATGGTTAATTTGAAAATTATTTATAAATGAAGATGTTGTTATGACTACTGTTCTGGTAGGTAGTTAAATGAAAGAAGACCGGAGGTGGTTAATATTAATGGGGAAAGAGTGCTTGCTGCCTTTTAATGATCTTAGTTGTAAACGGTCTTAAAACTATTCACTTTGATTAACGCTGATATAATGCAAGTGGTAGATCAAGTTATGATTGACATGCCTTCCTTATAATGTCACTTAATAACAGTCTTCAAGATTTAAATCACGAGATTTATTGACATGTTAGACAACAAAACCATGGATTATTCATATTTAGATTAGCAAGCGCATTATTCATTTAAATATAGTCAATTTTATTCAAAAATGAATTCTCGTTTCGAAGCTTTCTTCCATCGAAATAGTCACACATATCTGCCTACAAATGGAATATAAATCAACATTGTAATGATAGAGAGTTCGAATTGAATGGAAGTGAATTGATCGCACAATTAAGTTTTTAATGAAATATGATATTAAGAGAAGCGCACGTTCTTTTATTACGATCACAAAAGAGCCACTTTCAGAATATACTCTGAATTGTTGCCGGGGAGAAAAGCAGCAATCTACAGGCTAAGGCAGAGTTGGGATTTGACTGACTGACTGACAGACATTGACTTGTCAGTCAGTCAGTCAAACGACTTGAGCGGAACATTTGTATGAACGCTTCCCAACATAAGAATATTTTTGTTTGCGATTTTGACTGACTGACTGACTGACTGACAGACATTGACATGTCAGTCAGTCAGTCAATCGAGTTGAGCGTGCAATTTGCCCATCTCTGGGCTAAGGCCACTTTACGACGACGACGATGAAAAGTAACAATGGAAATAAAAGATTTTTGTATGTCTCTATGTCATTAAAATTCTTGCTCGACATCACCGAACGAACGAGTGACACGAATAATTTTTAATTTTGTTTTTTGTTACCGATACAGACATTAAATAATTAACTTTTCTTTATATTCCAATGAAATAAAATCAAATTTCACAACAAGCATTTCGAATATGAAGCGATCAAGTGTAAAGCATGGAAATTGGGAGGGAAAAATAATTGAGTTCCATAAAATATGAATCGCTTAACAGCGAAGATTTGATGAACCATGAAATTTTCTTTTATTTATTTTTCACTCACTTCAATTGCAAAGGAAATTCAATTTTCAGCATCATTAACTTAACTCTTTTCTTTTTCTTGTTTACATTTTACAGATAGTTGAATTAAGAAAATTGCTCCAGCAATGTGGAGCGCAGCGAAAGGTCCTACGAGACTGTGGAGGGACCTTCTCATCATCACTTTAGTTGTAACATTAAGTCTTAAGGTAAGAACATTTTCCCATCATTCGAATTAGATATAAAATAATGTTCCGTGCCATTTTCTCAAGTTGAAACCTCAGTTATATTTCCGTTAACTTCCTTTCTGCTAGAAATTCAAGATTTATGTATGTAAATAAATCACAACAACTCGAACTCGAACCCAACATTCAAGTATCTTGTGACGACTTCTCGCCATTTCTTGTCCGGATTTACTTTCGCTAATGTTCTCAATTATCGATATAAAGTGACCGTGAACAAGTCTATTGGAAATCGGCGGCATGAAACTTTACATTTTCCTTCTTTTTCTCTCTATGGATCTATTTGCAATTCAAGAAACTTTCGATTTTCTTTTACAAACGTTATCTCTCTTTTATAAGAAGCGGCAGAAGTTGATTTTCAAAGCGTGTGTGTGTGTGTGTGTGTGTGTAGAAGAAATCTTAATAAGTTCATTTAAATCGTCATAAGGTGTAATTAATTCATTGTCGTGGAATGCTAACGTGTTGACACCTTTCCGTAAACAAAACTTGTTTGTTTCTTAAATATTTCTTTTTATTCATTCATGGCGATCGTCGGTGATATTTTAAATCACTTTTGATTGTTTTCAATCAATTTAAAGAGCATTCAATTTGATTTCACAAATTCCGGTTTCTATCATTTCTTTCTTCAACTTGTTTTTGGATTGCAAATATCAACGAAAGTCTAACAAATATAATTTAAGTATGAAGCGACGACTTTTAAACTTTGATTTAGTGCTGCTTATGGGTAGTCAGCAAATGAAAACTGTCAAGCATTCATTCAATCACAAGATGAGATTGGAAACATTCAATAACAAGAAGAACTTCTGAGCTCGAAAATTCCACATTTTTGAATAGTCAGAAACCTGAACCTGTTGACTCTCTCTCTCACATAAACATGCATGACATGATGAGAAATAAATTGTTACTTAATTATATGCAGAAGACGAGCGAAGGAAAACCGGAAAACCTCTTAGAAATCGTTCGTCTTAAAAGAAGTGAAATGAAAAGTTGAAGAAAGAAGCTTTTCTATGTCAAATGTGTTGATGTTGTATGCTCATGCTTTGTTTCGAGACGCTCAATTATCTCCGCACAATTCATCATCAAAATCATGAAAACTTTTGCCGCGAAAATCGAAGAGAAACATGGAAAAAATGTATCAACGCATCGAAGCACGTCTGAAACACGGTCAATTATTCCAGACTATTTAACATTCCTTTTAATTTGTTTTTCATATCAGCTGACTTGTGCAATGAGGTCATATCGATGTGAAGACACTCATAACGCAAGTGAGCGAGTTAATTAATTTTTTAAAGAAAAGAAAAATTAGATGGCGTTTTAAGAATGCAGCCATTAAGACCGTAAATAAATTGCTAGATGAAACTAATTTCCAGATTCATCGAGATGAAAAGAATAAATAAGTAAAAGTTTTTACCGTTTTTCTCGTCTGGGTGAAAACTGAAAACTGAAAACTCAAAAATTCCACAATTATAAATTTTCTCATTTAATCATATTTTTGGGAAGAAAGAAAAAAAAATAATCAAACTTGGATCTGTGTCAAAACGGTTGTTGTTGACTTACTTCTAACTCTCACATCTTCAAGTTTTGAACTTTTGATTACCTTTTTTTGATTAAATTAAATCAAACTAAATTAATTGATTCAATAATGTAAAGAGATGTAGATTTATAAATTAATTAAGCAATCTTCAATGAGTTTTGCTTCACGCAATAACGTAAATTTTTTTCATATTAATGGTTCACTTAATTCCATACAAAACTAAGCGCTGTTAAACATGTAATAGGAAAATTAGTTTAGTGGAATAACACAACAAAAGCTAGCGATTAATTGCTGACTATATAAACAAATCATTTGAAAATGAACCTGCCTTGAAAGACATTTAAGTTTTTGTAGTCAATTAAACGCAACTTTAGAAATGTTAAGTGAAGAAAAGATGGAAATGCCAAGATATGAAAAACGCTTAAGTGTGATGATCAAAAGCTTGACCAGGTAGCAATTTAAAATGAATAATTTCTTTTGTAAAGATTGCAATTTTCATAAATCAATTGCGAGTAGTCTGCAATCATGTGGAGAGAAAAACTGTGACAATGAAATATGTTCAAGTCTTACAAGGCTTCTTTCACATAAATAAAAATAAAAAAGTTAGTCAGAACAATAAATTTTATTGGGATCATCTTTGTTGAAATTCTTCTGTGCTGCTTGCTAAAATCTGCTCGGTGAAACTTCAAGAAAAACAAAACCTTCTGGTTATAAATAAAAGAGACGATAATGAACAAGCATCGATTAAAAGAAAGCAGAAAGAAAATGATTAATTGGAACGCATGTGGTTAATGATTCATTAGTATTGTTGTCATGAAAGAATCGCCATTCAATCTACAATTCTTTCAAGTTCTCACGCTAAACTTAACTCAACTACATTCAATTAAACTTCTTATTTATCTACTTCCATTGACATCAAAAAATATATTTTTCCCATTGTGCGGTATTGGCACTCGCATTACACTTCACAACAGTTCAGCCGACACAATTTATATACGATGATCTGAGTTGATCACAAATTGCTTTCACCACAAAAAAGAAAATCGCTTTATTGACTCGCTTTATTGTGAGATTTCTTCTGACAGTTTTATTGACTCAATAAATAAATATTAACTCGAATTGTTGAAATAATTTCTGATACCTTTCATTATTTATTTTCAGTTAAGTTTAGCATCAGCATCAAATGAATTATGGCCCTCGGAAAGGCCAAACGGTATGCCAAATATAGTCTCGTTAGAGGTGATGTGCGCAAAGGATCACATGGACGTTCATATGACATTTTCACATCCATTCGAGGGTATCGTGAGTTCTAAAGGTATTTAAAATATTTTAATGTGCTAATATGTGCAACGAAGATTATAATTTAATTAACTTATAGGTCAACATAGTGATCCTCGATGTATTTATGTGCCACCGTCAACTGGAAAAACATTTCACTCGTTCCGCATCGCTTATTCTCGCTGTGGCACAAAACCAGACTTGAATGGGCAATTCTATGAGAATACGGTAAAAAAAATTCACATTCTCTCATGCACTATTCACAATTAAATCAATAAATTATCAGAACGATCTTTTAATTCATGATTCGATTAACTTTTTTCACCTCATTTCACATTTTCAATTGTTATCGTGCAACATTGTTGAACTTTTGACATTTGTTTTACAAAAAATAAAATTTTTGCAGGTCGTCGTCCAATATGATAAAGATTTACTTGAAGTATGGGATGAAGCCAAACGTTTACGTTGTGAATGGTTTAATGACTATGAAAAAACAGCATCAAAGCCGCCGATGGTTATTGCTGACTTGGATGTTATTCAACTTGACTTTAGAGGTGAACTTGAACCTTTATTTGTTCTTCTCAATCCAAAATTTACTTTTTTAACAACAAACAGGCGACAATGTTGATTGTTGGATGGAGATTCAACATGGTAAGGGACCATGGGCACCGCCCGTAAGTGGAATCGTTCCATTGGGTTCAACATTAACTCTCGTTGTTGCGATTAATGATTTCAGAGGTTTGTTTTAATTTATCAAGTTATTTGATTTTATTTTTCATTGTTGTCTGTGTTTTAGGCGAGTTCGACATGAGAGTTAAATCATGCGCAGCATCGGATGGTGCTGGTCACGTTATTAAACTCTCCGATGAATTCGGTTGTGTTCTTCGACCTAAAATGATTTCGAAATTTTTGAAAGCTCGTGCACCTGATGAGCGTGCTACGGTCATAACTTACGCATTCTTCCATGCTTTTAAATTCCCCGATGCTTTGAGTGTGCACATTAAATGCAAAGTTGAGATCTGTCGTCACGGATGCTTGGATCATTGTCAGACCACTGGAACACCTGGCCACATTGGTAACAGCTTGATTGGAAAAAGTGGGTCTTCACATGAAGGTTTACTTGATCGCAAAGATACTCTCATTGGACCATCTGAGAATGAACATCAAGATAATTCTCTTGGAGATTCTGATGAAGATGAACATGAAGAACATCATCATGATATTTTCTATGATGATATTATTCATAAATCAAGTGATTACACCCCCAATAAAAGAAGTAAGAAACCAGCACCAGTTTTCCAACATGATGTTGAAAGCGACATGGAAGATATCGAATCGTTGTTCTCTCAACATAAGCAATCACCTGAGTTATTGAGAAAGCAAAACTATCCACAATCATCGAAACAACGACAGGGTCAACCTTTGTCAGTGCAATCGAAAATGGACAGTGACAAATTCCCACATGGGCCTCGTCAATTACAATATGCACAAAGCAGAACTGGCATGCCGATTGCAGGTCCACGTGCTTTAGATCTTGAACAACTTGAGAATGAACAGGAACAACAGAAGATGCAAAATCAGAATTTGCAATATCGTAAACGTACAAAACGTTCTGTTAAAGTAACTGATCGCAAAGCTCGAAGCGCTGATGTTGGTGTCAGTGGATTGTATGATGTAATCTCTGAAGCCGATCTTCAATTCAGCCCGGATACAAAGCAAGAAGCTGTAACTGTTTTCCAAGGAAAAATATCTGAAGAAGTTGTTTATGGAATTTGCATGCCAGTTCAAGGCTTTAGCATTATTTTCATTCTGGTTATTTCTGCGACACTTGTGGCTGCACTCGTAGCTGGTTCTCTTTTGTACAAATATCAATTACAGAAGGAAACTCTCGCACAACAGCAAGTTAATGGCACAACAATTTTCGGATACAACACATTAGCAAATTGGATGACGATGAGACTTTTTCGGATGAAACATTCAACAATGAATCAACAACCGGGTGAACCGACACCATCAACATCTGGTGGAAGTCCGAGACAAATGGAAACAAGACAATAACAAGCAAAATGAATAACATTTACCAAATAAGACAAAATCGATACATGCTGAGGTTGAGAGAAGCGGAGGAAAGCTTGAAATAATTTTTGATAAACGTTAAAGTCATGTCGGATGAAGTTTTTTTAAGAAAGAAAAAATGAATGAGAAGAAATTTGTATTTTTGTGCAATAATTTATATCTTATATTAATTATCAATACTTCGTTAGCATGTAAGAACGAATCAGTAAACATAAGTCGAGCATGCTGTGTGGCTCGAATTAACAACAGCAACTTCCAATCTCTTCCAATACATAACGTTGATTGAAATTCGTGCTTTGATGTAGCTTTGGATTTAAATTAATTTGATTTTGTTCGAATGATTAATTCAAGCGTGCATTTCATGTACTGATGCATTGCATTTAATTTTTCGAACAACTAAAAAAGAAAAACAAAATTAAACATTCATTAATTATAAGTTTGATTTCATTTTATTTATTCAACAAATAATGCAAGAATTAAATATTCGTCGTCGTTGCAGTTATTATTAAAAAAATTTCTCTAAAGAAAACTCAAAAATATTTTTACTCTCCTTTGTCAATTAATTTATTTTTAATTTTTATTTTCATTTATAAAAAGCTTTTGTAGGTGAAAAGTTCTTAGTGATTAAGCTTTTCGCCATTAACTTAAGTTTTCTTTTCAGTGTTCATACCTAAATATATTTTTAACATAAATGAATTCGATCCAATAAATAAATATTTAAAAGAAAATTGTTGAAGAGTGTTTTCGAATATTTTTTCCAGGACTTTCCGATGATCATTTTCACCAAACAAAAATAAATAAATCAAATGAAAATTCTTTTATAGATTCAAACAACTTTATTCTTTCATTCTGATTCTCAGATTACATTTAATTTGTTACTTTGATGATCAAATTAGGACTTTTTTGATTAACTTGCAACAAATTTTATATTTTTTTTAAGTACAATATTTAACATGTTTTCATAAATAAATTAACAAAAATCTTTTAGTAACAAGTTTCACGTTGGTGAATAACTTTTAATTTAAAATTTTAAAATAATAACATTAAAGACTTTTAATTTGTAACAGAATCCTTCTTTGAAAAGAAATTTGAACGTGAAATGGAAAGAATTGTTCAAGAAAACTAATTACTAAATAGTCACTTAACGCCTAAGTAGATTAATCAATACCCGATTAAAAATTGTTACAGTGGTTAATAAATTTACTGAGTAGAAAATATTTGGAATTGCTAGGCAGTTCAACATTCAAAGGAAAATGCTTTGAAGGAATGTTGAAATAACGTCCAACAGCGTAGTGTGAATTGAAGTTTCATTTAAAAAAAATAACTCAAATCACTCCAACTAAGACATAAAGAAACCTTTTGAAGTTCGAGAAATGCGTATCATCTGTCATTAATAAATCAGTTGTGATCTATTTTGCCCTAAGTACTTATAAACTTTCAATTTTAAGTACTTTTCATCTCAACAACAACGTTTCTAAGTCAGGCTCTTAATTACACACTAAACAGTTGAACGGAAAGAAATAAAAGTTTTAAATAAAGTGGTACATAGTCTTGTGTCTTGTAAATATTAGTTACAATTGTTATTTGATATTATTAAGATATAGAAATAGAAACGAATTAAAATATTTTTGTTACAAGTGTGTGAATCAATTGAGCTTTGATTTCTTCACGCTCCCCTCCGTCCATTTCAATCTCAAGTGAAAAGAAAAACTTTCAATCTTTTCATTGAAGATTTATTGAGTGATAATTGAGATTTCAATTCTCATTCTTAACCCGAATATACAAACATTGAAAGTTTTTCGTGAGCAACAATGGCTTAGTAAAAATTTACATCACACGCTTGCAAGGGAAAATATATATCATTAAATACATTAAATATAAAGTAGGTTTTGGAACTCAATTGAGTAATTAAAGGTACATATATAGCCGAAAACGATGCTTTAGTTCTGATATTATACAAATGAAAAAAAAGCCAATAAATTACCCACCACTCAATTATTTCTCTTCCATACAATGCTTATAAGTTTGATGAAAGTTTCTTCTTAATATCTTAAATAATTTTTCATCTCTTTCAAGAGGTAATCCCAAAGAATAAAAGTAAAATTAGAAATAATCAAAGAAGGAAGCTTTTCGATACCGAAGGATCACCTTAAAGTTTCTATGAAACCAAAACGTTAATAGTTGTCAACATTCAACTCGTAATGGTCATCACAAGGCACTTGTGAAACTCGGGAATTCTTTCTTTCTTTCTTTCTCTTTTAAAAGTAATGCGAAATAGAAAACTGCTTTGTCATAAATAATTTAATCAAGTCTTATTCAGCTAGCATTATAAAGCTATTATTTTAACCTAAATTGAAAGCAAATTGTCGTTGAAAATTTCAAAGATTTTACGAATAGAAACCAATTTTCTTCTTCTGCGGAGTCACACGAACACTGTTATGTTGTTGAAAAGTGGAGATTGAAGGTGTTGTATTCACTGAAGGATATGAAAGTGCTTTTTCCTTTGACGATATTGAGAAAGGTTTCGTACGAATGCAAAGAAAAGCTGATGTGAGACATGAAGCGACAAGAATTCCCAAGAGAATCACTAAAGTGATGGTGAAGCCAGGAGTTGTCATACATATAAGACCATCTTCGCGTGCTGGGAAGATCATAGTTTCTTGATTCGTTCCATTAAATTGATCAGCGATGGGGAAAGTTAAGTCACCCGATGACACCACACGAATAACTTTATTCAAACCAACTTGCTCTTCGTTTTGTTCTGTCGAACGTGTCTTACGTACTCTCCGTTCATCTCGTTTCCTTACAGCATTCAAATAATGATCCAATCCATGCTGTTGAGATGGTGGGGGTGGTGGTGGGCCATATTGTGATTCTGGTCCTACACTTAAATGTTGAATATTGCCATCAGATCCACCAGAATGATCTGAACATTGGTCAGGGCAATTATATCGACAGATTTGAATTGTACATTGGAAATGAACTTCCATTGAGTCGGGGAACTTGAACGCTTGGAAATGAGCGTAAGAAAGAACAGAAGCACTGTTTCCGAAGTTCTTAATTTTAACAAACTTGCTCATAATTTTCGGTCTTGTCACACATCCACGTTGATCAACAAGCTGAATTGGAGCTCGCTTTCCATCATGTGCCATGCAATTTCTCACCAACATATCAAATTTAGCATCATCGTCTTTGATTGCAAGAACCATTGTCATTGTTTGACCTATTTTAACTAACCCAGAAACTTCAGAAGCCCATGGCCCTTTACCAACTTGAATTTGCATCCAACATCCGACATTGTCACCAGCAAAATCAGCTCGTACAACGTCCAACATATCAACTGGGAATGGTCGGAAGGTGACACTTTTCTCGTATTGATCATGCCAAGTGCATCGAAGTTTTCTTGCTTGATCCCAAACCTCTTGCACTTGTGGATCATATTGAATGACAATAATATTCTCGAAATAATTTCCAGATCCCGATTCGTATCCATAATGTCCATTTTCAGTATTTCCAGCTGTGCCACATGCATGAATTCCAATATCAAATTGAGCTGATGTGCGACCTAAGCTTGATGGCAAATGAACACAATTGGAATTACTGTAATGACCTTTGGAGAAAACAATTCCATAGAATGGCTTATCGAATTGCAAAAACACTTTCATTCCTTGCTTCTCACACTTGACGTCAAGTGACACAATTTTCGGCATGTCAGGCACAGGTGCTGACCACAAGTCATTACCATTTAACGGTGCGCCATAAAGCTTTTCAGAAATTTCCGACGCAGCGTGTTGCTGTTGTGGAATGCGATTAGGGTGAGGTCCGTGGTTGATGGGACCGTGATTGGGGCCATGACCGATGGGACCGAGTTTTGGAGCGTGATTAATTGGAACACGTTTTGGGCCGTGATGCATTAAATGTGGTGGGGGTGGTGGTGGTGGTCCATGATAAGCCATATGTGGGGGTGTGGGTGGACCAAAAGGCTGACCTAAGCCAATTCCATGTTTCGGAATTCCTGTGAAGAATTCAAATTAACAAAAAAAAAATAATTATAAAATTTCAGATTTTACCTTGAACAATATGAGGTGGGGGTGGATGAATATGCTGTTCTTGTTGTTCCGTCTCCAAGGCCACTTGATCAGAACTTTCATCACGTTTCTCAATATCTTCTGATGTAACCGACTTGACAGCTTCAGCATCGTCTGCAACTGACCACTGCAATAAACAAAAACATGCCAGAAGAGAAAGTTAGAACAAATGTGTGTGAGAAAGTTATTATTATAAAGAGAAGCGAGAATGAGAAATGATGAGATGATTCCCATGATGGTCATAAAAATATATTTTACATTCATGGTATGACGACGATAATGATATTTGATGTGACCATGATGTGATGGTATCATAATTCTGAATGGAGAAATCTCTGTCGACTCAAAATTTGCATAAAATTTAAATTTTCTTTCGCTTAACTCGGAATGAGAGAACAATGCATTTAAACTAGTAGAATGTGTTCAACAAGCTCGGTGGGATCTTACCCATGAAGTTGCGTTTGTTTGGTGGTAAAAAATTACTGTCCATCAACATGTATTTAAGATCTGATCTTGAGAAAAGGTTCTCATGTTTCATTTCTTATTTATTAGGTAAACGAATCTAATATAGCGAGAGACTGGAGATGAAAACCCCATGAAAACTTATTAAAGTCATCATCATAATAACTTCGATAGATGTTGATATGATTCAGAATAAAAATAAAAACGCAATAAAATATCTTAAAATATGCATCGGAATGTAAGTCACCGTCGTTTACTTTCATCCAACATGGACACAAAGTAAACAACAAAATAAAGTATGACAAGAAAGTTTTCCTCTTTCTAATGCATCTTACACATGGTTTGTGTTAGATAGCGAAATTAAATGAAAACAGTAAAGTGCCATAAATGGAAAATTACCTTGAAAAACTTTCAAAATCATAGTTTCGTCCATATGCAATTTTAATGACAACACGTGCAAACGACGACGTTTTCATCGTCTTCGTTTTGATTTATTTTGAAGCCGAAGACAATCTTTAATAAATGTGTTTGCTATATTTGAAATGCATTGTATTCGTTGATTATTCTTTTAGTTTCTCTGATTTCATACTAAATCTTCATTTTTAAGTGTTTTACGATTGAAAATTCTACGTTCCATAACATGTGGTTAAACAAAGCACACCAACGAAGTTAAAGAAAGAAAAAGAGTTGACATCTTTAAGGAAAATATTTGTGTTCGATTATCGTTCAACTCATGGTTTTGTGACTTGATCAACAACCGCAAACACGATTCATTGAAATTTTCTCTCAACTCCACCACTGTTAATTATAATGCATAATATAACGATATGTTATTCTAAATATTTGAGTTTTATGTTACTGAGACATTCTTCGACGAGTTGACCTAAATACGCGAGCCCTCAACACGCGAGAAGTCTCACTTCATTAATATACCTTCCCAATCATTTTTCTTTCTTTCTTTTTGTTTTCGTCAACCACAGCCACACAAGACTCTCCTTCTTCATAATAAAGCATAATGAAATCATGCTAATTGACCAAGAATCGAAAGTAATTTGCATCGGTTTAAGTTCCACTGTTTATTCATAGCTGATTTAAAATACTTTCGTCATTCCAAACCACTCACTTAAAGTCAGGACAAAAAAAATTAGATTTTTTATTAGAAGAAAACGTGTGTGAAAGACGAAAAGAGAGAGAAGGCCAAGATTTTTATCGACAAGTCACCATCAATATTTGGAATGGAAATCGACATATATGTTGTTTTGTGTACTTAAAAGAGCCTAAATACCACTGATGAAGCGGAAAATAAAATAAGAAAAAAAAGAAAGATTGGCGAACGAGTAGCATTGCCGAAATAAAATACTTTGCCCTACTAAAATCAATCGTTAATCATTCAGGCACCAAAGAAGAAGTCAAATCACGAGCACTCAGAAATCTCTACGGATGAAAAGTAAAAACCAACTTCGCGAAAAGAAAAGCAAGACCGTGAAATGAAAGAGAATTGTGCGTATAATTATCGTGGACGTTCTCGGGTAAGATTTTATGAGAAATTATTGAATGAAATGCCCATGGCATGTAACAATAAACAATCTTTTCATTTAAAAAACATTTTTTTGTTTCTTTTCTTTTTCATCGAAAATATTTATGAAAATTCCATTTACTGATTTAATGATATGGAAATTTTTTGTTGTTTCTCTTTCATTTTAGCTTTTGGTCTCACTCAGTGTCGTGCGATCAAGTAAAAGCAGTCTTAATGTGTTCTTCGAGCGCGATATGATTACATTTAGATGACGTAGCAGAAACAAAAAAGAGATTAAGAGACATTGAAATAAAAGGAACAACAAAGTGATGTAAATTCAACCAAACTACTTCAAAGTAAAGTTCGCGAATGCTTTTCAGTTTTCTTTTCTTAGAATTATTGATGACCGTCCGTTGAATTGTTGCGTCTGTTTAAGACAAAGTCAAATGCTTAATAATTTGCTTTCGCGCATATTCGCTTAAATCTCGAGCCTTGATTTAAAAAATGTTGTTACTTGTTTTGTTTCTATTATGCCTCTCGGCAAATTCCATTTAAAAAAACTGAATCATTAAAGCCGAGAAAATGAATTTAGAGCAGTTTAGTTCATCATTTGGCTTAGATTAATTATGCTTGTCACATTGTTTATTGTGGTCTTTCAATTTTTTTTCTCCTTTTAGAAGCGCGTAAAATTTCAATTTTTGCACATTGACCTATTTGAACTGGATGTTTAGGAAGAAAGTCGATGAAATGTTTTTAAGTGAATAAATATAAAAGAGATTTTTTCAATTCAATTCAAAAGGCAATTGAATGAGTGAATTAGATACGTCAAATATGAAGGTCTCTAAGATGGATTTGAGTTTAAATTTCAAAAGAAAAAAATTCAAATTCTTTATAATTTATAAAAATGGAGTGTCAAAGTCTCTCAACAATAAAAGATCCAATAATGTGCCAAGTTAAAAGCTACACGATAAAGTTATCATGCTTTTTCCTTTCATCACCTTTTTCTCCAACAGAAAATATCTCGCATTTATTATTGTTCATGTTAAATGTTTTGAAGCAAAAGCACTTCATCGCAATCACGCAGAACATGCTGTTTGGCTAATAGAAATGGAGTTTAAAGCATATGGCGAAGATAACAAACTTCTTTGTAAGTATCTAAACAGCTTTCAATATTTATTTCTTTTCTGTTGAACAAAAGTGTTTAAAGCATTTAAACTAACATAAGTTGGATGGTCCGAATGGTTTGAGTTGGTTGATAAATCGAGATGATAGCGAAAACATTGAAACCAATCGCTAATTAAGCTTGTTTCTTCAGCAAATGTTGGTGTTAGAAGTATTGAGAATTATACCTGTGATCGATTTCAAAAGCGAGAACATGAAACCCAATCACAGCATGGAAATTTCTTTTTTTCTGTTTTCATCACGTAAGTACTCACGATTCTCAAGGAAATTTGAAGCACTTGACGCGCTTTTAAAGAGGTTGAATTGAAATCGTTTTGCTTAATCAACGAGAAACTACGCGACACCAAAGGTGGTCCAATTGTTACGATTGAATATTTCCGTTTTAAATAAAAAATTGATTTTTTTGCTACATGAACGATTATGATGTTAAAAAAAGATTGCGTGGCTTGCTCTGTTTTTTATATGCATCATATAAGCTTTCAGAAAGCGAGATAATTTCACTCGTCGTTGTCTATCTCGCGACATTAATCCAAATTGAAATAGCTCTAAATGGAGTGCCAAAACTAATCAACAACTTCATGATGTCCGAAGGAAATTCGGTCAGTTGGAAGGAAAAATATTTCATTGGCAAAGAAGACCGCAGATCGAACCTTGGACAGAGACAGAAAAAGAATTAATTGCCAATCATCTTGTGAGTTGCCATTGAAACGGCACAACCGAAAATAAGAGTCGTTATATGCCGCAAGAGCTTTTTTTGTTCTTTCTTTCTTTCTTTCTCTTTGAGATTGTTATTCGTTATTTTCATGTGCTTAAGCGAAACTGCGCCAAAAATTCCATCCGCACTCTGCGTGTGTGTTTCTCATTCATGAAGTAATAATTTATTAAAATTTTCTTGTGTTCGATGAAACGAAAATAAAAATGAGAATAAAAATTAAAACAAATTTCAACGATGAAGATCAAAGAAGAGAGAGAAGTCGCGGGCAAACAGGTCATGATCAACCTGTGACTTTTTCGGGGCCTCCGCAAATTAGGTCAAACTTTTAGTAAAAGAGATAATATTTTATTCGTTTGTATCTTTTATGCTTGTAAATTTGACTTCTTTTTTACTTTTTTTCTCCTTCAACTTCATTATGTTTGGCTTTTTAATTTGAATATTAAATTGATTCATGTTCAAGGTAATTAAAATTGACATCACATTAGATATGGAGAAGTAAATGAAAAATAATTTTTATCCAAATAAACAGTGGAAAAATTAAACAAATTCTCAAAATCAAGAAATGCTTTTTTACATCTCAATAACCAAATCAAGATTTTCCTCACAAAGCGCAAGATGAAAAGCTTAAACAAAATCGGAATTCTGTTTACATGTGTGACGTTCATTGATTTCTTTCGATGTATCTTTTTACCTCAATCGTCGTCGTCGTTGTCGTCGTCTTTCACTCAGATGACTCCAACATGTTTGTTCTTCACTTCTCAAGAAATGAAATGCATGTGAGAAAGTTGATGGAGGGAAAATGAAAGAATGTGTAATAACAAGACATTTTATGCTTTCTTTTAATCGCTATCAGCATCCGATATCATCAATAAGCTTGGCGAGAATATCTTCTTCTTTTTTTGCAAACATACATCGTGAACAACATTTAAGTAAGAGACTCAATGGAAATTGACCATCACGACTTATTCCCTTATATCTTTAATCAAGTGATGTTCAATCGACATTTCTTTTATTTTATTTTTCATAAAGTGAGTGAGAGAAATGCTTTTTGTAATGTGCTTCGACGAGACGATCTTCAATTCAATTGTAGGCGTTTTCACTCAAAATATAAAAAGTTCAATGGGATGGAAAACTGCATGCGATCAATCACCATAAAGAATATTTTACTTATAAAATGATTGAAAAAAAAACTTACATTAATTGATCCAAGTAGCAGGAAACATAAAAGAATCACCGTACACTTCATTTTATTTCAGTTTTACTGTATGTTTGCTCGAATCTACGATATCTGGAAGTGATAAACAAAGATATTTTGTTATTAAATTGAGATTAAGTTAATAAAATGCAAGATGCAAGAGAAATGCAAGTTTCATTTCATTATTGTGATAATTTCTTATGTCAACGAGTTTAGTAAATATTTGGTAAGTGTCAACATTTGCTGTACAGGAAGCTTTGTGTGTCGTTTCTGTATTCTATGACTGACAGCTTGATTAATGGATGAACGAAAGAAAAAACAGCCAAAAACATTCCAATCCGCAACTTTAATTAAATTGGTCGCTTTTTCAAGAAGCAAATTTCGTCAGAAACTGATTTCTCCAAAACATTCTTGTCTCTTTATTTTTAAACGCTTAAGGAAAATTCCACAGTGCACAATTTAAAACTGAGAGATGCTTTAATCTTCTGAAATACTACGAAATCGTCTTGTGAAAGAGATGGATGCATCCCAGTACATCAGGTTTGGTTATCACAAACTCTTTTCAGTTGTCCCAATTTTTTTTCTCACAAGCTTTTCACTTCAATAATATGAGAAGAAAGAAAAAAACCCGAAATCGAAGGATGAGGAAAGAAATTAATTTCATTTTCTATAAAGCGACTTGACCCATTTCCCTCCAAATCAAATAAATCGATGGAGAAGAAAAGAATTTCCGTTTATTTTGTTGCATATGTGATTGGAACAAAGACGAAGACAAAAGCAGATTCGAAATGTGATATGTGCATGAAAGAGAAACGAAAGAAGATATCAATGCCCGAACATGAAGCTATGGATCTGCATAAATATCTCACGAGAGATCTTATCGGAAGATTTATATTGTTGACTGCAGAATATAAGCAGACAAAAAGAATCTCAAGATAATGATGTAATAAAAGCATATCTCGACATGTAACAATATGAGATCTTCCGTCAGAAATGAGTCAATGTTTTCATTTCTTCATATGACCATAATCATAGGGCTACGAATGCAATGAAAAACAAACGAATCATCTCAAATGTGAAATGTTTAATTTTCAACAATGACATTTGCCACGTTTTGATTAAAATTGTTTAAAGTTTTCCCCTCCAATTCGGCCCAACCTTCATTTGATTAATTAATGTTTAGATTCACAAACTAACAATCTGTGATTACTCATCGCCCTAAGGTTCATCGATGCCATTGATCATCATGAGAATATCTTTAAGAAGTGACGTAGATCTTTTTAGTTCAAACAATTTCATCCAAATGAAATGGAAAATTTACTTTCTTTGTTCGCGATTTTCTTTTCTCAATAAAGTTTGTCTGAAGTAGATAAATTCAATGTATCAATTTATCTATTTAATGGAACTGGCAAACCAAATTCAACATTGATGAACATTACGGTAATTCTTGGTGCGCTTCATCTACACAATCCAATCATAATTAATCCTCAGATCTTTAGTTATTTTCACTCTCGACGATGATCAAAATCATTATCATTACCGACAGACCGCCTTAATCACTCTATTTAAGCAAGAAGAATTTCGCTTTCTTACAAATTGCACCGTTTTCAAATTATTTTAGTTATTTCGTTTATTTTTCATGCTTCACAAAGAAAAGCTTCCAAAAAAAGTATAAAATTTAAAATAAAATACTGGCATAGAGCATCGACCAAGCTAATGCCTTTTATTGCGATCATGAGAAATTGAAAATTGAATTTCTTTTTCTTTTCTTAGCGATGCTGTTTCCAGGTCGGACTGCTCTTAATTGAATTTTATCATTCAATTTTAAGATTTGCTTTGTTACTTTGCTCGACTTTTGTTTCTTCTTCTTCACCTTCAATTTGGTTTTTGCGGATAATTTAATGAACATGACTTGAAATCGTTTGAATGTCTGAGTTTAATTGGAAATTTATGCACCTTTACTGCTTTCTGCTTCTGTTTGAATCACGGAATAAAGAATTCTATTGAAACTTTGATAAAATGTAATTTAATCAGAAGACATTGAATGTCGTTTAAGTTTAATGTAATTTTGTCTTTCAACCATAAATCCACAAAGTCATTTAAACTGTTCAATTGCATTCAATAAACAATGAAAGAGGGAAGAAAGTGAAGATAGAGATGACTCTCATTATAAAAGTCTAGGCGAATTAGATATTAATGTAGAGCAGTAAGGCATAATTTATTGGACGGTCAACACATAAATTGCAAGTCAAACTGTGAATAAATTATTGATGCTGCTAGTGTTTGGCGTGTCCAAGAAGTAAGTAAGCTATGATATGATTGTGCATGCGTAAGCTGTGCAAAATAAAAAGATTTTTAATGTAGGCCAAGTTGCTGAGCTTTGAAGTTGAATGAAGAGAGAAGCGAAAAAATAAAATACTGAAGCAACTGACTGGACATGATCGTGCGAATGAATAAAAATAAAAAGTGTAATTATGATCTGTTACACACAATGTTCAAGTGAATCGGAGAGAAAGTGAGCACACTTGGCATTGGCAAGCGCATTTCCTCTGCAGCATCATCTTAAATGGCATTCTTTACGAGTTCTTTTCGTCTATTGAAAGTTTTTTTTTCTTATGTTTCATAAAATTTTCAAGTATTGTGACGAAGGTCCGGTTGTTACTTTTATTTCCCTAATGTGAACTAATATCATTCAAAAGAATTAAAAACGATCATGCTGCGACCTTAGGCTCTCTTTTTTGCTTTATAAAATCTTCATTAGCACGAACTTAAGGCTAATAAGTCAATCATATAAAGATACTTGAATTAATTCTTTTATGAGATTCACTTAAACCCCAAATTATGAAACCATAAATGTCAAAACAAAATGATCGCCCGCAAGACATAACCCAGTGAAAGCAAAGGCGCAAAATGGGACGGTTTTTGATAATGTGTAATGTGATTAACACGCATCATGTATGTATCAATCTCGTAGCTTTTGGTGTGAGACTAAATGGCGCGAGACCTGAATGAAAACCTTTTCATTTCATTTTATTTGATTGAAACTGAAAATTAAAACTTCTCATGTTTATTTGATGCTCATAACAAGTAGTTGGGATTAAAATCATTTCTAATTTGATTATCTACATGAAGGAATTTTATTTTATAGTAAAAAAACGCTTTTTCTGTAGCATTTCTTACGAGGCCATTTGGTGTGTAGATAAATTGCAGTTTAAAACCAAATAATGAGATAAGCGACCTTAAAATCTCTTCTCACTTTAAAAAAGATACTTGAGAAACACATAAATCATATTTTAAAACGTATTTAGTGCTTTTATGCTCAAATTTACGCGAATTTTTACAGCAATGTTTAAGTTTTTTTAAGTGAGAGGTTCAGAACATTTTTTTATGGTCATAAATCATCATGCCATTGGATGTTCTTGTTGGATAAAGAAGTCGTTGATTGACAAGAGACGCTTTTGCGGCACCTTTTTATTATTTTCTAAGAGCGATCACTAGAAAGTGAGTTAAGTAGCAAGCTCAGAAGGGAATATCAACATTTACAAATACACGCATTAAAATTCCATCACATTTCTCAAAAAGATATCTTGAGTGTGTCGTGAACCTATTGACCGATATTTGTTCCAATCCCGAAACAATCAACATACATAATTTAGTTTTCTCACTTCTTTTGAATATTAAAAAATATTTTTTATTGGCATTGGCCTTAAATGATCAAAACTTTTTTTTTATATTTTCATTTTATTCCTTCACTTCTTTATGGAAAAGAATGAGTTGAAGATTAAGTTTCTTTTATGGTTTGTTTCATTTGTTTGTTTTTCAAAGAAGATTTCTTTCTTTAAACGTGGGCACGTTTTAACAAACTTTTATCACTGATGATGTTTGAAATCATGAAGAGAAAAAAAATTGTAGAATAATGAAGACAAATTATGCATTTTTAAGAAACTTGATAACTCGATTGACTTATTTTATTTAATAACTTAAACTTTTACCTTATCGCCTGCAAGTTTAAGTTGAAAGTTTATCCAATTTTAAATGGCACATGCACAAATGTTTTATTGTTTATTATTTTCTAACCACACAAGTTAACTCAAAACTTCAACTTTTTCCCTTCAATTTGTCTTTATGTGATTTGAGTTTTCTTTTCTTCACTGATATTTGATTAAATAAAAATTAGATTTATAGAAAGAAGCATGAAAGAAATTTAATAAAATTTAAAGAAAAAAACGAATGCTTGTACAATTATCGTCTTGACGGTACCGCAGTTACTAGAAGAATGACTTACACCTGTTGAGAGATTTTGTAAATGTTTCAAAGTGCCAGTTGGGAATAAAAGAAAAAAAAGCGAAAGAAAAGCAGCAAAGAGCGACGACTTTTTTTTCGATGATAAAGAAAAATGTATGCGAAGGAAAAACGAAGAAAAAAAAGAAATTGGTATAGAGAGAAATGAAAACGACGTTGTGGACTTGTAGAGTAAGAAATTTCTTTTAGATCTCGTACAGACTTGTGGATATGCGCAGACACTCGCAACAACATAGTTTATGTTGAAATCGCGAGCCTTTTTTTGCTAAATATTTGATCAATGTGTTCATAAATATAACGCAAATCGGTGTCGGATGAACATGTTTATAACATTCAAAATATAATTTCTCCGCACACATATTTATGTCGACAGAATCGATTGATGGAGAACGAAGAGCTTCGTAGGAAATTCCGATTGAAAGCTTAGATATCCGTGATTTGTGTTTGGAGACAACCAGTCTCCGGCCAATGCCACTTGACCAAAATTCCATTCAAACATTTTTGCTGAGATCAAATTGATATCAAAACATAAAGCATTAAAACTTCAAATGCAATGGTGAAATCTCACATCGTTGTCATAAATTGAAATTTTTCATTCATTTTACAGCTCTCTTGTCATCAATTTTTCACGTTCAATCTCATCTACTTTTAATAAATAAGTAATCGTTCCTCTTCTAGCGAAATTTCGTTCAAATTCTCGCTTGAGTAAGTGCCAATAAACTCAATTATTTGTGTCTTCTTTTCACTTTTCATTATAATTTTTTTTTAATTTTTTTTTGACTATTGATGTTAAACTAAAAACACACAAAAAATTGAGATTTCGCCACATCGACTTTGAACGCTTTTTTATTTTCTTTCTTTCGAATTTTCTATTGAAACAAATTTTCCCTTTTTTAATTTCTTTCAATTGTTTTGTTCAATAAAAAACACATTAATTGCTTTAAAATTAATGGGATGAAGTTATAAAAGCTGAAAATTTATAATTTAATTGGATCAAAGGTTGGATTGAAGATTATGATTAAGTTTTTTCTACCGTAAAAGCTTTCGATTAAACGCTTCTCAGGAGGTTTCAATTTTGCAATCTTAAACTAACTGTGCAATATCTGCGATCAACGTCGATACATCCATGACTTTACTGCACAGAATTACAAAGGAAAATCAGTTTCACGTTTCATTTTAATATAGCATAAAGTAATAATTTAATTGAATACATCATTACAATGGTTCCGACAATTGAATCAGACTTCTGGGTTGTCCAAGAAATATTTCATTCAACAATCTTAACGTTGAATTCATTCATAAATCTTTAAAACACTTTTTTTGAACATCTGACTCACGTTTATGCAAATTCGCAACAGTGAAAAAAGAGCAAACAAAAATTAATTCCACTCAATTGGCAATTTATGGAAATATTTAGTGTCATTCTGATCCACGGATGAATAAATAATTTTCTCTTTCAGTGTCTAGTAACGAGCGATGATTAAGACGACGAAGAATTTTAATGCAAATTCTTCAGACATGAAGACGTCGAAGACGAAAAAAAATGGAAAAATGGAAAGTTTCAAGTTATCACGTGAATTTTGTAGCAATTTCATAGTTTGTGGTTTCATTGGACGCGAAGGAAATTAATTCTTGTTGTATTAATCAGAAAATAAAAACAGTATTTGCATTTAGTGTCATAAATTTTAACATTTCTTGTATGAAGCGGATCATCATTAACCGTTAGTACTGCGGTCTCCGTTTATAGTCAATCAACATATGAGAAGAATAAGTATGACAACAGACTTTCATTCGAGGGAAAGTTAAGGATCACAAGAATTAAGAATAATGGTGATCACAATCACCCTGTGGGATCAGAGATCATCAATTCGCTTTTACTGCGTCTAAGAGTCGTCTGTGGGAAGCCGAAGCAGAAGCAACTTATAGGTCAGTGGAATTTGAAGCGGTTCTTGATCATCGATTAAGAATTTCACTTTTCACCGTTTCTCTATGTTGTGATCTTCTCTTCCATCGTTCATCAGATACACACAAATAGTTTTTCCTTTCGTTCTTTATCAATTACCGGTTGAGCTTGAACATCATTTGAAAGCATTTGTCATCAATTCAATTTATATTTTCATTCTCTTCAAGATGTTGAATTGTGAAATGAACATGTGTAAAATTAATCTGTACAATGTTTCGAATTGCATGCACCATAAAGTATTTGTATGTTTGATCTCATAAAATAATTAAAATTAAATACAATTTTTAATTGAATAACAAGAAATTTCATTTTTCTTTCAATTTGAGAAGAGGCTTGATTGAAAGACAAGAGTAAAACTATGACTTGTTGTCTTTTATTAAGTTATGGGAAGTTTATCTTCTTGTCAGTAATTGACAATTCTTTAAGTGAAAAGTCTATTTAACTGATGTACCTACTTAAATAATCTTCATTGTTTAATGACTTAATTTATTTTTATTGAGAAACGTGTAGCGCAAACGACATTTCAATGACTAGAAGTTGAATATACAATAAATCTTCGAAAGCTAATTTAACCATCGACGTCTCGGCAGTTAGAGAAATGAATTATCTGCCAATGTTTCGTAATTCAATTTGTATTAACATACATATGAACTTAGAAGGATATGAATAAAAAGATGGATTAAATAATGGCGCATTACTTTCATTTTCAAGATTCATTTTATGAATGAAGGAGAAATGATGAAAATAAATGAAAAGTTGCATCAATTAGAGATGAGAAAGATTTACTGTGGAATTAATTTAATTGATTTCAATCACAATTGATTAAACGTTCGGTAGATATTTTTATCATAAATCCAAAAGATATTAATACGACAAATTGTTTGGATTTATCTATTTTTTAATAAAAAAATGACATTCGACAAGTTCTTCCATTCAATACATTCACATCATATGTACTTACGATATTCAGCAATAAGCTTCGAATGACAATAATTGAATGTGACAAGAAAAACGACACGAAATGAAAAGAAAGAAAACTGATTATTTATCACTTCAATTACCTCTGATATGAAAAGACATGTCAAAAACAGAGCTCACCAATTGTTAATTAAATGCATGTCGGCATAAAAAATGATAAACAAGCTTCTTCTTACAGTAATTTTCGTACTTGATCGTTAAGGTAGGAGAAAAAGGGAGAGAAATCCAATTAACAAATTATGCTGCTAATGACATATTTCAGAGTCAGTCGAGTAGAAAATTTTCCTTTCCAGCTTGCTGAACATTGCAAAGATATTTATAGGATACAAATATGATAGGGAGTGACGTTTTTTATAATACTGGAAGGTTAATTTTCTATTTGATTAGTCTTAAAGGACTCTTTGTCGAAAGATTAATTTCAAATATTTAATTTAAACTTTCTGCATGATATCATAAAAATCTTTTCAATTCGTTCAATCATTTCTTTGCTTTGATCATCATAGAGCGACAAGAGAAGAAAGAGAGCCAACCTGAAGCTTTTTTTTGCAATTTTTTGGATGTTGAATGAAAATGGGTTGAGACATACATTCGTTCAGCCACAGCCGCAGCCGGCCATTGCCTTTGCTTTGTATTTTGAGCAAATGAATAAAGAAACTCGAAATTCTTGCGAGCATTAACGTGTTCGTTAAGAAGTCACAAGACGAAAGTAAAGCGTCATAAATAATAACATCGGGATTTTGACAATCATCTTAATTCACTTACAGATTTCATGGAAAGATTTTTTATGTCTTTACAAATCGCGAGAAGGAGTCATTCACAATTTATCAACAAGTGAAAAATCTTGTTCAATTTTTAATGCATGTCTAAGTAATAATTCAATGACTAATTACGAGACTAATTAAGTGAGTATGTGAACTGCTTCGTGACATTAATTAGAGAGTAAGTATTATGTATAATCAATTATTTTCTTATTTTATTCAACCTTAAACAATTGCCGTGTCTTTGAACTTGATGAATTAAATTTTCTTGGAGAATCATAATTTAATCAATTAACAAAATTGAGAAGAAACTCGTGTTTTGATGATGAAATTCATTTAATTAAATTCGAAGTTTTTGTTTTGTTTTCATAAACAACATTTTATCATCAACTTGTTAAAGCTACAAAACATTTTTTGAAGTAGGTATTCTCAAATATTGATTCAAGTGGTCTCTTCGTAAATATAACGTTGAACAACAACTACCTAATAGCAATTTAATTAGGGAGCATTCTTTATCATCTAAAATATGTTACAATAATCATCAAAAAAATCTTTTTAATTTCCTTTTTCATGTTCATATTTGACTTCAATAGTGATTATTTGGCTAAGATATGGGCAAGCAATGATACTTATTATATTATGCTTAATCATAAACGAGGTAATTTGTATCATTCGTAATTGGTAACATAGTCGAAAGTTGCCCTTGATTTTACTCTGTGATCATTTCAATGTTATTTGCTTCTATTTCAAGTTGAACTCGTCAAAGTTTTGCATCAACTTCCGATTTTCTGAGTGAATGAATAAGAGAATTAAAAGTTAAGATAAAAAAATGTCACATAAAATTTTATCAAAACATTTTTTTTATTGCACAGTTAAAGCTTGACGCTGAGTTATTGTGAATGTTTATTTCATAAATTTACAACTATACGACGATGACTGTATGAATCCCACGAGAGTTTATAAAATTCTAATGCCATAGCATGTAGTAGCTTCTTAATCACCATAAAGAATGAACGCAATAAAAAAATTATTTCTGGCTTTTGCCCTTCTCATTTTTTTCTCTAATTCAGCACATTCATACAGAAGAAAAGATTTTATGGAACACTGTCCGCTTGTGAGTTATTCATGATAATAAAATTGGAAGAGTTTAACTTTCAAGTGCAATCGTAGGTTAAACCAATACGGAGTTTCCAATTGGATAAAATGATGGGCTTTTGGTTTATTGTGGAGTATTATTCAAGCAGTGAAATGACTTCAGAGTATAAATGCATGCAAGGTGAACTCAAAATAACTGACGCTAAGGAAGTAAGTAAATTATTCTCTTTGCGACCTTTCGACACATCATGTTCATACCTACCACTCATTTTCGAATAGTTTTGATTTGATTTCACGTACGCGAAACTAGTTGAAAGACAATTTTCAAAATTGGAGCAGTTCATGTTTTTTTATTTTGCAAAAATGGAAAAATGACCATGAAACTTGTTTTTGTTTGACTGAACTAACGATAAGGAGAGAAAAGAAATTAATCGGATTTTTTTTTGTCTCTCATTTTGCAGATAATCATGAACTTCACATATAGGTAAGGCCGAGTTGAAAATCTGGTAGATTCATGATGAAAATTCATATAATTTCTCAACACATCATCAGTTACGTTTATGATTTAGATGACGAACTTTTAAGTGGCAACATCACATGGCGGATTCCAAACTACCACGACCCATCCCATTGGATACACACAGAAGAAGTTTGTAAGTGAATGGAAATAATTTCACAATTTTGCATGCTCTAAATTGAAAAATAAAAATTTTAATTACACGTTTGAATACGTTTAGATGAAGGCGTTTATAATACTTACGTTATCGATTCGGATTATGACAATTGGGCACTTATAATGCATTGTGCAGAGAAGAAGAAATCTTCGAGATATCTTTCAGCATTCATGTTAAGTCGAACGGAATTTCTTGGACATAATGTTAAAGCATTTCTAAGAGAAAAGCTTCCCCAATATAATATTGATCTCGATTATATGTTTGAAGTCAGACATGACGAGTGTAAAAGTGGCATTACAAGCATGAAGGAATATTACGAATATGTGCTTAAGAATAAGGCAAGTGGAGAGATTGATGATGCTTAGATTGAAGGAATGAATTAAAAAAGTGTCAGAAAAAATGATACTTTCTAAGATTACATCTCGATTATGTAAATATTTCAAATTCATATGTAAACGTACTTATTAACCCATTTGAAATTTAAATAAATTAATGAAAATCAAATTTTGTTATTGTTTTAATGTACACAAATTTAATTCAAATCTTTATTAGATATTGATAAGATATGAAGTTGGCAAGTAGAATCTTATCAAGGAATAAATGAGTATTTTTAGCATTTTATCACATCATTATAAGTAGAAGAATTCCTTCAATTCAATCATCAGTCGATTTCATTACCACAGTGAAAAATCATGAAGTTCGCCTTAACTTTCCTATTTTCAATCAGTGCTTGCGGTAAGATTCTTTCTTTAACCAGATAAATATTTTAATTTTAAATCATTCAAGCAATTGCGTTGCCTACTCAAAATGAACCTATTGCACCAACATATGATGCAATGAGAGATGTAAGATTTCTACTTCAAAACAGGCAAAATCGTGGAAATGCAGTTCAAGTGACTTTAGGGGATTTAAATTCCATCAATCAAAGTGTTTACAGACGTGATTTGCCAATGAGAATATCGTAAGATGCATGAAATTTATACTTTAAATTCAAATAATATAAAAAATGTTCGCAGAATTCATGGATGGGGAGCCAATGCTGATGATGGAACTCATCATTCAATCGCCCGTGTATTGCTTGACGAAGATGACTTTAATTTTGTTTTCATTGGTAGGCGAATCAATGATTACCACAAATGAGGTTAAATTAGCTTTTCTTTGTTAAAGATTGGTCAGCTGGAGCTCAAACAATTAATTATGTAGCTGCCAGAAATAATGTTCCACCTACTGGTGCAGCAGTTGCAGCTTTTCTCGATTGGCTTCACGAAAATGACCTTTTGGATTTTAATCAAGTTACAATTATTGGCTTCAGCCTTGGAGGTTTGTAAATACCCGAAATTCATTCTGTTATCTGTAATTAATGTTATATTTTGTATAATTTAAGCACACGTCGCTGGGTTTACGGGCAAAAGTGTGACACGTGGAAGAGTAAATACTATTATTGGGTATATTGAGAATAAATTCATTTTTAAACTTACTAATAAATAAAATTTAATTACAGGCTTGATCCAGCAGGTTAACTTATCAAGAGTTTATTTTTTAATTAATAACAATTATGAATATCGATTTTCCCTCAGGCCCATTGTTCCCTGTCGGTGATCCTACTGGAAGATTAGATGTTGGTGATGCAGTTTATGTTGAAGGTGAAGGAATTTTAATTCTTTTTATTACATTTAGTTCAATTTTATTTTAAGCTATTCACACAAACGGCGGAACACTTGGCAGTGGAATTGGAGGTATAATTTCTTGAATATTTCTTTCTGATTTCTTTAAGTCTGTAATTAATAAAAGCGAAATCAAAAATTTCTCAGCTCCAATTGCGCACGCTGATTTCTTCCCTAACGGTGGCGAGGTATTATAATCTCATTAAGAAAAGTATTAAATTTCATTAGCTATTTCTACGATATGTTTTCAGACTCAACCTGGATGTACAACTGGAGGGTGTAGTCACACTAGAGCAGTATCACTTTATAGTAAATTTGATTCATTTAAAAATTCAATGGAATATCAAATTAATTTATGTTTTTGAAATCTAGTGGAGTCAGTGACTAACAATCAATTCAGGGCAAATAGATGTGCCACCGCAGCTGATGCTGCAACAGGAAATTGTGCCTTAACACCTATTGCATTTATGGGAGGAGAGCCTTCTAACTACAGAAACAACCTTCGAGGTATTTTCCATATGACAACCAATAGTGCGTCTCCATTTGGAAGAGGTTGAAATGTTTCATTTGCTGGGTTTTTATCGAAAATAAGATTTATCGAAAAATATTTATTTCTGAATTTTAATGTCTAACATTATGTGAATAAAAGAATTTTCGAAATCTACAAAATTAACTTTTTTGAAAGTTTGATCTTCGCCTTGCACTCTTAGCGCTGTTTTAAAAACTTTAACGGTTGTTTGAAATTTGAAAATTCCTCGATAATGCATTAAATGCCTTCAAAAATATTTTATTTTCAAACATGACTGACCGTCCAAAAATCATCAGAGTTTTTGAGGAATTCAAGAGTTTGTAAACTTCTAATAAATATCAACTTGCTTTTAACTTAGACAGGTTCTTTACTCCCCTGATTATATTTCCTATGTAGCGTAAGTAGCTTTCATTATTTAACAAAATTCTCAAGCTTCCTTCGAATTTATCAGAAGTATTTTAGAATTTAAAGAAACAGGAAGTGATTAAAATATCAAAAAAGTTAAAGAATATAAAAACACTAGGTAATATTTTAAGAAAAAATGACAAAAGAAAAGTCGGAATTCCATGTGATTGAAATTTCATAATCTTGAATGCAAAAAATGGAGCAAGATAAGAAGAAAAAGGAATTAAATTTTTTATGTCTCTTTCAGATAAGCTCACGAAAACATCAAAAGTAGAGCATCAAAAGGAATATGAAAACTACTCAGGCACTCTTCTACGCACTGCGATTAAGTTACGGACAGGTAAAAATTCACTTTCTAATTTTTAACATCCTGATTAAACATTTTCGTATAAACATTTTAATTCCTAAACAATCTTGGAGTTTCTATCTAACATAGCGTATTTTTTCTTGTAACTTTCCAAAATCTGGCAAGTTCTTGAAGTTAAATTTAGCAAAATATTCAAATTTATTCATATTTAAATATACCTAATTAAAAAAATGTATGCCATGATGTCTTCTTATCGACCTTGGAGAATCCGGTTGAAACTTCCCAAGTATTTATATATCAATAACCTTCTCAATAAAAATATTTCCGAAGCACTTCTTGAATGGACAATTGACATTTCATGTCACGCAAAATTTTTATTTAAAGAAAATGTTCGGATGCGTGGGCGATTTGTTTTTCACCCAAATTGCGACTTGAACTCATTTTTGGCAGTCGCCGGTTATCTAATTATTTCACACATACACACACACACAAAGAAAATCTGCTTTATTCTGGCGAGCCCATCAATTTGCACTTATTGAATAAACTACATTTGAATTGTCACAATTTATGTATGAAAAAACTTACAATTTGCCGCTGATTAAGCAATAACCACTTTGTTCGACCTTGATAAATATTTTGAGTCTGAGAAAAGCAAATATCAAATGCAATCAGTCTCAGACTTCTTTTCTTTTCTTAAGTTTTAATGTCTACATTATAAATTGAGTTTGTTTATGTTTGTGAAAATGTGTCATCGACTTATCTTCATATTTGGTTTTTGAATTCTTTCTAGATTGCATCTGACTTGAATGGACCGGTACGTCAAATCTCAACAAAACGTGACCATTCAACAACATCAGCTGCAATTTTGGCTTTTATTGGCTTAGGAGTTAGCGGGTTTTCATTGAAGCAACTAGCATCAAAGTCTTCAAGAAAGTTTAAATGAGTTTTTATCAAATGCGTGCGAAGTGAAGACTGGACAATAATTTAAGCAACTTTTTTTTTGTGGAATGAAATCATCTCACTAACGGATTCGTATTACAAGGAGGACAAAATAAATTTCCCATTCAGTTGCAACTATTTTTGTTAACGATGAAAATTATTATCAGTTTGTGTCTCTCTTTGTGAGATTTTTGACGTAGCAGAACGAAAAAATTTTGCGATTTTATTTTTCTTCTTTATTTTTTGTAATTAAAATTAGAGTATTTCGTCTTTCTTCGACAATTTTTTAAGTGTAGCCAGTTCAGAATGATTAGAAAAAAATACAAAATAAATTGCTTAGAAAATCAAAAGAAAAAGTTTGTTTTATTATTTAACAGAAGTTCTCAAAAGATTAACTCTCAACATTATTTGACATGATCGGTAATTCGATTTCTTGTTCTTCAAGCTGTTCAAGATTTGAATCAGGATGATATTTCTGAATGTGAATGCGAAGTAAACGCGAGTAACCGAATTTCTTAAAACACTCGGCACATTTGTATGATTTCTCCTTGTGATGAACTGTCCTGATGTGAACGTCTGTGAAGTGAATGCGACAAGATATTTTATTACTAAGAAAACAAATCAAAAAGTTTTATGAATTACCCAGATTGAACTTCCGATAAAAAGATGAAGAGCAATATTCACACGTGTAGTCACGAATGCCGGAATGAATTGCGAGGTGACGCTTCAGTGAATTCTTATTATTGAATTTCTTTTCACACAAAGTGCAACAAAAACGATTTGAATTCTTATGACGCATTGTATGAGCATACAGAGCTCGTTTCGATGGAAACATTTTATTACATTCATCGCATGTTACTTTGGTTCCATTGTGAATAGTTTTAGAATGAATACGATGAAGAATCTTACAGTAAAATGATTTTCCACAATTAACTTCTTGACAATAATATGGCCGAATATTTTTGTGTTTGTTAATGTGACCTTCCATCCGAGTTTTTTCAATTTCTTTGAAACAAATCTCACATTTTTGTAGCATTTTCTTGTAAATTTCTTTCCCATTAGAGAATTTGTAGCGTCGTCTGCTTTTACTTTTGGACGTTTCTTCAAATCCTAACTCAACAGCAGTATCGTCATCTGACTCAGATTCTGCAAAAAGGATATCACGTTCTGGGTACATACTATCATCAGGATAATCTACTGAGTTATCATCCATGATAATTTCATAGCTTTTTGGAATATCACATTCTTCTTCTTGTTTAATTTCTACAGTATTTTCAACGTATTCCTCTGTGGAATAATCCTCAAACTCAGTTTGCGATTTATCTTCAATAGCTTCATAAGAAATATCCTCTTCACATCTTAATTCTGCGTGTTTTTCTTCCAATGAAGTATTTTCATTTTGTTTTAATAACAATGTTTGGTTTTCAATCCATTGTTGTTTGATCTTGTTGAAATTGATGAGGATATCAAAACAATTTACACATACACACTTTGGTTGTTTTATTCTTTTATGCTGATCATCATCAAGCTAAAATAATAAAATTTAAAACTTTATTTACATCTCTCTTATACAAATTTGTATTTATTTACCTTAGAAATCGAAATTCCTGTTAAACTTTCTATCAAATTTGTTAGAAATTCATCAATTGTGTAATAATCAAATTCCTCAGATAAATCTTTAATGCACAGTTTGCACATTTCAGATTGTTCATCTACAATAGGAGAAAGATCCATTATTTTTTTAATTGTGATCGTTGTTTAAAAAATTTTGTAAGTGTTTTGTTTTGTTTCGAAACGGCTCAAATTAGTAAGTGTAACGGTTCAATCGGATCACAGTTCGAACGTAAAACCAAATAAATGAGGTTCTCTTGTACCTTCACATAGTTCACGGGAAAAATTCAGATCTCATCCCTGATCAGCTTTTGGACGAAAGTTTTTTAATTTTTGAAACGCAAATATTTAAATTAATTGTTTAGCTGTCGATAGAGACACAAGCAGTTATTTAAATTGACTGTAATGCCGGTTCCAAGAGAAACAGAAGTTCCATTTCGTGCGGGATCTAAACAGATTGGCGTAAATTCGACTTTATTGTACAATGGTTCAATTTTTAAAGGTTTCCAGAAATCAAAAGGCAACAGCTACGAAGTAGAAGTAATTTTACAGGTAAATAAGTCCCAAGAATCATCAAACTGAATTAGAAAAGTGTCGATTAGTTAAATTTGTGTAGATTGTCCATGAAAGTTTCGTAATCTTATAGTGAGGTTAATGGGAGTTTTTAACTTTCATCTCAATCCATCGTTTGCTTTCTAGAAAAGTCGGTCAGAAACAACTTGAAGTTTATGAATATTATGACTTGTTGATTGGCATTTGTTTGGTGGTTACAACTCATTTAAAAGATTAAAGTTTATGGGAATTGTGGAATATCTGACCCAGTGAAAGTAATTTTTGCATTTTTCTACCGTCAAAGCTCGCTCGGTAGTCGAATATTGTTCATTGACATGCTACTTGAGACTCCTCCCATCACTGTATTTTATTATTGCAGAAAGATTGACCATGTCTATTTATAGCCTTCGCGTTTCATACTTAAACTTCATGATAGTTTCGTTTATCAACATTTTCCAAAACAATTTCATTTATTTTTCTCGCTTCATTTCAGCATGTTGATGAAGAAAACTGTTACCTTTGTGGATACCTTAAAATAACTGGCTTGACATCTGAATTTCCTACGCTTACCACGTTTTTTGATGCAGAGATTATCTCAAAGAGATATCCCTTCTTAACAAGGAAATGGGATGCTGACGAGGATGTCGACCGGAAACATTGGGTAAGGAAATTAAAAAAGAAATTGTGATTGAAAAAATTTATTCCATTTATCTACTTTTTTTTAGGGACGTTTTGGAGCTTTTGCTGATTACCAAAAGAACTTCAATTCGGACGATTTTACCTATGATGCATTAGAAAAATCTGACTTTGTGTTTATGAGATGGAAAGAACATTTCCTTGTGCCAGATCACACAATTCGTGATATTAATGGGGCATCTTTTGCCGGATTCTATTATATTTGTTTCCAGAAATCAAAAGCGTTAATGGAAGGATATTATTACCATAGGTCGTCTGAGTGGTATGTTAAACATTTCAGAATAAGTCTTCAACTTATTTCACTCTCAATTTTATTTTTTCTTACGCCAGGTTCCAGTCACTAACACTCGAACATCAGCCCGATGATTTCATACAAGTTTATGAATTTCGATAAGTTAAAAGCACGCGTATTCATCATTTTTCTGTTGATGTTTGATCACAAACAAGACAAAAGGCATTCTGCAGTTTATTCAAGAAACGAATGAAACTTTTTGCAAACGCTTCTCCAAAAAAAACTTTTCGCTTAATTTCTCTTGTCAAGTTTACCTTTCATTTCTTGGAATTTCTCGTTGACTTTGATTGTAAATCAAAGCCTTCAATTGAATTTCATAATTTTCGTTTCAAACTTTTAAGACTGATAAAAAAATTTGTTTTATTTCTCCTAGAATCTTTTTTCCTTCTCTTAATTTTTTATGTATTTAAATAATTTCTATTCATCACATGTTGTGCAAAGCATTGTTAATGCATGCAAGAAATACCTTAACGTTCGTACATACTATCAAATAGCGAACTTTATTCGAGATTCAATTTTATTATGTACAAGAATCGAGCTTTGTTTTGTTACGTGTAAATCCTTATTTGTTGATTTTTTATTATTTTTTGTAAGCTTTTAATTGTTTTTAATGAAAAACATCTGACAAGATTCGCTGAGAATTTATAGGATATCTAAACGTTACAATTCCGTTTCGATCAAAAACTTTCAAAAATGAAAAAAAAATGTTAATTAAATTTTACACTCATACACAGAAACACATCAAAAACAAACCTTGTGGGATGAAGCATTGTAAAATAAAACTTAAATTATATTTTATTAGAAAAAAATAAATAAATGAATGAAATTAATAAAAGTGAAACAAATTGTCATTAATTCTTGTCATTTTTTTTATTATTTTCTTTTTTCAGAAACAAAATTCAGTCGCGAATTTTGATTTCAATCAAATATATCAAAAGAAAAAAAAAACATTACAATTAAAAATAACATCACATGTCAAAATATTCTTAGTCAAAAAGAGTAAAAAAATGGGATTAGGAAACCCAAAAAGTTTACGATTATTGGAAAGTTCACATTAAATTTTCGTTTCGCAAATGTTAATGACTCTTGTTGACCTGATTATTATTCTCTGTCTGTTTATATTCTCAATCAATATTATCGCGACGCAAAAGTGTGACTCTTTCTCAACAACGACAATTCCAAACGCTATCAATTGTATGATCTTTCATTCCAAAGTCTTAAATATTAAGTTTCTCGCGTTTAGACGATGAAATACAGTATGAGGTGGTTAATGTGATTATTTAAATTCATCATTTAAAGCAAAAGCCATCGAATAACTGAAACTTTTTGTTCTACATATTTGTTTTGTTAGAAGTTTTCTTAAATCATTATTAAATAATTAAATAGTGTTCCTTTAACTTTTTCTCAATGTCGTTAGAAGATTCCCAAAAGATTTTACATTTTGTGCTTTAAATTGTGTGTTAAGAAAGTAAAAGTAAAATCTTGTAAATCTTACAAAAAAAAGTTTGCATGTTGAGAACCTCTGACTAAATGAACAAAACATTATTTTAAATGTTCAAAGTTTAGAAAGAAAGATGTGGGAAAATTTTATTAAAAAGTTGTTGTGACTGTCGTTTGTAGTCGCTCGCAATAACCTCAAGACTTAATTGAAATTTTATTTTCAAAAGAAGGAGAATAAAAAGTTCTCACTCACATCACGTTTAATGTCATTGTGACATGCGAGAAACAGTTTTTTCGTTATGATTCTTTCTGTTTGTACGTTTGATTATAGCGTGGAACGCTTTTAATGTTTTTTTCCTTTTTTAATTATTGTAGGTTGAAGAATAGAAGTACATAATACTAACAACTACTGGTGGTATGACTAAATATTGTGGGGAGAATTATAAAGATGAAATATAAAGGAAATTGAATAAATACAAACTTTTCATAATATTCATAGAAAATTCCTGAAGATATTTTATGTCGCATGTATCTCTACTTTTTTTCCTTTCAAGCTAAACTTCGAGATTCCCGAAAGAATTTCTCGACAAATTCTCCACCAAGTGTTTCTTATTGCTTACATTTTAATGTGAGAATAATTTCTTTTTTGTGAAACATTTACAACTTTCAATAATAAGATTTTGTCTGTTCAACAGCAACTATGAAAATTCCTTTTTTGTTTCTTTAAATTCCAGCAAATTTTGCTTCACGATTATTTCAATTGTAAAATATGTTTTAAGTGTAATCAACAATGTTAATTAAACTAGAAAATCCCATATGGCCGTAATGTATGCTACACGTGAATAACTATTGTCAATAATAACTGATGTCAAAGATAGAAATGGAATTGATGAAATCAAAGAAAACTGAAGGAATAAAAATTAAGAAACGCGGTCATCAACGTTTGTTTTTTTTGGAAAAGGATTCTTAACAACTAAACTGTTTTACTTCAGTAAATATTAAAAACAAAATGAAGATATCTGTGGCTGCAGCAACAGTTAACGAGTCTTTAACATCAAGAACATATTTTTGATTGGAATCACGATATACTGCAGTTGTTTTTTGCACTAAACTTACTAGTTGGTGACTTACACGTGATATTCTTTGCACTATTAACTATGTTGTTCGGACAATTGTTACGAGTTGTTGTCAATGCGTAGGACTTTAGATGGGATTTCACTGATGGTGGTAAAGGTAACGTGTCGATTGAGTAAACGCTTCTCGTTCTTCTGACTATGGTTCGACAACACATTTCTTGAAGCGATAAAACTGCAATTATGTGGGTGTTAAAAAAAACCTGTTTGCCATTCATGAGATTAGAAAAATAAACTGATCTACCTTTGTTTGTTCTCCATATTCTCTCCATGCCATTTCTGTGCAAAGCCATTCTTGCAAGTTCGCAAAAAGACTCCCTAATATTAAAGTCGCAAAGTGGAGAAATCTCAAAACACGACATTTTATGTCGACTTGCATAACTTTCAGCCTGCTTTGCTGCAACTTGTCGTTTAAATGCAAGATGCAATCTATTTCCTACAAGAACCTTTGGAACACCAGGAGCATGCTCCTCAACCTCTTTTAGCCATCTGTTTATTCCTTCGAAACTCCATTTATTGGTGATATCGTACACTAGAATAATGCCTTGGGCGCCTCTTGAATAACTTCTAATTATTGTGCAGAAACGACCTTGTCCACTCGCATCCCAAATCTAAAAGAAGAATAAAAAGAAGAAAAAAACATCATGAAAATGCAAGAAAATTCTGATATTGCGTATTAAAATTTTCCACATCATTAATTCAGGAATAAAAACTCACCTGTAGTTTCACTCTTTTACCATCAAGTAAAATTATTGTGGTTTTGTAAGTAGCTGTAAGATAATTCGATAAGCTTTAGCTGAAACGAATTAATGTTTTTGTTTTTATTTCTCACCTTCTTCATTTAATGGATCTTCGTCTAAATTATTCAGTATTTCGGTCTTTCCAACATCGGAATCACCAACAAGCAACACTTTTAAAAGGTAATCGTATTCCTTAGCCATTTTAAATGTGTTTGAATCGTCTTAATTCGATTTTGAAACATTTATGTGAATTTATTTTGCGAATCAAAATTATGTGCTGTTCAAACCTTTCTAAGTCACAAAACTTTGTGGCTGAACGGACGGAAATAAATTTGAATATTTGACCGTTAAATTTAAGGTTCATTTCTAAAAGATCATCTAAAGCTATCAGCAACTTGTGATAATAAGAAGAAACAATTATTCCTGCAAATAGGTAGCTACTTTCATATCTCATTCATTCTCTCTTAATTCCCTTTGTCTCTTTTCATTTTAAACTTACCTGAAGGCAAATTTGTAATTTTGCTATCACTCCAAAATAAGATTTCAGACAATTAGCATCCTAATAAGCTCCGATCAAAAATCCAATCAAAAAAATATCTGAATAATGTCGTTAATAAAATTAGAAAAATCGGAAACGGTAGTAAAACAAGATGAAAATTGGGGTAAAAGATCATTAAATAAATAACAATAAAGATCAATTTACAACCTTACAGAGATCATTTCAGATCAAAATGTGGGAAATAAACTTCAAAGCGAGGCAACTTTTCAATTGAAAATTGTAAATTTCAGTAAAGTAACAAAGGATATTTTCTCGGATGAGCATTACGTTAGAGGATTACTATGGAAAATTAAGGCTAAGACTGATTATGATAGCAAAACGTTGCGATTCCATCTATGCTGTGAACCAGATATCGATTCGAATACGTTTCGAGATGATTTAAATTGGAATTGTTCGGCTACTGTTGACTTGAGAATGATAAGCTTCAAGGAGAATGTGAAAAATATGTCTAAAACTTATCATTGTACTTTCTCCAATATAAGTGCTAGCTGGGGTTACTCTTCATATCATATCCTCACAGATATTCTCGATCCAGATCAAGGTTATGTAAAGGACGATACGGTCATCTTAGAAGCACATATCCAAGCTCATGCACCATATAATGCCAATTGGGATTCAAAAAAAATGACAGGCTATGTAGGACTTAAGAAAAATGAAAAAACATGTTACATGAATTCTGTTCTTCAAACTCTCTTCTTCATCAATGAATTTAAACAGAAAGTTCATGAAATTCCAACAAAAATTGATGATGTTAATAATTCTGTTGCTCTTGCTTTACAACGAATTTTTCACGATCTGGAATTCTCCAGCAAACCAGTTGGTACTAAAAAGTTTATAAAGAGTTTGGGATGGGACCAAGACTTGTATGCCCAAGATGGGGCTCATGCGTTTCTTCATGTTCTTCTGGAAAAACTTCAAACAAAAATGAAAGGTGAGTGTTCAATGTTTTATCTAATAATTAATCACTAAACATCTTTCTTTCAAAGGTTCATCATATGAAGGAACAATCGATAAACTCTTTGCAGGGAAAACAATTTCTTATATTACGCACAAAAATTTAACTTACGTAGGCACAAAAATGGAAACATTCTTCAGTATTCAATTGAAAGTCAAAGGAATGGCTAATTTAACCAATTCATTGAATGACTACATTTCAACGAAAATCATAAATTTTGACTCAGATAAAGCGGAAAAACGTGTCATCTTCACATCGTTTCCAACAATTCTTCATTTCCATTTACTTCGTTTCGAATACGATCCGATTGCAGAAGAATCTGTGAAGTGCAATGATGTCTTCAAATTTTATGAAAATCTAGATTTAAATAAGTTTTTAAAAAAGGCAAAAAATACGCCGGTTAAATACGTTCTCTATGCAGTTCTATCCCATTCAGATAGTGAACATGATGGACATTACGCTGCTTTCATTAATCCAAAACTCGATGGAAATTGGTTCAAATTCCATGATGATGTAGTGTCAGATGTTGCAAAATCATCAGCAATTGACTACAATTATGGTGATAATCGAGAATTCACTAATGCTTATATGCTTGTTTACGTTCGTGAATCGATAGTCAATTAAAAGCAAAATGTTAACTTGATGTCACATTTATGTATAAAATAAAGTTTCGTTAAATTTAAACTTAAAAGTTTAAGTCGAATTATTTCAGACTTTTCATAAAAGACTTCGAAGGTGAATTAAAAAGTGGATTAGCCGATTTCAAATGATAAATGGAACCTTATCAAATTTCACCAAATAAAAGCATGCGTTCCAGAAGTTTAGATTAAGATCCATAAAATTACTCGATAATAATGATGATGACTGGAAGCTCCACGTCAATCGAATAACTGCGTCATCGCATAAGTAAAAGTTTCAAAAGAATGGACAAATTATTAAAATTATCTTGAATAATAAAGTTCAGGGATATCCTCGAAACACGCGATTGACAGTAAAGTGTACATTTAATTAATGTGAAAGTACTTCTTTGCTATATTTATTGATCTACAAATTGACTTTACCACGTGTCTGTGCAATATCCTTGATTAAGTAATTGGATATTTCTCAACATTGCAAAACTTATTTTTGATGAAATTGTTGTCAGTGAAATTAATTCCTCAGCTTATGGTTTCACTGATAAGATTTGAAAAAGCAGGTGTTAAATATATCTTCAAAAATTACGTCAAAAAAGAGTCGTCGTCAAGATAGAAATAATAAATTTTAATTCATTAAAGAGTTTGTTTATTCTGTGAAAATCGATTCAAATCGATAAATTATAGACTACTTCGTACAATGTTGTAGGTATTGCATACATCATGATTGTTCCCTAGTGTTATTCGAATCGATTGCTATTTTATTTCTTTCCATACTGGGATCCTTTGTTGACCTTTGAGTGACGTATGATGTTTTGCATCATGATGTAAACTATTTTTTAAAATAAATGCGTATTGATTTATGTATAAGTAAACGGAAGTTGATATTGAATAATTAATTAACTTACACAAAGCAATGACTCCCCCACTAATGGAAAGCAGGAACACGAATCGTCCCGCGAGAATCATTTTGGTAGCATAATATAACATAAATGATAGGTTCAAAGCAAACCATAATAAAGTATTAACAGCAACACACAAACGTGGTTTCATTCGAATGCCATCAATTGGCTTTTGTTTTAGTCCTTCAAAAAAGTTTCCAAACTTCAAGAAACTGTCCTGAATCTCATCCTTCTCTTGATACATTTTATTCAAATAATCTTGAGTCGGCTCAACGTTATCAATAGATATTCGCTCTATGTACACATGCGCCACAACCTTTTCTCCACGTAACAGATTCACTAATGTCGGCTCAACCTTTGCGCTTTTATCGAAGGCTAACTGAAGATTTAAAACTGATAAGTTTTTGTACTTTTTGAGAATAGGAACACAAGTAATGAAACCTTTTCCTCTAGGAATCAAATGATGTTTTAATGGTACCATATTCCTCTCAGAAGCGAATTTTTGAGACGCTTCATGCTTTTCCTTTGTGAATCTTGTTCCTTCAGCAGTCACAACCGTCCATGAATTGTCAGGATATTGTAAAATATCGTCCAATCTTTCTTCAATCACAGCCTTATCCTTCTCGAATGAACGTTGAAGAAAGATATGCTCAGCAAATCCAAAGAACCATCCGCAAATTGGAATGTATTTGATAACATTTTTGATGAATCCTCTGGCGTTACCGAGGCATCCGAACTTTTCCAGCACCAACCATCCAATAAGCCAATCAATCTCATAGCAATGATTCATGAGAGTAAAATGATGCTCCTTGCCCAGCACATCAAAAACTTCCTTCTTGCAATATATTATGAGTTCAGTATTCGACCAAAAATCAGCGATGAACACACATTCTATAATTTTGAAGAAAATTAATTAAAATTGTGTTGTTTCAAAGAACATTCGTAGAGGTCGAACAAATCGATAAACTAAAACAGAATGTAGAAGAATAAAAATTGAACTTACGGGCTAACCATGTCCAGCTGACGTAATACATCAATCTGTGAAACAAACGTTTGTTGACGGGTTTAACTAAGATGTGCAACAGAACTTGGATCACATTGATGATTGCACCGGATGTTAGAATCGTGGATGCGATGAAAAGTTGAGAAATAAGATTTCTCTTAATGGCTCGTACAATTCCATTCGTCATTTCAATCTGAATGAATATCAAGAAATGTCTATTGTAATTAAAGAGATTTCTTTAACTTTTATTGACTTCTTTGCACTGAATTTGTGATGAAAATAAAATGCACTACAAAATTTTCACATTGAATCGGAGAAAAACGAACAGAACCTTTATATATTACGCGCGAGAGCCATATGAAGTCAAACTTAGTAGTGAACTAAAGCTAGAAAATACCTATTTTCTCTCACTTTTTACCCTCAGAGTTAATCCGTGGCTGAGGAATATCAGAAAACAAAATTGTATTTTTACACAAATTCATGCAAACTTCATGCTCTCAAATATTTCCTTGCATTGTATTTCGCTTTATGTTTATATAGATTCAATATTGGACTTTCAATGTGTTGGAACGATTTTTTTCCTCTCTTGAAATTACTGCGCAGTCTCTTGTAATGTTTACATCTTGATTTTCATTATTTTCTGATCTAAAGTTCGTTGTCCATCTTTTATGTTCATTGAATAGAAATTTCGTATAAAATGTGTACATTATTCTGTTTTATATCCATAGAATTGAATGAACAATAGCTTTAAAATTAATTATTATAAATTTAACCATTTTATTTCTTCGAAGAAAGAGATTGAAGAACTGTTATCGGTTGATGGATGATAAAAATTAATTAGAGTTTGGACAAAGTCCCAAATTATTAGACTTGAAAATAAATTAATTTATAAATGCTCATTCTCTTAGTAACACGTGTACTACGAATGCTTTCTATATCTACCTACACTTACGTAATGCTGCTATTATCAACTTCAAATTAGGTAGGTATTCGAAATTTGAATTTGGTTTGATCAAAATGTATTTGTAAATATTGACAAGAAATTTATTCGGGTATCTCTCCTTCTATTTTAAACATCTTTAGAGTGTCGCTTTAAAGATTATTTGTTTTCGTTGTATTTAGCCTACTTATATAAAAGTTTTAATTAATGATAGTCACATTAAACAAAGATCTCTATGAAAAATTGTTTCACAGAAAATATAAAGAGGGAAATTGTTTTTCTGTTTTATTTTTCTTTTAAATATGATGATGAATATTTATTTTATTTGACAAATTTTAAATACCTACCTATGTACCTAATTTATTTAAATTCAATATTTCATTATGGAAAAGTTTAACGGAAATTTCAAAGAATTCAAATAAACGTATGTTTTTAGTTCAAAACAGTTCAAATTTGTCGAATCTTCTAAGTCGCGTAGCTTTCGGCCACTTGAAATTTTCGACTCACGACTCTCGACATTTAAAGAACAGTCAAACAAGAAAAAGTAAATTTTCCTATCAAAATTGATCGTTTGAAGGTAAAGAATAGCGTGAAACTTAAAAACGTTTTACAATCTTCAAAGTAAAAACAAAAGAAGTGAATTATTTTTGGTTTAAATGGATTATTGAAGGATTTCAATATTCTTCTTTTCAAAAGAAAGAGTGCGAGTGAGAGAGAGAGGTAGAAGAAAAGAAAAAAAAATTGTCGAAGCTTAAAAAAATAATTCCAAGAAAGGGCAAGTAATATTCGTGGTGAAAAAGAGAAAATAACAACACCAAAATGACAACGATGATGAGTGATATGATGATCGCGAATAAATATCGCATTATACGAAAAATCGGAAGTGGCTCGTTTGGTGATATATTTTTAGGAATTAACATCACAAATGGCGAAGAAGTCGCATTGAAAGTTGAAAATGTAATGGCTCGCCATCCTCAACTTCTTTATGAGTACAAATTGTACAAAGTGCTGCATGGAGGCGTCGGAATTCCACACATAAGATGCTTTACGCAAGAAAGAACCTACAATATTCTCGTAATGGATCTCCTTGGTCCATCACTAGAAGATTTATTTAATTTCTGTAGTCGTCATTTCACAATCAAAACCGTTCTTATGCTTGTCGATCAAATGATTGGTCGTCTAGAATATCTTCATGTAAAAAACTTTATTCATCGTGATATAAAGCCTGATAACTTCCTCATGGGTATTGGACGTCATTGCAACAAGCTCTTTATGATCGATTTCGGATTAGCCAAGAAATATCGCGATTTTCGTTCTCGTGTTCACATCACTTATCGTGAAGACAAGAACCTCACTGGAACCGCCCGCTATGCATCAATTAACGCTCATTTGGGCATAGAACAGTCGCGTCGTGACGACATGGAATCCTTAGGCTACGTGATGATGTATTTCAATCGAGGTTCACTTCCTTGGCAAGGCTTGAAAGCCACCAACAAAAAGCAGAAATATGAGAAAATATCAGAAAAGAAAATGTCAACGCCTATCGAAGTTCTCTGTAAAGGTTTTCCAGCTGAGTTCGCAATGTATCTCAATTATTGTCGAAGTTTGCGCTTTGAGGAAAGTCCCGATTACATGTATCTGCGGCAATTATTTAGGTGAGTCATCAAACTTTTTCTTTTTCATTTGTTCTGTTCTCGTTTTTCTGTTTGGCTCCGCGTTGTTTGGTAATCTTTCTCACCGTTTCATGTTTGTGGGAATATTTTTTGTGTTCTCTCTTTCTCGAAAAGCGATTCTTGATCGCACTTGAAAAGTCTTATAAAAAAGATGAGGTATTGAAAAAGGAACATGATGGTTACTGTGAAATTAAGCGCTACAATTTGAGTGCCTTGTAAGTCGTAAAAATATTTTTCTTCATCTTTGATAGCTTGAAGCAGTGCAAAAGTTTTCTTATGGGGAAAGAAATAATGATGAAGTAAAGGCATGTCTTCTCTAAGTGAATTTTTATTTCTAAACCGGTATAATGCTTTAAAAAAGGTCATATCGAAAAGAAGTTTGAATTGTCTGTACTGTTTTCAAAAATATTTCTCAACTACTTGCAAAGAACAAACTTTTAATGAATAAAATTCTAAACATTAAAGTTCAATCCATTTAGCTTCTCATTTTGCCATTTCTGGTGTTCTGTCAAACTTTACAAATGCCAAATGGAAATGATTTATTTTCAATTTATACTTATGCAGCATTTAAAAGATTGAATGGTATGAATGGTAAAGCCTTCGAAGCTTATTGTGTTAATTTTCCTTTCAAAATTGACATCGCCTTTTAGCACATGTTGTGAAACTCTTTCTTTCATCAACTTGATCTTGATTGTGCAAAAGAGCTTATGACAGTAAAAATCACTTGTTTTCATTAAAATTTCAAATCAATACTTCATTTCCATAAGCAATAAGATCCATTGATAACAATGATATTGAATTATGAATTGTAAAAAAGTATGTAAGGATTTATAACGTCTCTCAACTTTCTCTTATAATTCCTATCCATCATTCATTCACTCATGTAGAAATGTAAAAAGATCTCTACTTGTGCAATAATAAAACAATGAAAATTGAAATCTGACAACGTTGCATTTGTAAAGATATCTGAAAGAATGGAAATGTTATCTTTTATCAGAAATAAATTCTTGGGTGAGAAAAAGGATGAAACTTTATATGATAATAGAAAATTATCAGTCATTCTGGTGTTGGAGGAATCGTAAAAATATTCGTTCATTTGATATTTGACGCCTCAATGAGTTCAAATAAGAGCACAACGTAAAAGAAAAAAAAAAGAACAAATTGTGTGTGGTGTTATCAGTAGAAATAAATTACGTCTCGGGAAAAATGAGAAACGAAAAATATAAAAAAATACGCCGACCAATAAAACATTTACACATGAATCAGTTATTCTTGCTAAAATGACTAACATCAATTCGTGAAAGAGTTTAAGCAAATTTTGTTGTCGTCCGACAGAAAAAGATTCGCAATGTGACAACACAACATGGTCAAGCTTTGATTGACGCACTTTGTGAAATAATATCAATGCCAGGATGCATTTCATCAATCATGTCGCTCTTATTACAATCCTTATAAATAGATTAATTGAATTTCTTTTATTAATATAGCAACGTTGATAACAAAAGTGATGCTGTGGGATTCCAATAATAAATTTTTCCACTTTATCATGGGATTGAAGAAGCTTAAGTTCCAGTTTTCTTTTAACTCAGACGTACACACATTCAATCGCATTCTCTAGACTTAATAAATATTCTGCATTAGTCGCGTATGATAAAATGATCTTTGTTTCTGCTTCGAACAACCCGGAACAGTTTTGCTAACCTATTCTTGAGCGTATTCACAAACATATTCGACTCTAGCTTTCCACTTAATTGGTAAAGAAATCAAAGAACTGATGAGAATATTTAGTCATAGATAAACGTCTACGAATGTTTATATCAATCTTTATTTCGATTTATTTGATTGTTGGTTTTCAATAAATGCTTCTTCAACTCCCACATCAGTTTGACTTACGCGTTACCTTAAACCGTCGTTCAACTCTGCTTTGTTGCCATTTTCATGCACACTTTTTTTGTGTTCCGTGTTCGCTTTATGAGTATTGAAGAAATATTGAAAAGAACGAGAAAAAGAATAAATAATATAAACAGAGCATTGAGCCTGTTGGGTAGCTAAAGCAAGTTTTCGTTCATCCTCAGGATGTTCATTGAATATCGAGAAAAAAAGACTGAATTTCTAGCTTCTAACATAAAATGACTTTTTTCAATGATTTTCCATCATGATAGCGATTTGAAATTCAAAAAAGAAGAAAACAATTCAATGCAAAACTTCTTGAAATCTGCAAACGCCAACAGAATGTTTCACAATGCAAACAGTTTACTTTATTCACTATAAGCTGATGAGGGTTTGGCTAAGTTATGCTGGTGTTTGTCGTCCATACTAAACCATTTAATATAAGATAGAAACATTTGCAAAATGTTTTCCGCGCGGTAATGCAAAAGCGAAACTCGATTCACGAGTTACATAACTTGCTGATGACTTTTTCCTTTGATTGATTAGCTTTTGATAAATTTTTTATAACTTCAATTTTAGTTTTTTCTTTTTATTCATCGCATGTTTACTGAATTGACCTTCAACTAAAGTTTCAACCTTATCGGACAAAAATTTTAAAAGGAAACTTTATTAAAATATTAAATCTATTCAACTATCTCTCTTTGCTTTTTTGTGTTGCGGTGAACGTGATGATGAAAGGAAGAAAAAAAAATTTGTAGTCAATTTGAGACGATGGAAAACATGAAGAAAAAATGAAGCGTCTGAAAATGATAACACCAATGAAATAACAAAACCAAACATCATACATTTATGAGCCTTTCAACATTGAGAGAACTTTTTTCTTTACCCAAGATATTTATTTTCGATAATTTGCGGTTGGCTGAGTTCAAATCGATTTTTTCTCTTCTTTTCATTTCTTCATTTTAATTTGAAAACATTTCTCCAAACAAAATAATTTTCGATTTTAAATGTTTTAAGTTAAAACTCATGATTTGGTGTGATGACAGACACTAACCAGTAAATGTTCTTGATTTCGTTTGAAGACTATGAAGGTTACTTCGCAATAGGAAACTCGTAGCTAATTAGAGTATTTTCGAACACAACAAAACTTTTAATATATCTACATAGATATTTGAGAATCAAGAAGCCAAAAAACAAAGTTTCAACTCACAAAGGTGAATACGAATTGACAATCGCTGATTGTTATGCCTAAAATACCTTCAGTAGACAAAGAACATCTTCTTTCTTGTGCTAATAAGATTGCTTTCAATACAAAAATAAGCAGCGTCGTCAGAAGCTTCTTTACACGTGTCTTTGCGAGGGCAAAAAAGCTATTTGTACAAAAATACTCGCTCATAAAATTAACTGACACAGCATTAGATGTGTTGCATCCATTTTGTCATCGACTGCTGTTCTTGACGGGCATTAAAGTACGTGAAATTTAATATTTATCTACACCATGCCATCGCTTTTTGTGGCTTACGAAACCGAAAGAAAAAAATATCAGAATGACGAAAATTCTATGTAGAGAGTAGTGGAACGAGAAGGACTTCCACGCTTATGAACATGTGACATAGAAAGCCAATCATGGTTTCTTTACCTGTTAGCAATCAGGTGTTTTGTTCTTCCGTTTCTTCACAATGCAAGTAGAACGAGAGAAACTTTTCTCCTGACCATTTGTCATGTCGTTTACATCCTTCCAGAGTATGTTTTGTTTTTAGATGTTAGACGTCATCGAAGGACTGCTTGTACTGTACATGTAGAACAGGTAAAGCATTGAGTGGAAGAATCTTGTTAGCTACAATTGTATTTGTTTGCTTAGCGATATTTCTAGTGCTTTGTAAGCAAGATTTAAGCCCCTTTAAGAAAAACAATCAAGTGGTTACGAACTTTGGCATGAAGAACACAAAAAAATTACCTCAAAAGGTTCACAACGAAATCTTTGTCAGCCATTAAATCACGGATACAAAACAAGAAAAAATGGAATTAATAAAAATTCCCAATTTATATATTGATAAAACTTTTTTTTGTGTTTATACTATAAATTCGAAAGTTCCCCAAAAAATTATGTTGAATGAAAATATTTCAGTTAAGATACCATGTAAGGAAGACACAACTTTTACTCATCGACGAAAATTCTGCGATGGAATAGCTTGCAGCATTATGTCGGATGAAATGTAAAAAATCGACATTTTACCGGTGATCCCGTTAGACTTTGTGATTCTTTCTTCTGCTAGTTTTTGATTCTTTTTTGGTTGTTGCTGCATGAAGCGTCAATTTCAAATATTTTTTTCTTCTAATTCTTTATTTCTGACATTGACTGATGAATGTCTTTAAAAATATGTGACTAGAAATTAAATATCTACTTTGCAATGCCTTTTTGATGAAGTCTTAAAGATTTCAGTTTACTTGAGCAAAAAATCTGGTTTCAAGAACCTGATAAGTTGGCAACTTTGCAAGTTTTTTTAATAACTTTTTTTATGTTTCTCCTATACTAACGGAGGTAAAGCCCATTCGAACGATGGCGGAAAGAAGCCTTACTGAAAAGAAGAGAAATATAAAACTGTACGAGAAAATTGCTTCGATGTTAACTTGAAAGAAAAGTTATCATTAATGTGCGGGAAATGAAATCGAAGAGAAAAAAGGCCACAAAACTAAACGGAAACTTAAACAATTGCTTTTTCATCTAATCGAAAATAAAATCCAGTAAACCTCTTCTTCCTCAAAAGAAAGCTATTTACCGCAGTCGTTTTTTGAAATTGTTGCTAGTTAGGAAGCAAAAGTTAATGTAACGTTGATGGCGAACAACTCCACTCTTTGTTTCATTATTTCTTTAATTTTCAAGACAATTTTAAATTATCTTTTCATTGTATTTAAGATTTTTGTGCTTTATACGTTCCTTTCTGTTTTTTTATTATTACAATGTTGATGAGCTAACAGATGATGATCTTGATTTATTTTAATTATCTTCATCTACCTGTAAATACTATGTAAGTTCTGTACTTTCATCTCTAGATGAATCTGGATTAGTTTCACACATGTCAGATTAATTACATTGGGTTAGTGATACTTTTTTTTTTCATAAACATAAACATTCATCAGTTATCAAACCAGTTAGAGACTGATTTAGATCAAAGGATATGCAAATTTTGTAGTTTGACATCTCAGATGTTTTCTTCGTCATAAACTGATCAAGTTTTGTTTCTTGCTTTCTTTTCTTTTCCTTCTCCATTTCACCCAATAATGCTGCAACATTATTCAGCTCATTAATTTCATTTCAAATTAGTTGTTCGTTTTGATGTTTAATGATCGTTTCAGGCAACAAAATGTCATCGCGCGCTTGAAAATAAAAGTAGATAGTTCGAATTGTAATTAAATTTATCATTACCACTAGTGATTAATTCGATAACAACAACACGCCAATCATAAGCTATAAAAGAACAATAATTTAAATTTAACTTCAGCTCCCACATAAGATTCCGTCTACTGGTTTATTGATAGGAAAACAGTTAGGTGGATGAATACTTTATAAGTATAGCGTATTCGACTTTTCCATAATTTTGCTTTATGCCAAGCACTTCCAGACACTCTACCGCTTGTTAATATTCTCTGTAGAAGGCAGATAGTGTAAAAGAGAAAAAAACAAGCTCGTTATATCGCATGAGCGAGTGAACGATACCAAGAAAAACTTTTTTTATTCGCTTGTGAGGGGAATTAAGTTGATGAAGTCCACTTTTGGTCGCTTGCTTTAAAGTATTGTGTGGTTGTGACCAAAGTTTATAATGGAATTCGATTGCTTATAGTGTGATGTGCATTTGTTTTGAACACACAACAAACTTGTTTCATTCGTTTTCCGCATAACGAGAGTGAAAATGAAGTTCTTGTATTGAGAATCAAGTTTTTATTTAATTCAACTTTATTCTTACTTGATAAGAGAATATTTGATGTTTTTTAAGAAGAAATCTTAAAGTTTGAAATGATTCTAAGCGTTTTTCAAGTTTTATAACGCTTGCTATGATTAATATTGAAGAGGCAGGTAATAAAAGGCACGAGAAAGAATAAACAGTTAATATAATAATCATGATAATATGCTGATATTAAATATACGCCAGATACGTTCTACAAATCATTGCTAGAGCTTCAGATTAATGCATCACAATATTATGATCAAAATAAAAAGCCTTGCGGGAAATTCTGCTCGTCAGAATTTAGATTGTAAGACGAAAGCAGATAAAACACTTGGAAGAGACGAACGATAGATTCTCGAGAAATTAATTAAGCTTTGAATAGCTTTGGAGAAGGCTTACACTCGCTCGAATTAATGCTGTCGATTAGAGGAGTCGTTATGTTAATGACCTAGCAATTATCGTCTTTGTTTTCCTCTTATTTATCAGCACACAATGACTGCCGTTTAAATATCTTCATGATTGCTTTTATTTTCATTTTCGAGGATCAAACTCCGAAAAATTCTTGTTTCAATGCTTGTATTGTTGTCTGTTAATTGAAGGATACAAAGACAACGTCAAAACTGCTTGTAATGTTATGTAGATTGTATTGCGACTCAATTTCTTGAATTCGTGGGTGGCAAGTTCAAAAGCCTAGATTTCTTTTGTCGAAAAAGTTCTCGCGTCTGTTTCTCAACTCAAAAGCTCTTCAAATATTAAAACAATTTTAAAAGTTTCCTTTTCCATCATCATCAGAAAAGTTTTATAATCTCATCTTTTCTTTTATTCATTTATCATCTCATTAGAAAGTGAATTTGCATTAAAGTAAATCTGTACTTGTTGTTTACTCAAGTGATTTTATTTTTGACCTTTTTCTTTAATTTTTGGGTTGCTCTTCACACTCATCAATCTACGAAAATGTTGATTTCAGTTTCATTCTATTTCCATTTTATCATCCGTAGATATTTCTTATGATCCAACAGTTAGCAACAAGCAGTGCTGTTTATTGTTGATTGATTTCAGCCAATCGAATGAGCTCTCTCAAAATAAAACAAAAATAAGCAATTGAAACATGCGGAATTACGAAATTCTCGCAAACGAGTTAAACTTAGCACAGCCAGTTAAGCTTTTTATAAACTGGAAAGGGCATGTTGAAGGTTTTATGTTTGAGGCTCCCACGTTTAAAGTTTATTTATAACGTAACATTAGACATTGCCAAAAGCCACAAAAATGTGAATGATTTCAATTTAAGACTATTCGGTAATGCTTTTCTTTTTCAAAATTGAAATTTCTACATAATTCGTCCTATCGTACTTATCTAAAGATCACGTTGACTTCCCTTCGGTTGTTATTATTTATAGAACACACAAAAGCTTTTGATGAAAAATAGAATTTAATGTTAGTATGCGGAAAATTTATTTTGAAATCGAGTTGACAGAGAAATCAATGAAGCAATAACCTCGCTGGTTCTGTCAGAATGTTTCTTGTTTCGTTGGCTTTGTTTTTCTTTTTTTGGGGCCACGATATTAAATCGACATCAAAGAGAAGTATTCAAAGTTCGCTCTCATTTCTTCTTCATTTTTCCAGCGACTGACTTCATAACAGAAACTTTTTCGTTCCATGTTTCATAAAAAAAACTAAACAAAAGGTACAAGAACCACGACACACATGAGAACTTTGAAATTGGCAAGAGTAAAGTAAAAAAGAACTGCGATGCTCCAATTTATAATGGAAAGGAAAAAAAATGTTTGTCAGCCTCGTCTTTCATTGTGTTAAGCAGCAAACATTGACATGAATGCAAGAAAAAATGGTAAAAAAAGAGAAAACAAAATCATAAAATTTGCAACTTCCTCATCTGGTTTTCGCTTTTACTTAATTGAAAATTTTTTTTAAACATTTAATCGCAACATTGCTAAATAGAGTCGCGGATTTCTCTTTGTCTTAGTGCCGAAAATTATGAGCTTTATGTGCCTAAAGTTACCCTAAAAGCAACCGTCAAATGTGCGTAAAGAATACAAAAAAAAAGAAAGAAAAAATCAGCGATTGACAGCTTTAAAAAGGAAAATAAATGCCTTTTTACGCGTTTATAGAAGCACACAACTAAAGTAGGTCAGTTGCGAAAAGAAAAGAACATGAAATGGAAAATAAAAACAGAAAAAGCATGTAAACATGTGATTTACGGAGCAGTCACTGGAAGTAGCAGAAATACAAATCACAATACCGTTTTCAAATTAAATAATTTACTTTTGAAGTCTTTCTCTGCCACACATTGATAGCATGAATTATCAGACATCGTTTGTCATAAAACTGTCTCCATAGTTTCGTTGCTATGCTCGTTATTGTTTACAAACTTTCACTGTTTGATTAAGCTTCGATAAGACCACGCAAGGAATGCGATCGAAGTACGACACAGAAAACTAAGAGCGAAAAAAAAACTCTTCAATCATCTGAAACTATTTTGAAGTATCTAACACGATACACTGACGATTTAAAATATGTCAGGGAGGATGTGAAGGTGAAAAGTTCTGCATGGGAGAAGATTTGAAGAATCACTCCCGTCAAAGGCCATCTCGGGGCTATGTGGGACTGAAGACAATGTGCTTTAACTTCTTTTATGATTTGCGTAGGGCTATGCGAGTGTTCCCAGATGATTACAACAAACAAAACTGTTTACTTCTCAACTTCATTCACTGAAGCAAAACAACAACTGAATTTACTAAAAATAGATTGAATAACAGAAAATTTTCAATTTCGCAACCCTGAACTCGATGCAAAACTGCAAGTACACGATCGATTCACAAGACTTGCATTGCTTGAGAAATAATGAAATAATAAACAAAAAAAGTTTCACAATTGTATCGCTTTATGTGTTTGAGAGATGATGATGATGATGAAGCGATCAACAACTGTTGACTCTTGCCGTCTTTTCAAAAAAGAAATAAAAAAAGTCCAATCTATTGAGTTTATTCAGCTTCCATCCAAAGAAAGAAAAGAAAAATCTAGTTCGTTGATTTGCTAAATGGCCGTCATGACAAACAACCCATGAGTAAATATCAGACGAATCACATTCTTAAATGGTAAAAAGAAATAAATAAGAAATTTTCACTTTTATTTATTTCTTAAACACACATTTCGTGATGGCTGTTGTTCAGTTACCACAAAATAAAAATATTAAATAAATAAGAAAACAAACAAACTTTTTCTTTCTTCTTTTTCTCATTTTCGTTTCGTCAACTTACAATGCAAGTAATTTAGATGACAATAGAGGAATACAAGACGAAATGAGATAATAATTTCTCCTACTAAATTTCATTTTTCTCTACTCTTCGAATTTGAAAAATAAATTTAACTTTCAATTTTTTCTTTCATCTTATCATGCATAAGAATTCGATTTCATTATTTCTGTTTCTTCATCCCCTCATTGCCAAGCTCAGATCTTTTAAGTCGCACATTGATTTGATAACAAAATCAATTTTTTTAAATGGAAAATATTGCGAGATCAATTTCTGACATAAATGCCAAGTTGAATTTTCAAAGGCGCAAAATATCGAAATCATTAATTTAATCAAACCATTTTAATAGAAGTTGGTGAGAAATTCTTTGAACATGAAAAAAAAATTCGTCTTCGTTGAAATGCCACCAACGAAAAAGTAATCCTCAATTTGTTCATCGTTAGAAATGATTAAAAAAAACTTCGTGGAAAATCATTGAGTAAAGTTTTTCTTTTTAAAAGCGCTTGGCAATTTTCGAAGGTTTTTTTCTTCTTAAATACAGAAATTTTGTAACTGCGGTCATATCAAAAGTAAGCGACGTTGCCAGTTTATAGTTCAGGAAAAGAGAAAAAAAAGTATTTTCCTTAAAAAATCAATTTGCGATCAATTTAATGATATTCAAGATGGCAATTATGTATACGAAACGTGTTGCGTTTTATTTTTTATTTTGCTTTTTAATTTATTGACACAGACATTACCAACTCTTGTCTTATATAATTTGAAAATCTATTTTGTGTTTTATTTTTCTGCTATTTAATCACAAGAAGTTGCGATAATTGTGCTTGAGAATTGCGCAGAAATTGTGATACAATAAGGTGCATTAAAACATGAGAAAAGTCTGTACTAGTTATTTGAAACTTTTCAACCAACAAGTGGAATAAGTTCAAGAAAATAAATGTTATGTCGTTTAGAATAAAAGTTCACTCTAAGTAACGTGTTCAAGCTCATAAAACAAATTAGTACCCAATGGTTCCTCTTAATTCTTCTGCTTATGCGAGCAATATCAATAAATAATCAAAAAATGAAAGCCTGCTATTTCCTTAATGGCTTAAGTTTAGGGAGTAAGTCATCTTTTGGGTCGCTTTTTTTTAGAAAACCTTCAGCTTTTCCTTCCTTCATTTCTTTCGCAACATTCCTAGCCAGAGAATTCTATTTCATGTCGTTTCAAGTCATGCTTAAATAAATATTAAAAACGGTAACTTATGCTGATTAAAAGCATAAACTCGATTTGTTGACAATGCTTGTAACTCAATTATTATTGCTGAAAATTTTTCGTATTGAGGTTGTTAGTCCAAGGGCTAAGTTAGCGTTTTTTTTCGTCAGAGAAAGTTAATCATTTTGATTTGTTGGAACTAAAGTTTCTATATTCATCATCACCTACACATTTTACCTGAAAAGTAATCATAAGAAGTCATTACAAATACGTTGACTCTCTTGTCATTGTTACACGAAGTCTTTTTTGTTTTCTTGTCTGTTTTATTTTTTCGTATCAATTCAACATGGACATGTTTTTCTTGTCTTTACTGCGTTTGAAATATTCATATAAATAGTCATGCAGTAGCTCTTAACAATTTTGAAAGTAAATTCAAAGTTAAAAATAGCATAGAAATAAAAGAGTCTGTTGTTGAACATTTGTTGTTACAGACGGGCATGCAGTCATGAACGTTCCTTTCTATCGTAGAATAAAAAAAACTTTGTGAATTGTGCTTTTATCATTATTTTGCGTCACACGGCATGACAACCTTCGCGTTTTTGTCTTCAACCAAACTTACTCATATTGAATTTTTTCGAATGATTTTCTCGAAGTTTTGTTTTCATGAGAAATAAAATTTACGTCGTCATTCACAAGTGAAATGTCAACAAAAGCGATATTCTTGAAAATAGTTGTAAATGTTGTTGTTATCAAGAGTTCATTTAAGATTCGAGGAGTTTCTCAACACTTTCGAGAAAATTTCTTTAAGAAAATTATATGTAATTAAAATTAAATCATTCAGTAATTTCACATGCGATTTCTGAATTTCCGGTCATCTCATATCAACATTTGCACACTCTTTTAATGAACACGAAACTTTTAATGAATCTTTTCTTTTATATTTCCTTCGTTTTCTCTTTCTTTTGTTTACAAATAATTTGACGGTAATTAATGTTTTATTTTTCATTTCTTTTTCACTTGTAGAATCCTATTCAGAACACTGAACCATCAGTACGATTACACATTCGACTGGACAATGCTTAAACAACGTTCACTACAAAATCCTGGCATGACAGCAATCGCTCATTCGGGTGCAACAAACGATGAAAATGAACGTCGTAATAAGGAGAAGCAACCAAGTGAAACTGAGTTGAAATAAGAACACAAATAATGATCTTATTAAAACATTTACAATAAAAGGTCCAGCTCGCGTTCGCTTCTTATATTTCTTATGTCAAAAACCATCATAATTTTCTTTTCAAAATCTGATCGTCGTTTAATGAAGGTAGAGGATTAAAACAATGAAATATTTCTTCTTCACGTTACATTTTTTTTGTCAAAGAAATGAAAACTTTGCAATTTAACTGATGATGATATGAAGAAGTTAAAAATCAAGCTACAAACAATAATCCATTGATAAATATATTTTTCATATAGCAAATTAAAATATGAAAAAAGAAAAGAAAAACGAAAAATAAATAAAACTCTCATGATGTTTGTTGAGATGCAAAAAAAAAAGATTAAATTGTAACTTTATCTGATAAGTGATTACAAAAGATGAAAAAGAAGGAATAGCGAAGTCCATTTGTGAAATGCTTAAAAAACTTTATTTAAATTGAAAAAAAAAGTAATTCTACAAAATTCTATACAGACATAAAATAATTAAAAATAAACTTTAGAAGAAAAAAAAGAAAGAAGAAAAAACATGAAAATATTATTTTTTCCCTCCCGCGCGTAATCAGATACAAAAAAAGAATTAAATTGATTACGAGATGGTTGAAGATGTTGCGTAATTCTTAGAATGTAAAGGAAAAAAATACAAAATAAATACATAAATATAAATTTGCTCCAAGTTAATGAGAATGTGTAAGCATCATGAATTATACTCGATGAAGCTATCAAGTTTTAAACGTTGTTCTTAAGTTGCACAAAAACAAAACTTGAAGATGGAGAAGGAGTTCAGAAAATAATACTAATTTGGGATGATGTTTACTTCATGTGAATTACATGCCCGAGAATCGTGTTAAGCAACAAATGATGCAACTTGTGAATATTGTTTAATTCTTAGTCTACCGTACATCTGATTCATCATCATCATCATCATTATCATAATCATCATCATCATCAACAAAAAGATAAAAATTCTAGAGGAAATTAATATTCATTCACTTGATTTCATGTTTCTTCACCTTCTTTCGTTTTTATACAAGGAAAATGCAAAACACTGAAAGCACTTTCCTTTTTTATAAATAAATGATAACTGAAATGAAAATGTAGTCAATAAGAAAATTAATTTTAATTAACTTTCTTTTTTATTTTTGATTAGAATACTTGTGAACTGTCAAATTTAAGTTTTTTTATCATCAAATTTATTTGCTGTCAATAAATACACTTCAAAAGCGATCTTTTGAATACAAAACGAAAACAAATCCTACAAAACATTGTGCAAGTTGTTGATAAATTATTATACGTAGCATATTTAGAGGAGCAATGCAATGATATCAGTTTCTCTCTATCTTTCTCACTTTGAGCATCATGCTTCTGAGTCAGGATGTCGATTAATAAACGACTTTAGATATCAACAGTCTTAAGATCATTTACCTACGATGATATCAGCTGTGGATAGAAATTTTGTTTGAGTATTGATCATTCAACTCGCTGTGACTCAAACAACTGGCGAAAGATGAATTCTTTTTTTAAAAAAGCTTTTTAAGGAAATACTTTCTAGAGACGATCTGTGATGGATCGTAAATTCTACATTGCGTAGGCAACATGATGTGAATTTAAATAAATACGATTGTCATCAGACGTCGCGTCAATTCCTTTTTCACGGGAGAAGCCGATCATCATTGATGAGAAATGTTTAATAAAGAGATCACAAAAAAGAAACAAAAAATTGTTTAACTCTTTAGAAATGAAGAAGACATTTTAGTTATCACTTGAAATGTCTTTTATATATCCGAGAAGGTAAAATAATAATAAACATAAAAAATTATGAGATAAAGTATAATCATTAACCACGATAGACGGTTATAAAAATTGTGTTTTTTTTCTACTTTTAGAAAGATTCGTTCACCATGAAAACCTTTTTATTATTTCATATATTCATTGCTCTCATTACATGAAAGTTGAAAGTTTTAGAATAGCATTGCTGATGTAGGATCAAGAGACATTTCTGAAAGAAACTTGGTATCAATCAATTATTTTTGAGCATTATTTCCTTACATCTTTTTCGGGACAAAGTTACATATAAAAAACAAAAAAAATTAAAATTAAAATGATGTTTACAACATAAATAATAAAAAGTTAATGATGAACTTTGTACATACTATAGTAATAACAGAAAAGTAACAACAAAAAAAACATTAGAAAATTTAACAATTAAAAATTATTGTAAGATAAGCAAACAAAACAAAAAAGAAAAACAAATTTTGTGACTATCCTAGCACCGTGACATTGACAAATTGCTGCACCTTTCAATTCTCAGTTCAGGTCTCATACGTTCATTCGCCGTGTGCTAGCGATAGGAGATGAATATAGATTCAAAAAAATGATAAAAAAATAAAATGATGAACAAGTAATGATTTCTATGTTCTTTATTGACTTTAATATTGTAAACCCTGAATTCGGTATTTTAATTTCTTTTTACTATTCGCCGATTATTTTGCAGCTTTTTTTATTAAAAAAGTTTAGTTAAATCACTCAATTTACTCGATTTATTCGTTAAGGATAACAGCTTATTAAAATGTATCATAATTTGATTAATTTTCTGTCTTTACGAAGAAATAAATTCATCATGAAATAGTTGAGGTTTGTTTTTATTAAAAAAAATTCTTTCAGTTTAATCGTCGCACATTTTAAAATCGATCGCCACTTTAACTTGAAACGTGTTAAAAAGATTGGTATTAAAGATATTCTTCATTGATTATTTGATAGGAATTATTGAAACGCATAATCATTTATGAAACGCAATACACAAATTTCTTAATCATAAAATTGTATGAAACAAATAAAACTCTAAATACAAATAAAGCAATTAAGATAACAAATAATCATGTGGAATATCATCATAACTTGAGATCTTTATTAAACAAAGATATAAGATTATAGATAGATAAACGTAATAAATCTTAATCACAAAATTATCACCAGGTATCAACGTGATTTGATATTGATAATTAGAAGTGTTTATATCAGGCAAGTAACGAAACATTTCGTTGAGTTTATTTTTAACGGTCATTTGACGATTTGCAATCGTCACCTAAGCAACGATTTTAAATTTGTTTCGTCGAAGAAAGAGTGTTGGAAATGTATTACGATATTTAATTTATTTAAGCTTTAAGAATGGAATATTTTGCTATTTTTGCACCTTCAGTAGAAGATATAGGTAAGAAACTTCATCTTTTATATCAAGTTTAGTGAATAGCCACTAAAAATTCATTGAAATTCTTAAAATTTAAAACATCGTAATGGAATTGAGATAAATAATGAAATAAACTCTTTATTTGCACAGATTCAGAAACATTTGTATTTGAGAAGAAAGATGATTGCATGAAAACGCTTAAAGCATACAAGGATGCTCGTTTCAAATCATTCAAACATCGCAGTGAAGCTCTCAACTTTGCTAAAAATGGAACTGATCCGCCACAGATTAAAATTGAATTAATTCCTAAATGTAAGTTTCAAAGTCATCAGTAGTTAATAGTTTACTCAACGTATTCTCTATAGAGAATACGTTGGTTTACTCATAGACACGAAGTGCTTTAATTTGAAGATTTTTAACATATCGTCCGATAAAAACATTTGTGACGTTTACATAAACATTCGAACGTTTCAACCAATCGTAATTTTTCAAGTTTGTCCTCTTTTTACATGGTTTCTTATTTTTAGTTCTCACCGATCAGTTGTTTTTGTTCCTTCTCTTTCTGATTTTTACAGATGATTGCGCATACAAGTGGTCGTGTACTTGAAATCGATTTTCGGGTTTATTTCTAAACATTGATTCATACAAGAATTTTCTTGTTTTTCTCTTTTTTAGCGCCACCACCAAATCAGCCGCCAATTAGAAATCTCGAGAAGAGTCAATTTCCATCGCTGAAGCCACAGGAATTGATGAAATTCCGTAAAGAAATCGAAGCAAACAATGTACCGAAAGTTTATGAAATGATTTGTACGAATCCAAGATACTTAGTGAGTGCTGGTGACACTCCTTCTATTCTTAAGGAAGGACCTCGCTACAATGCTCTTCACGTCGCAGCCATAAACAAACATGCTAAAATGGCCAAACTTTTACTCCAAACAGTCGAGAAAACCGAATTCATAGAACTTCTACATGGATTTAAAGACGATCCAAATGTAGAAGAAATGAGCCAATTTTTATTAGAATCTTATTTAAATACTCCAGATAAATCGCGTAATGAAACGCCTTTACATTTCGCATCAAAATTTGGAGCTGCTGATGTCGTTGAAGTACTTATATCATATCCATTGTGTAAAATGAAGCCAAATGTCGAAGGAAAAGAACCAAAAGATGTAAGTTTACTTTTGTAAATGTTTAAATTAAATTTCATTCACTGTTTTGTTTAGATTATTTGTGAACGTGATCCAAATGCAAAGCCTGAAATTAAAGAAGCAATAAAAGAGCTTTTAAAGGAAAGATTTTTTGTGCCTGTACTGCGATCAGTTGACAGTTCAATTCAACCAATTATTGGTGATCCTTTCACACCGAATAACATGCCGAAATTTAATTATGATCCGAAAAGTCCATCAATGGAAATAAAAGCTTACGCTGGACCAATGACATCGGAACAAGCACAAACATTCCGAAGACGATGGAAAACACCGCCACGTTTAACACCAACAATGCCAGTAGCAAATTTAAATTTGTCAATATCACCAAAAAATTCGCTAATCTCATCACCAATAAACAGTCCTCGAATGACATCAAAATCATTAATTGATTTGATGTCATCAACTCCAAAACACAAGAAAAAATTATTTCAAGGAACGCCCGATGATGATGATGATGAAAACGAACTCCAATTGGATAACAACAATAGTGATAAGAATGGAAATCATAAAGTTGTCATAACAAATGGAATTCTTCGTGAGAAGGAGGAAGAAGAATACAAAGAGTTGTTTAATGAACTTGCTGGAAACAAAATATCAAATGGATAACGAGAAACGTGCTGCTGATGTCTTCCAATGTTACCGAAATCCTGAACCATTCATGGCTACACCAATTCGTCCACAAAATGATAATAATAGCAATCATATCAACGATAAACTCAATTATCACAGTAACAACAATGATAGCATGATTTGCAACGTTCGATCAACAAGTTCAATGGCTTTAATGTCATTTCTTGATGAAAGTGGATCAATTTATAACAGTGACAATATTTGTGATTCGCCATCATTCAAAGAGAAGCACATTCGACTGACGGACATCGATAAAGGTCTTGAAAAAGTCGGTCGTGATTTAGCTGACGAACAGAATGTTGGATGGAAAGAATATTGGAAGTTTCTTGGTCGTTTTCTTGATATTCGCAGTGATGAAGGTCTGTCTTGTTTCGAGAATTATCTAAAGCAAAAAGCTTTAATGAACGGTTTGATGAAGAAACTGAATGAATCACCAGAAGAATTATCACCATCGAAGAGGAAGAACGATTCATTAAATTTGAAAGCTATTTGTGCGAGTATCTACAGTATGGACATAAATGATGAAATAAGTGATTGTACAACAAAAATTACTAATCCACCCCCATCACCATCAAGTTCCATATCCAGAGTTAACTTATTTAATGAATTTCGTCAGCCTTCAAATCAACATCAACACGAAAACTTTCCAATTAAAAATCCTTACATGTGCATTGAACAAAGTTGTCGTACATTCTCAAATCGACTTGCAAAACTACTTGAAAGTGAAAGCATACAAGATCAACATTCATATGAAAAAATTCTTGTGCAGGAGATTGCAAAGTTGAATAATACGATTGATAGTTATAAGCGAGATATGAGATTTCCGAGGGATTTTGAATTTAAGAAAGTTCATGCTCGGTATAGTTTAATTCTCGTTTGGTACCTGAAGAAGAACAATATCTTGGTGAAATGTATTCGAAGTTTTAAGCCACTTATCGAGAAAGTTTACTTTCTAGCTGAATTTGCTGCTGCTGAAACGAATAGTTTTGAATCAAGTAAAGACATCATTAAAGTTCATGCTGCTTGTGTCAGCAATTTCATAATCAAATATATAAAGAAGCAAGCACAAATTTTCAATCCTGAAGTTGTTGACACTGAAACTGCATGTGTGGATGCATGGAATGGACCAGATATTGTCAAATGCTCTTGCTCATTTGATGGAAATTTGACAAGCTCAAAGCATCGACGTGAGATGAGAAAGAAACTTTATAATGGTGAGAATTGATTTGGATTAGATATTCTTTATTCTAAAAAAATAATTTAATTTATTTCTTTTTATATAGAAAGTAACCGTGTTGTGACGGAAGATTTATGGGCATACAGAAAACGTGCACAATCGTCTGATGATGAAGATGTCTACTTATCATGCAGTGATTCGGAAGATTCTGATGCATTTTATACACCACCAGAAAGTCCAATTCCGTCAGATAATGAAGATTGTAGTGACGATGAAATGAATGTGTTTGAAGAGTCAGTTGAACAAATTGAAGATAATAACAATTGCTTCACATTTTTCATTGAAGGGTAAGGAAATTTAAAAAGAATTAAAAATATTTTTATTATTTGCTTATTCTTTTCTCAGTGATCAACCAACAAAAGCTGATTCAGATGTTTACAATGCATTTGGGGATAAACTAATAATTGATGAATCAAAATATCCACTTATTTATAAATGGTATAATGTCATGAAGGGCCTCAACAACAAAATACGAATTAATAATCCTCGTCACTTTCGCCTTTTCACACCAAAACTTAAACCAAAAGTCGGCCTTCGTCATTCATAATTGATACTTCGTACGGTGATATTTAATTTCTTTTTCTATATTTTGTATTGATTTGAAATGTCTACACTTTCTCATAAGGATATTTTATAAGCAGGCCGTGTTCCATGGATAAAATGTAGTTTTTTTCTTTGTTTTTGTAATGAGAAATAATAAAAAAAATGGTTGAATGCCATGTTTGTAACGAAGTTTATTGTTTGAATTTCAAGCTGAGCGAACTTTTGTGCTAAAATTGCAATACTCATTTTAGCATGTTTTTTAGAGTTTAGCAAATCTGCCATTTGCGTTTTGTGCGTTCTTAATTTTGTACCTACCGTAAAATTTTTAATTGTGATTTTATATTAAATTCGATCTTTCAAATCCAAAACATATTTTCATATAACGAAATGATTGCAGGTAAGCTTGAAGATCTTTGTTTTGATTGATCACAATTTTTAATTGGCTTTTTTTTTGAATAAAGACACCATGGAATCAGAAAATTTGGCGCCTAGATCTATAAATTCGTTGTCGGAATATCCTCTTATTAATATTTTTTCCTATCTCGATATAGATTCGTTGAAAACCGCAACATTAGTTTGCAAAGAGTGAGTTACAAGACTTATGTACTATGAGAAGACACTTACAAATTGCAAATTTATATTTTTAAAATTACAGCTGGGGTGATATAATTGGATCGTCAACAAAACTCATGAAAAGAATCTTGCTAAGGTTGCCTTTTACATCCTATCCGAGAGCATACCATTGTGCCCAAATAATTGTTAAATCCAAAAGAAAATATCGAACAATGTCATTCCACTTTACCATATGCAGAGATAATGAATTCAAACATGTGGAACCAGCAAGAATCGCATCAATACACGTCCATTTGTTGGCTATTGCAAAATCTCACGGGGATTATCTTCATGAATTAACTATTCACAATGCTATATTTGAAAGTATCATAGATTTTCATGGAATAATTGTCCGAATGCAAGATTTAGAAAAACTTACACTTAAAAGCGTAAGAGTGAGAAAAGAATTGTCAGGTGATTTTGCACAACTTTATTGTACTGAAATATTCAGAGTCGAAATGAAGCGTCTCAAATATTTTAAAATGCATTCAACAAATTTCGAATGCTTAAGATGTATGTCTGCTCCAGCACTTGAATATTATGAGACAATAGGACACGATTACTTTATTCCAGATAGAAAATCGCGTAAACGCAAGAATCCAGGAGAAAATCCTCCACCAGCGCCACCTAAGCCAAAGGAACGTCCTCGTGAGCCGCCTTCCATTATGTATAACTTCTTCGTAACATTGAAGAGTCTTAAAGAATTATTTGCAGACGCAAAAGCTGTCAATGAATTGTTTGCATCAATATATTTGCAAGATCAAAACTGCTTTCAATTTCATTTGAAGAAACTTAAACTTAAAAGTAGTTCTGGAATATATACCGTTGATGTTGATGCATTTCTAATCTCTCAGAGTTCAACCTTAGAAGAGCTCGATATGTCTCAATTTAGATATACCACGTACTCAGTAATATTTAAAGAATTGACTCATCTTAAAGTTCTTAAAATATTCGCCCTAGATATTCCACTTGATATAAAATTTTATGAAAATCTTAAGTCTTTAAAAAATGTTAAATTTTTGGGACTTCATTATATGAGAGGTGAAACTAGAGGTAAAAAGCCAATTCGTGAATTATTGCTACGATGTCCTAATTTGGATACGTTACAACTTGAAATGGATAATAATTATTTTTCAACAATGCTTCCTTTTATATCAAAGCACTCTCTTCATGTAAAGCATCTTCAACTCGAAAATTTTCCTAGGTGTTTGCAAGGTAATGTGAGATTCCGCAATTTAGAATCTTTTACATATTGTGGAACGGTCGATGAAGAAGTGCATGCAATGATCATTAGATTTTTAAACTTTCATCCATCATTAAAAGTTTTCAATGATTGTTATGAACTTGATTTGGATGAAGAGTTGAAAACAGCTTTCATAAATCATCCAAATTTAGAAATCTGCAGAATGAATGGAGAAACAATTAATATTGAAGATTTAAGGAAAAATGCTTAAAACTCGTTTTTAAAAGAAGTATAAATGTATGGAAATAGGAAGATTTTTAAAATGTCTGTTATCGATTATTTAAATAATAAAATTGTTTGGAAATCTGTTTTATAAATTGATTTAGGTATCTATAATTTTGATAATTGATTTCTTGAAAGAAATTCGTGCATTTTTGGCGCAAAAGAAGGCATAGATTAATTTTCATAAATGAAAAAAAAGTTTGCAACTGAAAAAACCGTTATTTTTTTAATTTGAATAAAAGTAGATGTCTATGTGTAGAACTCGTCGTAGAATTTCAACTCTCGTTTAAGTTCAAGAAATAAAGAACGCCTTTTAACCATCAAACTAATTTAAAATTTTAAGTATTTAAACTTTCACGGCTATCATTTTATTACGTTTATATAACTGATAAGCAATGAATATAGAATTAAATGATATAAAAGTTGAAGTAACGCCGCTTGACTCAGAATTTGTTGAATGGCAGCTTGACAAAAATTGCGTCAAGGAATCGGAGAATAAATTTAGAAAAATATCCAAGTTCATGATAGAATACATCATCCGATTACAGAAACCAGATATAAATGAAGAGTTTCCAGATGATTTTCCCAAAATTTTGCAATATGCTGAGAAAAGATCAGCTTTAAAATCTGATGCTAATGATGGACGAAAATCGTTAAAAAATTCTTTGATGGAGGAAGCTATAAAATTTATTGGGCAAGATCAATGCGTAATTTCCGATAATCGAAGAAGATCAACACGTTTTTCTGGAAAATACGATGTTGAAAAACAATCACCAGTGGATGAAAATTTGGTTAAAAATAAACGAAAAGTCTCGAATAACTCTAAATGCTCATCGTCAAAATCGTCATGTGTAACGAGCCATAAGAAAAAAGTCTCAGAATCAACTTCGTCCAGTTTCTCATCTTCAAGCTTTTCAGGATCTTCATCATCATCAAATGATTCATCTGATTCAAGCAAAGAACAGATAAATAAGCCACAAATTCAAACTAAGAATTTGAAAAACTCGCACAATTCAAAGGAAATTCATAAAAGTAATTTAATAAAAAGTTTGAAGTCGTTATCAGATAGTTCAAGTGAAGATGAAATTATGCCGCCAGTGGTTGTACAAAAAGTTATTAAACCACAATCAGCAATAACAAGTGAGGCTAAAGATCAAATAAAAAAGCTCAACATTAGTGTTAAACAACTAAAATTTGTCATTCCAAAGAAAGAAAATGTTCAGAAAGTATCAAAATTTAAAATTCCACCAGTCATCGATCCACCAAAGGTTTAAAATTCTTAATTTGTGTTCTCTTTTTATTTATTTATGTTTATGTTTCAGTTCAATCCTGCTACGAAAAAGAAAACTAAATTAACAGTGACAAGAAAAAGAAAAATCGATGAATCTCTTGGTGGCATTTTCACAGTTGACAACGGTTGGGATCAAACTTCAACAACGAAGAAAAATTTGAACGTCACTAACAATATTAAAAAATCAAAAACAGAAAGCAACGATTCAATTTCTCAAGACGACGTCCATGAAGTACATGAAATGTACCAAAGTCTGATTAGTTCAGATCAGAAAACGTTAGATGAAAAAGATTCTGAGGAAAATGAAGAAGTTTATTTTAAAAAGCCGACTTTAAAGAAAATTAAACTTTCCGTCTTCTCATCTTCTGATGATGAGAGTGAAACTGAATCAAAACAAATGGAAATTTCTAATCATTCATCATTGAAGATTATCAACTCTCCAAATCATATTAACGGTAACAAAAACTCTGAAACTATAGCAAGTGATGATGAAGATGATGCAATTTCACTTGAGGCTGATATAAAGTAAATTCTCCATGATTAAATTTTACGTTTAATTAATTTTTATCTTCTACAGTGATCTTGATGACTTTGAAGACTGCAATGTTGTATCTCCAATCAAGAAAGGATCAAAACAGTTACCATCGGATACTTCTTATACTTCAGAACTTGATGAATTAAAGATTAAATTGACAAAAGAGTCAATTGTTTCACGTGAAGATGCTGAAGCAGAATTTAATCGAAATACTGGGTTAATTATGAAAAATTCTACAAGAAAAATCAGTGAAATGACTGAAACTGTTCTCAATCGTTTCTATGGAAGAATTTGTTTGAGATCTCTTGATAACCAGTGCAATTTCAGTCCATGTAAATATAGTCACTTCCTTCCTAAACTGGCAACCATTCGTCAACTGTTCGATTCCATTACGTTGAAAGAAGTTGACGAGGCTTTTTCTGTTGCTTTATGTTATCCGAAAATATTTGACGCTTATGTGTTGGCATTTACTGAAGTTTTTGTGAAGAAAACTTCAGATTATGAATCACGTATAGCTCGAATTATCATGATGTGCGAACGAAATCCACGAAGTCATCAGTTGTACCGTTATGTTGTTGACGGACTTGCTACAAATGGACACTTGCCACGATATAAAGCAATTAAATTTCTTTTGAAACATCATACAAATTCAACATTCGCTCAAGAAGCTATCATGCCAATGATCTTTGAAACGGGACCGGATCTCATTAGATTGAAAGATTATTTGGTTAAGCTTTTTGAAACACGATCATTGCCAGTAGATATCATCAATAAACTCTTAGATAATTGCAACAGTTATCAAGATCCTCATCTTCCCGCATTCTGTCTCGATACATTAATTACTTTGAATCTTGACAGCTTTCGAAAGCTCAAAAGGGAACATGTTAATGCATTCATGAAGTTTCAAACGTATCTTACTGAACAAAATCAATCACGTGAAGAAAAGTTGATAGCATTGTTGCAAAGAGTTAACGAAACACATACATAAAAATCTTAAAAAAAGTTAACATTAATTAATCATTCACATCTTGATAATCTTTGCAGTTATGAAATGTAAGTTCTTTAAAACAATAAAGTTCGAAACTGAAAAAAAAAAGATTTCAAGGTTTTTTTTCTCACATTTAGATTCTATTTCTTTTGCAAAAGTTATTAAATTTAATATAGGTAGGTATTCTGTCAGTTAATGATGAATTAAGATTGCTGTTTCAATATAAATAAACGGAATTTTTCGTTAAATAATTCAATTCAACAATTCAACCCTACATGAACATTTTAACTTGTAAGGTTCTCTAACTGATTTCAGGGTAGTTTAACGAAGATCGTTCTCTTAAGTTTCGTGTCAATCGCAGTGGTCACATTGTTGGTCAGGTCAAAATAAATCTTCATAATTAGTGAATCAAACTAAAACAGGTAAGTGTTGATATCAGATACCGATGATTCAGAGCATTACTCAATCTTCTTTCAATTTAGGTAGTTAGGTAATTGTAGTCTTTATAATGGAGTTAAATTGCAAATTTCGGAATTCAAAATGGCCGCTTCTTGGAAAAATGTCAAAATGTGTACAAGCGATGTTGCTTTAGCTTTTATAATAGAACCAAGCACAAGTATTCGAAATAACAGAGGAAAACATCTTGATGGGAAAAGTAACTCAGATGTTGTATAAATCGCTTCAACCTTTGAGTGATTTTTTCCATCAAGATGTCTTCCATCATTCATGAAGCATGATACAATTATCAAAAAATTTCCTCGTAGATTGATCAAAACCTTTCAACATTTTAAAGTTGTTAATATTAATAGATATGGATTGATCTTGTAAGATCAGATTTAATTGGACTTGAAAAATTTTTTTCTTAAGTTTTTTTGAAAACGAAATTGCTTACTACCAAATGAATGTTATTACCATCTGTTAGAAACGGAATTTTGATTTCAGAAAAACTTACCTGCTTAAGAAATATGCGCAAACTTGAATATGTTCATTTTTCCAATAATGATTTGCAGTACATTGCTTCAGATAGTTTTACTCCAACACGAAGAAACAAACTCAACATCAATGAAAAGATTTTTTCGAATGCTGATTTATATTCCACAGCATGATTCGAAAAAATCCTTTCATTGACGCTGAGTTTTTTGCTCCTTATACCTTTAATAGACCATCAGAGAACAATTATATATGACTTGATGACCGTAATTAATAAGCAATGTCAGAAGTCAGCAATTCATAAGAAAAAAGTTCGAAAGACATTAATGCAGAAGTATTAAGAGAACTTTGGGCTACCAGTCAGTTGTCAGACGTTTCGATTGTTACTGATGCAGAAAAATTCGATTTGCATAAAAATGATTTAGCTGTTCAAAGTCCTGTCTTCGTTTCAATTTTTGAGAGAAAAACGGATGCTCGGTCATCTAATGAAATACATTTGAAAAACATAGATGCAGATTGCAGATGCGAGAAGATATTCTTAAAGTTTTTCTATACTGGTGAGATTGAAGAGTTTCAAAACTTTATGAACTTTTTGAAGTTGCTGCTAAGATCAAAGTGAAGAATTTAATTTCAATCGTACAGGATATGAGGCTACCATATCAAAGGCTTCCAGAACGTTTTCTCCGTTGAGACCATTTACATATTAGGTCTCAATGTTGAAAATTGTTCAAGAAACCTTTGAACTTGCTTGTCACTTTAAATGTAATGAAATGAAAGTTGAATTTACATATATCAATTAAAGAAGTAAGAGAGCTTGCTGAAACAAAAAGAAACTTGAATACCGTACTGGAAAAGTTAAAACAAAAACTAAAATATATTTTCATGTTACCTTACTGGAAAAAGCAAAATAGATAAATAAAAAGGAAAATTTTTAAACAGAAAAGTTCAAATTTTTGCTTCTCAACAATAGATGTCGCTTTGTTACTTTTTTTTACAAAAGAACAGCTGATTAGATTTTCTTCATCAGGCAACACTTTCTTGTATATTTTACCGGAGAAGATAAATTTCTTTATAAGATTTCAACTCTAAGTACACTTTTTCTTATCAGTTTTATTCTTCTCAATTCCTTAGATGAGATTAATAAATTTGTACAAGTGAAAAGCCATTATGATGGAAATAACGAGTAGGAGAAAAACAAAAATTCAGAAAGTAATCGATCCAGATATCGGTAAATTGATTTATTATTAATTAACATTATCCTAATACACGAATTATTTACAGATGTTTCAAAAAGAAAAAGTGTTCATGGTGTGAATTCATTATGGTTTATTGTGATTCTTATTTATGTCGTAATCATTGTAAATATTTCATCGAGTATCATTCAATACGTTCCAGAATTGAAAGATGCGGTAAATGAATTAAATTTTAATATGATGTCAACAGCAGACGTTTAATTATTATTATATATTTTCAGGATGTTCCATTTATTGGTAGCGAAGCTTGGAAAGATTTGAAAGTTTTGGACAATTCAGGACCGAAAGTTACTGGAACCAAAGCAAATGAAGTCGAAGCTGTTAACTTCCTTAAAAAAAGAATCGAAAACATCAAAGCAAAGAGTCATGTAAATCAAAATGTAACGTTAGATCATCAAATTGCGTCTGGTGGATATTATTTACAATTTAAACCTTACGGGATGGTCGTGCTGTATAGAAAGATTCAAAATATTGTGGTTCGACTTGATGGAGATTCCACAAACGCTCTCATGCTTAATTGTCATTTTGATTCAGTGCCTGGAAGTCCTGGAGCAAACGATGATGGAGCTAATTGTGCAATAATGCTTGAATTGCTTTCAATTCTATCAACAAGATCATCTCGAACACGTCATTCGATTATTTTCTTGTTTAACGGAGCTGAAGAAGTTGGACTACGAGCATCTCATGGTTTCATAACTCAACATAAATGGGCTGGTGACATAAAAGCATTCATCAATTTAGAAGCAGCCGGTTCAGGAGGAAAAGAAACGCTTTTCCAAACAGGTCCTGGGAATTCTTGGCTTCTCAATCATTACAAAGTTGTTCAACGACCATTTGCACAAGCTGCTGGTGAAGAAATCTTTCAATCTGGAATAATTCCAAGCGACACAGATTTCAGAATATTCAGAGATTTTGGAAATCTCACTGGAATGGATTTCGCTTATGCAGCTAAAGGTTACAGATATCACACAAAGTTCGATTCCATTGACTATTTGACACAAAACGTTCTTCAAAGAACTGGCGAGAATATTTTGAGTCTTGTTTTGTCATTGGCGAATGCGTTTGAACTTGATGATGATTCGGTGAGTAGTTTTCTTATTGAGCTTCAACTCATCATAATCGTCATCCTTTTCCAGGCATTTTCAAAAGATTCTTCAGCTGTTTATTTCGATTTCTTAGGATTTTTCTTCATGTTCTATTCGAAGGAAGTTGGAGTCGTCGTTAATTTTGTTGTCGTTCTTCTTGCAATTACACTTCCATTCTTGACACTCAACAAAGCAACAGCGAATGTCCATTCGAAGAATGTTTTCTCTGAAACAATTCTTGGATTAATTTCAATTGCTTTTGGCAGTGGATTTTCGGGACTTATTTGCTATGTTGCAGCTTACGTTCTTGATAAAATGGATCACTCGATGAGTTGGTATCGTAACACGGCTCTTGCTTCTGGTATTTATGCGTCAATCGCTCTTCTAGCACATGCTTTGGTTTGCGATGTTGTGGGTATGACGTTAGAAAACAAAAAATCGCCAATCAGTTTAGGAATCAAAGTTCAAGCGCGATTGAATGGCGTCAATGTTTTCTGGGGTGTCATTACATTGGGAATCACAGTCATTGGATTTCGTGTTGGATATCTCTTCATGATTATTCTCTTTATTAATTTATTGATGAGTTTTGCAACATTTCTTATGGGACTTCATAATTCTGGTAATGATTGAAAGTTTTTGAAATATTTTTTCACTTTTATTCTTATCGACAATTTTTTCAGTTCATAAATGGATTTTTGTTCATCTTATTGGACAGTTTTTCGTTGTTCTTTGGACTTCTTACTTCTACAACACAATTCTTGAAGTTTTCATTCCGATCACGGGGCGGTCTGGAAGCACACGAAATCCTGACATTCTAATTTCGATTATTTGTTGTGCAACAACACTTTTCATTTGCAGTTATTTGGTAAGATTACTCGTAAAGTTTTGATTATTTAATGAAATAATTCTTCTAATTTAGATTCCATTGATGAAGCTTCTCAAATCGTCAGTGACAAAATATTTAACTTTAATTACAATTTTTCTCGTCTCAATTTTTCTTGCGATTTCAACGAGTGTTGGATTTCCATATCAAAACGAATCGACTGGAAATCCTGCAGTTCAAAGGCATTTTATTTCCGTAAGCCAACAAATTTCTAATTTAAATTCCTTCAATCTTATAAAATTTTAAAACAGCACACGACAAGAAATTTCTTTGATTATCGTGGAGAAATTCGACAATCAGACGCTGGATTTTACTTCATGGAATGGGATCGTCATGCAAAAAAGACGATTGAAGGAATTTCAATGCCTGATTTACCACAAAATTTCAGTGAAATGTGCAACGATGAAATATTCTGCGGGCTGCCATTAATTTCAAGTCGTTCTCTCTTATTGGGCGGCCAATGGTTGTCATCACCAACACCTAAATTTCCAGACATTGCACTCATTGATTCCCATTCGAAAATTGTTTTATCAGATAATCGAGTGAAACATTCGTTCAATAGTAATGGAACATCTTTAGCTGCCATTTTCATACGAACACGAGGAGAAGAAACAAAAATGACAGCGTGGAGTTTCACTGAAGATGTTCCGGAAACCTTCAACAATACATATTTTGTAACTGTCGCCAATGGTGTTGAGACAGAGCCATTAAGCTTTGACATCACGATTAAGAATGCTGAACGTGTTGATGGACCTCTACTTGACATCACTTTAGTTTCTATGAAGTTTGATCGACAAAGCGATTACACAACAGATTTTAAGAAAATCTTAAAGCGAGTTCCAGATTGGGCGTTTGCAATTGATTGCATTGCTGCTGTCACAAGTTATACATTTTAAGAGATTTTCTAAGAAATTGAATGATAATTCCAAGAGTTGTGAGTAAAAATTCTTTAAAAGTTCATATCGCAGTTTCTTTGACTGAAATAGTTGCATAAATTAAAACATTCATAAGTTCACTTTATGCTTGTTAATAAATAAGAAAATATACTTGAAGTAGCAGGAAAAACATAACGCGATCATTTTCATATTTAAAAATAAGATCATTCTGACATGTTTCTTCTTCTCATTCGTTTTTCATTCATTAAAGTTTTCCTTGAGTTTTTCATATTTCACATTTCACATTTCACCTAAAAACAACACATTTATTTATTATAAGTGAAAAACGCTCAAATAAAGAACAAATTTTAAACATAATTATGATTGACGGCAACTTAATTTCTATAATGAGTTCCTTGAATATAAAGTTTTTGTCATCATCAACATCATCTTGTAGATTCAAGATTTTCATTCAATTCTCAACAACGTTAAAGGTCACGAGTTGATCCTAACCAAGCTGCGATTTGTCATAAATCAATGTTTGACATTTTTTCTACATTTTTTTTTTGTTCAAACTGTTGACATGAATTGTGAATTCTTTCAAGACACTAAAAATAAACCGTGAAAAATTGTAAAATAAATGCGCAGAAAGTTTCTTTTCCATGTTGTAAACGGTTTCTTCAAGGTAGATTAAAATTATAAAGAGAATTCTTAAGAAATATGCATCGAAAAGTATTTTTTCTGATTGTAAACAAGATATGAAAGGAAAGTTCTTTAATAAACAGAAAAGATGATCGTTAAGTGATTGTCTACAACGTTAAGTAATTTCCCAAGCAAGTTCTCCAAGATTCATCATGAAAAACATGAGAGAGCGAATTGAGAGAGAAATCAAGGAAAAGAGAGAAAATTACTCTCACGTTTTTCTTTTCTTTGAATCTCAAGCGAGGGAGAAGTTGCCGGAAAATGTTTTTTCTCACATCAGTTGCTGACGATCATTCTATGTGTGAAGAAGATCATTCGTTTGTGCTCTCGTTAAGAAAATGTGAAAAAAAAATATTTAAAAGAAAAAAGTTTTATTCTGTGAAAAATTTTTATGTAATGAAAAATTAAGTGAAGATTATTGGAGAATTGTGATGAATTTATGAAGGAAATTTATGAAAAACTAAACGGGAAAGAATTTATTGAAATAGAAATATGTCATTAAGGTTTTCTTCTTGTATTTTCGTTGGGATAAAAAGAAAATTGAAAATTTGAAGACATCGAGATTAAGCAGTGAAAACTTGACATCATAAGCAACAAATACAAACGTGTATACACAGAGAAATAAACAAGATTTAAAAAGAATTTTTGTTTCTCAAAACGATGAAGCTGTGGAAATCAAAAAAGTCGGCAACGACAAGTTGCGTGTCGGCTGTAAGCGGAAAATTAAATTTGAGTGGAAATAAAAACGGATACAAAGATCGAGATGAAGATCGAGTCGAGACGAGTTCTTCGTCAGCGATGTCCACAAATCAGTCAACAGTTAACTCGCCAAATGGCGTGCACCAAGGTGAGAATGATTTTGAGTCCTATTGAAAGGAATTTCAAGAAATATTTATTTCTTACGCGTGTGAAAAATTAACGACAAATTAAAAACAGAAATTAATTTTCAGAGGAATGACATCTTGCAGCATTTCATTTTATTTCTTTCGTCTTTCTTTTTCTTCTTCAATCCTTTCGAAAAGAGAATCGAATTTGACTTTTCTAATAATCTCACGCATGGTAAATTTCAAAATGAATCATCAGCGTCTTTGTCGTCTATGCGTATGAATCATTCACAGTCGATATTTATATTCAATTTGTTTATTTAGGCAACCAAACAACCGAATGACCGACGACCCTGCATTTACTCCCTTCTTAAAATTTGCGTTGCGAATTTATTTGCGTCTCCCTCGTTAAACATTCAATTTCGCTAATTTTATGAATCAGCGTGGCGTCGAGTTGAGTTTGTCAGCTGTTTTTTTTTGAAGCATAATTCATGCAGCGAACATTTACTTATTAAAAGCGAAATTCGAAGCGCCAATAAAACTCATTAGTTTCATTGTTGCAACTCAACATTTCGGGAGATGTAAACTTTAATTAGTCTAGTGTAAACAATCTACATTATTATTCATCTTTTTTGAGAAGATAATGAAAAGATTTTAAATGAAAAAGATGAAGAAACATTTTCATGCAAATATGATGAAGTCGAGAGCCATCAAAGAATCCAACTGATGATGATTAATGATGCGTGGAAAGCGAGCGGGAAGTAATTTAATGAATGTGCGATTCCCTCAAAACAACTCGCCTTGTTTTTTTTCCAACAACTTCTTGGAACTTTGTAATCAAATTCATTTTAATTTCAATCGATTTAAACTGTAATTTAATTAAGAAAAAGTCAGGGCTGGCCGATGAAAGATAAACAATTCAAATCTTATTCCTATAATAATTAATCAAATTAATTGATCTTGAAATGAAATTGCGGGGGAGATTCGATTAAGAACACAAAGTTGCGGTCATAAATTTTTGACCCTTTTGTCGTCTATCGTTTAACTTCGCTTTCTGTTTCTTATTTCTTATTGAATAAAAAAAAATTATCCATCCAATAATCAATTAAGTAATTGAGTTTCATTATTTACAGTTCAGTGGATTTTATTTATGTTGTTCCGTTGTGTGTTTCTTTTGATTCAAAAACGATGCAACAGATGATTTTACGACAACAAATTAGAATCAATCACACGACGAAGAAACAAATTCGCGAGAGTCTTCAAATATCAAAGTGAAAGAAAATTATTTTATTCTTCTTCACCTCGTAAAATTTTCCTTAGCTCGACATCTCAGATCAGTCTGATTCATTCAGATGATGATTGAAGTGAAACATAAATAAGATAGAAAATAAGACTTGGCGCTTGTTTGCTTTCTTTTCTTTATTTCGACAAACAGCGTGACTCGATGTCTACTCTTAGACTCAAATGTGATTTCATTTATTTAACTTAATCTATTCCCAATGGACTTGCACAATCAGATTGAGTTTTCATTGAATTAGCTATAAAGATTGCCTCGTTTGTATTTCGGAAATTAACTCAAGATGCATCCAATTAAATTAATAAATTAGTTTATTTCTTAACACTTTCTCATCATACATATTTCCAATCATCTTGCAACGCGTGGCACGCTTTGAAACAATTTCGACCCCATCGCAATCGTTCATTTAAAAATAGAAGGCGAATGAAATTATTGAGCGAGAAAGTTCAAAGATATTTTTAAAGCTTTGCAATCGTCAGTTGTCAGTTTTCAAGGGAGACTCACGGGAGTTGAACGATGCAACGTTGTTGTCGTTGTTTGTTGAACGATTTATTAGATTTTGCATATCTAATTAGTTGCCAAAGTAAATTTCATGTATTTGAAATTAAGAAAGATTCATACGGAGAGTGTTTATGCTTCATCCTACACACTGCGCAACAATCTTTCTAATAGAATGTCCCTTGCAGATGTTGAAGAATTTCTTAAGGAATTTCTATGGGAGATTATTTTATGAAGTGTTTAGTTATGTTGATTAATAATGCTGTGACATGTCGCTTGTCGGTCTTTGTGTGTGGCATTATCAGAATAACAACAATCACCCTTCATTCGATGTGAACCATTTCATATTCAACTACCAAATCGCCCCCTCAACTCATTAAAATATCTTTCGCTCTTTCGTTCTAAATTGAAATCCCAGATTTCCGACTGTTTTCACATGAAGTCTGCAGGAAGTCCTTTCATTAGATTTACAACAAATTTGTATTTAATCTCATGACACAATCTTATGAAAATTTCTGTTAAGAAAATGAGAACATTTTGCTACATAATGAGAATACGCCATAAAATTCATGATTCTTTCATATTTTTTATAAGTTTGATGAGATCAGAGACAATTGTTTGTGTCTCAAACAGCGATTCATTCATTTGGAAAGTAATAAAAACAAAGCGGATGCTTTACTTGTTCTTAAAATGGGCAACAAAATTTAAATAAAAACAAAGAATGCAATGTTAAGATTATTGAATCGTTTTTATGTTCATGTAAATGTGAATGTTGTGGCATATTAAACATTTATTTATATCGAACATGATTTTATTGCTTTTTTCCTGTCGTTGTTCATTGCTTCTTGTGACACTCAAAAAATGATAATTTTAAATGAGGCCAAAGAAATATCAGCAGATTGTTTAAGATCTAATTAATGTCCTACTTTCAACCATGTCTAATCATTTTTATTTATTTGTTATTTAAAATATGAGACAGAAAAGTAAGGAAAATCAAATTTCATCGGAAAAGTCTCGAGTCTCGTCTCACAAGAGATTAAAAGTCGCCGATTTCTTCATGCTTTATTCAACTTGAATTAATAGCTTCTTTTTATCTTCGCCAACGTATCTCAGAACGAGATTTTCATCACAGAAAGAATTTTAATTAATAATTTGTCATTCATTCATCTTTCATGCTAATTAATCTGTTTTCATTCTTTAATCTCGAAGAGACTTGAGACAGTGTTTAAGTAAATATTAATCGATTTTTGTCTTCTTTTATAGTGTCACGATTGGAAGGCCGTGCAATGAGCCCAGCGCAATCAGAAGATTCAGGCTTAGCTGCTGATCGAGGATCAACTTATGCCACTATCTCAATTCCTAGACAAAGCTGTCAGTCGATGGGAATTGTTTTTGCTGGTGAGATTGAGATTGAAGATTGATGCGACTCTTGTACCTTCTACATATCTATAATTCGTCTCCACACACTTTACACGCTCCGACTGTTTGTGTCGCGTCTAAAAATAATTAAAAACGAAAACAAAACTTTGTCACATATCATTAAGATGTAAGAGATCATGTTGAAGAAGCGACGTCAAATTAATTTATTCGAAAGAAACTCAAAACTAAAGCGGGAAAATTTAATTTTTCATTCTTAGCGCGCTTTTCTTTTATTATTGCGAAAATCTTCTTCTCTCTTTGCTAAATGTTATGGAAAATGAATGAAAATTCGTTGTCATAAACGCAAAGGCGAGAAGAATTGGTGAGACTACGTAGGAGTTTTACTTTGATTTTAAATGACCGTCAAGTGGTCGTTAGAGCAAATCAAAAATATAACAAGTAGATAACTCACCAGCGTGGTCATTTCAAGCCTCAGCACAGACAAAAAAAATATAAATGAAAATGAAAATCTTCTCGTTTAATGAACACAATTCGACTGCAAAAAAAAAATGAAAACAACAGCAAAAGTGAACTATTAAGATTCGATACAATGAGATTTGCCAGACGCTCCACATAATTCTATGTATCTTCCAACTCTTGTATATATTAATAGATCGTCATAAGTATACACAATCGTAATCGTAGGAATGAAAAATTATCTCAATTCACTTGGCAACGTTGCAATTTTCATTTATGAGAACGAAATCATTTTCCTTGTAGTTCATTAAAACAGTTTCAAGAAACAAAAATCAATGTTAAAGTAAGTTAATCGCTACAACCCAACGAATGACGATCATTTACTCTAAAGCAAAAAAAAATTTTCTCTCGTTTTTAATTTTGTTTTAGACATGAGGTACTAAAGAATAATTTATGATCTGCTATATGAGCTTAAAATAGAGTGTCACAAAGTCTGCGAATATGTTAATTATGAGATTAAAACTCGACATTCTTTTTAAGGATGTCATTTTGCTTCAACATGATTTCGTTAGATGAAAAATTTTGAACAAAATGTTTCAAGTTTTTATCAAATTTCACAGAGCGAACTGACATTTCCTACCCACCAATTATCGAGACGATCAATCTGTTAGAACCAAATGCCGATTTCTTAGCTCCTGGTGATCGAGTTCATCAAGTTGATGGAATCTCAACGATTGGATTGTCGAATGAACAGGTCATGAATCTTTTATTGTGCAATCGTGATGAGAATGCAATCATTGAGATCGAATATTCTCTCCCTGACTACTGTAAGTTTGCAATAATTATTTTCAGCCTTCATTAAATCAAAATTTAATTGAATTTTCCACGAAAGTGTCACAAAACAGTTTATGCGTCACCACAAAACTAGCACAAGTCGCAGTTGAGCGTGAAAATGGTTGTTTAGGACTAACATTGCGGGGTGGATCAGAACTGCCAATTATTGTGACAAATGTTCGCGCTTATGGGCCGGCATATAAAACAAGTCGCATAAAGCCTGGAGATCGCGTTCTTCGTGTCGATAATGTAAGTTGTTTCCTAATTCCACTACACGTTTCGTTCATTTAAAATCTTAATTTAGATTTCATTGATTCACAAATCGCTGTCGGAAGCACAACAAATCCTAAAGTGTGGACACAATTCACCATTTTGTAATCTCACGATCGAGTACGAAGTTTCAGTGATGCAAACAGTGGAATTCTCGCTCGGACCGCTCTTGATTGAAATTGAAAGATCGATGAATGAACAGATGGGTTTGGTGTTGTGTAACTTCATGCCACTTGCTGCCGATTTCAATGGAGTTCAGCATTCGGGAATTTTTATTTCAAGTATCATCCCAGCGAGTATTTCTGATAGATGCGGCGCACTTTCAGTTGGAGATCAAATCTTAACAGTTGACGAGACGGTCGTTGAAAACACCGCCTTTACACCCGATGACGTTATTCAACTACTGGAAGCGAATTGCACTAAAGGCTTCACACAAATTCAAATTCTTCCAGCCCACGCCATTCTTCGTCGGAAAGGTGAGCGATCGTCCTAAAATAAACAATTAATTTGATGACTTCTTTATTCCGATTCGAAATCCAATGCATATTTATTATTTTAACGCACGAGTCGCGAGTCGTTTGTTTAATGTTTGGACGAATCTATCCAGACAAGAATTTAAGATTTATTTTATTTTTATCATCGACTGATCGTGTTTGTTTGGAAGCTTTCTCATTTATCTTTTATATTTTCTTCTTCTAACGATTTCAACGGATAGCTTAACCAATATAGATGGATACTTAATTCGGAAGCATTTCCAAGTTGAGTAACAATTTATAAATAAATGAAAAAACAACAACATTAAATTTCATTCTTGTCTTCATCACATTTCTCCGGAATAAGAAATTTTGTTTTTTGTTTGTTTTTATTGTGAGACGAATTACGATCATTAAATTCTTGAAAGTGCTTCTGAACAAACAGCTGTTGTATCTCTGTTGCTGTCTGATGATGTCTTCCCCATGCAATGTTTTCTAAATCATTTCTTTCCTAACATGAAGAAGTGGCATGAAGTGCATCATAAGAAGGGAAAGAATCATTCGCTTGTCGACGAGTTGGCCTCACCAAGCGAAACGGATGTAAGGTTTCGAGATAATGAATTTCTCAGAAAGCTATGAAACATTAATTACTTTTTCATCAAACCTAATTGTTCTCGGGCATCGGGCGCCTTCCCCAACAAACATGTCAATCATTCTCGATTATAAAACAAGAATAATTATGAGTTGTTAATTATTTTCGTTTTTATTATTACATCCACTGCAGTGAATGGAACTTTCACTGATGATTCACAAACACGTCTTCTTCTTACTCTTATATTTACTTCTGTTCTCTCAAAAACATTCTAAAAATATCTGCATTTGATCCCAAAAAGATTTCATTTTTCCTTCATTTCTAAATAAGAAGATAAAAGAAAGAAAAACATGTCGCGCAAAGTGCTGACTGCTTGAAGTTCTTCTGGAGTCATAAAATTGTCACAGTCACAATTTAATTTCTATTTTCATCTCACATATTTAGGATTGCATTGTACGAGTCCACGTTTTAATGGTTTCAACACGATGGATCCACGTCGAACGCCTAAGATGAGTCAAAATAAGAAATTCTTTCGGAAAAGTTCATTGCCTTTGGACAACAATACATTGATGAGTACGATAACAAGAACAGAGAGAATCAACGTCGTTTTAGATTGTACACAAGGCTCCGGTTTGTGTTTAAGTTTGACACCACAAAACGGAAGCTGTTTTGTTATCACGAAGATACTCCAAGACTCTGTCGCTGAACGGTCAGGTTGCATTCAAAAAGGCGATCGAATCATTTCCGTCAACAAACTTTACAATCTCGACATTCAACTCATTCGACAAATTCTTAGAGACACACCAAGCATCTTTCAGCAACAACAAAATGCAACTGGAGTGGCACATTGGGTTGAACTTGAATTGGAATTCGAAATGCTGGTTGATGATTCAGCGCGTGGTATTTTTAACATCAAACTCATGAAAACAAGCAGAAATTCCGGGCTTGGGATAACTGTGAATGGTAAATAATATTTCATGAACTAGACGATTAAATTATCTAAAGATAAATTTCCTTTAGGTTCATCTCAAGGTTCATTTGTTGTTACTGACATCAAACCAGGATCACCAGCACATCGTGCTTCAGTGAAAGTCGGCGATCTTGTTCTAGCAATCGATTCCCATCCAATACAACACTTTAATGTTGATCTTCTTTTAAAAGAAAACAAAAATGATTGTGTCACGTTAACAATTCGAAGAAATGTCATCGCTGATTATTTATTTGAGAGTCAAAATCGTCAAAATGTTGTGACTTATGCAAATTATGATGCTGCAACAAACACTTTTGGGGGATATGGAAGCAATAATAATAACAATAACAATTTGTGAGTTTACTTTTATTACTATTTTTAAAATATTCTTTAAAATTTAATTTTTTCAGACGACAAACTGATCAGCAATTGAAAAACTATTACGAAGAGCCGCATTACTCAGTCGTGCCAGCTCCACGTTATTGGAATACATTAAAAATGAATAAAAATGAAAATCAAGGAAGTGAAGATGTTATGGGAAATTCAATTTCAACGAATGATCTCGTTAATTACAACAACGTTGACTTCACAATGGCACAACAGAAGATGATGAGTATGAGTATGGGCCCGACAACAAATGCTTCGCATGGAACTCAAACTGACACAAATAATGCGAGTTCTTCACTAAACAACAACATGATGACATCTTCGTTCTTCACACAACAACCAAATGTCTTCAATGTTCAACTTCATCCAAATGGTGGACCTTTAGGAATCACTTTGGCTGGCAATGAGGATGGAAAGAAGCCGATTGTGATTAGTGGATTACAAGATGGTGGCGTTGCTTTCAACACTGGTCAGATACAAATTGGTGACACTCTTCTTGCAATTAATAATGAAAGTGTTATTGGAATTCCACTTTCAAGTGCCACAAAACTTCTTCAAGTTTTAAATGAAATCATTGAATTGAGATTAACAAGAAGTAACAATCAATTAACAAATTCGCCAAAGGCAAGTGAAAAAATGCCACAACCACAAGCACTTTATGCTGAAGTTCAACGTCGTCCTAATAATTTGATTAAGGCAGATGCGACATCAAGTTCAAGTAGTCGAAGTGGAAGTAACAATAGCGATGGACAATTGAAGACAATTCATGTAACATTGTACAAAGATCAAGTGTATGATGATTATGGCTTTTCAGTGTCGGATGGTCTTTATGAACGCGGTGTTTATATTAATAGAGTTAGAAGCGGTGGACCCGCTGATCAAGTTGGCGTTTTAAAACCTTACGATAGAATCATTCAGGTGAATTTAAGAATTTCTTTTTATTTTATTTAATTAATAGGATTATCTCTTATTCAGGTTAATGGAACTAAGACTATGGATTTTGATTGCTGCTTAACAGTGCCTTTAATAGCTGCATCAGGGGATAAAATTAATCTCATTGTTCAACGTGGAATTTTAGAATAAAATTTTATCGTCTTTTCTTCTCATTATTTTATTTTTTTGAGAGTATTAACAATAGATGTATGATTCTTGTGACACTAATTATTTTTTATAAAATTCAAATGATGTAGGTACCTAGTTAGTTACGTAAATTGATTTGAATAAAATTTTAAAAGATTATAGAAATGCATCTAGGTTTTATTTACCGGCTTTTTAAAATTTGAAATACATAACATTTTTTCAGAAAAGTTCGTGCAAAATTTCATGGGAATACTGTCGATAATATTTATGGTTAGTAAGTAAAAGGTAAACAAAATCCACGATACAAAGATTAACATGACAAATAATACGACGATTGATATGGACGATCTTGTGAAAGTTGGACAATATGTAGTAATTCAAAGACAGAGCTTTACAAAACTAACTAGTTTTAATAATTTGGAATCAACCGTGCAAATGGGACGTGATGCGATTGAGTTAAAAAATATTTGCGGACAATCATGGCACAAAACATTCAAAATGCAAATGAAAGGAGGAGGAAAGAAGAGAATTTACTCACTTGATCCTTGTGATAATGTTACTGATTGTAAAGAAATTTTGAAGAGTATGGAGTCGGGTGTTGACAACCGGAATATCATCGACGATGGTCAAGTAAATAATTTTAAGATTTGCTTTTTAATTATACAATTTTAATTCTCTTTTATCTATTTTCAGTCGCAAACTCTATCAAACGACGAAATACTCAACATGAGAGAAAGTTTATCAGATTCTAAAGAAATCATCGGAACACTTGTAGCCAATTCAAAATCGTTTGGTGAGAAGACTGAATATTCTCAAGAAAAATACATCAAAAAAAAGGAAAAAAAGTATTTTGACTTCATCCAAATTCGAAAACCAAGCATCAGACTTTTAGCTGATATTTTCTATCGTCAAGATCCTGATAAACCTTTAGGATTGCGTATTGATTCTTTATCTCAATTGATTTCATATTCAGGTGTTAATTCCACTGGAACTTATTTAGTTTACGAATCGGGAACAAGTGGGTTAGTACCAGCAGCATTTCTCAACTCAATGGGCAATTCAGGAGATGCTCGACTTGTTCATGTTCATCCTGGAAATTTCCCTCAAAAGCAAGCGGTTCTTGCTCTTAATCTAAGTGAAGATCACATGAAGAAATGTGTTTCTGTGAATCTTTATTCTGTATTAAGACAATTTTATCAAGAACAAAATAACGAAGAATCAGAGATCATTGAGGAATCAAACATCGAAAGTAGAAAAAGAAAAGCAATCGAAGAAATTGAAGAAATGCCAGCCTCAAAAAAAATCAACTCGGAAAATGGGAAAGTTGAGTTGACAAACGAAATAAAACCTCCGAAGAAACAAAAATGGCAATATGAAAATGAAGAAGCGATAGAATTATTAAAACATAAAGTCGATTCTCTTGTGATTGTTTCCAAGGAAGATCCATTTAATATTGCTAAAGAATTATTACAATTTGTTCATCCAGGTCGACCCGTTGTCATTTTCCACACATGCAAAGAAATTCTCATGGAATGTTATTCATCATTGAAATCTCTCGATAAACTTGTCAATCTTCGTTTGACCTCAAACTGGATGAGAAACTATCAAGTGCTTCCCATGCGAACACATCCAGCTGTTCAAATCACTGGAAATAGTGGATTTCTTCTGGTTGGCTACACCATTAAAAATGGTGATTTAAAATAACTTTTAATAAAGAAAGTGAAACCTTACATGTCCATTCTTTTTATTTTGTATTGTTGAAGTCAGTGTTGATGTATGAAATTTTTTTAGACTTTAAATCTTGAGTCAAGATTCTTCCTACTTCGACTTACAGAATTTTGAGGTAAATGAATTGATTAATGACTGAATTGGATTTTATCTCAGGCTTGACGGTTCAAGATAATTTTTCAATGACCTGTGATTTTGAGATTTCAAGTCATTTTTCATTGACTTGTAACAACTCTGAGTAACAGATAACAAGTTTTGAACTTCATTCAATTTGTCTTCATTTTCTTTTCGCTTCAGTTTTGTTTATTCTCTCGACAGAATAGGAAGTAAAGAATAATGGAATTTAATCAAGATTTAGAATCTGAATACACTCCATCATTGTTCGCTAAGAGATTCGCATCACGAGATGAACTTCTTAGTTATCATCAAGAATTTGCTAAGAAAAGTAAATTTTTTAATAAATTATTCTGCAACAAATTTTAAACAGAAATTTCTTTAAGAATCTGAAAAGAATCGTTTTAAATACAATTGTCGATTGAATGTCAGTTATGGGCCGTCATTTCGAGAGAAACTTGATATTTATGGAGATGATTTGAAAGGTGATAATCCGCTCTTCGTTTATATTCATGGAGGTTACTGGCAAATGATGAATAAATGGGATTCAGCTTATTGTGTAGCTCCACTAGTTGAAAATGGAATAAGAGTGATCGTGATAGATTATGAATTATGTCCACAAGTTACTCTCGGACAAATTGTAGGGCAAGTGAAAGTTGCATTTCAATGGATCGCTAATTATGTGGCAAAAAAATCAATCAAATCAGTTTCATTTGCTGGTCATTCAGCTGGAGCTCATTTGTTGGCTTGTTGTTTATGTGAAGAAATTTTATCTTCCATTAGTCGAGATGTACAACTTTTTGCTTATTGCATTTCTGGTATTTATGATTTGGGAGAGTTGCGGCATTTGAAAGCTGCAAACGAAAACAACATTCTGTCACTCAATGATAACAATGTTCGTATATTGTCTCCACAATTTTATGACTTCAGATATCTCATCAATCGAAACATTCAAATTTTCATCTTTGCTGGTGAATTGGAGTCGAAAAAGTTTCAACAACAATCAAAAGATTTCTCACAAATTTCTCTAAAAAATTTGCCATCAAATTCTTTGCAAATTATTCCTGATCGTGATCACTTCGACATTGTTGAAAAGTTATCCGAGAGTGATTATGAAGTTACAAAACTTTTCATTGAAAATGCCAAAAAATGAAAGAAACTTTCTTTGTGTTTTATTTTTCCCGATTTTTAAGTTTTGAAGTTTAATAATTACATAATTCGAATTAATTTTGTAAACTGATGAAATTAGAAAATAAATCAAAAACTGAAACTCAAAACTCACATTGAAACTCAAGAAATAATCATTAAATCATCATCGTCATCATCATCAACAGCGATTGATGTGGCACCATTCTTATTACATTTCTCTATTGAAACATTATTATAATCTTCATCTGGTTGCGAGTTTGCTACAGTATCCTTCATCAGTATCTTCGTTTCTTCCACAACTTCTGTCTTTGAAGTACTTGACACTTCATCGGCATCATCTGACTGTGATTTGTATTCCTTTTCAGCAAATCTGGAAAGAAATTCATTAGAAATGCGAATATCTCAAACAAAAAGTTATTCTAACTCACTCGTTTATAATGTCGTCGTATTTTGCATAATTCTTCTTATTCTTTTCAAGTTGGATTCTTAATTCAGGATCTTCTTTAGCTGGATCTTTAGTTTTTCCAGCATAAAAAGTCGTTGTCTCATATAGATCACGTTTTCTCCTTTCTTGTAGAAGTTTTCCAAGCTTCTCAAAAGCATCCTGAGCCACACGTTTCAACTGATCTTGTGAAAGTCCAAAATTGTGCTTCTTGTTGCAGTAATCTAATGTTTTTAAGACATCGCGGAAGTTTGGAAACATATTTTTCTTGTTTACAAATCTCTGTAGTTGTTTGTTGAATTCAGGAAAGTCAGTCCCTTTGAACTTTATTGGTTGTCTCACTGCTCGATGGGCATGTGTTGATTCCCCAGTTATCTCACAAATCTAAGGATTTGAATTTAATTATTCTCATCACTTATTTATAAAGAAATTACCTTATGATATATCTCACAAGCTCTCTTTTCAAAACGGACTTTTTTAAGGTAAGAACTGTTATCGTCATCGTCCCAATCGACTTCTGCTTCATCTAAGTCGAGAATTTGTCTCTTGCATCTCACTAAAGCTCGATAAAGTTGCTTAAGATGAGCATCTTTAGTTTCATCCCCAGTTCCTTTTACACTTACTGAATCTTCATTTGTGAAAACTGTTGCTTTGCTCTTCCGTCGAATATCAAGTTCCTGAAGGATTTCATTAAGTTTCACATAAACTAAATGCGGTTCTTTTTCAATTCCTTCCGTAGCCATTTTAAGAGTCTTAAGAAAGTTTTTTGAGGTAACAAAATCGGGATGAACCGAGTGATAATATTTTAGAAGTTTTGTTTTTATAACTTGTTTCATTTCTTCGGAAGATTCTGCTTTTCGACAAGCTTTTATTAGCCTTTCCAGTTGTGGTGTTAATTCATTCTTAGCAATTTGTGCAGATTCCTTCTTAGAATTCGAAGGACCTGCACTGTCATCATTTATTTTGTCCCCCTCCTCGGTTTCATTATTTTCTTTAGTATCTTTCACATCCAAAGCATTGGTTGCTTCTTGATTACAATTAAGTTCTGAGTTTTTTGTAGCTGGATCATGAAGATTTCCAATTTTCGTAGGCTGGATTCTTCTAATTTTACTTTTAGGTGAATCAGCTTCTTCGACATCATTTTCTGCACTTCTTTTAATTGGAGAATTTACATTATTTGTAACTTTTTTTATTTTTACTTCCTAAAAATAAAAGTTTGCATCAACAATGAAGAAAAATTACCGCGAACTTTAAAATTAACAATAAAAACTTACCGATACTGGACAATCTTCATCATCTGAATCAAGAATGATAACTGAAGATTCCATTTTAAATTCTTAATACTATTCCGATTCTTAATTACTTTCGTTTTATTCGTAGGAATAAATTTCTTAGTTTTCACTCTGTTTTGATTGGCAAACTCTTAGAATCTTCGTACCCCCTTAGATATGATCGATGCAGTGAGTCAATGATGTACTCAGTCATCATTTCGACTTTGGTACGTTCGCGCGGGTTTGGCCTTCCATACAAAACACACAGAAAAAATTTCTCCGTGCGAGATAATTTCTCCGACCGAGATAATCGATCGTAGCGCCGCCACTGAAACGTTCTCGGACAAAAGTTCAAACTTCAGTTTGATTCCGTGCAAGTAAAAATTTTCCGTATCAGAAAAGCGATCGTAGCGCCGCCACTGAATTGGTTAAGGACAAACCTTATAATTTTTGTTTTATTTAGACTCGTGAGTCGGATAATCCGAACTTAAAAACATCAGGCGAAAAATTTAGTTTTGTTAGTAAATATTCCATTACAATGGCGTATTCCGTCTTAAGCAATGTGGCACGTCAAGCCGCCAACCTCAAGCTTTCCAAATCAGTTTTACAAAGTACTGGAGCTCTTTTCAATGGAAGGTAAATTAAAGTTTAATAATATTTTTGTTGTTGTAATCTAATTGCATAATTTTTTCAATATTTTTATGCGTAAATATTTTCACTATTTGATATTATACAGCCAAACAAGAAATGCAAGCAAATGGTATCCTGATGAAGAGTTTTTAGAACAATCTGCTGGTGTGGTTATGTATCCCGATGAAACCACATCAAAATGGAAAAATCTTTCTTACAATGCAAAGTTGTATCCAGCACCTGAAAAAGCAATTCGTAACATGGCACTTAACTTTGGTCCACAACATCCTGCTGCTCACGGTGTATTGCGAATGGTCTTGGAACTTGATGGTGAAGTTGTTATGAGAGCTGATCCTCATATTGGTTTACTTCATCGTGGAACTGAGAAGCTTATTGAATACAAAACTTATACTCAGGCTTTGCCATATTTTGATCGGTAAGTCCTATTATTAAATGATTATTATTTACTTGTTTCAAAGTTAATTTATTTCAGTTTGGATTACGTATCAATGATGTGCAATGAACAATGTTATTCACTTGCTGTTGAGAAACTTTTGAACATTGATATTCCTATACGTGCAAAATATATCCGAAGTAAGTTGACATCTTTCATATCATTTAAATTTTATTAATATGTATAATTACTTAGCACTTTTTGGTGAAATCACAAGAATCTTAAACCATATTATGGCAGTTGGTACGCATGCTCTTGATGTTGGTGCAATGACACCTTTCTTCTGGCTCTTCGAGGAACGAGAGAAGATGATGGAGTTCTATGAGCGTGTATCAGGAGCTCGTATGCATGCTGCATATATACGTCCAGGTGGTGTTAATCAAGATCTACCTCTTGGATTACTTGACGATATTTATGAATTCTCTTCGAAATTCGGAGAACGACTTGATGAAGTTGAAGATGTGCTTACAACAAACCGCATTTGGGTTCAACGTACTGAAGACATTGGCATTGTATCTGCTGAAGATGCTCTCAATTATGGATTCAGTGGCGTAATGTTGCGTGGTTCTGGCATCAAATGGGATCTACGTAAAACGCAGCCATACGACGCTTATCATCTCGTTGAGTTTGATGTTCCAATCGGCACTAAAGGCGATTGTTACGATCGTTATTTGTGTCGTATAGAAGAAATGCGTCAATCACTTAGAATCATCGATCAATGCTTAAATCAGATGCCACCAGGTGAAATCAAAGTTGATGATGCAAAATTAACTCCACCAACACGTCATGAAATGAAAACTTCAATGGAAGCTTTGATTCATCACTTTAAATTATTTACCCAAGGCTACCAAGTTCCACCTGGCTCAACATACACAGCAATAGAAGCACCAAAAGGCGAGTTTGGAGTGTACCTTGTATCAGATGGATCCAGTAAACCTTACAGATGCAAAATCAAAGCACCAGGATTCGCCCATTTAGCAGCAATCGACAAAATTGGCAAACGACACATGTTGGCTGACATTGTTGCCATTATAGGAACATTGGACGTTGTATTCGGTGAAATTGATCGATAAATATATTGTAGACAAGTTTTCGTTTCTGTTAATTGGATAAAATAAAAGAAAAATAAAGTAAATAATTTATCTTGTAATCTTTTTAATAATTTTCATCATAAATTGATGTCGAATGTCAATTATTTCTCATAAACGTTTAATTACTTTTTATTTTTAAGATGTTTTCAAATATTTTTCAATATTTTATATTGAAAAACGTTTTAGACAAAGCTAGAAAGACAATTTTTAGATAGTTAAAAGATGAACATGCACTTGAATCATGATAAATAAAATTAATTTTATTTTTATCAAATCATCTACTTTTGTGCAATCATCGCCAAAGTATCGAATACACATTATTCCGATGACACAAAGCGGCTGATAGTGCTGACAATAGAAACTTTAATGTCTGCTGCTTTAAACGGAGATACATAAATATGACTCTTGAAAACAAGCCTCACATTTCTAATGTTTCTTATTGCCGCTCGAAGAAAGAAACCACGAACAGCGAATTCAGCTGAAAAACTCAATTGAAATTGGAATCACAAAAAATCTCTCTTTGTGTTTGCTGAAAGTTTGCAAATTGTATTTGGATATGATTGCATAATCAGAAATAAAATTTTGAAATTTATCTAAAGATGAAAAAAAGATTTTTGATTGATAAAGCGCGAGACGACTTAACGCTTTTTTGTTCTCAGTCATTCCATAAATCATAGAAAACGTCCAAAAAATGTTTCGATGAGGTTTCAAGTTACATAGAAATTGATTTATAAAAAATAAATTATCGCCATATTTATGAGTGGGAAAGCATTCGTTAAACGATTGGATAAAGCGAAGCAAGCCAGAAAATTCCATAAGACTCGAATTCATCGATTAATTTTTTTCTTTTCATTTTTACGTTTTCAGCCCACCTATCGATCGGTGCCTGATGACTCACATTAACTCAACTTAGACTCGTCTTTTTTATGTGAGAATTTTGGTAACTTTATATTTAATTAGGTGATCTGCTTCGCCACCAATTAGGCTTTGCATAATTCATCAACACATTCGTCTTAAGATCATCCGATCAGTTTTGTCTGTGAAGATTTTTTCTTTCTTTTTGGGATGTGCTGAAAAATCTTGCATGTAAACACGAGTGTCGTCTTACAAACAGCCAAAGAAACTCTTCACATTTTTTGTTGTTTTGTTCTCTCAGAAGTGATGAAACATTATTTTGTGTTGTTTCGCTTTAAGTATTGTAAAGTGAGATCAAATAAAATGAAGGAATTAACCTTTAAAATAAATTCATGATATTTGAGCTAAAGCGACGAAAAAACTTCATCAATCAAAAGCAAAGCAAGGATAAAAAAAAGTTACGATTCATTCATAAATGAACGGAGATTAGATAGTTGAACCAAAACTCATTTTAATGTCTTTAAGAACAACTTCCGCATACATGACATTCGTTTTTAATGTTCAAAGTCATTCATAACGAGAATTATGTGCACCTTATGTGTATCAAGTTGAAACATGAGCTGCTGGTGATAAACATCAAAACTGATTCTTGAAAGATATCAAAATTTTGTTGAAACAAATTGCTTCGTTTTACCGTCGGCGAAGATAAATCAACGAAACATGTCATACAATTATAATTAATTATTTTTGTAATTCGCATAATTATTTCAGATATTTATTTGTGGCAAATATTTTGGCTAACTAACAAATCTAGTTTATCGACATTAAAACTAAAAAAAAGTTCTTTCTATAACAACTCTCCATGGTTTGTCTAAATAATGAGATTGATTAAAAGCGAGGCTCTCTTTAGCATATTTAATATCCAACAATGAAAGCTGATGGCATCAGCACGTGCACTTATTGTCTCTTATTTCGCATTCAACAAGGTGCAATTTGTTTGTTTAGATAATTTCAGAGTGAAAAGGTAAATTAACGTGTGTCACGTCATGAAAAGTGTGCATTAAGATGATTTTATTTTGCGATACGCTGATGCGTTCACATAAAATCTCATTAATTAATTGTTATTAAAAATAATAGACTAAACAACGAGAGGATGATTCTTCGCTTGAAACTTTTCACCCTAATTTCGTCTCAAATTGCTGGGCACAAGAAGCATCATAAACCAACCGAAGCATATCAGAGAAATGTGTTGAAAGGCAAATTGAATCAGGGACATGATAACAACATTCTTCCTTACGCATCTCGTTCTTCCTTCTCAACAACGAAACGACGAGGGTTCATTCTGAAGCACAATTTATTGACTTTCCCTTGAGATCAAATTAAGCTGGAAATTTCTTTTGACTTAAACATATCATTTGATGTGCCGTAAAATTATGACATGGGAAAAACCGATAATTCATCGCGATAAATTATTCAAAAAATTCTTTTTAATGATCAATTTAAAGCGTGACAATTTTAAACACTAATTAAATATTATTTTTGAGTGTTATTTCCATGTAATAAATGAAAGAGATTGTTGCTGATAAAGTGTGCAATGTTTGAGTCTTATTAGATTTGAAACCATATGTTTATGTTCTTATTGCTGTTCATTTCGCTTTCCCTCGCTGCAATTGTTTGTGATTTTTATCTTGCTGCTACTAGTAGTATAAGGATGCTATTTAATAATAACGAGTTCTTTCCTAGCAATGCTCGAGTAAATGAACATTAATTTGAAGGGATGTTGTTGAGGGTTGTTGGCTGTTAAAAACAATTTTCTTTGACATGTTTTATTCGCATTCAACAATGGCACTTGAGAAGCAAATAAAAGTCAGATTAAATTTGTGTAAACGATGCTTTTCACTTTCCACTCAAACATAATGTTTGAACTTCAAAAATTTCCACGAAAGAAAATTCTTTCAAATTGTTACACATCCGTGAGATGAAATAAAAAGAAACAGCAGCAGCAGCAGCTTGGATATAATAAACATCATCGAAGCATCAAATAAAGAAGGAAAATGCGTCATTTTATTTTTTTATTCTTTCAGGATAAAAGAGAACAAAAAAGTGCTTCCTGATTATGGGAAATTTGACACCGAAATAAAAGTTTTATGTGTGTTGTGTAAATATGTGAAGCACCCGTAGCTGAAGATCGTCAGCTGTAACGTTAAAATATTGTCTCAACTTATAATGAAGCATTTAACTCTTCTGCTCGAACTGATATCCTGACTCAAAGATGTGCTTCAAAACTCAGCAAGTGTTGGTTGCTGCCTGTTGGTAAAGTGATGAAATGGCAATGGAAATTAAAACCTTCAAGTGATTAACTGTTGAAATTTCCGCACGCTTTTCCTAAGAACAAAAAAATATCAAATTTATTTTAAGATCATTGATGGGATTGAAACTTAAAGCGTCACAAACACGTCTGATATGTTCTGAACTATCTGCCAAGTATACAGTTAAAGCCGATAGTAATAAAAGTTTGAGAATAATAGAAATTCGATCGTTTCAGATATGAAATATTACGCAAATTAATGAACATTTAATTGAAAACAAAACGGATTGATTGTGCTTCTTGATACTTTCTGGTTGGGCAAGTTAAAGATCTAAGTGATTAATAAGAAGCATAAAAATTAATTCATTTGATCTCTGACTTATGTCAGATCTTCCAAAAATTCTCTGCTTTAGTTAAGTCAACTTTAAAATTCCTCGAAAGCCTTTACATGACTTGCTTCCTAAGAATATTCTACCCAAGCACGATAATAACTAATCAAGTGGAGACGACTTGATGTAAGATTTTAAATCACTTCGTCGATCGTCACTTGTTTGTTTTAGCGTCGATCTTTCTTTCTTCTCTGCCTTTTAGCTTTAAGCAAAAAAAAACCAGACGAATAATTCACGTTTCATTGAATTTAATGTCACTTTTAATTAAACTCTTGCAAATCATTTTTGTGGATTTTGGTTAAATATTTTCTGTAACAGTTTCATTTACAACAAGATTTATACTCAAGTATGTGACTTGCAAATAACAGAGATAATTAATTATCAGCAATAAATAAGCAATGGCTTCTCATACATTCTCTTTAAATTTTAAATGATTTCTTTAAAAAATTCTTTTTCACTTCGATAAGGCCTCGCGAATCGCGAGAAGAATTTTTTTATCGTGATCGAGCAATCGTAAAATCATTTCTTAAAAAAATATAAAGAAAATGTGTTCGTTCAAGATTTTATAATTTATCTATGGTTGTGACAATAAATTTTCAACTCGAAAACGTTTTCGAATAGTTCATGAGACACAAAATTCTAGCACGGCAAGACGATTGACTAATTGCATGACACTACAGTTGATGATGATACGCGACGGAACCAACATTCTTGGCATGCTTTCTTCTTTTTCATCATCATCCATGTCACGACAATCGCATGAATTAAAATCTCATCATAACCCGGTGTTTGAGTTGATCGGTTTATCAATTCATTCAATAGAAAGAAGCGACGGGGAAAGACAACGAGAAAATCTTCGCTTTTAGCTGGTATCATATATCAAAATCTCATAAAATCATTAAACAGTTGTATACGCAATGATTTCAGCCATAACACGTGTGTGGGCAACGGGAATAAAAAATCTTCTAAACTTTGGAAAAATAAGAAAGAAATCTCTTTAACAAGATTATTGTGAATGGAAGGCCAACCGTAAGATTGTTATGTAAATGTTCTTAAATTTATTAAATGCTTGGCGCCTGCAAACACATGTAGGATGATTAATTAATGTTATTAAAAGAAGTTCTTTTATTGCTATTAAATGTAAATATAAATAAATTTTATCAAATCAAATTGTCTTTGTTAAGTGCAAACTGAAATATTTTTATGTGAAATTCTAATCAATATTTCAAGTGCTTTCGACATTTCTTCATGCTACACTTAAAGAAATGAAAAGAAGAAAACAATTCCAAGAAATGCAGAATAAGAAAATGATCATAAAACATATTTTATCTCTTTCTATTCCACGTTGAAGCGCACCGTTTGAAATGGGCGTTCTCAATCGAGCATTTATCTTGCTTCAGACGTGCGCCAATCATGATTCGTTTTTATAGCGAGGGAGGAAATCCTTGCAAAGCTCTTCTATATCATTTTGAAGCTTAAAGCAGCAGTGAAGTTAAGCAGCATAAGAAGTGGAAGTACAAAAATAAAATTCAATTTACTTTTTCTTAGAGAAATAAATCACAGAGTATTGTTATTAAACTATCGAGTGAAAGATGAGATATTCGCCTACAATAAAATAAAGAAGAAGATGAAAAAAATATATCTATAAAAAATAAATGAAAATTAAATTTAGCAGGTCGTTTTACACTTCCAAGTCACTTGATATCGAACTTTATTACATTTGCGGCTTTATTATCACCCGAGAAATTTGTGGTAACTCAATTCGTCAAAAAAATTATAAAATGCATGCATGTTTTAATTTCATCTTCCATCAATTTGAAAAGCGATCATGAAAATGTCATTATAAAGAAATTTTTCATCGTCAAGAAAGAAAATTGGTAACAGGTTGTAAAATATGTTTATTAACTGATGGGTGGGCATTAAGACTTGAATAATTTACGGCTGGTGAAAAATTGAATTATAAATTCACTGCGTGAAGCTCTTACAGCGCCTGACACTGAAAACAAATAAAATTGTCAAACATTCTTTTCGTGGTGTGTTTATGGTTTTTTATGGCGCTTGAATATCGAACGATTCTGAATTTAGCTTAGAAAGTTATTTTTTCTTCGAAGAATTTTGATTAAGAAATCATAAACAAGACACTTTGTGTTTATTTTTGCTTCATGATATTTCTATTTCTTGTGAAATTTATTAATATCAAATATTATGAAAAGATCAGCAAAACGTTTCATGTCACTTGTGTGAAGTAAAAAAAGAGAAGTTGTCGAAAGGAAGAAAGTAAAGTTCATTAAAAAACTATTATTAGGGATTTTCTCTCCTTTTCGCTTGGCTTTCATCGAGTTCTGAAACATGTCATTTGTAGCTTGTTGACAAGTCTATCTATCCATTCATGTTCATCAACGATTTTTCCTTTTTCTATGACAAAGTAGAAAACATTTTTTTTTATTTTGGGACAAATTTGTTTCTTGTGCCGTTGTTGTGAAGAAAGCGAAAACAAGGATATTTCCAAATAAAGGAAGTTGTTTAAAGAAAAAGAAAAAAAATGTTAGGAGCAACAACGGATTATGATGATTTAGATCTCTTAATAACGCTGTAGATTTATGTGACATTCTAACAAGAGCTCTTAAGGTTTTGTCAAGGAAATCTTATAAAGTCAAGAGGGAAGATATTCTACCTGCATCGATTGCAATAATATTTCTATCACATTCTGATGTAAGTAATTCGATGCTTTCTATCAAACTTTATTCAACTAATGTTCACGAAGCTACCGATGCATTCACGAAGCATACTTATTTGAACTTGTAATGATTCTTTTAATTTTTAAAGTTTGTATCCGGTCAAATTCGTTGAGTGCACTTGGACATGAAATTTGTGAGGCTTCGAAAGTCTAAACAGAATTAACTACTGTCTACCAGCTTGGCAGCAAAAAATCTTTCAACTATTGTAAATTCAATTAAAATTCAGCATTGATGAACACAAAAAAAGCAAAAAATTCTAAAATCTTGTTTCATTATCATGGACCGCTGATTTTTTGGTTTGTTAAGTTTTTGACTGACGGGAACCCTCAGATAGGAAAAAGAAACTGAATTTAGAAAATTTATCCCTCTGTCTGATATTTTTTAAAAAAATTATTAATTGTAGAAATTTTCGAACAAAAAAATGTTTAAAGAGAGAAAAATTTTGATGAATGAAAACACAAAACCACCAATTGACATAAGCCATAGGAGCACGAGAAGTGTTAGAAAGTCTCATGGGCTTTGAAGGATCACATTGTAACCTTTTAAAATATTCATGAACTTCCTGCTGAGTTATAGCACTGATTGATCAAATCAGAGAAGATGCTATCGTTAGATATTGTAGATTGAAACAGAGAAACCTTTATTTATGAATATAAATTTCTATAAAAAATTAGAATAGCTTCACAGTCACAATTAAAAATGATTTAAGTCGATAGACTGGGAAGAATTTCCAGTTCACTTCCTTTCGTGTTGTAAATTTGTCACAAACGTCAAAAGTATTAAAATTTGTATGTGTACACAGCATGTGAACGAATTAAGATTAAGTCACAACTTTTTTCGTACTTTTCTAAATGATTGAAATGTTTTTCAATTTATTAAAACTTTTTCTGTTGTTTCACATCTCAAGTTTCATTGTGACTGAATTTTTGAATACCTCCAACGACGAAGTAAAAATAAAACAAATATTACAAACTCATTAGTCGCACAAGAAGACTAAATGAATTACTTCATTGATAAAATCTTTCACGATATCCGATTTGTGGCCGTAAGAAATTGTTTACGACCATCCACTCGCAAGTCTCACCTTCCAGATGTAGTTGACAAAGGTCAAACTGTCGTCATTTTATTCGTTTTTAATTGATTTAATTAAAATGCTTTCAATTCGAAATCAAAACAAGACGAGAAAAATCTTTCCTGTAATCACTAAACAAAGATCTTAGTTGGATATAAAATATTATGTTGTCTTCAAAATGCGAAATATAAAAATGACTTTGCGTTTCTTCATATTTTGTGATCATCTTCGAATGATAACGATCACCGTTTTATAAATTATGGACATTTCAGACTTGGAGCTTTTATGGATCTTTCTCAAATTATTTATAAAGGAAAATATTAATGTAACCATAACTTACATTGTTTAATGTGTGAACTTTATTAGTGTTTATTATTTTTATGACATCTCTGGTAGAAGTTTCATCTAGATTACAGATTTTATGAGAAATTCTTTATGTGTGCGTATAGCAAGAGGTTCAAACAAGTATCAGCTATGAGTAGCATAAAAAATAAATGTTTTCGTAACTTTCCACATTTCAATGAATTTGTAAGGCTTCGCGGTTTTAATACAACTTTTAATATTTCCAGAAAATTCAATGTTGATACAAAGTTTAATGTACGCACTTTTATGATTTTGTTGAAAAACTTTTTTAAACATGAGTGAGTTTTGGGTGAAAATTGCTCAACTTTTTATTTCTTTTTCCTTTCTGTTTTTATGTTATAAGAGCAGCAAAGAAAGAATTGATTGTACTTCAGGCTAAAAATTATTCTTTCAGGACAATAGCAAACTTAATGTGGGATTAGAGGGCTTGAAATCCATTCACATGTAAGAAATCAAGATAATAATAAAAAAAAGGTACGTCAAGACATTCATTTACTTACCTCAGTCCCTTGACAATCTGTGAACATTAAAAGAACATTTTTTGCACAAAACTCTGAGATCTGTTGATTGTTCTTTGAATGTGCCTTGTTAGTCCGGATTATCTTATAATGATACCCAAACTTTCAAGAAGAAATTGCCAGTTAAACATTTGGAAAATATAATTACGATAATCTGTTTTTAAGCAAAAACATTTCAATTTTTAAAAGCAACAAACAACAAAATCCGATTTTGAAAGAGAAAAATTTTCATCTTGACTCAAGGTAGTTAAATGATGTTGATGGTGATTGATGCACGTCTCACGAATGCTGATGAAAACTGAAATGCTATTTGAGCTTTTAATCCAATCGACGGCTAACACAATTCAAACCACCATGAAATTATGATGAAAACTTAGAAGCTACCGAATTGAGAAAAAGAATAAAATGAAAGGAAGATGTTGGATGGAAAATCAAACAATAATTAAATTTCTCTATTCACTAAAACATTTCTTTTCATCCTCATACAACTTATTGTTATGCGCCACCGAGTTTTTTATTCGTTAAATTTTTGATTGACGTGGACCCTTAGAAACATAAAAGTGAACCTCGATCTTTGCTTTGTGGGTTTATGTTGGTTAAGAGTGAAGGATAAAAAGAGAGAACTACCCGATGTTCACTTCATCCATTATTAAAACCATATTCTTGCACCATTGAATAATTCTAAATGCAGATAAATGCTCTGATACTCTTCCCAGAATTCTTTCCTTCTTTGAAAACAAGTTTGAAAATAAATGAAAAACATAAAAGTTTGATAAAAGTCGTTGATTGTCTTAAAAATTAATCAGATAAACTGCACTCTTCGGGTTAATCTTTTCTCAAAAATTAAAAACAAATATTTCAGTGATTCATTCTTCGTTTGATGAAGTCTCTTAATTCCGTCATTTATGACAGCTCTCGTTTACAGTGAGATGAAGAAATCATATTTCTGGATGAATCTCATGAAGCATAAACATCGGCTTGAAATTATTTCTCCGTCAAAAGTTTATGATTTTTGTCATCAATTTCAAAGTACCTACTTTAAATTTTAAATATTTGTGAGAATTTGAAGGAATTTATTCGATAAATGTTTACAATTTGTAAACTTGACGATGTTGGTCATTAAAAGTTCACAACGACTGTCTGCTTCAATGTTGTTAATTCATTTGCACCATGCTGCTTGCTTTTAACTATCTCAACCAACTCTGCTCTGAATTTTGCAAATAAATTAAGAAATTTTCTTCATTTTCAGCCCTTAAAAGAATAAATATTCACAAGCCTCCACATGTGTTGATTTCCCTGCTCCTTTCTTTGCCGTTGTCAATAATTTCTGACGTTTCTCAAATGTGTTTAAATATTTGTTTTGTCATTATGATTTCTGAAAAAAGTCCCTTTTTTGTCTCGATCCGTGCCGATTGATGTTCTTTGTATAAACGTCGGCTGGAAACAATTCTCATTCACAATTTATTATTAAAAAAAGGAAAGAAAGATCTTTGCAGTTGATTCTCTTTTGTTTATTTTAAGGAAAAGAAAGTTACAGTATCCTTAAGACATTAGTTAATTAACTAAAATTTGGCTATTCAATCAATTCACTTTTCATTTCTTTATATTTACATTTTTTTGTTTTGTTTCAATCTTAACTTACATAACTAAGCAGTAAATATTTTCTACCATTTTAAAATTAAAGTGCGTTGTTCAAATGATTTCCTTTGATTTAAATCTAAGCTTGTAAGAAGAGGTGAAATAGTTTTGGTTGCAATGAAAGAAGATTGACAGTTAAAATATTTCCACTGGTTCATTTATGCAAAAACAAAGAAAAGTTAGTACAGTCGCTAATTTCATTAAACATCTTTTCATTCCATTTCTTTTTTGAGCATTTGTTTAGAGCATAAAATAACTTTGAACGACGTTTTATCAAATGTTGTCATTATTTAGTGTTTAATACTGTAGTGATTTAACAAACGTACAGGAAGTATTCACATGGAATATGTGCAAAAGAAGTGCCATTTCATAAAAGACCCATTTCAAGTGCTGTGTATAAAGCTTTAATATCTTTATGTGACGATATTTCCCAGAATGGCATTCCGAGATTATTTGCAGCTTTTTTCTCATCTTGTGCATCGCCTACGACGACGTAAGTGCTTTTCCGACCGAATCTTGTCACAATTCTCTCAAAGCACGATTCTTTACCTAATTCAAATTTTTATTAAAGAAAAATAAACTTGTAAATATCTCAATCAATTAAAGAATTGTTCCGGTCATTATTTTACCTATTTTTGCTGCACTGTAAATATTTTCTATAGGAAAAACACCGCCAAGCCCAAAAAGCATAACTTTCGCTAATGCCGGAACCAACTGAGTTGTCGTCACAAGAACATTGACGTAATTTTCACGTTGCGTAATCATATTCAAACAAGTCGTCACCAATGTCGCCCAATTATCGGTGATAATTTCAATCTCATTTCTCACTTGAAGCCATTGATCACGTTTCGGTCCCAGTAATCCGCCAACACTAAATAAATTCACATCAGTTTACATTCAATTTCCATCTTAGCAACGCCATTGAACTTACTTATTTCTATAGCTATTGTAAATTTCCTTTATTTTTCGATGACGAAATGCTAGTTTTCTCATCCAATCCACACCACCACGAACTCCATTTGGCAAGCAAATATTTGGCGGTGCTCCTGGAAAATAAAAGAAGAATAAGATGATGGCGATGATGATGTTGTTGTTATTTGGCAGTGAAGAGAGGGAAGAAAAGTTCTTTGTTATTTTAATGGCAAAATAAATATTTGGAGACGTTCAACAAACAAAAGTTTTTCTCCGTTTGGGGGGAAAAAAGAGAAAGAATGAAAAAATTGTCAGTTGTTAATGTAGGCGAGGGTGAAGTTGTTTACTTAGCCAAAAAAAAAAGGAAAAGTCAAAAATTGTAAAAAGCATTCGTCAACCCTCATTACCTTGTGTTGTTCCAGATTGGAATCCATCAGTGGAAAAGTTGTAGGCGCTCAAATCCTGTCCGTTGTCATCTGACGACACATCGTCAATGTGAATTTGGCCACACTCCTCGATGTCGTTAAAGAAGAAATGAGTATCAGCCATTGTGAATATGAGTTCTTCCATTCGATAAGCTAATTGAGAAGCAAATGTTTGATCCTGGAATGGAAAGAATTTATGTGATATTTAACAGAGTTCATTGCCAGGGCTTTGGAATGAAGTTAAAAGTGAATAACAAAACAAACCTTGTTGTAGCGAAGCGCGTAGTTGCCAGTCAATAGCGTATGGAAAATAATAATCGTCTCATCTAAATCCCATATGAAGACTCTCTCCGGCGGCTTCACACTCTCTACAGACGGCGTATCATTTAAAGCAGAACGTGTGGGACTTGAATTCTGTTGTCTTCGTCCACGTGCCTTCGCTTTAGTTGTAGGCGTTGTTTTAGCATTCGAAGTATGGTTGTTAGTATTTGGTGAGATTGATAAAGGTGATTGTGGCGAATGCCCGAGACCTGATGGTGTTCCTGGTTGAGTCTCTGATGGACTTTCAGGAAGTGCTGCGATATGAAAATTTTGACTGCTACTCGAACCTGGCGAACTCACATAAGGTGAATAATTAGCATTGTAATAAGTATTGTACTGATCATTGTAGTATCCCGAGTAATCTTGTTGCGATGCTCCAAACGATGCTCCGAAATAATTATTCGAATATGTTGGATAAAGTTGTGCTGAATTATTGTTTGTAGCGTAACTTGATGGCAGATAAGTATTTGGCGACGGAATCTTCGATGAAGACGGAATCTTTGCTGAGTACGGGGCTCCGTATGATGAATAAAATGACGGCGTGTACTGTTGCATGCTGAGTTTTATCAAAATTTATTTATTTACTCTCTTTATAAAAATATTCAATTTACCTGTTATAATAATTATAATAATCTTGTTTATGATCGTAAGCGTTTGAGCTCTGAGTAGAATCCAAGTTGACTGGAGTTGAACAAAAAATTGTTGAATCTAAATGCGATGCACCAAGTGGAATACTATTAGCATCAACAATTGTTGGTGGACTCTTTATTTCTGTTTTTACTATATTAAAAATTATGACGTAATCAAAATGAATAAATTAAAGAGAAATTTCAACTCACCAGAATTTGAGCCTCCATCAGTGAGCCAATGTGACATTCCCAATTCTGCTGCAGTTAATGAATTTGAGCTGCCACCACAAAGAGAATTAGTGAGATGTAATGTTGAACTTCCGAGCGACGATAAAGCTGTTAAACCTTCGATAGGCGTAGGATGATGATGGGTTAAAGCGGCTGATGTCCCGCTGCTTGTTGACGAATTGTGTTTTGAGTTGTGTCCACTGCCAGATAAAGTCGTCGTCGAGTTATGATGCTGATATAAATGATTATTATTATTATAATTGCTTAATGTGGTAATTGTCTGTGTAGGTGTTGATGATGGAACTGTTGTAGGTGGCGTCAACGCTGATGTTGCAGATGACGACGCTGATAAATTCAATCCACCGATTAAAGTCGGTGAGTTTTGCTGTTGTGCGGCTACCAAATGTCTGTATGGATTATGAAGTAATGACTGACTTGATGACGGAATTGATGATGAATTTTGATAAATATTATGAGCTAGCAGCGGTGATGCGCTGCAATAATTTTGAACTGATACTTCGGAACTACATAATCTGAAATTAATGAAAATGATTTCGTCTTTTTTTATAAGGCATAAATATTTGGATTATGAGAAGAATTGGAATGAAAATAATTTTTTATCACTGTTTTACGCCCAGAAATGATTTTTATTTTGCAGGTTGACCATATGTTTTGAAAAAAGATTATTTCGTGATTTTGTCAGCCAACAACGCAAGCAAATCTTGAAGCATAATTTTTGCACACAAAATATTGTTTAAGTTAACAAAGTCTAGGCAAATGAATGAGAATGGTTATTGATGAAGCATAGAAAAGATTCTGAAAACTAGCTACACACATGTTAGGCAGATGCCCGATTTACGATATTAAAACAGTTTAACTTTGGGAACCTTGAAGATGCTTAGAAGATTTTTCTGAATGGATCGAAAAAGATGCACTTGTGGATGCAATCACAGAAAAATATTTGAAAATCTGTTCAAAAAAATATTAAAAACATAAAATTAAATTCAAGGAAATTCCGAGAAGTAATAAATTTAATTCTCTCTTTCCATCTCACTCTCCCTCTTGGTCGAATTTTGTATTTTTAAATGTTTTGTAAACGCAAGATGCTTTCGCTTTCAAATTGTTGTTTGAGATGAAAAGGAAAGCTGAAATCATCACTAAACTTTTTTTATACACTAATTAGTCACATCTTCACAATTCTTTTCGTAATTGGTGTACACACGACTTGAAGTGTTTGGTTTCTTTGAACTTCACTGTAACATGTCATGACATTTCTCTAACACTTAGATGTGACGATGATATCTCACTCATTCTCATTCACATCCACAATGCTTTTGATGCGCAGCGTTACGACACTTCACATAAGAAAGAATTTGTTTTATTTTCTTTCTAAATCATTTCGATGGAAGTCATCAAGCGCCCATCATATTTAACTGACATCGTCGATGTTATGTTCGTTTGTAAATAAATCATGAAGCAACAAATGTGTCAAGTGCGCGCTATTTATTTGAGAAATGAGCGATCCTTAGGAAGTTAAGACTCATGTCAAGTGTTTATGCAAACTGCACATGCAGAGGATAACAACGACAAAAAGCGTTTCGAAAGAAAGAACAAAAATCTGCATTCACTCACGACATTGAACTGATAATTAATGACATGCTGCAATGTGTTAATCTTTTCTAAAGCATGCTCTTCAAGCATATTTTCCACTACATAAGGTTAAGTGAAAAATTACTTAAACTCCACTAATTAAAACAAATCTTTATAACACTTTTTCATGCATTTTTCTTGTTAGTTACTTTAACATTTCTTCATCTTATTGCTTGTTAAGATTCATATTTCTCATCAAATGACAGAGGGAAGGAAGGAAAGAAAGAAAGACTGAATCGTATGAAGTATGTTGGTGAAAATATCTTGATCTTAGTTAAAATAATATTTATGCATCGCACAGAAATAATTTGTTACAAATGCACTTTTATTAATGTTTATTTGACGTGAAATTGATGTTTTTTCTCTTCTCTGATTCTTATTTATTTAATAAACAATTTTTAATCTACAGTAACAACATCAACTGTTTAAATTGTGATGAATTCAACACAAAAGCATTTAATGGCAATTAAGCATAATTTCATCTGGTTCGATGTGTTAAAGCTTTGATTTAATTCTTATTTAGTCTAAAATTTGTAGCTACATGACGCAATGGTTGGTGAACTCGAGAATATTTTGTAAATATCTTCACAAATTCTCTTTGTTTTTCGCTGAATGAATTAACTCGCCGTCGCTTTTTTAAGTTATTTTTATTTGTCATGTAATGTGAGATCAGCGATAGGAATCGTCGGTTAGATCCTTGCTTTAACTTTAGATCTCTAAACTAACCCGATTATTCACCAATTAGGATTCATATTACTTCATGTCCCATCCTTTACTTTCAAATGATTCAGAAACTTATTTAATCCCAAAAAAAAATTTCAAATTTTATGATTAAGAGAATTTCTAACTCAACAGTAGCTTTCTTTTCTTTTTTCACTAAATAACATGAAATGAAATGAAATGAGCAGAGAAAGAAAATTTCTGATGAATCTGCCGATTGAAAAGATATCGAAATAGAAATTTGATGCCACAGTAGACCCTGGCAATAAGCAAAAGACCAACCATTAAGCACACAATTTGACACAAACAATGACATTAATCTGTAATTTCTCTTCTACCTTTAAAATTTCTTTTCAAGAATTTATGAAAATTGCAGGTGAACATTTGCCATCTTTATGAAGTCGAATGAAATGTTTTAGAAGAATAAAAAAGTGCAGTAGAATTCATTCATGCGACTGTTTAGATATTTCATGTAAGGGATGGAGAAGGAAAACTGAGATGTTAGGAAACTTGACACTTTTCCTTCAGTTCAGCAGATATTTTTCTACGAAATGCACGAATAATTTTACAGTCTGACCTCTTATGTAACTCTAGATTGTGCGAAAGAAGCTAAGAGAATTTTGCAAGTGATCGATTCTTTAATAAAATAAATAAAAGTCTCCCTCAAAGGCGCTAAACACTCTCGTATTATTCACATATTTAAAGTTTAAACAAATTCACTTTACATAAACTTTAAAGTAGATTCAGACCACCACCAGAGAGAACAAATTATTATCACGGAAAAATGTCACTGTTATTATGTTAAAAAGTCGAAAAAAAGTATCACGAATGCTGACCAGAATATTTAAAACAACATCAACAAAATTAAAAAAAAATTTGTTTGTTTTTTTAGAAAGAAAAGAAAGAAGAATTGAATCGTATTTACATAAAGTTTTATGTTCTTTCGTGTTCATTCTGATATCGTTTTTATGTTAACAGATGATGCTGGCATGGCTGTTATTTTTTTATCTTTTAGATGGTAGAAAATGCTATCTTGTAATTTAGTGAAGTGTCAATGATAAAATAAATTGTCATGTTCTCTTTCTCGTTTAATTCAACGTTTAAGTTGTTGACCGTTCGACGGGAAGACCGAAGACCGAAAACCGTAAATGTTAAACGTAAAAGCTTGAAATCAGATTCTCTCATTATTTAAGTTTAACACACGATTGGGCTTCAATGATAAATGTTATTAGACTTTAGTTGATTGGGGAAATGGAAGCTTAAGCTTACCGATTTCTATCACTCGTTTCTGATGGCTCAGTTTTAGCTCGCTTAACCTACAATTAAAAATAAATAAAAGTTAATTAAGCATGTTGTCGTTAAAAGCATCACAATGGGTGGAACAAAATGTTTGTGTGCAACATCTCATGAATTTATGATTCGTAGAATTTTCTCATATATAAACAGAAAAGCCTTCAAAGCGTCGGTTAATTAATTTGTGTTATGATATAAACTTTAAAAACTTCCGTTTCAAGATTTATGTTTGGAGCCGTTCTGAGAGAGTAAATCACTTAATCTGAGTATTAACAATATAATGTTTATGACACTTTGGAATGTTTATGTTGAAGTCAAACATCTTAAATGGATTTAAACAAATGAAAGATAAATTTTCCTTCATTTTTATTTTGATGAGTAATTGAAACGCAATTCTTTAAGTTCTTTATGCTGATACAAAATAATTTTTAATGATCCTATGACGAGGCGTGTTTTTATCTTGAAGACTAAACGATGATGCTTGAGTTTGATAATTTATAAATTATTTATGTTTTATGAAAGATAAACGAATGAAGAAACTTTTTCGAGGAAAAATAATTTTGCACTAAATATCAACAAAGGATTGAAGAGTTTCATTCACAGTTGATTGAACACGAGATAAAATCAAAAGGTCCTCTAATGTTTGTTTAGGTTTGAGTGCGTCGCTTAGGAATCAAAGGATTTTTGTTTAAGGAAAGCGACAACAAGGATCGTTCACGTTGCAGTCAAGATAAATTTGCAAAACACTCAAAAGATATTTCTTGTAGTTCCCAGATATTTCAAAATAGTTATCTGATTTTAAATAACAGCAAAAACATAGAAGAAACCTGAATGACGAGATTCCTTGTCCAAGAACACTTAAAATTGTGATTATTTAAAATTCCAAAACTCATACTGCGACACCCGGACGAAAGATTTTCTGTTTCTCACTTTAGTTTCTCTCATTCCATCTGATTCAGATAGAAATTTATTCCATCTCATTAGAAATCAATTAATAAAACCATAAAATTCACACATCAAATCAATAAATTATTCATGCTGTAAAAATGAAAAACTTCTCGTACTGTTCGAAAGAAACAAAAAAACATGAACAAAAAGTAAATAAAACAAAGCTAACGAGCGATAATTAATAAAATAAAGTGAGAGAGAGAGAGAGCTAAAAAAAATACATTTAAATAAACGAATATTTATAACTGATAGGATCTTAAAAGTTTGTCACAAAATCTACTTAAATAAGAAGCGAGGGAAATGATTTGGAACTTTCAACGGTCCTTTAAAACGTGTCAATGTCGCAGCTCATTTATTTCAGTAAATTGTCAAATCGCCACAATTTAGAATTACATGGTGGTGTGAAGTATTTAATCATCAGACAGCTAATAACATTTGATTCGACGTTTATGTTGAATATTTATTGAATAAAGAAACTTCTCGACGGTGGTTCGTTTTGGATCAACAGATTGTTATTAATAAATTATGATTATTCGTCAATTGTCTGTACCTTTGGTTCAATCTCTATCATTTTCTCAATCAGTCCAGCACAGCGGGGAGCTGATAAATAACTACAAGGCATTAATGTCACCATTTCACATGAAACTTTTCTTCTTTATTCTCGTCTCGTTTATTTTCGAGTGTTGTGTAATAAATCGTTTCTTTTTATTCTCTCGCACTCCACAATCTCATCAGAATTAATCTTTTCTGTTTTCATTAATTTGGCTTTTTGTCAATTATTCATTTGATTTGTATCAATTATCAACAACTTTAAATCTCTTTTGCCATTCGAGAGAAATTCATATTTTATTTCATTTGCTTTCTTCTTTAACACATTTCATCACCACTTTTGATCGAGCTTGATAAATGTGAGAGTTTAACTGGAATGCATTTCTCTCAGCATAAAAAACATGACAAAGAATTCAAAACACAAAAATAAAACAATTTCACTTCTTTCCTTTACGACAACATTTCTCATCCGCTAATTATTCATAACTGATATGCATCATGTACAAATGATCTCACTCTTCAATCAGTTAATTAATTGCGAACGATGCATATGTGCATGAAGTTATAAAACTCTTGTTGACATCGACTTTGAGTTCATTCAAAAGTAAACTAATCGACGATGATGAATTAATGAATTATGTGTATGATTATCCTGTCAGTTTATGACGGTTGAAGGAATTTTTATTTTATCTTATTGAAGGATGGCAAGAAGAAGGAAACATCAAGTTATTGGCATGCAATTTTTTTTTGTTTTTTCTTTGAATAGAAGTCTGGAGATGGATTGAATTACTTTTCTATGTGTAGATACCTCGCTTATCAAACATAAACACGATTCTGCGTTATGTCATATTGCAAATATTTAAAATAATTCTTCTGTTTGTTTTCCTTTGACAATAACTTTTTTATTAATTTTATCACAGAACTTTATCCTTTTTAAATATTTTTTCTAAGTAGAACTTCTCACAACTTTTTATCTTTCTGCTTCTCAAGTTTAAAATTTATCGGTATGAAACTAAATTATATGTGATTCCACCGAATAATAAAAAGCGACAACGTATGCACACATTAATTCATCGAGATCTCGCAAACAACTGAATTTTGTGTGCCTTCTTTACGAATGAATCGATGAGGGAAAAGGAAAGAAGGCGAGAACGATGTGCTTCGATGTGAATATGTTCACCTCTTTCTCGCTCGTTATTTCAAGAGCATCTTTTGTCTCATTTTCCTACTTCTTCATTCGCCAGTGGGATTCGACAGGCAGGCAAACAAGCAGCATAAAAGCAGTTGAATACATTGTCGCTTTATCTTCTTTTTTGTTATTTATTTTCTGATATTTCGGGGCTGTTGCATATTTGGGAGAGAAAAGTTCACTCGTTTGCTTTTATGCTTTTATGGGAAATGCTCTTTTTATGCATCGAATGTTCATTTTTTTTCTTGTTTTTCAATCATACACAGGGAATTCTTCAGACCGAAAATCATCAAAAAGAGCTCAAACAGATTGTGTACATTTTGGTGAATTGAAAGCAAAGGCATACGAACAATGAGGCACCATATGATGAAGCTTGAAGCATTGAATACAAGAGTCGTACTGGCTGAAAGCAGACCCTTTTATGATGGTTAATAATGTGTTCATTCAATTGAAATTCCCATTGTCATTCGCTCTATCATGTCTCTTCTCTTATTTAACATTATCCAGGATGCTTTTTCGTTATTTCGAAGATGGCTGTTTGATTTAATATTAAAATAAATATAAAAATGAAACGAAGGTCGAATTGTGTTTGTGTAGACATTGTAAATATGGAATTTAATTTTATTCAAATGGGGTTATTAACTTGATTCTTTTTTTGAAAATGTTTTTAGAAATGAAGCAGCTTATGATTCTGTGGAAGCATTAATTTTATGCTACAAAGGGAACATTTCGTTTTGGAAGTTCGGCACGTTTAGCGTGAAAGCATACGGAAAACATTTCAATGGCTAGCTTATATTTTTGGATCATAAAATCTCAATTGTCTTAAACAAACCGAATTTTGATTGCTTTTTAGGAGTTTTAAAAAGTGATGTCAAAGCAGTATAATCACTATGGAGAAGGAAATCATTTAACGACATTATGTTTCAATTGTTTCATTCAATCCCAAAGATATTTTCCGCTTATTTATGAATGGAAGTCCGCAACAAAATTTAAAATCAAAACGTGAATTTTTTTTTTGTTATGGTTTAAATGCGTGCACAACTCGCCTTGCGAAATATTTCATATGCCTTTCAATTTTCTGGAAGTGAACTTCACCGTTCAATGTAAATATTTTTAAAACAAATGGAAAATTCTTGGAAGTTTATTTTGATTGCCGCCCTTTACATTGAAATTACAATGTTATTCAGTTTGTAGTTTTCAATAGCATCAGCGTCTTTCGGTGTCAAATTGTCACCAGATTTCTTCTTAGAAAGAAGCGCATTGGGATTGATATTCAATCCGCATTGTACAAGTCGACTGATATTAAAACAAAGGCAAAGATGGCAGTGCAGAAAGTGCTGTTATCATTGCAAACGTCGCTGAAAAAGATATCACATTTTCCATTCCTTCAACTTTTTTCGATATCAAATTTATTTTGCTTCGTCAACACAAAACTGAATCGTCTTTGATGTTATGAAGCTCACCAACTGTTCACCGATCATGTGATAAACATGCAACGGAAACTTGAAAAAGCTTTTTATGCAATTCTCCTAAAATGGAATGAAAAAATTTCATTTGAAAACTTAGAACTTTATTAAACATCACAACAAGTGATTTGTGTCTTATCAAGGTCGATGATAATTATTATAAAAATATCATGCAGCAATCACAATCACTGACAGATCGAATAACGGTAGAAAAATGATTTCCTTTGCAACTTTCCAATTATTTTCATTAAATTTATGACTTTTTCAGTTTTGAAAATTTCTCATTAATTTCTTTCCTTTCTCGTCTGCTTCTGCATTCTGTTTGGAAAAGTATCAAATTCTCTCCTTTCATTCTTTATTTTCGAACATATTTTTTTTCAATCGACTGAGGGTTAAAGGTTGTTATTTTTAAGCCTAATTGAATCTAACATGTTCGCCCTTCATTTGAAAGGGTTCATTGCGGTACTCACGATAAAAGGTCATCTCAACCCTTTCACTTTTAAGTAACAACGATCAATTGTGGACTTTGATTAGAGAGTATCAAATCTTAAGAAACAAATATTTCTTGATTTGTTAAGAAAAGAATTTTAATTTTCCAAAGAAAGAAATTTTCCTTATTTTTAACATTTTATGGGGTCAGTTAAATTAAAACTTATAAAATTATTCCAACGCTTTATCGATTCTGTTGCTTAGTCATTTGGTGCAAAAAACCCAAAGCACCTCATAGCGTGAGAAAATTACGAAATAAATTCTTGTTAACATCATAATTGCAAGCAATCAACTTTTTAATAAATAAAATTGTTTCTATCAATAATCGTTACTTTATTTGCCATTGCAAGCATTTAAAAGAAGTAAAATTAATCATAGTTTATTTCTAGGATGGCAAAGAAAGCACATTCCACTTAATAATTTCATTATTCGTATTTGTAATCGTTTGAATTTAAATGCAGCTGATTTTATGTTTTCACCACGTGAACTGAAAATGATTTAACAAAATTTGCTTGCAAGTTGCAACTACCTAAATGATTCTTATTTTGTTATCATTCAAAGGATATCAAGAGAAAGAAATTGTCATAACTGATCTTATCGTTGGTATTCAAAGCACTTTCAATTTTGTTTACTTTCAAATATATTTCCAAATCCATTTCACATCTTATCAAAGCTTCAAGATCATATTTTACCCACTTTTAAGTCGATAGATTCATGTAATTAGATTTCTTGCTCATTTGAGCACATCACAATGGAATGTTCGTAATGTGAAGTGAAAAGCAGAAGGAAGAGAAGTTCACATGTGCATTGATACGATCGAGAAGCCTTACTTCAGTCTTCAGTCTTCAGTCTTCAGTCTTCAGTCTTCAACCAGAAACAAACACGACTACCTACAGTAAATATTTTATATCGAATGATTGTAATGTTAGACATTTCTAAGTCTTTGCCCACGATGCATTTTATAATTCAAATATTATCCATGTTTTGACCGGATGTGATTGTTGACTTAATCCAAAGAGAAGACGTTTCATAATAAAACAGAAAACAAAATGAAGCATCTCAAGTGCTTGTTAGAAATAAAAGTTATAGACAAGGGTTTTCCTTTATGTTTCAATGATAGTCAATCATAAAAAGTTAACATTTGTAAAACTCTGTTTAATGTTAACATCAAAAATTTTATCAGCTTGACGTCGTCCTATTAAACACACATCTTGATTCGTTTTTAATTGATTTTGAAGTCGAGAAGGAAGAAGAAAGTCTCAATCAAATTGTTTAACGTGTCTGGGGTGTTGATTTCAAGGTCATCAAATATTGCCGTTTTAAAGCGTTCAACCAGCGTGTACGAGAAGATGTATCAATATCAACACGAATTTTATGTAAAGTATCGTATCAAATTGTTGTGAATGAATGGGATGTAGATCAGTGAAAAGAAATTCAATAAATGCTAAACGATTAAATTACAACTTGCTTATGAGTCAACATTATTACGAGTGCTCAAATCCGAAAATGCTTGGCTTCAAATTTCTTTGAATGTCTGACGTCCACGCTCCACGACATTTTAGTTTTCACACTCTGATGGAATCTTCTACTCTGTTTGTTGATTTGTTGTTATTTTTTTATTATTGTGAAATTCTTTTGAGTTATGTAGTCAACAACGTTCCACGACATTGCTGATTGATTAGATAAAAGATACAAAAATTCAATAAATTAATCAGTCGAAACTAATCTTCAAGCATTCGACGTTGAGAACTTTTATGTGCTGTCCACTGTCCTTTTCCCTATCTGTGGTTTTTGCTACATTCGTAATTCCTAGAAAATTAATGGTGTGAATTTTTCTCAGAAGTTTCTTTGGCTGAGGTCGCGAGTCAAAATCATTCGTAATTTCATTTTGATTGATATGATATTAGGAAATTCAAAAACAAGAAAAATCTTTTGAAGAATGCATTTGAAATCTTAAGATAATGCTCGAGATTAGGTTACGATGTTCATCTTTGTTCATACAAAACGAAAAGCATACATTCAATATGGTTTCAAATTACCTACAACATAAAATGATTCTATGAGATTATGAAAGAAAAATAAAAATTTCATTCAAAAAACTTGAAAATTATAATTGAAAATAAAGACTTGACCCAAATTTAAATTTCTTTCATACATTGGACAGCCTAAAGCAACCACAAAAGAACTGAAACATCAGAGTCTGATGATCAGACAGCTGAAAGAGAATTTTGTTCACCACCAAAATCGCCTTCACAAAATCGATAAATCATTGAAATCATGAAAGAAAAATCGCTCATGATAAAGCGACTTTAAATGTATTCTTGAAGCGACTTTTGCGATTGGACAGAGAAGTAACAAAAAGGTGTTTGTTCGTGTTTATTATTCTCTTCTTCTCTTCAGCAACGCCCCAATATATCCTTGATCATGAGAAAAGGATAGAAATTTCATTACACATGCGTAGATGTTCAAATCAAGACTCAAAGAAAATCAAATCTTGAAATTTCCCATGAAAATCGATTAGAAAAGTTTTCGAAAACTTTTAAGTCTTAAATTTGTTTTTCAGTTTTTCGACATTTACAGACGTCACATGAAAAAAGAAGAAGAAAAATGAAGTTTAAGATTAAAGTAAATTTTCCCATTAGCAAAATTAATTTCTTGTCATTGAGATATGTTTCAAATGGCATTTTATTTATCTACAGCTGTATAATTTCTCCGAATCATCCTAAGGAGTTGATTTTTGATGGAAGAAAACGAATGCAAAATTTAATTTCTTTGTAGAAATGACTTTGACACACGTGCTTGAAGCATCAACAATGTTTGTGATTTTGTTTTCAAAATTTCAGTAACTTTGATAAACGAAATATCTTATTTCAGTTTATGTTTAACAATCATTCGAAAAGTTACTATTAGCAACACCCTCGAGATTCTTTCAAAGAATGCGATGAATCTTCTCCCTTTCGTTCGCAATCTGAGGTTGAAAATAAATAATTAAATTTTTATTCACTAGAATATTTCAATGTTATTTTAATTTGTCACATTGTTTCTCATGATGATGATGATGATGATGATGATAAATTTGTTGAAGTTCAGTGACTTGCCTCACTCTCGGAGGTGCGCAGATAACAAGTCACAATAAACTACCTTAAATATAGAAATTCAATAGAAAATAAAAGGAAGAAAGATAATAAAAAAGAAAACAAGGGTTGACTACAATCATGTAAACATTTAATCACACGTAGTGGACACTGCATGAGATGTTTCTGATAATTTATATTCATATATATCTTATCTTGTTTAAATCTCATGAAATGCCACCTTTGAGTAAAACATAAGGAACGAGCGAAGACGACAAAAATGCGATGTTTAAATTTTTCTTAAAACAAAAACAAAAGAAAGAGAAATAAGCGAAGAAGAATTTGTCACTTGAGAGCACGACAAAGCATTAATATAATTCTTTAAATTGCTCTTCGAGATAAGCGAGATTCCGAATTTTTTGTTCCTTTTTTTTCATCTTTGAGATGAAGTTTTGCAAAAACAAAGAATAAAGAAGAAGAAGGTAAAAAAATGTTTAATTAAAAAATTCTGATCTCGGTGATTCTTGATAATCTCATAATAACTGCAAATACGTGAAATTGAATTGATTTCTTTCTAAATGTCCCTATTAGATAAGAAATTCGAGATGACTTATTCTCGATAAATTGACTTCATATTCAATTATCCGGATGATAACTGAAACTTGTGCGATATTTGTTTAATAATTCCGAAGAATTGAAAAGAAATTAATCAGAATTTGGTTAGCAATGATGCGATATGCGTGAAATTTTCTGATTAAATTTCATCGTATTGACGTTGATATTCCATTTCGAAGGAATTGAACTGACATTTTCACTTCATTATGTAAAGAGAAATTTTCTTGAAATGGATTTATGGGAATAATTGTATCACAAATGTACGGAAGTAATGAAAACATTCTCGAACACGACTAAACAAATTTTACAGCCTGGTATCAAATGTCACATTATTTTAAGTTTCCTAAGAAAGAAAGGAAGAAAAAATTGTTAAAAAAATAACATTTTGGTTCGCTTGAAACGCGTAAAAATTGATTGATGTCTTTATTTTTTGAGTCAATTTATGTAAAGCGTCTTGAGATTACTTTAACTTCTTTTAAAATTTATTTATTCTCGACTTTCATTTGCTTTCAAGCAATCATCAAAATGTTTAGTAAATTATTAGTCGTTGAAGTCGTCGTCAGATGAACGCCGTGACGATTAAAAAATTGCGATCAAAAATGCCCACCAAAAAATCTGTGTTAATTGATATAAAGTTACATCGTTTTGAGTTTCGTGTCGCGACAACTATTGGAAATTAGTCAAATAGAGTCGACCATAGATATATATTGAAAGCTCACTCCAATCATGTTTCACGCTTGGTGGGCTTTAAATGAGAATAAAAACCATTTTATTTTCGGGGGACGATAAAAATGCCCACTCATAAATAATATTGGCGTGAGAATTATAGATAATTCGATATAAATCAAAAAGACTGTTCATGTCAAAGAGGAATCACATGAATTCAATCGTCAAACTCGTCTCTTGATTTATTAAAAATGGCTAATAGACACATAACGATAAATTCTCCTTTTTGATTCTCATTCAAATCGCAACAAGCAACGTCCAATAAAAAGTGTTATAAAGTCAAATAAAAAAATTTGCAGACAAGCAGCTGAGTAATAAAAGCGATGTTCGAGATATTCTAACGACATCGAATTGTGTATAATCTAAAATTATGCAAATTTTACTAAATTATCACCATTAAAATTCAATTCTTCCAATTCGATTGCGAAGAAGATTCTTAAAGATTCTCACAAGTAAAACAAAATTTACTTTTCATAGTTGGATTCGTCTTTTTATGGCCAACACATTAAGCAGTTTGTTTATATGAAATCGTTTTCAGGTAGATATTCAAGCGAGTCTCGTCGTGTGAATCTCGATTTAAATCTGTGTGCGATGTCAGAAATGTTTATCAGGAAAGCTCACCAGTCAAAATTTAAATGGTCCACATACATTAAAACGCTGAATGTCCAGCATCTGAATTTCAGAATCGAAGTTGGAATGTGACAAATTAATGATCGTAAAACAAAATTTTTGTTTGTTTTTTATTTTCTACACGATCATAAATTTCTCGTCATTCTGGGTGAGAGGAAGAAAAACGAAATATGTTAATTTTGATCACTCGCCACATCAGTTTATTTAAGGGAGAAGTTTGTGAATGAGGTAAAGTTTTATTCCTTCTTTCTTAAATTGAATCAATCTTTATTTTTTACGACTCTTCAGCCATCATAAACCTAATTCAATGTCGTTACGTTTTTTATGTTTGAATGCAACACTTCTCATTATAAATTGTCTTTTAATCACGAAAGAAAGAACTGCTGAGTGAACCGATGTCTTGGGTGAGTTTAATATTTACTAACAAAACTTCTCTCATTTCTTTTCTTACACCAAAAATTGGCAAGCATCATCATTCATGCTCGTTTTCAACATTTAAATTTCTGAAAATCATTATAAATCAAATGTTGATATTTGTCATGCAACAAACGGTGAAATATTCGCTCATGCCAAGGCACAAACGATTTGTCTCATTTCAATCGATAATATTTTTCATAAAAAATATTTATTTGTCATGCATCCCTCTTCTCTCTTTGTATGCTATTTAAAAGTTTCTTTTTATTATTAACAGATTCTGATTGAAAGATTACAAGAGTAAAATAGTATTTATCATGTCTTGTCGAGCTTCATTTTCTTGAGCCTTTCTCACCTCTAGAGAAATATAAATAATTGATATTGAAAACGTGGTAATCTTGATCATGAGAGGAATGGAAAAATAAAATGAATGAAATCTTGACAAGAAGAAATAATTTGTCGAATTAATGATCAGACTTATATTTTTCGTTGGTTTATGGACCTTTTAAACTTTTTTTATTAGTGAGAATGTTAACGTTACTTTTTTGTTTGTTTTAATGAAAACGACGATTTTTTATGATTTCATTTAGGTTCGAAAAATCTTAAATACATTCAGAAATTAGAACTTATTTGTAAACATAATTTTTTCAACCTTGAGCTTCTAAATATTGAAAGTTTGAAACCACATAATAAGGAAAAAAAAACATTCAAGACTACAATTTCAGTCATTTTCTTTCTCAAATGAATTAAGTTTGTGGTTTTCCAACACAATAAACATTTAATAATTTTATAGTCAAGAGATTAGCTTACAATCTTCAGATGAAGATAATTTCCATATTTTCATTCAACTTTTATAACTTATAAATGAATATTTTGATTCTGAGAAGACATGAAGCTCAGTTGCAAGTTGCATAAAATGCATCGATTGTCAGCAACTTTAAATACCGACAAAATTCGTCAAATTACCATTTCAAGTCGCTTCATCAAAGATTTTAGCGTGATAGAATTTAACAAACTTTCCTAGTGAATGAAACCGAAGCCAAGTGATTCTCACATTTATTTGCCGAGATTGTTTTGTCTTTCAATCTTTTTTGTTCTGTTGGTTGAAGACACTTGTTAGACATCACCAGTGAACATTTAAAAATAATTTATTTATTGGTGAGAAATTCATCGCTCATCTGGGAATTTATTTTTACGGGTTTCCTTCATCATCACCGTCTCCTGTTTCCGTCTTCAGCGTATTATCCCCTTACAATTCCATCCGCAGTACTTTTCTGTGCATGACACAAAGTGATGTTAATTTATGTTTTCAGCAAAGTTCTACAGCCATTACAACATAAATTTTGTTCATGACTCTCGTTGATGGTTCTTCGCGAGGTAACATGAAGAACAATTTGAATAATTGTTAACTTTAACATGATGTTACCTCATGTAATCTTTGAAGAAAAGAACTTCGTGAATATAAATGATACTTTATTGGAAATTAAATTAAACATGAAACATCATTAGATAACCAATGTCCAACTAATCGAATAAATATCATAGCAACATGATTCGAACGAGCTTAAAACGAAACAAAAAGATTTAGTAATATTTTATAGGTGCCAACTTACACGAGCACACGATGTTTTACAAGATTCTTATCAAGAATTTATTTTCAACTTGTCGCTGTGTCACACAGTAATATTTGGTTAGCGTGTTTGTATGTAAGTTATCGATTGAGGTTGAGTTTAAATAAATCAACCAGGTAACTAACATTATTTTTAACAACACTTAATTCTAGAAAGTCAATTTAAAAGCGTGATTATTAATTAATTAATTAATATTTTGACAGATTTTTGCAAATCATAAAAAAAAATTATGAAGAAACTTTGATTGGCTTTCAATTAAAAAGCTATTAGTTTCAGGTGCTGTTGGGAATGTCAAATGTAGTTCTTCAATAATTGAAAATAATTATGAACGATATCTTGTGTCTTTTTACGTATAAAAAAAATTACTAACATTTAGCAGGTTATAAATTTTTAAATTCCGAGGGGTTTTAAAATATTTGCCGGCAGAGACCCTGTCTAGATTTTTTATTTGTTTACAAAACATTTCTAGAAATATTCTTAATTTTAAAGTTTAATAGAAAAAGTCATGCTTAGACACTCCAGTAAACTTTTAGTTAGGAGAGTAGGTAAAATAAATGTCGTAAGACTATCCAGTCAAGTTAATTCGTCTGCTCAAAATGAGACGAATAGTCAAAACAAGAAATTACACTCACCAATTGGGAATGTGAGAAACACTTTTAATGAAATAAGTTCATCAGCTTTATCCAAATACAACGAAATTGTTGGATTTACTGAAATCGATGAAGCTTATAAGAAGGTTACAATAATGCAGGTAAACTGTATTTAGTATTTTTCTTGTTAATTTTCTTATAAAATTTTAATTTTTTTATCTAGGAAGATTTACACAAAATACAAAACGAAAGGACTTTGGTGCAACTTCAAATTTCCAATACAAGAAGTGAGTTAACAAATCTCCAAACAGAGATACATGAACATAGAAGGGGTGAAGCCAAATATTTAGAATTGATGAAAAGGGAGTTTGAAGTTATCCAACGAAAGAATAAACTCGAGGAACATTACGCTATTCTTGATAAGAAAGAGCGAGAACTGTTCACTCATTTGCAAGCTAAAATCAATATGCTCCATGAGAAATCAAGAACTCATACTCGGCAATGGGGCATAATTTCAACAATCATTGGTGCTCTTTTAGGAATTATTGGAACGTCGATTTCTGCTTATTATAGAAACAATGATATTCGAAGAATACAAATGAACTTTCAACAACAATTTGAGCAGCAAATACAACAAATTACAAAAGATACCAAACATATTACTCAAGGCTACAATAATCTTATGGAGTATTTACAACGTTATGAGCTGACTTTGAAATCGAAAGAATCAGAAATCAAAAACATTCAACAAAATAAAGAATCATGGGGAGGATATTTAAAGAGAAAATCAATTTCCTTTGTTAAATGGTTTACTTTGGAGAAATCAAGTTAATACTATTCCAATGTTATGATATCGATATTATGTTATCTGCATGCAGTTTGAAGCAATAAGAAATGATATTTTAGGAAATTATTAAATCTCAAAAGAAAAATTTTAACGTTCATAATTTGATTTTTGCAGGAAATTCAAGCTGGTTTTGGCTTGTCTGACTGTCAAGTTTTGTTGGCAATTTTTAATGAAAACATTTTATTCAATAAAATTTTAAAATATGAACGAACAAGATATTCCAATTGACATTCATGTCAATAAACTACAAGATTGGCTTGTAAGTCGTCGTATTGTTGATAAAAATTGGCATCGACATGTGAAAGACGTGAGAAATAGTATCAATGAAGCATTAAAAGATATGCCAGCAAATGAACAGCTGGTAAAACTCTTATCTGGTGACCGTAAGTTCATAACAACCATGAAAAATAAACAAATAAAACATTTTTCAAATTTCTAGACATCAATTACTTCCATTGCCAACAAATAATTGAGATCCTGAAAATGACTGAAAAGGACTCGAAAAATATTTTTGGAAGTTACAGTTCGCAACGAATGAAAGATTGGATAGCAGTCCTTAAACTTTATGAAAAGGATAATTTGTACATGGCTGAAGCAGGTCAAATATTTTCTCGAAATATCAGCTATGAGATTCCCAATGTGAGAAAACAAATCACGCAGTTTGAAAAGTTGAGTGACGAAGCACTTAAAAAGTCTCAAGATGCTGTAAAATCTGAAAATATCCTTAGAAACGAATATAACGTCGCATGCCAACAACTAGGAATAAAAGGTGACAAAATTAAAGTCGAACTCACTGAAAGATTGAAAGACCTTCCCGAGTTACAATCACAAGTTGTTAAGAAAATTGTCGACTTGAAGAAAGCTGTTAGTTTGTATGAAAACTTTTCTGCGAACAAATATTGCCTTCCACTTGTTAAGCACATTATGAAGTCGGGAAATACAACAGTTTATGAATATAAATATTCTGATGCACCAATAAGTGTGCAAGAACCTCCACTGCCTTTTAAACTTGATGATGACGATAATGAAATTCAAATGAGCCATGAAATCGATTTCGGAGATAATCAAGCAATTGATTTTGGTGATAATGAAGGAACGATCGATTTTGGAGATGACTTATCAACAGCAGCTGGAGTAAATCTAGAAGTTGGAGAGATTGATTGGGGTGGCGGTGGCGGTGATGACGTAAATGATGAAAATAATCAAGAAATTGATTTCAATATTTCACTAGAAGAAAGTGGAATTGTTGTTGAAGAAGCTGGGATGTCTGGTGGTGTAGCAAAAGATGAAGAAGCATTCACGATTCTTGACTCTCCACATTATCGCGATGTAGTGTTGGACGAGCTTTACGAGCTTGAATCGTTCCTCAAAATGAGATTGTACGAATTAGCAACAAATGACAAAGTTCACGTCATTTCCATGTCACTTCTTGATGGATTCACTGATCATGACACAAAAACAGTGACCGGAATGCTTGCAATGGTTGATCTTGCTATCACTTCATTGACAACGTCGCTCATTCAACAATTGTATCAAATCAAACATTCACCGAAATATGTCGACATACTTACCAATAAACTGAGACATAAACTTCGTGCTGTTGATAAATTACAAAACATGCAGAAAGTTTTGAAAGAGAAGTCGATTGAATTAACGAAGAATTCAGTTGAATTACGACCAACACTTGAGAAGCTTATCGAGCAGACTAAAACACTGCAGAAACATGTAAGTTAAATAAATCTGTAGATTAAGTTTAATAATCTCACTTTCTCTTCTTATTTAATTATAGATTGAGAAAGATATTAGCAAACGTTACAAGAATCGCGTCGTCAACTTGATGGGTGCTAATCTGTAAATTAATTTTATGAATTTTTATGTTTTTCCGGTGAAGTTTTAATAATAAAAATGATAAACAGTTTAATTACAATAACTTTATTTAATATCTGGCAATTTTGTTGTCGACGAGAAAATTGTTCAAATCAATTGACAGAAAATTTAAGCAAGAAAAAAATTGCAATTCAAGGAATTCAATGAAATTCGAGGTTGATTTAAATTCCTTGAAATGAATTTTTTTAAAGAATTCTTTGATCATTCATATTGCTAGCAAAAATATGAATGGAAAGAATTCTTGAGATTAATTTTAGTTAATTCTTCATAAGACTTTGAGGGCATCGAGAAATGACGTCAATTTCTGATGCACCGAAAGTCTCTGAAGAAAGTTTGCTTCGACGAGACTGCAGTCTAATCGAATAGAAATCCTTAACATTAAACAAATATCAACGACACATTATAAAATCTAAACATAAACTCCTACATAATTCTCTTCGTAAAGAATGGCAGCACCGAGATTCCTTATAAGCATTCTATGGACACGCCGACGACCGAGTTTATTCCAGAGAAGCAACATCTTCTTGGTTCCACTTGTATATCGTCCCACTGGCTGATAAAAGCTCAAATTCTCAGTTCCATCTTTCGTCAACATGCACAAGTTCAAATCGATCACAGAATGTTGTTGCGAAAGGTTTTTTCGTATGAAGTAATTGAAATCGTTAAGAATCGCTTTCTTGTTGAACAGAGAGTAGTTGGGCAAAGGCGGAAGTGTTGTGATGATTGGAGTGATAGATTTAAGTTCACAAGTATTCAACAATTCAAAGAAGTCTGTTATCATCTCAATTAGTTGACGACCTTCAGCGATATCAATTGATCCGACATTAATTATCGCATGTTTAATCATTGGATTGGTAATCTCTTCAATTTGTTTCGTAGCTTTTGCTATCGTCAATCCTGATATGCAACTTCCGCTTTGTCGAACTTTCGCATCACGATTTCGTAGAAACTTCAGATCAAACAAAGAGATGTTGAGTAAATTGTCATCACCAACCAACATGCAACCGAAGAGATTTGGAAAATCCTTGAAAATTTCGAAAGAAAATTAATCTGAAAATTGAATCTCTTTGTGATCTAATCTTACAAGTTTGTCATTGTCATTTTGTATATTTATGCACTTCTTAGTTGCAGTTGAATCGTTCGTTCCATCAGAATGTCGTGTTTTCGACAATAAAGATGATGTTGATGAAAATGGCGAATGAACAAGTCTTCTTCTCATATTTACATTTTGATTGTTGTTCTTGTCTACATTCGAAACGAAATATTCAATCGCACCTTTCGCAAATTTATGTTCAACACCTTCAATTGTCTCCAACCATTCCCCCAGAATTTTATCGCCACTTTCAGTGAAAGGAAGTTTAACTTTAGTTCTCTGAAATCCATCTACGAAAAATGATTAAAACTTCAACACATTTTTATCACATTTCTCGTTTACCTTTCAACATTTTTAATGACTGCGGTCCATGTGCTTCTAAATAATCTTTCACTAACTGCCTACGGTGATTTTCTTCAAACATTTTAACTACCATTTTTGAACTTTTATTTATTTAATTAAAATTGATATTAAAAAGATTTGATTTATTGATCGCGATCAGATTAAACCTTTCAATAAAATTGACTGAATGAATGAAGTCGTCAAGGAAATTCTCTCATAATCTTCCACAAACATTTACTCTCTTGACTGTGTCAATGTCATCATCATTCCTTTTGTCATTTCAATTGATTTCCTTAGTGATAACACAATTAAAGTTTTTTTTTTGTACAAAATGAACTACAAATTTCTCTCTTTATTCTTCTTCATAGATAATAATCAAAGTTTCTCTTTTTTACATGAACTCTAATTGAGATATTTCTTTTTTCTTTTTCTTTGTTTTGTTATATACGAAATTAGAAAAATTTTATATACAAAAGAAGCGAACCAACAAATGTTTTTAACTCAAATATCAAATCATTCTGTTCATCAATTTCAACACATCATTCGTTGCATTTAAAGTAATTACCAATCAAAATCTCCCCCATAAATAATTCTAATATGACTTAGAAGAAAACGAGTCTTTTTACGTGTTAGAAATTTGATGATTTGAAAGCTGAACTTGATTTCAATTTAATTTAACATAAATTAATTTAGACTTTCGACAATTGTTTGTTATGAATGTTTAAAATCAAAGTTAAAAATATAAAACAAGGAAAGTGTTTTGTTTGTTGGACTCAAAGTTACGAATTGTTGTAAACTATTTCAACAACATGAGCTTTTAGCTGGTTCAGCCATCACTAGATTAAAGTCTAAGCTGTTGGGTCGAGGGAATCCTAAATGATATTCAAGCATTAGAAATTCACCATCAACTTATGAATGCAATTAAACTCACCGGTTTTTATTCCTTCCCATCCACTTTCAACTTTATACTCTCCACTTTTGATTCTGTTGTAAATTTCTTGTGTGACTAAGGCAAAAGCTTCTCTAACATTGATCCCAGTCCTTGCTGATGTTTCAACATAAATTAGCTGATGCTGTTCGGCAAATGTTTTGGCTTCTTCCACACTCACTTCACGATTCTCTCCATTATTAACAAGATCCAATTTACAGCCAACAAGGGCAAATACGGGATTATAAGGTTCTATATGTCTCTTAGCTTCCAATAACCACAACGGGATATGTTCAAATGATGCATGATTACAAACATCATAAACAAGAAGAACACCGACAGAATTACCTTTAAATATATTTCAAATTTAATTAACTTTCATTTATAATTAATAAATATAATTTACGATAATAAGATTTAGTAATTGATCTGAATCTTTCTTGTCCTGCTGTATCCCATAACTGAAGTTTGATTCTTGTTCCATCTTTCACCTCCATCATACTTGCAAAGAAATCAACACCAACCGTCGGATCACTGATCTAAAATCACAACAAATGATATCAAAGTACATTTATTTGTAAATAAAAACAGTTGCGTCATAAGACATACAAAAGTCCGCATTTTACAGACAATCAAGTGGATGTGCGTCGTGTGAAAATGTTAACAAAGAACGAAACGTGAAATAAACGTTGCGACATTTCCCACAAATTCTTCGAATGACTTAGAAAAGTTGTGTCGCTTTAAGAAAAGTAATTCAAGGTCGCAATGAAATGCATGAGTCATTTTTGAAGTTTTTATTACAAACGAACATGAGATTTTCTTTTGAATGATTTACTTATCTTAACATTCCATGTTAATTAATCTTTTCTTTTTTATGTAACTCAGCTGAAGATAACACGCGATAATAGAAAGCTTAACTTACCTCAGCAAAGCGACCATCTGTAAAGTATTTAAGAAGAGATGACTTTCCCACTGTACTGTCGCCAATGAGGATTAATCTAAAGCGAAATTAATGGAAATAAAGATAAGAACTTTTTATTAATTGCGCAATTTATTTTTGCTGATATGCCACCATAGTAGCTGAGTAATATCCAACCTACCTAAACTGGTAATCAAACTGCACCATATCCATTTTGATCAATATTAAGATTTTAAATGCTTAATATGAACAATTTATTTATGCTTTTCACTAAAGATCTTTTGTTATTATTTTGAAAAATTAAAAAATCACTAAATTATTTTTATTTTAAACGTATTTTCCACGCGGTATTTAGTGTCTTGAGATTCAGGACATTGTAATTTTCACTTATCACAAGATTAGAAGCTTTAAATATTTCTTATAACTGTTTTTGTGTAGAATTTTAAGAATCACTAAAAATATTTTGATAAAAACCAGAAGTTAAGTCGCAGTCACATTTGAGGAAGCAAAACAACAAATCAAATTTTTACATTCCCCTTGTAATTTAGTCATGTGGCCCCACACGTGATTGACGTCGGACTACCCGGCACTTTGACTTGCGTGGATTTGACCTTCCATACAAAACGCACCCGAGAAAAGTTGCGAGAAATTATTGTCTGTGCAAGTAATTCCACACTCTCCACCTGAAACTAACTTTCTGGGGTGCAGTTTTAGGTGGAGAGTATTTCCATATTTCGACTTGTTCGCCTTAACTCAAAAGAACAACAAAAAAATTAAAAAAAATCATTTTATTAAAATTAACTTCAGTAATTAAAACTATTTTCTTACAAAATTCTTCATCCCACAAACTTTGCACTTGCACTTACAATCTTAGTTTAAAGGTATGAGGAAAGCTCGTGAATTAGCTTCAGAAAAATGAAAAGAAATTTTTTTTGCAGTGCGATGATTCATAACACCTTGAAAAATTTGTGAGAAATATTGATTGCAAATTTATTGTATGTTTGTTTACTTAGGATATCGAATATAAAACGAGAGTAATGGCAGCAGGAACAACACTTCAAAAAGCAATTGATATTGTTACAAAAGCTACAGAAGAAGATCGAAACAAGAACTACGAGGAAGCTTTGAGACTTTACGAGCACGGTGTTGAATATTTCTTACATGCAATTAAATGTAAGTAAGATTGTATCTAATCGGAGAAATTATAATAATTCCATGTTTACCAATAGATGAAGCACAAGGCGACAAGGCAAAGGAATCAATTCGCACGAAATGCATTCAATATCTTGATCGCGCGGAAAAACTGAAAACTTACCTAAAGAAAGGGAAAAAGAGGCCAGTAAAAGACGGTGAAAGTTCCAAAGGTAAAGATAAAGATAAGAAAAGTGACAGCGAGTCGGATGGAGAAGATCCTGAAAAGAAGAAGCTTCAAGGGAAGCTTGAAGGTGCAATTGTTGTTGAGAAACCTCATGTAAAGTGGAGCGACGTTGCTGGTCTTGAACTTGCGAAAGAAGCCTTGAAGGAAGCCGTCATCCTTCCAATTAAGTTTCCCCATCTGTTTACGGGTAAACGTGCTCCATGGAAGGGAATTTTGTTATTTGGCGTAAGTTTTTAATTAAATTTCTCTAGAAATAATTTTAATTTGAAATATTTTTGTAGCCTCCTGGAACTGGTAAATCATACTTGGCTAAAGCTGTCGCTACAGAAGCCAACAACTCAACGTTCTTCTCCGTCTCAAGTTCGGATTTAGTTTCCAAATGGTTAGGAGAATCCGAAAAGTTGGTCAGAAATCTCTTTGAACTTGCTCGTGAACATAAACCGAGCATCATATTCATCGACGAAGTCGACTCTTTATGTGGCTCGCGATCAGAGAACGAGAGTGAAAGTGCACGGAGAATTAAAACAGAATTTCTCGTACAAATGCAAGGAGTTGGACACGACACAGACGGAATTCTCGTTCTTGGCGCTACGAATATTCCTTGGGTTCTCGACTCCGCTATCCGACGACGCTTTCAAAAGCGAATTTATATCCCATTACCAGAAGAACATGCTCGTCTTGTAATGTTCAAAATTCACCTCGGCAACACGGCTCATGTTCTAACAGAAGAGAATTTGAAGCAGTTGGCAAAACAAAGTGACAAATATTCAGGTGCGGATATTTCCATTGTTGTTCAAGATGCTCTTATGCAACCTATTAGGAAAGTCCAAGCTGCGACTCATTTTAAGGTGAAAATCATCTCATCAAAAGGAACATTTTATGATTATTAATTAATTGTTTTTCTGTAGAGAATTCGTGGACCTTCGCCTTTGGATAAAACACAAATTGTCGATGATCTTTTAACACCGTGTTCACCTGGTGAGCCTGGCGCTATAGAGATGACATTTATGGATGTTGATGGAGATAAACTTTTTGAGCCACCTGTAACAATGGTAAATTTCTTTTATTTTATATTTTAAAACATTTAATTAATGAGAGAAAAACGTTTTCAGGGCGATATGTTGAATTCATTGGCTCGAACGAAACCAAGTGTCAACGATGAGGACATGAAAAAGCTTCAAAAGTTCACCGATGACTTTGGTCAAGAAGGATAAATTCAATGATCCAGCAAGTTATTTTACAATGTTGCCTAAAATATTCGATATAAATCTTTAAAGGATAAAAATATAATTCTAACACTTTTTTTCTGAATGTTTTCAACCAACAAGATCAGGGTTTTGACTGTTAATCTCTTTGTGTAAATGAGGCCAATGAATAAATGATGATTTATGGATGAAAGATGTGGCCAATAATTGTATTTATAGATATTTGGTCATCAATGTGAATAAATGTGGATGATTAGCTGCAGTCAAGACAAAATTCATTCATGATTGTTGCGTCAAATAGCTTACGTCAATTTGACTTACGTTTGAGAGATGATTTTTACGTGACTTAAGAAATCTAACGTTAAATACCTAACTAAGAAAGATCAAATGCGTATACATACGTTTGATGCGTATATGACTAAGCGTAAGTCGATGATTTATGTATTTGACGCAACGTAGCTTGAATTTACGTCACAGAATAGGAAATCAAGATTTATGTCGATCACAACATGTTCTCGTTTTTCATGACTTTAACGATTACTCGTTGAAATCGGCATATAAAATTGTTTTTCTTAAATTTCGCATTGCTATATTTTTGCTATTTTTATAGTTTATTTCATTTCTCATTTGTTTTCTTTTTTGATAATTATGAAAGTTCATCAGAATTTTATTTTTTCATTGATGAGAAAAGCCCTTGACAAACCTGAACTTATTTGTTCTCACTCATTAACTGGAAAAAGATAAGAAATCAAATTGAATTTTGCTTTAATAAATAAAGAATTAAATGAAATAAAAATATCATTTTTTGTAAATTTATTTGAAATTAATTAACGCGTTCCTCACATAAAAATATTGGAAGTCAACAACTAAAAATCCTAATTGATTGTCATGGTTAGTTGAGCGTTGGAACTCGAAAAACGAAGCTTGGAATGGTAAAATAAGATTCATTTATCAAGTAGCAATTAGAAAATAACAAATATTTGACTTTTAAATTCCACGCATTCATTCTCGTGTTCCAGGCTCGTTCATTAAAGTTTTTATTACTACAAATAACATTTTTATCATTCTTCGCTTTAAGAAGCTTTGTTAATATCAAGAGCGATTAAGAAGCATAACAGAAAAGTGACTCCTGCTTCCCAGAAAAAATCTCTAAACATAATTAAGGCACATCTCACTTGGCAAGGTACAATCGTTTAGATATTCTTCATATCTTCACCATACTCCAAATCGTCTTCATTTGGTGGCATTGGATCAAGACTGTTATTATTTCCATCACCAATCTTTGATTCAGGGCATTCTGAACATCTCGATTCATCGATGTAATGATCAAAGCAAGTTGATCCTATGCATTCACAGCATCCATCAAAGAACCATCGATATGAGCTTGCACCCATACTCGAACATGCTTCTCGACTGCGAAATAAAATTTATTAAGGTTGGTCAAGGTCATTTCAAGTCGCATTTAAATAAATTTTCAAGGACAAATTAACTTACCATTTGAGCATACTCATGCATGGTGACATAAATGTTACACTACAATTCACAGTTGCTGTCTTTAAATCTGAAACACTTTGAAGATCATGGTCGGTTGAATCTGTAAGAAAATTTATGAATGAAAATATTACAAAGAAAAATTTGTTAAACTTCCTTACGCATGTAAAATTGGGAATTTTTTGTTTTTGCTTCATAATGTGAAGTGTCATAATCAACGGGGAATGTAAAAACTGACCACTTATCATCATCTGGATCTTCTAAGAGAACATTAAATAATCCTGGAATGCCTTCAAGCTCTCCATGATGAGATTGCTTTGATAATGGATTTTTTGTGTCGCTTGGTTTTGGACACAAATCTAAATTTATTAATTTAAAAATTAATTTTTTTACTGTTTTAAATTATTAAACTTTAAACAAACTCACCAACGCAACTACAACATTCGTCCTTTAACCAGCTGAGGCATTGATGGCAATCTCTACAGCATGTACAATTCTTTAAATCGCATTTACAACTTTGAGTTAACATACATTTTGATACGATGCTTGCACACAACATTTGATTACATGATAATGTATATTTTGTTACAACAAGGAGTATTAAAGATGTTAGAAGGATTGTCGAAAGAATTTTTCGATCCTTCATTGTGTTTACTTTTGTGTTATTCCTGGAAGGATAAGATCCAGTGAAGAGATGAAAGAAAACAGGAAATGAGATAAATTTCTTTGTATTTAAGTAGTTCAAATCTTTAAACATTAACAAGACAAACTGGTTACAACATTCCTACCAACTCTTATTCAATTTAGATAACAATACTTTTAGAACTATGCTGAAATTAATTATATAATGTGCAACAGAAGAATGTAATAAAAATTACAACAAAAATAAACAAGAACAAGTTTTGAAAGGAATTTTCTATAATTCAGGTTTTCATAATAAAATTAAAACAATGTTTCAGTTGAATTTACAATAAAGCAAAACTTCACATGGTTATCAACACTTACTAGTTATTATTAAGTACTTTAGAGCCTTGTAAATAATAAAAACTTTCGAAACAAAAATAAGACGAGTCTTAAGAAAATTGAAGATTCAATGTTTCAATGATGTTGATCTCGGACTGTTTCTTGTTCGAGTTTGTCCGGGATGCTAACTTCATTCTCCAGAGTCATGTCCGAATGTCAAAATTTGTAAATATTGTTATTGATCAAATAGATAATCAACAAATATTTTTGTTATAGGCAAATCTTTGTTTAAGAAACGATTTGGTTCTTAAACATTCCAGAAATTGCTTAATTTCCTGCAGAGAGATGAAATCTTGTTCTTTTTTCTTTATCTCAAATTCGACTTATTAATTTTATTGTTATTAATTACCTAAATGAATTATTTCAGTCAAACTCATTTTTAAAAATTAATGGTTTTTTTATTTGCAATAAATCACTACATATAAAAATATAGTTGACAAGAGTAAATACAAAAATATTAGAAATTTAAAAAATTTGTTAAAAGAATTCATTCAAATGTCATCACAATTTTATGATAATATCAAAAAATGGAATGAAATTTAAGAGAACTTTCTTCAATTGAGAATTTTAAAATTAACACTTCCACTATAAGTACATCGATCGATTTTTATCTTCAATTTCTCGAGTTGATCGTTTATTGTTCTTTGCATGTCGTCATGAAATCTGTCAAATTCAATGTCGGTAGCCCAAAAATGTAAATGCAAAGTTTTTATCTCGCTGAGTGTTCTTAGAATGCAAGAAAATCTGTTGTCAAATTCAAAATTTAATGGCAAAGTCATTTTGCTGATTTTAAAACTTTTCAATAAAGGCAAATTTTCTAACATCCTCGCAGTGGTTTCATTGACTTCGATGTCAGCTAATTCAAGTGATTCCAATTTGGGCATTGAATAAATAAACGAGAGGAAATTTTCAATATTTGTCTCGTTTATAATGTTCCTTCCCTCGAGATTCAATCGTAATTTATTGATATTTGAGTAGGTCGATTTGATGTGTGAATGGTCAAAGAAATCTTCATTATGTTCGTGTGAGAATTTTATTGCAATTACTGTTAAACGTTCAAAAATGTTTAAAATAATAAAAATATTGACAGGTACAAGCCCTTCCAATGAAATCTCTTGTAGACTAGGAAATGCTTTTTCCATTGCAAGCAAATTTTCAACGTCAATAATTGTCGATTGTTGTTGTCGTATTCCAAGTTTAGTTATATTTAAAAATCGTCCCATTGTGAAAACATTGACATCCATTTCGAATACACCGAATGAAAGATCGTTTAAATATTTAAGATTATTAAGGTTTTCTAAGATCTCTGGAGTAATCTCATAAAGTTTAATGTTTAAAGATTGCAAACTTGCTAGGGAAGTGCATATAAATTTGACTTTTGGATCGTTAATTTCACATCGCAAATCAAGTTTAACAAGTCGCGTTTGAGTACGAAGAAAGTCAATAATTTCTTCATTATTTAAAAGATCTTCACCAAATACTTCATTAAATGTGAATTCGTCAAGTGTCATATGATTAATCCATCTGAGATGCGACGAAGAACTGATTTCTAATTTTTTCACATTAATTTGATTTTCATAAAACTTCGACAAATCTTGATGTTCTTGTCTTGATATTTCGATTGTGACATCTTCCAAGACACCACTCAATAACTGATCCATAATATTACGAATCTCATGCCATGAACTTAATTTGAATGTCTTCAGCTTTTTTAAATGCAAAACTGTTTTGAAGTTTTCGCTTTCTTTATCTTTGAAGAAATAATTCAAATGAAGTTCTTCAAGATTCGGAAGAAGATTCAACAACTCCATAAGTTGACATTCCATTCCACGAACTCTTGTAACTTCAGCTCTTGTTATTGTGCCACCTAACTCACTTAACACTGACATCACTTCGTTCATATGGTGAGAAAGTGGCAAATCGTGAAGACAAAGTTCATTAAAATATCGACTGGAATTCTTCATTGATTCCATGCTTTGATTGATATTGATTTTCTGAAAAGTCCTCATTTTTAATTATTTAAATTGATATTATCACTTCACAAGCTTACATTAATAACTAATCTGTGCTTAAACTTCTCGATTCGGCAAACAACTTCATAAAATGTTCGGCAAGTTTCAGCAGCACTTTTTCTTTTGTGTACATTACTTAAAATCATTTCAAGTATTGGAGTGTCAAAGTCAAGAATGTTTATTTGTTCCATTATGAAAAATTAAACTTCTTGCGAAAGAAGAAAAAACTTTTAAGTTTTAAAAAAAGATTCGAAATGAAATTTCTTTGCCAAAAATTTCAAGTTGCTACAAATGTAAACAACAACCTTTTAAAAAAAATTTACTCGGTAGTCCAATTTTCAATACATTGACACAACCTATCATTCGTAGAAACTCGGACATATGAAGTCAGAGTTCTCTTATCAGTTATTGAAATTCCTTAATTTTCTCTTCTCTGTGTTTATGGCACTGTCAACCTTTGTACTTAATATTTTTGTAGCATAAAATTAATAACAAAAAAATGCCTGGTAAATTTGGGGATTTGGTTGGTGCCATTGATGAAGGTAATTATAAAGAATTGGAAAATATTTCGTAACAATAAATAGAAAAGAAGACAACAAAAGGAAAGGGAATAAACGCAAGTTTTTATTATCTTTCCAGGAACCAGCTCAGCTCGTTTTCTAATTTTTCGTGCTGAGTCTTCTGAAATTATTGCGTCTCATCAAAAGTCAGTCACGAATATTTTCCCTAAGGAAGGTTGGTACGAACAAGATCCACAAGAAATACTCGATGTTGTTAACGAATGCATAACGAAAGCTATTGAAAAATTGATCGAACTTGGAGGCGAAGCAAAAGATTTAATTGCAATAGGAATAACAAATCAGAGAGAATCAACAATTGTGTGGGATTCTGAGACTGGTGAGCCATTGTACAATGCAATCATTTGGAGCGACATTCGAACTATACCAACTGTTGAAGAACTGCTACAAAAAGTTCCAAATAATACAAAAAATAAGAATTATTTAAAGCCACTTTGTGGATTGCCTGTTTCAACTTACTTTTCGGCTGTCAAACTTAAATGGTTGTTAGATAATGCACCGCGTGTCAAAGCTGTTGTAAAAGCTGACAAAAAGCTTTTCTTTGGCACTGTCGATACTTGGCTGATATGGAATTTGACAAAAGGTGTACACATCACCGACGTTACAAACGCATCGCGAACCGTAAAATTACTTAATTTTTTATAGAATTAATTATATAAAAAGTGATTTATTTATTAATCGATTTATTATTTTAGATGTTAATGAATCTTGAGACTCTCGAATGGGATCCAATCTTGAAAGATTTCTTTGAAGTTCCGGATAATGTGATTCTTCCAACGATTAAATCGAGTTCTGAAGTTTACGGATATATGAACGAAGGCGTGTTAAAAGATGTTCCAATCTCCTGCTGTTTAGGTGATCAACAAGCAGCTTTAGTTGGTCAACGCTGCCTTGAAATGAGTGAAGCAAAGTGCACATATGGAACTGGTTGCTTCCTTTTATATTGTACTGGAAATGTTAAAGTCGATTCAACTTACGGGCTTCTAACCACCGTCGCTTATCAACTTGAAAACCAAGCACCAGTTTATGCTTTGGAAGGAAGTGTTGCCGTTGCTGGTTCATGTTTAAGTTGGTTGAAAGATAACATGGAAATTATCCACAGTTTAGAAGAAATCGATACATTGGTGAAGTCGGTGAAAGATAATGGCGACGTTTACTTTGTGCCTGCTTTTTCTGGGCTTTTTGCACCACATTGGGATTCAGAAGCGCGTGGAATTATCTGTGGAATCACTGAAGAAACAGAAAGGGGACATTTCGTTGTTGCAGCACTTGAAAGTGTTTGTTTCCAAGTTCGAGATATTCTCGATGCGATGAATTTGGAATGTGGCACGCCACTGACAAAGTTAAAAGTTGATGGGGGAATGACAAACAATTCAATGCTAATGCAATGGCAAGCTGATCTGATCGGTCTGGAAGTTAGCAAGCCGTCAATGATTGAAACAACAGCACTTGGTGCGGCAATGTTTGCTGGCCATGCTGTCGGCAAATGGGATATCAATGCAAAGACTGACGTAAAAGCGAGAAAATTTAAGCCGCAAATCTCTGAAGACGAACGCGATGTTCGATTCAAGAAGTGGAAAATGGCGATTGAGAGATCGCTTGGATGGGATCAAAATTAAATTAATTATCTTTAGATAAGCAAAACAAAAGACAAGCAAGTAGATAAGTTCGCTCATATGTGACCAAATGCTGTTGATTTATTTGTGTGTTATTTGTAAGAGGTGAAAAGAATTTAATTATATTTTAAATCGGCATTTATCAAATTGTGACTTCATTCATTTGTTTTTAAACTTATAATAGATAATAAAGTTACGCAATATCGTGTTCATCATTTTAATGTTTATTCTTTTCCATTCACGGCAAAAAAGGATTCTTTTTTCAGAGAAACTCTTGTTAAGCGTTTTTGTTATCCATTTTACAATAAAATGTTGTCCAATTAGAGGAAAGTTTAATTAAATTTACGATTTCTTTCATATTTCGTTTATCGATTAAAGTATTTTTGTTTTATTTATTCTCAATCATTGAATTGCTGAGACTACTAAATACACGACGGTTAACTGACTCAAATCAAGTTTTAAACTTTTACAGATAAACTAGAAGAGAGAAACAAAAAAAAAATGCAAGTTTTTCATTTATTGGTTTGCTTTAAAGTTCTCTGAGTAGGAACATTGGGAAAATTTTCTTTTATTATTTCTTTTAAGTTTATTGAATTTATTATTGTTGACTTAGAGTAGCAAAGTCAATATGAAAGTGACAGAAAGTGTCCTCGATCGCTTGCCAACCCTCAGCCGTCAAATTCTAATCAACTTTATATTTTTCCTGCTACTCTACCGTCTTTAACCGAAGCAAAATTTAAAGAAAGTAAATTGCCAAATAATCATCAAAGCTTGAAATTCTTCTTCTTAAAGTTACGTAGTTTGAATTACAAAACAGAACTTTGGATTAAATTGATCAGAAAATGATAATCGGTTAAACACGGTAGCTGCTACAAATGACTGAATTATATTAACTCATTCCTCTTCTTTTATGTGACTTTCAATTCATTTTATTTTATTTTATTTTTCACAAATGACAAACAGAGAACAAGTTAAACATTTTTTTTATTCTTCTTCTTTTCCTGGCGTCTTAAAAAGCGTGGAGTAACTAAGAAATGATTTTAAACTTAAGAAAAGAGAGAAGTTAATTAACAAATAGAAGCATTCTTTAATATTTAAATGATGAGAAAGACAATAAAAAAATTAAATGAAAATATAAATGGGCGCTTTCTAGAAAAATTTATTTTTCTCTAAACTTTCCTTTCTGTGGAAATTAATGAGGAAAATATCGAGACAAAAAATTAATAATAAAAAAATGTCAGCAGCCCAGATTAATTTATCTGATACTTGCGCGATTGGTTATCTAAAGCATAAATTTGTCGGTCGATGACTTTCCAATACCGTTAATTGTTTTTCTGTTATCGGTTTTTACATTTGATATTACTTTTTTGTTGATGTTTCTCTTTTTTATCCAAGGAAAATGATAAAACATAAAAAAATCCCATTTCACCAGATCCCTCATCCATTCTTTTGTTTTGTTTTATTTTAAACTGTCAATCAATGATCGCGCTTTGCAAAATTATTTTGCTTCATGTTCTTTTTGTGGTTTTTTTAATCTTTTTTTTAATGTTCAAAGTAGTTTAATGCATTCAGAGGACAAACTTGCCAAGGATCAAGCCAAAGATGGCCATTCCAATTGCAGCGACCACCCACATGATTGGTATTTGTTGTTGTTGTCCAAGTTGAGGTGGTGAATATGGATTCGAAATAAGTTTGGCTGATGGTGCTGATGTTGAGCTTGAATCTAGCGACTTATTCGATTCCACCAACGATTTCAAACGAAGAATTTGCTCCTAAAAGATGACGAAAAATATTTTAATTTCGGTTCTCAATGGAAGGTGAAAATATTTACATTTAATTTCAAGTTTTCTTGACGCATCTTGCTGTTTTCCTCGCGCAATTCACGAACTTCTGCTGCTGCTCGAACAATGTCAGAATCATTGGACTTGCCTCCAACGCCATCACCAGAAACATTTTGCTGAGCATCGCTCATCATCGCTTCATTCTTCAGCAAATGAGAAGTTAATTGACTAACATTGCCCTCCTTTATATTTTCTTCCGGCATTTCGAATGTGCAACGCAACTTGGCATCCATCAACTGTTCAGGAGAAACATCCTTCCACAATTGATCAACATTAATTTCACCATCAGGTGCCATCAAAGATTGAACCATGAATTTATGTCTGTTTTTTTCATTCGGATCGAATACAAATGGTTGAAGACAAACTAAACAAGAATAAAAATTAATTTTTCATAATTGCAAATGTTTTTATTTTTTTTCACTCACTAGCAATGTCAACGGTCTGTCCAGGATCAATAGCACCGCAATTGGGACGAACGCAATATTTTTTTGGTGCTGTCGTTTTAATTTTGAACAAAATCTTTTTATTCGTTGGATTTTGCAGGCTCATGTGTGACGTGACCGGTTGTGTGAATGGACCTGAAAGTGACAAAAAAGGAATTTTAATTTTATTCATTCATAAAGATAAGATAAGGAAATTTCTTTATTGTTCATATGGGAGACAGAAAATCGATGTTTTCTTTATTACGTTACACGTGGAAACTTTCTACTTTCTTCATTCCGTCGCATCCTCTCAAATTACTAGAATGAAAGAGGAGTGGAGATGAAAATGCGCAATGTTGTGTGAAGAAAATTGCACAACACAAACAATAAATTTAAATGAAGTGAAAATAATTAACATCTTTTAATGTTTATTTTATTTTCTTTTAATTAAGGCGTTTGATATACGATAAACGGAAAATGTTTTACCAAATGATGTCATCAGACAAAGTGCTTGTGGAAGGTCATGTTCGGTCTGAATTCATTAAGAAATTGCTCAATTTCAGTATTATAGCATGAAATTGTCAATCTATTAGAGTTGAAATTCAATATTTGTGTTATGTATTTAATTGCTTTGCCGAGTTATGATAAAACATCGCATAGGTAGGGAGAATTATACAATACGAGCTTTGATAAGCAGATTAATGATTTGTTTATGTTATTTCATAACTATGTAAAGATTATAAACAACATTTTTGTTAAAGACGCAACACACTCATAAGTTAAATCAAATTCCCCAACATAATCATCGTCTTGACAAGCATTAAGATTTTCTCTCACAACTTGTGAGTCATTGAAAACATTTTTCTTCTTCGATGACGTCATACTTTGAAAATGACATCGCGATGTTTAACTTTAAAAATAATGTTTTCATGACAAATTGAAACAAGCTTATGTCATGAAGGCTCATTTTAGGATAATGAACTCAAGTTTCCCTCTAGACCCAGCCTATAAGTTTTATTGATTTTTTTTCTTTCCTTACTTCACTTCCATTCAGCTCAACGAAAATCCCATTCACAGTTTTCTTACCACTTCCGACGTAATTCGATTGGCTTGTTTTTCTCTTTTCTTTTCATTTTACTGATGGGCTCTTTCGTGTCTGGCTTTATATCACAACAGTATTTATAGAATTGAGTGATAGCAAACGTCAATCGAATAAGATTAATAAAGGTGGCGAGTTCCAATCAATCTATTAAGACGCAATTTTCTTGTGCACAAAATTAACGATTTTTAGGAGGAAAGGGAAGAAAGTTTCATGTATGATGTTCTATTATTTTCAGTTGTTAGGCCTTACTTTATAAATATAAACATTTTATCAGGAGAATAAAAATAGATCAAGATTTCTTTTCGTTAATAAGTCGCTGATTTTCTCGCTTAGCGAAACCTCAGTGGAACCTTTAAGTCTTTTTTGCAATTTATAATGAAGGGATAAATCACATACAGAATGTTATGTGAAGAAAGAAGTCTACTTTGGAGACTGATGTAATGATAACGATTTCTTTTCATTACTGGATCAAGACATGGAGCTTTAACTGTATTTTCGCAATCGCTTTTATATGATGATTTTTCATTTTTTCGTAATTCCGCTATTTAAACTATTTCCGTTTGCTCTAAATCATCATTGGTAACATTTGAAAGCAGATTAGATTGAAAACATTACATAAAATAAGCTTTGAATTCGTCCATTAATTTTCTTCACGAGTTTATGACTTTTTTGTATTTTTTTTCTCCAAATTTTACGTCGCTTACCTTTGAACTTCAGTTCTTGAGCCGGATCTATAATCAGCACATTCTCTTGCTTATACATCTTCGCAATTTATAACTTAGACACAAATATATCAACGAATAATTGTAAAATAATCTTCAAATACACTCGAATTAATTTTTTCGTTTCGCGTTTAGTTAAATGTCACAGTTCTTACTTTGTAATTTTGCCCATCCCGTGTTTGCGTCTTTTTTAAATAGCTACAAAAAACGGTTTTTTTTTGCCTCATTTCGGAAAAGCGCAGAAAAATTTTCATTGTCGTCAAAGCTTTCCATTTCAATCATTTATTCAATTTAAATTAAGATTTTAATTTTCTCGTTTTAAAGCATTTCATTCATTTATTTTATTCTCAAATCTATTTTAGTGTTTGTTTTGCATCAATTTGTAAATGTAAGTTAATATCGGCTATGCGTTTCGTAAATTACATAAAATATCAAATAAAAGTAAGAATTGACGAATGGAATCAAAATTGAATGAAAAACATAAAGTAAATGTTGACATTGAATATTGGTAAATAAATAATATTTATGTGATGTTGAATACTCAATATACAATCTTTCAGCGGAGTTTGTGACTTCAAAAGGCAATGCAATGAGTTGAAAACTTTTCTTGAAAATTCATCGTCAGATGCCGATGTTTCTTGTACTGTTGGACGAAGAGGTAAAATTATTTTATTGTAGCGTTTGAGTACTTTAAAATTTAATTTTAGGAGCTTTTGAAGTGAAAATAAACAATGTTCTGGTTCATTCAAAACTTCAAACGATTGCTTTCCCTGATCATCAAGATATTGCCGATAATGTGAAATTGTGTAAGGAAGGAAAAGAAATGAAATCAGTTAAACAACAGACGATCACAGATTGTTGCATAAGCTAGAAAAAAAATGTATTTATTAAATCTCTTTTACAAATATATCACCACCACAATTAATAATAACTTCGTCAGTACTTAAATGTCTTAAATATATTCCAAATCTTGTTTTTCCTTTGAAAAGTTTGCCAATTGTCCTTAAAGGTTCCGTTGTTTTGAGTCCAGAAGCCTGATCAATACAAATCATCTGACAACGAGTACATGGTCCTTGCACTTCAAAATCAATTTGACCGATTTTAATCATTTTAAAATCATTTTCAGCTAACGCTTCAAGATTGTCGATTATAAAATTTCCCCGAAAACGATCAATGATATTGTCAACATTTTCAACAGTGTCATCCCATTCATCTACATGATCCATAAGCCATTTAACAGATGGTTCACTAACTAGAAGAAATTGTGCTTGATTTGAAAGTGAAATTGCACCATTTTTCCTTCCACTTTCTTCACTTTGCTTAACAAGTCGAAGATTGTCAATTGACAACACTGAACTAAGCCAGTTTGCAACTTCATCTCCACAATCGTAACCTTGAATTCGATCGCCACAAACTTTGGTTTCACACAACATTGCTTCACGTGATGGTAAATTTTTATTCCGAAGAGCAATTTCGATGCTAGGAAATTCGGGAAAGTCTAATCGCAATGTTGATTTCAATTCATCAATAAAAGGTCGAATTAAACACATACGAGTTTCATTGTTCTGTGTTAATGAAGTTCCATTATTTCCATCAATAATCACCCATTCACGATCGTATTTCAAACCTTTACTGTTAATCTTCCAACTTTTGTTAATCACCATTGGAGCACACGATTTAATTGGAAATATTCTCATTGACTTCAATGTTGGATTCTTCGATTTCACGTTGCTAATCTTGTAATTCTTTTTTATTTCATTACGTGACAATAAAATTCGGCTTTTTGTGTCTTCAACGTAACATTCCTTAATGACTTGAACAAGTTTGTCGACATTCTCCTTTGTTGTCATGTATCCAAATGAAGCTCTAATTGAACCTGTCGGAATTCCATCAATCAAATCATTTTCATCTCCACAAACATGTCCAGCATTAAATTGTTTCATCAAATCGTCATGTGTCAATTTTAAATGAGTTTGACACGATCCGGGATTACAAAAACATCCCGTACGTAAAATAATATTATGAAGAGCAGCAATACAAGAAAATTCAGCAAAACCAACGAATGATCCATCAGCGTGTTGCAAGTTGAAGTTGACAATTCCACCTTGCGTATTGAAATCATTGAAATCAGTTTCATGATAAAACACAACAACTCGCTGTCCATTGTGATGTTTTAGCTTTCCTAATTCTCCATGCAAATATCTCCCTAAATTAAAAACATGTCTTGAAATTCGATTAATAAAATCAGCTCCCAAAAGTCTTTGCATAAATTGAAAACATGTTTGAAGGGAAATGATGGAAAGAAATGAAATTGTGCCATCTTCAAATCTTTCATGAATTGGATCTCGGTTTTGATGCCAATTTGTTCGAGTTAAAGCAATCTTGACAGTTCCACCACCGTAATACTTTTTCTTGAGTCTTTCTTCCCCTCTTTTTGAGACAATCAAAGCTCCAAGTCCAGTCGGATATCCAAAAATTTTATAAAAAGATATGCAAACATAATCAGGTTTATATCGACCAAGATCGAGATGGTTTGTAGACACAAATGAAGCAGCATCAAGACAGACAAACATTTGAGGATCGTCATGGAATTTTTCAATGATTTCTAGTGGATACTTGAAGCCATTGTAGTTGCACTTAGCTGGGAATGTGATGAGACCAGGATGATTCAATTTAAGAGCTTTATCAAGTAGTTCTTGTTTGGTAAGTGGAATAATATTTTCAGTTCCAACAATTTCTCTCATGCCGAGTACAGAAGTATGTGAGTCGCTGTTAAATTTACATAATGTAATGACTTGCAAAATTTTGTTATTAATTTAACTTACGTAAGATAATAAAACGAATCGTTTTCAGTAAACTGAAATGTTTCACCAACAAGTTTTAACGCACCAGTAGCACCGGATGTAAAAATCACTGAATAATCTTCAAAGGCAGCATTGAAATGTTTCAAAATTCTTTAAGGAAAGAACAAATTAGGAGAAAACATGACAGTTAAGTTAAAATTTGTTTATTGTAATTTCTTAATATTTACCGATAACGAACTTGGTCAATAATATTTTCAGTCGTTCTTGAAGTATGAGGATTACAGTAGAAATTACTAGTTAGCTTTTCTGTAATTTCCTTGATCTGATTCTCTCCATAAAGTGCAGTTCCAGCATGATCTAAAAAGTGAACTTCTTTCAATCTGGAACATTCCTTTTTGATTGTTTCTCGCTCACTTTCAGAAAATTCTTTTATCATTTCCATGATTGAACTTTATTTGCAGCAACGTATAACTAAATGACATGGAGCTCTTTATGCAATAATATGAAAAATAATTTATCTTCAAATTATTCGTAATCGCAAGAAGATAAACAATCGTAGGCTGAGCGTCATCGTGAATGAGATGGTGTTGGTGCTTTATAAAAACTACATAGAAATGATCCAAAATTTCGAAAATTCTAATGCCGTTACATTTTTTTATTTCATAATAATTTGTTAAGATTCCAACAATGAAATTAAATTTCAATTGACCTTTGCACGGATTTTCATCAAAGTTTTATTGGCAGCAGAATGTATAGTTTGATCTAACGTATCTGAAATAATAAAAATTATTTAATGTTGAAATTGATTAGAATGTTAAATAAAGTTACAAATTTTATGTTCTCCTTTAATTGGAAATTTAACTGGAAGCTCTTGAGGATCTTCACAAATGAACACAAAAGGACTGTCAGACTCTCCTTCGGGATAAATTTTGCGATATTCCTCTTGAGGTAGACAATCAATAATTTTCACACAACCCAATAAAACTCCGGAAGGATGTTGCGATGGAAACGTCATATTCTCATCCTTATAATGTTGTCTATAGAAGTTTTCAAGATAACTAACTTCATCCGGATTAGTTGGTTTTGCAGTAGATGCTATCCATAGTCGACCTCGATGAGCTGTGTACCAATTTCTTCCTTCATGTTTTTTAATTCCAGCAATCAATAATGTTGCCCATGGTTGATGCATTGATAGACAACATTTCATATCTGACATCTCTTGAAACTCTTTATCTTGCACACGATTATAAACTCCATCAAAGCCAGATGTTGACTTTAATTTTGGGAATGAAGTTTGGATATTTTCATCAAATATTGGAGCATTCGCCATCATTTCTGGATTGATAGCTCCGGTATAGTTGGAACGTGAATTCAATTCTAAAACTTGTCTCAAAATATTTTCCTCAAGTTCTTTTGACAATTGCGGTTCTTCCACCACTTGACGACCTGTAAAGTCGATAGTAACTTTCTTATTCACACGACTTGCGTGTTTCTTCTCCATCAACATTTCTTCGAGTGATCCAAGTTTCTTTTTCTCTTCTTCTGAAAGCCACACTGAATTAGATTTAAAGTAATCAGACTCGTCATCAATCACTGTGGTTCTTTGTTCACTTTGACGATCGTATTCAAGAAGACGATCACGTTGCGCGATTGCTTCTTCTAATCCTTTTGGTCGTTTTTGTTCTAATAAAGTTTTCTTTAAGATTTCTCCTTTCTTCGATTGAGAATTGATGACTTTCAATTCCTCTTCGGAACATACTAAATTGCCACAGAAAAAGCAAGCACCACTTCCTTCTTGTTCACAAACAATTCGTCCACATTTCAGACAATTATTAACAAGTTTGTGTTTGCCTGCCTGACATTCGCATTTGTTTCGCCCTTTCAACATGACAACATCATTTGCTTGTCCATCTTTACCAAAATAGTTGTAATATTTCGTCTTTCTTTTTGCTCCTGTTCGATTTGCTTGATCATCGTCATCACTTTTCTTGCTATTCGGCTTTTGCTGTGATTGCGAAGTTTTATTGCTCATCATCTTTGCAATATGCTTTGAAGGAAACAATTTTTGCTTGAGATTATTGTAAAATATACAATGAGTCTCGTTTGTGAAATCCAATAAAGATTCAAAGTAACTTTTAAGAGAATCCTCATCTTTGATGTTTTGTATATAACTTTAAAACAATATAACATTATGAAATTCATATTTAATAACATAAAATGAAGGAAGAACTTACGATACCATCTCGTCTGGTACATCAAAATCAAGACATGCAACCAATCGATCTTTAATCCATGAATCAATCGACATTTTTCAATAACTTCTTGTTTTTGAATGTTTTGATGTCACGAAAATATTTTTTATTTACCTTACAGTTTCTTACCCCCTTAAACAAAGCTATGCGTCACTTTTCAGCTTCACAAATCATTCGCGTAGCCTGAGAACAAATAAAAAGTCAGTGAAGAGATAATGCTGGAAGAAAAATCGATTTAGCTCGGAAAACCTCGCGTTTAATTATAAAAGTTTCATCTGTGAGCCATGTTACCAACATACCAGCGCTTCAACACATCGAGTTCGGGGAAAATTCGGTCGTTTCGAGCTTCTGAGAAGATTTTAATATTTCTTGTTTTTATTTCGTTCTTGGTGATTGTTCTATTTGGATTTTTTTTACTGCCAGATTTCGGCGGTACAAATGGTGTGATTCAAGTGTATAATAAGTTTAAGAAAGCAGGGCCAGAAATATTTATTCCGGCTCCTCCAATTTCTGATAAAAATGCAAAAGATTTCGATGCTCAAAGACTTCAAGAGAAAATCAGATCCGAATTAGATTTTGATGGGCTAGAAAAGCCAGAACTCCAGCTACCAAATAAAATTCCCATCGTTCCAATACCTGTACCTGACCATCACAAGAATCATCACAATCGTCATCATCAAGATGATAAAACCACTCAACATGCTTCTGAGGTTTATATTGTCGATGGAGCTGATCAAGAACCATCGGTTCGTGAGAAAAGGGATAAAGTAAAGGAGGTGAGTGATGAAAATTAATATTACTATTAAGAAACATCTGACCAAGACCACTGAACTTGAACAAATGTTGTAAATACACGGAACTACCGCTGATTAATTCAATTAACGGAATTTCTTCCCCAAACAAGCCCAACTCGGTTTAATTAGGTCATAACATCTTCTTTCTTCTTCCGTAGCATTTCTTCTCTTTGGCACGATGAATTTTTAATTGATTTATGAGATTTGACCATGATTTGCTGAGTAAGCAGCTGATAGATCATTTATGAAAATTGTTGGCATCTGTTATTTAATCGTTGGTGGTTTTTATCAATAAATATTTCATTGTCAAAAGCGAAACATTCTAATATAATTTGATATAATCAAACTTATGTTATTGCCTCTATTATGGGCTATCTAATCTTGATGAGAAAAGGGTGAAATTAAAGTTGTGATTATCTATCACAGTTTTTCATACTTCAAATAGCGCTCATTAAAAACTTTAATCGATTGTTACGAATTAGGTACTCGGTTTAACGTAAAATAAAAGTTCTGCCAACATTTTTTACATTAATTGCTTTAAAGTTTCAACCAGCTTCATTTTGAATCAAGAATAAAATAAAACTTCGATTTTCTTCATCTTGTGCCACGTTTCATGAAAAATGATTAAATGTGATAAACAAACTTTTAGCGAGTCATAAATGATAAGCAGAATTATTTGAGATTATTTTTCAGTTCTTGTTTCGTTTAAACTTTTTCGGTTAAAAGTTTAAAAACGTTGATTACCCGACCAATACTCAGTTTGTGGTTTAATTTGAGTATGACGTGGTCGTAAATGGTTAGAATCACAAAACACAAGATGACTTTGGCACCGACACTTGTTTTATTATAAATGTCTGGTAAATATTTGAAAGTGAACGAAGCATGACAAATTTAGAAGGTTTTTGTATATTGTTTCACTTTTTCTGACCTGCTTCCTTTTTCATTGTACGATCTTTGACCTAAACTAACGTTTGTTGAACCAAAGAGTGAAGTAAACAAATCATTTGATTGCTGTCGCCAACGTCATGGAAATTTTTCAAAATAAACCTACTTAGCTCAATTTGAGATATCATTAGATTCTTTCCAGTTTATTTAAATAGCTTCATGACAATGACAATTAACATTTTAAGTTCTTGTTTTTTGCTGTAAAGTTCTTTCATTTTAATAGTTTAAGAACTTTTTTCAACGACTATGAACACAGAAAAGCTCTTGAGAAAAAGTTGTATGTGCATGTAAAGCATTTTTTATTTGCATGAAAACATTAATTATACATTAAAAAGTTTAATTGAAATTACGACTACTTTTTTTCATTCCATCTGCAATTAAAATTTAATCTTAAGCGACTTATAAATTCACTACATTCATCAAACAACAATTACACGAAAGCAACTAAATCATAAATATTTGCAACGCAATCAAATTGTTTGGATCTTCATCATAATTATGATATCTGAACACATAAAATTTTATTTCCATGAGTTTCCACATCCTAAAACTGTTGCAATAATACTCATTCAGGGCTTTTAGGGTTGAACTATCGTGTCATTTGCTTTCACAACACAATCGATCGTAATATCATGTTGTTAAATATAATGATGTGCTGGTTCCGCAAATGTATGAATATCAAAATAAAAGAAAACTTTTCCACAACAATGTTTTGAAAATGACGCAATGTAATTGAGTTGAATATGTTTGAAAGTTTCATCATTGCTGTGTTGCCAACTTCTGATTCTTTAAAGCGTTATCAAAACATTTAACAGCAGTGTAGTTAATCGTGTCGCAAAAAATGCTTCAACTTAATCACTTTCACGAAGTCGCAGAAGTCGCGACTTATGCGTCAACATTAAAAGGTTGCGTTTTTATTTCCATTTCGTGCCCAGACTTAATCCACAATGTAGAATGAAAAAAAATGCGAGGAGTAGCGGTAAAAGTGTCCGAGATTCCAACTACGTTATGAGTTATTCGTTTTCGTTATTTCAGCACTTTTTGTCGCAAAGCGAGTTGAATGTTTAATTATTTTTGAGCATCGTGTTGTGTCATCTCTTTTTGTCGGGTCCATGTGTCTAAAAACTTTGTTCTTTCTTCTCAAACACAACAGAAAAAAAGAGTAAAATGAACGAATGTACAAGAATATGTGATGAGGGTCGATGATCCTTTCTAAAGCAGACATTTTAGCTGAGAGAGCTTTTCATTTATAAATTCGTTTAAAAGAAAAAATAAAATTTATAAACAAAAATTCCGATGTCGTTTCATTTGTGGTGCCATGCGGTACCAAGCCGATACCAATGAAAATCGATTCAAATACTTTTCAATGAAACAAAACGAACCACAAATTCTTCTTCAATTCGAAATGAACATCAAACAATTTTTTTTCTTCTTCCTTTCAATGCTGATATGCAAAATGTTTGCAAACGAAAACGAAAATTGATTGTATTGTGACATTGATTTTGCTTTGGATTTCTATCTTCATCTTCAGCTCAGTGAATGTGTATCAAGTCAGTTGGATTGGAAATGTTTTTCCTCAGAATAAATTACGAGACCACAATGAAAGTATAAAATTATAGGAAATGCTTTAACATCATGAGGCTCTCAACTCAGTAAATTATGTATGTGGCATAAGATACTCGTCGGTGATTCAGGTGATGAAAGCACGTGCTTCGAACCGAGAGAGACAAAATATGAATTTTTAATTTAATTATCAACTTCTTTCGACTGAATTCTTCTTTCTTCATGTTATGTTTGTAAGAAACTCGCTAAATCTTCAGTAAATGAGATGCTTCAAGTCGTTCTCTTTTACGTTTATTTTTCTTTTTCTTAAACTGAAAGTGACATGAAAACTGATGACGTCATGTTTCTCTTATCAATCTTCGTCTCTTCTTTACAACCTTCCCTTCATTAAAAGAAGAATAAAATAAAAACACTCTAAGTAATATGATGAGAATCAGCTTTGATCTATTTGTTTTCTTCTTGTCAAAATTCCTTCGCTACCCTAAAGCTTTTCATTTACATCTTTCACTCCCACACAAAAAAATTCGTGCTTGTCTAAATCCTAAAGAACTTCTTTTTTTAAAAAATAAAACATGTTTTCGGAAGGAAATGTCATGACATAGTACAATGCATCCATTGAATTTAACACCAAGTGGAAAAATGAAAATCATTGACTTATGTTGACTACTTACATATTAAAGAAGGATTTAAAGAAGCAGCTGATGATGTAAAGAATGGAATGCGCTGTGAAATAATATCGCGCTTTTAATATTTCATCGAAATCCCGTTAGAAGTCGCGCTTCTCGTTTCAAAGTAACATAAGATGATACCAAAAGTACTTTCGTATTTATTGCAGAGAATTCTTCTCAGTTTTCTCGAACATATGACGATGTGGGATTTTTAAATTCGCTGAGAGAATATTGAATTAAAAGCTTTTATTAAAATCATTCCAAATCAGTCTCAGTTGTGATTTGTGTGTGATGAATGAAGTAGTTCGTTTATTTCTCGCGTCATTTAAAACAATTTTTTTCTTCTTTTTTCTTCTCGCTTTATCCGAAACACTTCCGATAATGATCAATCGCGTGATGTGTAGGAAAGTTCGTTGATTTAAAAGGGGGCAAAGCGCAGAAAGCAATTTTTGTTATAATTAAGTAATCAATTTACATAAATGAGTTTCAGTTGTATGAAGTTGTAAGGGAGAAAGAAAAGAAAACATTTATATTTAATCAGTGGCGACTTTGAAATAAATTCATTTCATTTGCATCTGAAAAGCGTTGACAAGAAACATTCTTTGTGAAGTTAATAAATAAAACAAAGAATAAAATAATAATAATGCCAAACACAGTTTTGCTTTCGGCAATGACCATGATGGCCTTCACCGGGATTACATTAACATCACTTAAATATCGCAACAATAATGACAATGACTATTATGTTGTCACTCAGAATATTAGCGACTACGATGATGATTATTCGTTTGAAATATCAGATCATGGCCATTTGAATCCAAAGATTATTTATAACAATGAGATAATTGAAAAGCGATCAACAGAAATAAACAAGCGTTCAGTTGATGGTTTTCTCCATCGATATTCAAACGTTGAAAGAAATGTATCAATGATTGATGTTGTGAAAAGAGAAAAAGTCAAGCAGGTATAAACTGCGTCATTTTCATGCTCTTTCTTTTATTCCTATTCTGATTATGTTGAAATTAAAAAATATTTTATTTCTTTACCTTGAACTAGATGATGATGCACGCTTGGAACAATTACAAACTTTATGCGTGGGGTAAAAATGAACTCAAACCGATTTCTAAGCGTGCACACACTGGAAGCATTTTTGGTGCTTATGATCTCGGTGCAACAATTGTTGATTCACTTGATACACTTTACATCATGGGAATGAAGCAAGAGTTTGATGAAAGTCGTGATTGGGTTGCTAGGAAATTTACATTAGACAATGTTGTAAGTAAATTTTTTTCTGTCGTTTTTCCTTTCTTGATAAAATTAAAAATTCCTTTTAATGCTTATCTCAATACAGTCAGCTGATATCTCTGTGTTCGAAACAAATATAAGATTTGTTGGTGGATTTCTAGCAGCTTATGCGTTAACTGGCGACAATTTATTCAAAGAAAAAGCGCAATATGTCGCTGACAAACTCTTACCAGCTTTTCAAACTCCAACCGGCATTCCACTGGCATTGATAAATTTTAGAACTGGAAGTAGTAAAAACTATGGATGGGCAAGTGGTGGTAGCAGCATCTTATCAGAATTTGGCACAATTCATTTGGAGTTCTCTTATTTGAGTGATATCACTGGAAATTCTGGTTATCGAGAACGAGTACAAAATATTCGATCAGTGTTGAAAGAACTTGACAAACCTAAAGGATTATACCCAAATTACTTGAATCCTAAGACCGGAAAATGGGGACAACGTAAGCCATCTTTGTCATGAGAAAACTTTTCCATTTGTTTACATTTTATTTATTTTATTAGAACATATGTCGCTCGGTGCTTTAGGTGACAGCTTTTATGAATATCTCTTGAAAGCATGGCTTCAATCGGGCCAAACTGATGAAGAAGCTCGTGAAATGTATGACGAAGCAATGTCAGCGATAATGGAGCACATGGTGAGAAAAAGTCCCAATGGACTTACTTACGTGTCAGACTTGAAGTTTGATCGTTTGGAGCATAAAATGGATCACTTGGCATGTTTTGCTGGTGGTCTCTTTGGTCTTGGATCAAGGACACTTCAAAACCAGTACACTGACAGATATATGGAAGTAGCAGAGGGAATCACCAACACTTGTCATGAAAGTTACATTCGATCTTTCACGAAATTGGGACCAGAATCTTTTAGGTAAGAATGAAAAAAATTAACGGAAATTTTTTAAAATTGAATTCACGAAAATCCGTTAAATTTTACAAATGAAAATTCATTTTCTTGTTTCCAATTATCTACAGGTTTAGTGATGCAGTTGAAGCAAAAGCTTTGAAATCACAAGAAAAATATTACATTCTTCGTCCTGAGACTATTGAAAGTTATTTCATAATGTGGCGATTAACACACGATCAGAAGTATCGTGATTGGGGTTGGGATGTTGTTCAAGTAAGAAATTCTTTTTTAATTGGTAGAATTTAACTTAAAAAAATTGTGATTGCTTAATTTAGGCATTGGAACAACATTGTAGAACAGATGGTGGTTATAGTGGGATCAAAAATGTTTACAGCGATCCACCACAACAAGACGATGTTCAGCAAAGTTTCTTCCTTGCTGAGACACTTAAGGTGAGTTAAATAAAAATTTAAGTTATTGGAAGCTAATCAACTTTCTTTTCTTAATCCTTAATAGTACTTATACTTGTTATTTTCTGACGACTCGTTGTTACCATTAGACGAATGGATTTTTAACACCGAAGCTCACGTTTTTCCAATAAAGAATGCGAATCCACTTTATCGCTTAGCTGCATCAAGTTCGCCTTAAGTTACAAACAAAAAGAAACATTAATTAAGAAAGAAGAACAATGTTAAGAAGTGAACACAGTCGATTTGTCGCTGACATCTGCAGCATTTGCATAAATAATTCTGAGATTCATGCAACGAAATTCTACCTCTGCTCAGATGTTAGTGTCAGGTCGATGCATCGATTGAATAGAAGAATTATTTGTATTTGATGAACAAATGAAAGAAACATGAAGAAACTAGGAAAATTTTTATTAATTATATAATTGAAAGATATTGTAAATTAATGGATCCATTTAATTGATCCCAGATAAATATTCTAAACTATTAAATTTATTCAGTCACTCTGATCGAAACTTTTCTTCTTAAATGCTTTAGCGATTACAAAAATATTTTCATTTTCCATTTATTAGCGGAACAAAAAAAGTTATTTAATTAAAGACAAAGCATTGAACACACGAATACTTCGAACAAACATAATCAATATTTCAAAGTTCTCTTCCAATCCCTTAGCACATAACAAAACAGTCAGACTCACATTTAATTAAGGAAAAGCACCAAACCGTGATCAATTTTCAACAATCAAATTAATACGAAAAATACTTCTTTTAAATGATAATTAAATAGTTGAAGAGTCAAATATCTTACCGAACAATTCACAAAGGCTTTCAAAGCCTTCAACTTCATTTAAAACTGACATCATCGTAAAACGAACGAACAAAATTTTCCCAAAGAAATCTTTTTTTTGTCTGACATAAATTTCTATAAAGTTTGACAAAATCAGTTACGGAAATGAAGATTTTTTTTAATAGTTTCTCACATTTCTTGTTGAAATTTTTTCTAATTAAAATTCAGAAATGATGAAAGCGAGAAAATCACGTTTAAAGATTTCCTATTAAAAAGATTTTGTCAGACCTTTGTTCGAAATCATTTTGCAAAAACATTAAATTGAGAAGAAGATAGCACATTATGATGAAAGATAAAAGAAAATGAAAACTCAACTTAATGAAGAGAAAAAAAATCTTTATTGAAGCATTTGCAATAATTATGTAAATGAAGATGAAGATTTCTCTGATTTTTGACTTTACTAATTATTGTGCCAATTATCGAAGCCCTTCCAAAACATGATTAATTAATGTGTTGTGAAACAAGAGCAGATAACAAAGTTTATCTCATCGAGTCTTCGACATCATTTTGAAGAAAGAAATATATTAAAAAAAAAAAGTAGAGCGAAGGGCACATTTAATAAGATGATTGTGAGATACGTTTAATATTGACAAATTGCGGCAGTTGAAACTGTTGTGTGATAACTTAAAAAGAGAAACGTAAACAAAAACATAGAAAAGTTTCATTTAAATATTCTTTATAAATTTTGTTGTAAATAATTTTTCCACTCTGATTTAATCTGTCATGCAATAAGCTTTGCTTATGATTCGTTTCCTTTTAAAAGATTTGTGTTAAGAATTTTTTTTTGTTTTTATGATTTAATTAAAATGTTGAATTTATTTCTTATGAAAAAAAAAACTGGGCTGAAAATGTAATGCCTTCAGATGAAAATAATTAACATTGATGATGTGTGGAATGATATTAAAAAGAGAAAATCATTTCCAATGTTTGTTTCTTAACAAAGATCACGCACATCATGAGAGTTCAAATAAAACTTACTTAAGAAAGCAATTGGAAATTTTCTCTCATTTATTTTCTCTTGTAAGGAGCTCAGAAACGGAGTTGTGTTCAGATTTTTCCTTTTTCATGGTAGATTTTCCCACAATTTTTTTATGCCTTAAAAATTTAATGAACTAGCTACTAGCATGGACTGACATACATAGCTGCAGTTGAATTATTAAGATTTATCTCAGTAGAGCTTTTGGAGCAATCATAACTAATGGAATTAACTCTTTTTATAGTTTTTTTGTAGACGAAATCTTAGGAGGTAAATTTATTAGAGAAAAATCATCTCCAGCTCACTGATAATCCCAAAATTAAAATTAAAATTAGATGAAAAAGAATAAAATTTCACTAGAATTAGACTTTAAAATGAATTTCTCTATATTTGTAGTATGAATGATGAACAGAAACAATTCATTTGAATAATAACAACAAATCAAAAATGATATTTATTAATATGGGAATGTGAAAGAGATAAGAGCAAATAAACATTTTTTTTTTAAATTTAAAATTTCTTTATTTTATTATTATCAATTAAGGGCTCTACTTGGAAAACAAGTCGATGTTGATTCCTGGAGACCCTCATAATGAGATGTTTCGTAACACTTCAATCTTCGGTAATTATTCCTCTTTAAGAGTTTTCACGTTAGGTGTCGCCACATTTGATCTCCCTCAGTGTCGCTTTGAACACGTTTTTAAATTTCTCCAGCATAAAAACTCAAAAAAAGGTAAGAAATCAAGATTAAATCATCAAAAATATTGACATAAGATTTGTTTACTAAGAAGAAGGTCTTTTTTGCACAGTTTTCTTTGAATTTCAACATCAATCTAGGTTAAACTGAAAATGTCGAATTCACTTCCAAAGCTCGTGGATTTTTCGACTCCAAGAGAAACATTTCTGATGGGAATTGAGCTTATGCTCAAAAACTTTATCACGAAAAAAGAAAACCAGTTTGATTTCCCATCTACATTATCGGAAGACGAAAGAGTCATGGTGAAAGATGTTGCATCTAAACTGGGACTGAAATTTAAAACGAGCGGCAAAGGTAATTAGAAAAGAGGTTAGAATTTTCTTTTACTAATTATTGCTCTTCATTAGGCTTGGACACTCAAATAATTGTTTTTAAAAGTGAAGATCAATTAGTCTTATATGAACATCCAATGTTGTTAACACGAAATCGTTCAAGGCATGTCATAATGAAAATTTTGGAAACTTTGAAAGAAATGAAAGTTTCTTTATCATCATTTTATTGCTTACGTATCGCAAATATCAACGTAAACTTCCTTCCATTCAGTTTTGTTGTGATCGGAAATATTTCTAATCGATCCAAAAATCAAATTTCCGTTCCTCCAACAAATATAAATTTCTCACGTTTTGAAAGTCGTCAACGTTTACCAATTTTCCAATATCGAAACAACATTTTAAACTTTATTGCAAATCATCAAATCGTTATCATCGAAAGTTCAACTGGATATGGAAAATCAACACAAATCCCTCAATATGTCTTGGAAGAATATAACAAAATGAACAAGCCATGTCGTATTATTGTTGCTGAACCTAAAAGCATTTGTGTAACAACATTGGCTAAACGAATCAGTTTTGAACGTGGAGAATCACTCGGAACTACAGTCGGTTATCAAATCAGACTTGAATCGAAGATTGCACCAACTTCAAACTTAATCTTTGTCAAGAGCAACTCCGTCATAAGAATTTTAATGAGCGAGAAACCTGAAGAGTTCTTCCAAAACATCTCAATGTTAATTATTGACGAGGTTCAAACACGAGACGTATTTTGTGATTTTCTTTTGCTTTGTGTCAAGGAAAACTTGCATTTATATCCTCATTTGAAAGTTATCATTCTATCATCAACTGCTGCAGCAAATAAAAGTAATTTGAGCAGTTATTTTGATCAATGTCCAATTGTTAAACTGCCAGAAATACCAAAAAATATCAAAGAATTCTTTTTGGAAGATATTTTAAAGGAAATCAACTTTGAAGTTCCTCAAGACGTCTCTGCATGTGTTCCTGGTTTAGTGAAGGATTTTTCTGATGATATGAAGAAAAAAGTTGACAATTTGTTGATAAAAATGACTTCTGGTGATGAATTTGAAAGCGCATTTCTTGAATTTTGCTACATCGTTGAAACAAAGAATGTTCCCGTTGATTATCGATGCATTGAAAGTCACAAAACTCCTTTGATGATTGCAGTTGAAGGAAATTTAGAAGAACAAGTCGTCATGCTTTTAAAACTCCAAGCCAATATTTTATTAACAATCAAAATGAACGAACGTGAAATGACAGTTTATGACATTGCAGTCGCCAAGAAGAATGAGAAGATTCAAAAGATTTTAATGAATTATACACGAGGACAATTTCAAGAAATGCTTTTTGATGACATGAAAAGTTCACCTCAAGATCGGATGCTTTTGAATTGTTATTACAAGAGTTTAATGCAGCCAGGAGTTTATCTTGAGAATGTCATCGACTTTAAATTGTTAACAAAAGTTATCAGCAATTTGCACTTCAATACACCAAGAGACGAAACTTTTCTGGTTTTTCTGCCTGATCTTGATGACATCGTTCACCTCTCAAACAATCTCTTCAGTGCTCTTGATACAAACTACGAAATCTTCATTTTAAACAATCGAACTCAGAACAATCATCAACTTGATGTCTTCAGTGATCTTCCAAAACATATTCGTAAAATTATTCTTGCTACAAACATTGCCGAGTCGAGTATCATCGTCAATAATGTGGTAAGTTGATGAATAATTTTAACTTTTCCTTGATTCTCATTTAATTTAAATCGTCAGACTTACGTCATTGACAGTGGACGACAGAAACAGAAAACCTTCAATCCAATAAATCGCATTTCAAGTTCAGAGACCAAATGGATTGACAAAGAATCAGCTGAACAACGTAAGAAACGAGCTACTGGGAAAGAAAATCGAACTGGCGTCGTTTATCGCTTTTACTCTCGTGATTGCTTCAAATATTTTGCTAATCACTCAAAATTGGAAATTTTAAGATGCGACTTAAGTAACATTTGTTTGAAAGCTGCAATGGTTTTGAAGTCTGACGGGAAAATTGCTGAATTCTTATCTAAAGCAATTGATCCACCATCAAGTTATGCAATTTCTCACATCATTCAATTTTTACATCTTTCTGAAGCTTTACAATATAACGAGAAACTCACTGAACTTGGCTTCTATCTTGCAGACATTCAAATTAACACAAAACATGCCAAAATGATTATTTATGGAATTTTATTCAAATGTTTAGATCCAGTCTTGACCATTGTTAGTATTCTCGCTGCTGGCGATCCATTCTCAGCAACTGTTTGTGAGGATGATCGCAAGAAATGTCAAAAGTTGAAGGAAGAAATTGACGATGGAACATTTTCAGATCACTTTGTGTTGTTGAGAATATTTCAGAAGTGGAACGAATACATCACGACCAATAAATTTGATGACAACTTTTGTGATGAAAATTTCGTTAATTCTGGCACAATGTTTCGTGTAATGGACATTCGACAAAAGATTCTTGGATATTTACGATCAATGAAGCTCGTTCACAGTGTTGGAAATCTTTCAGCTTACAATCAGTATTCATGCAACTATTCGATGATTAAAATGTGCATTGTTGCTGGTTCATATCCTGACATTGCACGTGTAATTAAAGAAACAGGAGAAATCGTCACAAAATTCGGTGACAAAGTTTCCATTGACCCAGGAAGTGTTGTAAAACCAGGAAATGCTGGAAAGGATCAATTATTAACTCAATGGATGATCTTCGAAGAGAAAAATCGAAATGGAGAAGAAACTTCAGCAAAGATTTGCACATTGGCAACTGATTTGAGTGTCATTTTTGCATGTGGTTATGGTGCGATGGTTCATTCCGACAGTTTCTTCGATGATAAGGAAAAGGATCCAAATGAAATTGTTGAAATTAAAATTGATAATTTCATCAAGTTTTCAGCTGAAATGGGATTCGCATTGGGATTATGGAACATCCGTAAAAGAGTTAACGTTTTGATGGATCGCTTCTTATCCAATCCAGAAAAATTTAAGATCCGTGAAGAAGACGAAGTCTTAATTCATGGAATTGCTACGTTGTTGCAACTTGAAGATGAAGATGCTGGATTTAAATTTATTCACGATGGAATTTCTGCACGTCCAAGAGTTGTCACATGCAGTTCAATTGCTTAAGAAGGAAGACAAAAAACTGAATGAAATTCAAAGTTGAAGATAATTAAAGTCTAATTAAAATGTCGAAAATATTTCAATACTCAACTCTGTAAAGTTTTAAATGATTTAATAAAAGTTTCTTTTATCGACAATTCGATTGTTTTTATTTTAATTTGAAACAAAAAAATTATTCTGCAACTAAATTGTCGCTTCTTCTCAGATCGCACTAAACATTTGCAATGATAATAAATCAAAATTTACATTGTCGTTCATTTGTTTGTTTGTTTAAAATAATTTATAATCTTTATGGCCATTTAAATTGAGTATGAGTTCAACGTGGAAGTCGATAAGATCATCAACGAGTTTCATTTTTGTATAAAACCATCAAATGTAGATGAGAACGACATAACGAAAACTAAAAATGAATAGAATAATTTATTCTGCTGTTCTTCTCATAAAGTTTTCTCATCAATTAGTTAGGAAAATTAAAATATTTAATTGCAATTGAGTTATTAATTTATTTATTTCACAGCATCCATCAAAGCTGCTTGTAGACAAAATGGATGCAACATACAATGAATCATTTGTGATTTACGAACAAATTCTGGAGAAAACTCCCGATGAAAGGTCTGTTTTCAGTTGCAACATCACTTCTCTGGTGCCGATTGAAAACTTGTTCCTCCAATTTTTGCTGCTTGTTCAAAAGTCAAATTACGCTGCTTTCGAACCTGTAATCAAGACTGGATCTATAAACATGTGTGGATTTTTGAAGAATCAGAAAGGCAACAAGATTCTTCGTATGATTTTCAACGGTAGTAATGACAGTAAAAACTTTCCTAAATCATGTCCGATCGAGCCCGGATTTTACTTTTTCCACGGATTCAAATTTGACGAACATTTATTGCCACCAGTAAATTTTCTTCACGAGAATTTCAAGATCTCAATAACTTTCACTACTAAAATTAATGGAACATTTATTGAGATAGCAAGGCTGAAGTTTGAAGGTGAAATAGAAGAACGAATTAAATGGGAGAAAGAAAGGGAAAAGAAAAAGAAAAAGAAAGTTTAATTTGATTTGATGGGCAAGTAATATTTTTTGATTTTGTAATTTTTTATCTCGAGAAGATTCTTAACTTCCTTAAAGTTTAATGTGAATTAAATTAATTAACTTTAATAAGATGCTCTACGTTGCCTTCGTAACTTGATTCTATTCTATTGAATATTTCAACAACAATGAAAACGAAAGAGTTTTGCACAAATTATAATTGTTATGGTCTTTTAATTTGAATACCAAATGAGATAAGATCAGTTGCGATAAGCCGATTAATGAACTTTTGTTTTATTTGTACAAAACCATCAAATTTACATGACGACATTACACACTCTGACTCGATATCACATCACTGAAAAATTTACAATGAACTTGATCATTTATTTCGTTGTTCTTTGCATAAAGTTTTCTCATCAAGCAGTTAAGAGTCTCAAGATATTTAATTAAATATTTGAATTCATAATTTGTTATTTCGCAGCATCCATCAAAGCTGCTTGTAGACAGAATTGATGTCACCTACAATGAATCATTTGTGATTTATGAACAACTTCTGGAGAAAACACCCGATGAAAGTACGATCTTCAGTTGCAATGTGACTTACGTAACCAAAATTGAAAATTCATTCCTGCAGTTCTTGTTGTTTGAGCAGAAGCCAAACGGTGTTTATGAATCTCTTGTTAAAAGTGGTCCTATGAACATGTGTGGATTTTTTAAAAACCAGAAAGGCAATAGGATTTTTCGAATGATTTTCAGCGATGATAAAAGTAATAGAAAAATTAAATTAGAATTAAAGGAAAGATTATCGATATTCATCGAATACATCAACATGAATATTTACGACGAAATCAATGATCGAATTAAGTGGGAGAAGAAAAAAGAAAAGGAAATGAAAAAGAAGAAGAAACTCGAAAATGTTTAAATTTATTTCTTTACATATGTACAATGAAATAAATTATAACTGAATATGAATTTTCCTTAAGTAAAAATAATTAAATTGCTTCAAATATAGTTTTTCACACAAAAAGTTCTTCTAGTTGACTTTCGTCATTATTGTTTAAGGATCATCAGTAAACAATTAAATGTACACGTGAAATAAATTGCTCTTCCAATTTTTGATAATCGTAGTTCCGTATTTTTGTATTTAATTCATTAATTGCTTCATTTGAATTTTGCAAATATTAAAAAATAAATTCTTCCTACTTTTTCGTATTAAAATGTTGAAGTTTGACAATGGTAGAAGTAAAGGCGAAGGCATGAGGCGACTAATTTCATTGCTAGTTTGTTTCTGTGTCGTGAAAATATCTTTCGAAGTAGTTGAAGAAAACTACTAAATTAAGAATTACTATTTAACATTTTACGAATTCTTTCCAGGCATCAAATCAAAGCCCAACAAAATTAATTGCAAGAGGGCTTAATAATACTAATGACGAGTCAATTATAAGTTTGAAAACATGGCTGGAATTTCTACCCAACGATGAGTATACAATAAACTTCAATGCGACGTTACACGTTGAAGTGAAAAATTTCTTTGTTCATTTTGGAGTTTATACCCAAAATTCAAATGGAAAGTACGAACCTTTCATAAAAAATGTTACTGTGGATGTTTGCAAATTTTTAAAGAATCAAAGAGGAAATAAATTGATGCAAGTTTTCTACAATAGTGGATTTAAAAATCGGAAATTTCCTGATGGTTGCCCTATCAAGCCGCAATTCTTCTTCCTGGACGGTCTGAAGTTAGATGAGAACATTTTAAAAGTTAAATTATTCGAAGCAAAGTTCTTGATTGTCACCGATTATTGCACAAAGATAGATAAGGTCAAGTATTATGCAATGAAAACTTATTTTGCTGTTGATCTAGTTGATCGAGAAAAANTGGAGTTTATAATAAAATTTCAAATGGAAAGTACGAACCTTTCATAAAAAATGTTACTGTGGATATTTGTAGATTTTTAAAGAATCAAAGAGGAAATAAATTGTTGAAACTTTTCTACAATAGTGGATTTAAAAATCGGAACTTTCCTGAAGGTTGTCCTATCAAGCCGCAATTCTTCTTCGTGGACGGTCTGAAGTTTGATGAGAATATTGTGAAACTTAATGTTTTCGAAACGAAGTTATTGGTTGTCATCGATTATTGCACAAAGATAGATAAGGTCAAGTATTATGCAATGAAAACTTATTTTGCTGTTGATCTAGTTGATCGAGAAAAATATGAACTTGAGAAAGAAAAAGAAAGAAAACTCTTAAACAAGAAGAAACGGAAAGAGACAAATGGCTAGAACTGCATCAGAAATAATTTATTTGAGTTCGAAAATAAATTAATTTTAATAGAAAAGATGACGTCAGACCAGACTTCCTGTTAGACTTAATTTACAAATGTCAACACAAAAGTAAAATAAAACCAAAAAATTATTACTAAAAACATTTTTACAATTTACATAATATAATGTAATATAATTAAGAAATTTTGTCAGTAGCCAAATTTGGTAATCTCTTCAGATATCTTATAAATTTTAAAGCCCAATTGCATACTTATGTTGACAATTTCGAATTGAAATAAGACATGAATTAATTGATGAGAAACTTTTAGAAGCGACCAGAACATTTAAATTGTCGCTACTTTGATAATTATTAACTTTGAACAAAACTCACAATTAAAAAGATTATCCAAATAATTACTTTCAGCTCAAAAAATCAAAGGAAATTCATAGTTAAAAGAAATTTTCCGTCTCATTAAATCGTAAAATTTATCAGCTTTATGGTCATTTAATTTGAGTAGATATGAGTCGAATGTGGAAGCGATAAGATCGTCAGCGAGTTTCGTTTTTGTATAAAACAACAAATCTTCATGAGAACGACATTACATGTTCAGACTACATCATTTTGTGACATTAAAAATGAACTTTAAAATTTATTTGGTTGTTCTTTGCATAAAGTTTTCTCATCAAGCAGTTAAGAATCTCTTAAAGAATCTAATTAAATTTGAGTATTCATCCATTTTATTCCTCAGAATCCATCAAAGATGCTTATAGACAAGATGGATGTCACCTACAATGAATCATTTGTGATTTACGAACAACTTGTTGAAAAAACACCCGATGAAAGTACAATCTTAAATTTCAATGTTACATTTGTAGTGCCGATTGAAAAGCTTTTCATGCAATTTTCGCTATTTATACAAAAGCCAAATGGTGCTTATGAATCTGTAATCAAAACTGGTGCTATGAACTTGTGTGGATTTTTGAAGAACCAGAAAGGCAACAAGATTCTTCGAATGATTTTCAACGGTGATAGTGTCAATAGAAAATTTCCTAAAACTTGTCCGATCGATCCTGGACTTTACTTTTTCCACAATTTCAAACTCGATGAAGATTTAGTACCACAAGTTCAAATTTTCCGAGAAAAATTTAAAATCGACATTCATTTCACCACTAAAATAGACGGAACATTGACTGAATTTATCAAACTCAAAATTAATGGTGAAATTAAAGATCGGATCAAGTGGCAGGAGGAAAGAGAAAAGGAAATGAAAAAGAACAAGAAAATGGAATCTGGAAATTAATTTTTTTTTAATAAACGATTAAAAACCTTCTCAACAGTTCTGAAAGACGATGAAATTATTAATCTCACTACAGGATAGTTGGTTCTATTTCGAAACACTCTTTATTGATAAAATTGATCATATGCCTTTAATATTTATTTGTTTTCCCCTCAAAACTGGAATAAATTATTATGGAATTTTCATGGACCTTCAATCATTGTGCTGATTCATGTTTGATAAACTTTCAAAAAGGAAGAAACTAATAAAGATTTTCATATGAATCAGAAAATTGACCAATCATAAACAGAAACTTGTTGGTAGACCAATGCATTTAATTGTTCTTCAATTATTTTCAATAATTGATCATTTTTGGTATAAAATTATTTGCATTTTCATGATGAGCCTCAGTATTTTGAATACATCTCAAAACGAATATGAGAAATATTTTATTTCCCATTTTCTTAACTTTATTGTTCGCAAAATTATATCACCAAGCGGTGAATTGTTCAAAATATTACTTTAACAATTGAAATTTTATATTTTTCATCATTTTCAGTCTCCATCGATAAAACTGATCGTTGAGAAAATTGATGTCAATTACAATGCCTCCATTGTCGATTGGAATCACGTTTTGAATTTATTGCCTAATGACACTTGCTATTTTAGTGCTAATGTCACTTTTCTATCTAAATTGGACACGTTCTTCTTTCTTTATTCAATAAGTTTAATGAAGGGAAAAGGAAAGTACGAAACCTTCTTCAAAAACGGCCCCACCAACATCTGCAGTTCCTTCAAAAATCTTAAAGGGAATGCAATTGTTCGCACAATTCTCAACAGTAAGAACTTCAGTAAAAAGAAATTTCCAACTTCTTGTCCTATTGAACCAGGATTTTTCTACATTGAAGACTTTAAAATTGATGAAAAGCTTCTTTCATTCAATAATTTCGAAGCAAAATTCATTGTTAAAATTGAATTGAGCAAAAAAGTTGGTACGGCACTTGTGAATTTTATTAATTTGAAGGTGTATGCTGAATTAAAAGATCTTGAAAAATGGGAAAAAGAGAACAAGGAGAAACTAGCAAAACTCAATAAAACTATGGAAAATTAGTTTGTCAAAAATTGGAAAACAATTTAAATGGAAATTGAATTCTTGATAATAAAAATGAATGACGTTGAATCACCCAAACCTTTATTAATTGGAAAAATCAAAAGCTTTTTAAGAACTTATGCTAAGGGATGACTGAGTTTGAATAAAAGAAGAATGAAGGGGATGAGTTATTTAGTTAGTTTTATCTCAACTTATTTTATTAAGTTCTTGCTAACGTTTCGTTTACAGATTGTAAATGATGATGCTAGCGTTTATTTCGAAAAGCGATAAGAATAAGTTGTTTAAGAATTATATTGGTTTAAATTTGATTGAATTTGTTGTTTCCTACAATCAACAACCATTTCCTTCGATTAAGTATTTATTCCTTCATTAAAGCTTTTAAGATT